CTCACCGTTGTATGGGAGACACGAGGGTTTGCTGCGACGCGCGGTACCTAGGTCCTCCATTTGCTAGACAACGATGAGCTTCCGGACCATGGCGCGGTGTTGTTTACTCGCGAGGACCAGGGTCTGGACGAGCGAGAAGACCCGCGCAATTCCAATTTGGAGATGCAGTGTGCTCAGATCAGGGGCGCATGCGTGTATGACCGCAGTCCTTTCAGCTGAGAGCTGATAAAGAAGCATGTCTCTGTCTTCTTCTTTCCTGTACTGACACGGGATGCTCCATGATGAGTGGTTTTTGGAATAGTTGGGACATTTCGACTGTGAGCCGGCCGGGGTAAACCACCCTCGCTTTCTCCAGGAAATGTTTGTTCCATTGCATCTCTTCCTCCATCTCAGTTCTGTTGTGTGTCTCCACCAGTGTGCTAACCTCGCGGACCAGGATGCCAAGGACGGCACCTTCAGGCTGCCTTCTCTCCCAGCGTGTGCTCCCATTGTTCTCGCTGTGCGATGAGTTGTTCCGTGTCTGTTAGTCTGAGGTAAAGAGGGTTCGGTCACCACTAGGGTGTCATTTCACGCGATGATTTAGGGTTTCTGTAGTTTCGGACCCTGGTGGCTTTGTAGACTGTTGTTGAACTTTCTTTTTGTGTCTTCGACGGTTGCTTGGCGGCTTGTTGCCTCCGGGTCAGCTTCGTTCAGCTTCACGAGGATCTATCGGGGTCCCATCGATGGGCGTGTCCGTGTGGTGGGTTTCAGCATGTATGGATCTTTTGAAATTTGCGCATAGGCGGGAGCTGCTGCTTGACCAACTGGGTTGCGAAGACGCTCTTGATTTCCGAGATATCTCTGCTTAGCACCTCCTGGGCTCGAGCTGTCGCGTTGGTTTTGGCTGCCAGCTGGTTGGTGGTTGGGAGGTCCTGGGTCTTTCGAAGGTCGTTGTTGATACTCTCGAGGAGCGGTTCGACCATATTCCAGTTTGATGCTCGGTTCTTGACCAGCGGGTTGACTCGCTACTCCTTCAGGGCGCGTACGTCCGCTTCGATTTAGATCGCGTGGTCGCGTATGGTGGGCGGCTGGAGGCCCAGCTGCGGTGCAATGTCGTTCCGCCTCATACTTTCGTGGTACTTGGCGATACCTTGAGAGCTGACAAGTAAGCGGGGACACAGTCTGAATCAAATAGATCAGTGGTAATGGAGTAATTTCAAAAATTAGGTATCGACAGCGTGTGGTTGTTTTCCCTTCGGGGCGGCTGGGCCGGTGAATGCTGACGTAACCAAACCAAACCAGTCAAACCTGGCGCCGGTTTAATCACGTGGCATTAATGCCAACTGCACACATCAAGTTGAACACCTACCTGCGCCATATTATGAGCTGCTGCCTTGTTGGCCAAGAACACAGTCTCGCGTGAGTTTTGGTCGTCTATCTATGCCTCCAATGTCAGATGCTTACCAGCGATCCTAGCCCATTAAATTTCGCTTACCCAGAGCTTCCCTTGAATGAACTTCAAGCAGGATTCCGTGCAGAAGAGGTCATCAAGAGAGCTCTAGATGCCAAAAGTAGGTCTTTAAGACGGCTCTCTCTGCTCAAACTAATCTGGGGCTTAGAATGTAACAATATACTCCTTCGGGTCCTTTCTACGCTAGTATCAACAGCCCCGAAACAATCCGCTGGCATCACCAACGACGATCCCCTTATTAGCGGCCTCGCCTCCTTCACCTTCAGCGCGAGCGCAGGAGGGTATGAAAACTACTCCAACGCCACCTCTTGCGAAATTTGCGCTGAGCTCCGATGCGTCAAACGAACAGATATGGACAGCTGCTGCGGGTTTGATCTTGAGATAACGCTCAACCCCTCCTCGCCCTACTGTTCAACACCCTAACCTTGATACTCCTTTTCAGCCCAGTTCCGCTGAGCAGAAAGGTGCGGAATAAACACACGATCGAGTCAACTTTCTCATTATGGAGGAGCTGTTCGACCGAGTCGTTGATAATGTTGAAGGGTTCCATGAACTCTTTTTTGCCCACAAGACAAAAGCAGGTCCTGCAAATCCCTGCTACGAACGATACCAGATTTGTACGGTTCCACTCGATGAAAGACTGGCCAGATCCGCCTGTCTAAGATGCCTTCTTGAAATGATTCCGCGGACTGCAGGAGGGAGTGCTTTCGCACCTCCCGCCCCCCGGGAATGACCTGTGGACGATATATTACTGAAGGCGAGTGATCAAGATACTCTAAATGATATTCACCGGCCAACTACTGCAATCAATTAATGCACTTTGTAAGGTTTCTTGAATATACCCCGAGCAGACGACTGACGCGCGTATACGGATATCCATCTATAGTATAACGTTTAAAGGAGTGGCGTAAAAGTAAACTAAGACGTTAGGAAGAGATGTAGCCGGACAGTATTGTTGGCAAGCCTTTGTTCGCACCCAGCCATTCCTGTAGTCACCTACATAATATTGATGTATGCTACGAAACGACCGATAAGATAGGGCGGTCGTTGGTATCTGGATGGATAGCAGATATTATTGTTATTCACTCGGAGTCGGTTACTGGTGACTCCGACGTAGAAAGCTAGTCACGCGAGACTTTTAACTAGCTGGACGATGGACCGAAAGCGACGGATATCAACTTGTATATCTTCAGTTAGTCGAGTAGTCCTGCCGCTAGAGTTGCGAGATGTTTGTCTTGTATCCCAACCTTTGTGTCTTCTGATTCCTCCCTATCACCTTTATCCATCCAAGAAGTTCGGTAATGGCTCAGATACTTGACTGCCGTCTCGCCGGCGAGTCGCATACCTAACGAAAGTCTATAGGTGCATACTAGTGAGGATTCTATCGCACACAAACAACCGTGTGTGTTAATTGGACGACGGCTGCGGTTCAGAATAACGTTCAGAATAACCGGGCAGACGGCAGGCATTTTTGACGGTTATATCTTGCCTGGCCAATGGCCAAGGCCGTTTAATAATGGTGGCCGGGCATGTTTACCCGGGTATCTGCACGATATTCCCCTTCCTGCACATTACACTTGGTTGGGCTTTCCTTCCCAGCGACGCTTGCTACTGGAAAAGGAGAAAAAAAAAAAGAAAAGAAAAGGGGTTGGTCTGGAGTAGAAACAGACTACACTGTAGGTAGTCTGAAGCAGAGAAATGTCTGACCAGGACCCACCTGGAATCATGAAGATAGACGCCCGGGTATTTCCTTCCAGCCACGACATCAAAGGTCCATCTTCGACCAAGACTCAGAATTTTCTAGCTTTGAGACTTATCATAAACATTCAAGTCATGATGATATTGGTCAAATTGTTGAAAAAGAAAAAAAGGATAACCGGTAATCGCAGTGATCAGGTGGAACTGGTCTAGTCGTCTGCGCTCTTGCCCGGGTATCTTCTATACAGCATCGCACTGAAGTAGAACCGGTGTTGATGGTCCGGAGCAGAAACACGCTTGGGTTAACTTGAACTGAGCCTCCCCCAAAAGTCTACGCTCATCTAGACCCTGCCATCGGTTCCTGGATGTGCGCCCCTGATGATCGTACGTAATACGCAATAAACTATGTTAATGTGTTGAACTTGCTTCCAATCTTGGTTGTTGTCTGAGCTTCAAGTGTTTATCCACCAAGGCCGGATAAAAACCAACTTGTTACTCACACCCAGTTACAGTGTTGTTGTTGTCGAATTCATACCCTGACCTCTCGCCTAAGCGATATGCAGGATCTAACTATCTAGTCTCTATGCATGGCTATGTACATAAACCATTACTTCCCGACGAATTTAGAGCCTCACACTTTGTTCTCAGGGCTCTCCAGATTCCGGAGACCCACAAGGATCCCCAGAGCCACCTTGGGTTTCCTAGGATCTACGATTCCACCATGCGTAAGCTATGATATCACATTGATGGCTTCAGTGCAAACTTCGGCATACGCCTACTTGCACATGTACTACGTGTCGGCCATCATCACGTCGCTATGCCTACATGATGCTTGGGCATCATCCTATACCCAAGCCAATGCTTCGAACAAAGAAGAATAGAATCCAACGTAAGGGATACAAACGATTATAACGAATCTAATATCCCTCTATGGTTTAGATATCAAACCCTCCAGGCGAGGATTGCCACAACTGATCAACGCTACTGTCCTAAGTTTGAAGCCTGATTCATTTACTTGGTAATGTTGATCTTCAGTAGTACGTGTTTTTGGCGGCGGAAATATTAGCATCTCATTCTGCCAGCTAGTTATTAGGTATTAAGAGCCATAATATGTGTTCATAGACTAGCGCTGTTTGGCGTTTCTAGGGATCCCTTGACTCTTGGGATATCCAGAGCCGCTCCTATGGACCTGAACTTGTGCTCGACCGAGAAAGCCCACCAGAAATCTTTCGCCGTGTTGGCGCAGCGCGATCAACTACGGCAGAGTCCTACTCGGAACAAGGCCGTGGGTATCAGAAAGAAGAATCGTAGGTTGACCAATCCCTCTCTTTCCTGATGGCAGTGACGGGTTTGAGGGGAGGGTTGTGGCGGGCAAAAGTGGAGTGCGGGTGGAGCAACGGGCAAGAAGAGGTCATCAGTTCGGGTGCAGTTTATGGAGGTTCCCTGCCCAGGGAGCTCAGCCTTTTGCTCAGTTGGTGCTCAGTGATCGCCTCAGGCTGCTCAGAGCGTGCTCAGGGCGTGCTGAGATCTACTCAGTGAGCAAAAAGCGGCGAGGGGTGAGCACTAAAACGGAAAGGGAAGGGCATCGACTGTCCTAGAAAATCAAGTACATATGTACCGCAATATGAAGGTATCATTCAAGCCCCATTCAACACATTTAGAAGCGATTCAAGTGTCATTGGAAGGTCATTCAAATCTCAAGTATCATTTCACGTAGGGAGATCTAGCCAGTTGTCGATAAAGCGTCCATAGTCCTGGGGCTGGAGAAAGGCGGTATTCGCAGTCCCCGCCAGACCAATTCCGGGGTCGCCAAGGAGAGCTGAAAGATCTGGAGGCGTCGGTTGCAGGACTTGTTCAGGAGGGTAATAGGTAACCAGGTTTCGTGCAACGGTCTTGTGACCAGAGATCCCTGCGGATCCGATAAGATCAAAGTCTGTCTCGGGTGTGGAGAGGTCCGGATGGAGGGCGCTGTCTCTTGCAAGGAGAGGGCCGAAAATATCCGCAGCTATCTGCTTGGGTGGGGTACCCCGCAGGATGTCCCAAAGCAGTTGGACGTTGACCGACCAGGTCTGCCGCGAGTTTTGCACGTCCCCAGCGGAGATACTGCTCCTTAGCTTTCGAAGATTGTCCACCTGTCGATCAATATTTGGCCAGCGACGGGCCATCCTCGTGAGAAAGGTAAGGCACCTGTCGTAACCAAATTGAGCCTTTTCTCGAAAAAACACATCCTCGACAAAGCTGTGTTGGAGATAGATTGTCGCAATTACCACGACACAATGCCCGAAGGTCGGGTCGGAGGCTTCGTAATTCTTGGTCTCTAGTTGGTCGATGAAATGCAGTACCCATCCGGCATGTAGAGTGATTTGTTCGTACGAATGCTGAAGAAAGGACTGTGGCATAGTGTGACGAAAATGGCGCAGCCGCGTGGAGAGAAGGAGGGGATGGTTCAGAATGCACGGAATCGTGTGAAAGACTACCTGAAAGAACAGCCAGTGACCCCAAAAGTCTCGTCGCCGTTGAAGATCGTCGCCAGTGAGCTCGTCGAATCGAGTTTCATGGAGACGGTATCGCAACGGAGTAACGCTTTCAAATTCGGTGTGTCGAAAGGTAATCCTCGAGTAGTCGGACTGCGGAGCCCACGGCGGGAGAGAGTTTGCTGCGACAGGGGTTTGTGCGTAGCTCCATGCCAACTCCCAGACTTCACTGAGTTGAATAGCGCATGCGGCCAACCCAAGATCTCTCTTATTAGGAGACGCCGTCGGAACGTTGTAATCAAGCTTAGGAGCCGAGATGGGCTGTCCGATCAAGTTACCCAGCATGTGAAGGCTCCATCGGCAGAGTAGGCGCTCGTCCTTCTCGTTGTCCAGGTTTGGCAGTTCCAAATCTCCAAACTTCAAATTCGATAGAAGGTATGCAGTAAGACGGATTGTCGCGCCAGCCCTCACGGATCTTCCTGAAGTATGGTCGATGAAGATGAGAATGCAAAGTGTCTGTAAAGTGGAAAGTTCTACTGAGCCTTGTGCGATACGAGCCATCGCCAGACGCCTTGCTTCTTCCGCCCAATTTGTAATCTGGCGGTTTATCTCTGGCTCAGAAATCCCGCCTCCACTGAACCGGAGGCCCAAGGCTTGCATTGCCAGGAGAAGCTCAGGCTCACGGCTGTCAGCACTTGCGGGGAATGTGGCGTGCCGAAACAGGGTGAGAGGTTGGAAATTGCAGTACTTCCAAAACAGATGGGTAGCGTTTCGTGCATTCAAACCGCTGTGTCATTCTCTCAATCAGTTTCTGCAAATAGAGAGGGGCAGGCAATCCCTCACATTGATGTGCCAATGGACGCTTCCATAGCAGGCTCAGAGCGAGGTGGTCGGGCCGAAAAGTTCGTGGTGGGAGAAGGGAGAAACGGCTGACTCTGGCCACTGAAGGCTTCCATCAACGCGTCAATCTTGCCTTCGATGCCCTCAATGCGTTGTTCCTGCGAGATAAGAAGCCGGTCGGACCCAAACCAAGGCAGACGAGGGTGCCTACCATTTTTCTGGCATAATCAGCCTCTTCATCACCGGCATACTCACACTCTTGCCCGAGCCTTTGGCAATAGGAGCATGCCGGGCGCTCGCCGGGACAGCGCGATTTTTTCCGTCTTGATACCATCAGTGGTCGTAGATAACGCTAGATTAGAAACAAGGCAATTACCGGCATTGTTCACACGCTTGGCGCGTTCGTTTGGGCGGTCGGGGATCATCCATTGGTGAAGGTCTCTGGTCGAGGGTTCATTGTTGAGAATCAAAAGCCAGAGGGGGCTGCTTTGTTGTGACGATAAGGGAGATATGGCCCGCAAGCAAAGAGGAGTGGGGACAGGGAGAGTGAAGACTGGGAAGGAAACGGAAGTGGTAAGTGCAATTTGCAAGCCTAATGATTGGATCGGGCGATATAGTCCCCTGTTCCGCAACCGAATGGTGAAGATGGGAGGTGCTCCTCCGTAGATGAGTCTCAATCCATGTGTTGCTATCGAAGGCAGCGGGACCAGAAGGTCTCCCAAGCAGTGGCATCACATGACCGGTCTATCTGTCTGGAGAGGGTCCGGCCGCCAAGAGGGATTATCTAAGCAGAATTTTCCCCACGGAAACTCCGCGCCGAGCCTCCTCCCATGGTTCGAGTCCCGCCAGCAATCCTTCCAGATCCACGGCGAAAATGGAGGACCTCCTGGAGGTTTTCAATCCTCGCAAGAGATCTAGGCTTCTCTCACCAATATCCACCCTCCCAGTCGAGCTCGTCTTGATAATCGCCAACTTTCTGTCCCCTAAAGACCTATCCCACCTTCTCCAGACTTGCCATTTTTTTTCTTGTGTTCTCGAGCCTCACCTCTATGCCATTGTAGCAACGGAGCCTGTCCCCGCAAGACCACCATTGGTTTTGTACTGGGCCGCGGAAAGGGGTTACGTATCTGTTCTTCAGAAGATCTTTCAATATAGCAAGCCCGACGAAATCCCTGTCAGATGCAAAACGAGAGCCCTCTCTCACGCCGCGGAGCACGGCCAGACCGCCGCGGCGAAATTCTTGCTAGATGTGGGCGCCAAAATTAACAGGGTCGTTTCAATCGACGACGTGAACCGGTACACGGCGTTGCATCGCGCGGCGGCCAACGGCCATGCTGAGATGGTGATATTCCTGCTCGATAACGGGGCCAATCCTGCTATCCAGGGTTCGCCCGACGAGGTTGCAGTGCTCGAGCACGCGGATTCATGGGGGCAGAAGGATATGGTCCAACTATTCCTGTCCCGTGGGTTCGGTATCAAGAAGCCCCCATGGGCCGTTGGGACCATATATCATGAAGACATCGATCAAATCGAAGAATTCCTGGAGTAAGACGCTGGATCCACGAACTCGTGCTATGCGAAATCTGCCGCCTGAGCGGGCCGGCCCGACGCAGGCACTGATCTACACTTCGCGGCTCAGCACATTGCAGCATCGGCGAAGGCGATTAGGCTGTTGTAGCGTTACTCAGTCATAAAGCTGAAGAAACCCCGATCTGGGTACGCGACTGCGTCGGGCGCAAACAGGCCGCGCAATCGAGCTCCCTTCGACAGGCTGTTGCTGTGTGCAACCGACAAGAGGGGGCAGGGCAGCCTTTCCATGCGCTCTCGAGTCAAGGGGCGAGAGGCCTGACAACTACTTCGCAGCGGCGCAAAAGGGGCACGGATAATCCAGAGGCTTAGACGTATACATGATTCACTCATCGAAAGATGAGCTGGGAACGAACATTGACATATCGACCGACCCTAGCCAAAATCGCAAGCAAAAGACAGCCAAGCGCCAGCGAATCCTACGAGACTCGCTTGATTTCTGGAGCACCTCATACATCATCAACCAGCTACGGTCTACCCACTCCCACCAAGTAAGCCTAACAATCCCGTCAGCGGCTTCTCACTCAAGGTATTTCTCGCGCATCTCGAAGTTTCCCGAGCGAGAGCAGATCGCCCAGACTCGCGATCGGGATAGCGGCGTCACTTTGCACACCTATATTTTCTTAGTCCGCGACATACCCAGCCATCATTGGACAGGAAAAACGAACCGGTTATTGGGAGACCGATACATAGATTCCCCAGACTTGGTTCGACAGTGTTGGTTTCTGTCATCGTTTCGGTCGCTGTCGCTGTCGCGGTGGTAGTGGTGGTGGTTCAGGTGGGTTCGGGAGCCGGAGCGAGCGGCCTGGCGAGGGTTGCTGTCAGCCACGGAGCGAGGAGGATAAGCTTCATCTTGACGTCGATCACCCAGTGGGATCTTTTCTAAGGCTTAAGCTTCGGGAACAGGGTAGATTGGGACGGATAACCTCTCCGTGTTGATGGTCTCCTATAAATATGTTAGTCGTGGTCGCCGGAAATGAATGGCCGTCCAGGTGTCCGGAAATGGGGCTGGCTTACACCTACATTTCTAACTAGGGCTTCTAGGTCTTATTACAGATTTCGGGAATTCCACTGCTGGCCATCGGAATGTTGCTTAATTCTGGACCGACCCAATTCTAGAAGTTTCGAAAGGAGAGCCGACTATGGCGTGGTGGGCTTATCCGCAGCAGTGCCCATACGTTGTTTATTTAGTCTCTGCATGACAACTTGATCGGCATTCTTGAAGAACAGAAGCTTCTGCCATCCCAGTGACATTCAATGAGCTCCACCTAGACTCCAGGTTCCCTCTGATAATCAGCCCTGCCGAAAAAACCCACTCCTCTGCTCCGCCGGCGGAATTACCGCAAGGATGGCAGCACACGAGTACCGCGTCCCAACCGACGCCTCATTTCCATATGCAATCTGGCTGAACGCCATCTCCTCGTGCTTGGGCTCCGTGATCCAGGTGATTCCTGGCAGATGGTAAGCTGGCCAGACTACTTTGATGACCTGTAAGGAACCCAATTAGCCTATGCCATGCGCCTCGAGCCAGATATTTAGGTGTTAGCAGCGGTATAACTTACGTCATCTAGGGCTTCATTTTGACCGCGGTGAGAGGTAATGTACGGATGACAGGCAACGCCGACCTTTGCGGCGGCGGTCTTGTAGAAGCTGTTCTCGCCCCCGTTCTCGCCCTTGATCTCGTGTGGCACATTCCCAGCCTCGATAGATTCCAGCACGTCCGTCATCCCACTAACCTGTCTGCTCATCAGAAGCACCTTCCACCATCGGTCTAGGTTCTCACAGTCAGCAGCCTGGAAGGGCATCGGCAGCAATTCGCTGAACTTCGGCTTGAGCGGCGTCGCGTCGTCGCCATCACCATTTCCATTGCCATCTCCATTCATGAGATAGTCCCAGAGAACATTGGACCCGTACCAGTCCTTAGGATCCATATAATGTCTCTTCGGTTCAGCATCAGGGCCCTGCAGTGTCCCCGTCACGCCAAGCTCGGGGTTCCCGCCGCCATATCGGCGTCGGTCGCTGTCGAGGACTGGGAGGATGGAGACTTCGATCCCGAGGGAGCGGAAGACGGAATAGAGGACTAGGTCGGCGCCCTTGAGGGCTCTCGGGAGATGCGTTTGCGCGAGAGGCGAGGAATGCGCGTACGCGTGGGAGCAGAAGAAGCCGAGGACACCGCCTGTGCGCATGTTAGTTGGCTGCTATGTGCGACTTTTCAAAGAGTACGTACCGTCACTGAGGAACTCGTTCTTTGTAAGGAGGTCTTTTATCCAAGAGTGCATGGGTAGTGACCTTGGATCCATGGGTGCGGTAGGCGAGGGGATCAGCTCTCCGATGGGCTCGGTCACGTACAGGTTGTATGTGAGAGTGATGCGGTCGCCGGTGGTGATGGTCTTGATCTCGTGCTCACAGTCGCTATAAAATGCTGCCCATTGGATTGTTGTCTCACTCTTGTCGCTCCAGTCGAATGTGACCTTGTGGCCGTGGTGCTCGACGTGCAGGCTCCCGCCTGTGAACTTGGAGGGTAGACAGACGACAAGGGATCCGATTTGGTTCGCGGCTCGCGGGGTATCGACGTGCTTCCGGAATAGGCCTGATGGTCCGGAGTATACCTGCAGGACCGGATTGGTTAATATCTCTAAATCATGCAAGGTCGCAGCCAAGACACACATTCATCTTGTACAACTCCGCCTTGATCCTCCGGAACTGCAGCTGGTTATCTGTCTCGCTACTGATGCTCGGGAGGAGAACTTGTCCAACGGTATCGAGGATTCCAAAATCCGCAGGGTGAAAGCTCGTCGCGAACTGGTCGGTGTCAAGCTTTCCAGCTTTGCGGTATTCCGGATCAACGACATCCTTGTCTCCGCGTCCGAAGCTCGCCGGATCACAATCTGCTACCAGCCGCTTCAGTATTTCAGCGCTGACTTCGGGGACGGATGTGCCGATGGGTAGGATGAGCTTCTGTGCGGTCGCATCATCACGTTTGCTCCAAAAGATGCGCACTGGGGGAGAAGCGGTTAGGTTCTTGCCATCAGCAATCTCGGAATCGACAGCGACTGGGATCGTTCCACCGCACGAGAATGAAGCAGTCGCGCTCTCGCCCTCAATCAGGCTCCGTAGCTGGCGACATGAATTTTTGAGGCTTGTTCGTTTTTCCGGCGATGTGGTTGCCCCGAGGCCAGTCCGTTCCTTGAACTGCTTTTCGGCAAGGGTCTGCACGAGGGATTGGGGGATGCTCTGCTCGATGGGAGCCTCTCTGCTCATTTGAATTGCGTTCCATCGAATTTCAACCCGGTCGTTGATTGTATCCAAAACTGGCTCGCCATTCGACACATGCCCGGGGACCAATCGATCGAGATTTTGACGAAGCTCCTGTGTCATGGGCTCAAGCTTTTCGGCGGGCAATTGTCTGCGCATGTCTCGAAACAGCCATGTCGAGTACCACCCCTCGCCGTCTGGGCCATCTGGGTTGTTCTTTCTGAAGGATAACACGCGGCAGAGGAACAGATCGATACAGGCGTCAATCTTGCAATCTCGGACCATGGTGCGGTTCAGTTCGGCTTCGAGGTCGACTATGGTGTGGCGGTATTCGACCTTCCGGGCTGGAGGATTGGATCCCTTTTCTGAAATGTCCTCCAATCCAACGCCGAGGGACTGGAACTCGACAGGGTCTGGGTCTGTCATTTTGGAAGTATGTGGGGTGTTGCTTAGTGGAGTGTTACTGGGTAGTGGACGGAATAAGTGGAAGATGAAGCGGGTAAGTGGTTCAAAAAGCTCTGATCTCTGTGTCATGGTCCGAGGGTGGTTATATCCTTGACAGTTGCTTAGGCGGGCAGGCACACGCCAGGCAACACCTGCAGCCAAGATGCGGCTGCCTTTGGAGTACCACTGGCACACACCACCATCAATCCAAACAGACCACCACTCCATCCGTTTGTGTATCAAACCCCTTGTTAGCTATCCTGGTGCAATTGTTAGGCATCCACTAGGCTCCGACTGAAGTTGATGTCTACCTCCAGCCTCTGTTCGAGACACTGCGAATTGTCTGTCTCTTTACCCGATCACGAAACCTCCATCAGAGATATGCCCGCAACAATCAAAGCTTCGTCTCTGCTTCATCTTTCACCAAGGCAACAACCTCCATCATGACCTCCACATCCAGCGGCAACCTCGACACCTCCGCCGCCGACCGCGGGGGTTTATACGGAAAGTACGTTTTGTACACTGCATCACTTGATCAACTTAGAGAAATCAGTCACAAACACATTTACCTTAACCATCTGTTCCAAGCTAGACCCCGCAGCCTGCAGAATCTCGCCTGTGTTCTTGCGGATTTGTTGCGCTTGCTCGGTCATTGACCTGTTGATTAGGTTTCCGTCGGCGTCTGCAGCGATCTGGCCAGAAATCCAGGCGTGCCCGTTTGCGCGGAAGGCTTGAGGCTGGTGTTTGTTAGGATGGTTTGTAACTGGTGCCCCTTGTTCTTATATAATGTCCGACTGCTAATGGGGTATCAGCAGTTATGATCTTATCATATGGTCCGCAATTTCACTTACGAGGATAGCTCTTCTTCGTCATAATTGTTGTAATCGAGGACAATACCCTGGGCCGGTGCAAGAGGCTTCGTTCTGCTCGGGCTGTGGGTATCTATCGAACAACCCGGCGAAGAAAATGGCTCACCATATCGCATACGCTTTATTCAGAACCAGGAATTGAGTTACAGGAGATGGGAAGCTGAACATTCAAAAGCGAACTTTCCGTCAGAGAGGATCCGCAACTGGCGGAATATCTTTCCTATCTTTCCGTTATTTATGCAGCCATGCACTGAATACGCCGCTACCCTACTCCAAAGCACCGACATATGTCCGCCCGATCTCATCTCGGTAAGGCGCGATATATACATCCGTTTACCGCTATGTTCTGGCTCAACCTCAGGTCGCTGACCAGCAATTATAAGTCTTCGTGCATTTCGAGTCTTTTCAGGCACAGCTATACTATCACATTGCGCCGATATCGGATCCGCTTCAGTTGTCTTTTGACAATTGGATATGCCAAAGGATGTTTCCCGATGAAACCGCTTGAGTCCGTGGGATGCAATCCCGACGCCCACAGCAGAAGCGCGCCACCAGGTGTGATAAGAGCTCTGCTCCCCAAAATAACCGCTCTGTAGTCGAGTAAGCTTGCACCATGCGTCCGACCCTCATATGCCGCCTCTATGCCCCAAGAACAACCTTCTACCGGCGAACAATGGGCACAAAAGCCCCCTTCGAACTAAAACCTAAGTAGGCTGACTTGGTTAAAAATCTAACCATTTCGCGCAGACTTCAACTCGAACAAGCCGATAACATACGCAAAACCCCCCAATCCGAGATGGAAATACAGAGATGGCGCTTCACCATCCTCGAAACACGAAGATATCAAAATCGATCCATACCACCCCCATAGACCGATGATATCCAACTACAGACTGTCATCTCCGCTATTTCACGACGGATAAGCTTCGTGAGCACTGTATCAAAGGACGTGTCGCGCAGTCTCACACCGTTTAGCAATTTCAGGGTTGTTGACCATGATCCGCCGGCACTCATCATTGGGTTCTCTGCGAGACCGAGTCGTCCAAAGGATACCCAGAAGAACCTGGTTGAGACAGGAGAGTGCGTTATCAATATCGTCTCCGCGCACTTTATCGAAGCTGCGAATGGGACGTCGCTAGATATCCCAGCTGATGAGTCCGAATAGGGCCTCTTCTCGGAGCGGCGCCGTCAGTAACTGTTCGGCCGGGCCGAGTCAAGGATGCCGTGTTTTCACTCGACGGCAAGCTACTCGAGATGAACGATCTTGACTCCGGCCATGGAAAGAACAAAAAAGCATTCGGTGCATTGGCAATCATCCAGGCGATGAGGTTCTGGGCGGGATCGGACTCAATTAATGAGACTCAAGATGAGCTTGATCTGGCTGTGATTAGACCATTGGCACAGCTCGGCGGAATGCAATACGGGCGGGCCCGCGAGACGTTTGAGTTGCCGAGGCCGTCGCTCGGGACTGAGATGGAGAGGCCCGGGTCGAACGGATTTTGTGAGGAGACGTGACATGTAGATGTGTATTGTGCCGATATATACTATAGATCTAGACCAGAACAAGCAACGAGCCGGCGGACCAAGCCGGGCAATTGGGTGCTTATTCTCGGGTCACCTGCCGTTTATGTGAGTTAGTCTATATACATTCTCCTCCTTGGTGCCACTTCTGATAATATCATATCCGCGATACCGGTGCAGCTATGTCGGCAGTGCGGAGTGCGAGCACCCGAGTCATAAACCGGGCCATTGGAGTTACTCCGAAGTACAAGGGACTGGTTTTTGTGCGACGATCATTGCCATTGAAGCTGAAGTCGGCCCGACATGCTCAAGTAAACAAATGACGTTGTGCATCATCCCCGCCATGCCAGCCAACCAGAGTCCGCCTGCTGGAGCCAGTCACGGGGTTTTGCCGGGGGCAAACAAATGATCGTCGTTAATCTTGCACACGGTCCGCTGGCGAGGTTGCATCTGCTCGGCCATTTATCGGAGATGGCGAAGATCAGTGCCCTTTCCGGGGTAGGAAACTGGGGTTCTCGGCTGTTATTCGAATTGCGATCCCCGCATTGGCCTTTGAATCGCTCTTGGCGATGGGGTACACAATGGACTATATAAGGGCAGGGAACATGGCGGCAATGTGACTTCCTCAAGCATCGCAAGCCAGGATGTTTCTGAAGAAACTGCTCACTTCGGCAGCGGCCCTCAGCGGCTCTGTCTTTGCACAGAGCCAGGCTGGCGTCGACCCCCTCGACGACCCGGGTAATGATCTATACGTCAAAGACCTCTCCGAATGTCCCGGATACAAGGCTACGAAGCACTGGGAGACCAAGTCGGGGTTCTATGCACATCTGTCTCTCTCTGGACCGGCCTGCAATGTCTACGGCACTGACTTGCCCGACTTGAAGCTGGAAGTCGAGTACCAGACCGACAGCCGCCTGCACGTCAAGATTCTCGACACCAATAACACGGTCTACCAAGTTCCCGACAGTGTCTTCCCGCGCCCTGGATTTGGCCAGTGGTGCTCGCCCAAGCACTCAAAGCTCAAATTCCACTTCAAGGCCGATCCGTTTTCGTTCTCCGTGTCTCGCACTGATACCGGAGAGATTCTCTTCGATACCACCGGCAGCCAGCTGGTCTTCGAGAGCCAATATGTCTACCTCAAAACACAACTCCCCGTAAACCCTCACCTTTACGGACTTGGGGAGCACAGCGACGCCTTCATGCTGAACACAACCAACTACACCCGGACCATCTACACCCGCGACGCTTACGGCACACCCCAGGGTGAGAACCTCTACGGCGCGCACCCGATCTACTTTGACCACAGAGGCAACGCCACACACGGAGTCTTTCTTCTCAACTCCAACGGCATGGACGTCTTCATCGATAAGGACGACAAGGGCGCACAGTTCCTCGAGTACAACATCATCGGCGGAGTCCTCGACTTTTACTTCATGGCCGGCCCCTCGCCGCGCGATGTCGCGATGCAGTACGCGGAGATCACTCAACTTCCCCTCATGACACCGTACTGGGGACTCGGATTCCACCAGTGCAAGTACGGTTACCGGGATGTTTATGAGGTTGCGGCCGTCACGGCGAATTACTCGACTCACGATATCCCACTCGAAACCATCTGGACTGATATTGACTACATGGACCGGAGACGCATCTTTACCATTGATCCCGAGCGCTTCCCGGCAAATTTGTACAAGGACCTCGTGGATACAGTCCATGCGAGGGACCAGCATTACATCGTCATGGTCGATCCTGCCGTATACTACAAGGAGTCGAACCCGGCGCTTGACAAGGGTCTCGAATACGGCACCTTCATGACCGAAAAGAATGGCTCTGTGTACCAGGGCGTCGTCTGGGCTGGTCCAAGTTACTTCCCCGATTGGTTCCACCCGAACTCGCAGGAGTACTGGAACGAGCAGTTCGCCGACTTCTTCAATGGAGAGAACGGCCCCGATATCGATGCGCTCTGGATTGATATGAACGAGCCTGCAAACTTCTACAACCGCCCTTATCCCGGTAACAACACTACCCCGGAGAACTTCGCTGAAGTGGACGGCGACCCGCCAGAGGCGCCTCCCGTCAGAGATGGACCCGATGCCCCGATCCCAGGGTTCCCAGACAGTCTCCAGCCAAACTTTGCCTCCGGGCAAACAAACGAGAAGCGCGAAGCAGCATCTACTACTACTGTCCAGCACTCCACCCGCTCCCTCGCCCGTCGAACTCGCGGCGCCGGCCGCTGGCGCTCCGCCCACCACAGCCACAACCAGGGCAACTTCGTCCACCCCGGCGCAGGCTGGCAACACGGCCGACGCACAGGGTCCGGCTGCGGTCCCAACGAGTGCAAGGGTCTTCCTAACCGCGAGTTCATTCGCCCCCCTTACATGATCCAGAACGGAGCTGGTCCCACGCTTGCTGATAGCACGGCCGATACCGATATCGTGCAGAGTGGTGGGTATATCCAGTATGACACGCATAACCTGTACGGCGCGATGATGTCGACCAGATCGTATAATGCTATGCGGGCGAGGAGACCTGATGAGCGCGCGCTGGTTATTACGCGGAGTACATTTGCTGGATCCGGAAAGGATGTTTCGCATTGGCTGGGTGGTAAGCAGCACCCCTTCCAAGGGTTGCACATTTAATCAATATGTACGATGCTAATTCTTCCCTAGACAACGTCTCCGGCTGGCCCTGGTACCGCCAGTCCATCAGCCAGATCCTGCAGTTCGCATCGCTCTACCAGATCCCCGTTGTCGGCGCGGACGTCTGCGGGTTCGGAGGCAATGTCACGGAGACCCTCTGTGCACGCTGGGCAACCCTCGGCTCCTTCTACACCTTCTTCCGCAACCACGCCGAGATCTTTGCCAATCCGCAGGAGTTCTACCGCTGGCCGACTACCGCTCAAGCGGCGAGGAATGGACTTGCCATTCGGTACCAGCTGCGTATGCTGCCCTAACCTTTCCCTCCCTCTATCCTCTGTGTTTTAACAAAATAATGTTTAGTCGACTACATCTACACCTCAATCTACAAGCAAAACCAAACCGGCACACCGACCCTGAACCCGCTGTTCTTCAACTACCCCAGCGACGCCAACACATACCCAATCGACATGCAATTCTTCTACGGCGACGGCATCCTCGTCTCCCCCGTAACAGAGGAAAACAGCACGAGCCTCACATACTACCTCCCTAACGACATCTTCTACGAGTTCGGCACCGGCGCCCCCGTCCGCGGACGTGGCGAGTACATCACCACGGAAGTCGACTACACCGATATCACAGTGCACTACAAGGGTGGAATCATCTATCCACTGCGTGTGGAGAGCGCGAATACGACGACTGCGCTTAGACAGAAGGGATTCAATCTCGTTGTTGCGACGGGGCTTGATGGCAATGCGAAGGGCGAGTTGTATCTTGATGATGGGGTGTCGTATGTCCAGGAGGCCGTCAGTGAGATTGATTTTGTGTATCGACGGGGTGTGCTGAGGATGAGTGGGAGCTTTGAGTATGAGGCCGGTTTTGGGATTGAGGTTATTACTGTTCTGGGGGTTGAGGAGGAGCCGAAGGGGTTGAGGAAGCGTGGGGTGGAGTATGAGTATGAGGAGGAGACCAAGAAACTGGTGCTTCATGTTGATGTGCCGCTGACCAAGGGGTGGAGCTTGAGGATTCTTTGAGCTGGTTGGAAGTACTGTGTACATAGGAGAACAAGTAGGCGACATGAGATGCCTATGGAATAGCGAGTGCATGTATACTTCTTGCATGAGCAGAGACATGAGATACAATACGCAATTTTATGTTAACAATTTCCCAGTATTATCAGCATATCTGGAATCTGCAATCTTAGGTATCTAACCAACTGTTTTAACATATGTTACAAAGTACCTAGCAAAGGAAAACTCTTACATCTTCTGCCCTGTACGAAGCCAGAGAGACCTAGTAAGCGGCTACCGATTGGTCCCATCGAGAGAAACACTCCGTCAACAAATCATATCGTGCGCGGCATCATTGATCAAGAAAGGGCAGAAGCTCCAATACCGGAATTACCAAAAGAAAGTAGACTCTCAATGCGTAAGTACTCAGACATGAGAATTCGTATCCCTTACTGATTGCTGCACACGCAAGATCAAATGCACGGGCCACCAGCCTTGCGGTTGTTGTACGGCCAAGGGGTTAGATTATACCTTTCTTGAGGCAAAAAGGAAGATTCTTGTGTCGGATGAGTATGTTCCTTGCTTTCGCATGGCAAAATACCATTTCTCAGCGCATCGCTTTCTTTTCGCGAAGGTATATTCGGGATCTAGAGGCTCGGTGTGCGGGGCAAGAAGGAGCGGGTTCGACAGGTGAGCATGATTCATCAATCAAGGACATCCTTTGGTCGCTAACAAATTATTTAGACCGAGAGTCAGAGCGCCCTAGGCCTGAAACTACAGACCCCATCTCTCCTCAGCCACTCCATCGGCCTGTCGGCTCGCAACGACAAGTCTCCAGAGGCAATGATCGAGCAAGGAATAATGAAATATGCGACTATGCTGATGCCATTTGATGCCATTGGCGATGATTATAGTAAGCAGCTTCACCCCATCTCTCGCTCTTTGATTGTCCACTCCTGACATTCACAGGACGCTTCGGTCACAGCTCATCAGTCTCGTTCAGGCAGAATGTCCGCCTCATGAATACCGCAAAGATTCAAGGACCCGAGCTCCACGACCAGATACCAATAAGGGACGGGGCATACGGAATGCCTTGGAACACTGTCTCTGTTGACCCGTCGGGGTTGAATCTGCGTCCGGAAGAGTATGCCGAGTATCTGACCCAGACGGTTCAGTTTGCTTTCCGTCCGATGTACCACCTGTTTGATAAAGCGGCATTCTTGCGCAGGCTGCATGAATTCTATAAGGATCGCAACGTTGGGGCGCAGCCGTCCACTGACTTATGCATATCCAGATGTTGGTTATATCTGCACTTGGGGCCTCTATTCTGTCTCGGGAGTCAAGTCCTTCGGGTCCGATTGGGTCGCAATACTTCGCAAGAGCTATCGAGGCGCGGCCGGATTATCACCAGCTTTTGCAAGAGCCCGTCTTGTCTATTGAGACATTAAATATTGTTTCATTGTTCATGCAGGCGATGGATATGCAAGTGGCAGCGTATCAATAACCTATTGAAATCTCCCGGTGTTATCACTAACACCTAACCGATTACAGATCGGCTTAGCCGTGCGAATCTGTGTCGCACACGGACTCGAGAGGAGATGGGATAGCCGGCGCGATATTCGAGAGTACTTCGAGCACCGCTCAAGACTATGGTGATCATCAGGTAGGCTTCGTAAAACATTCATTGTTTTTCGCTCCACTAATCGCCATTGTTAGATTACGATCCTCGCGATAAGACCAATTACCTCCTCCCCCCTCGAAAGGAAGCTTTCCGACGAGCAATCCACGCTTCATTTGTCTAAGGCAGTCATTGGCCTTCGTTGAGTGTGTATCGAGTCCGCAGAGAATATTCTGACGATCATCGAGTCCCTACGAGAACGGAAGGCATTGAGCAGGTTTAGTTGATACCTTTGCTTCTCACAAGTCCTCTGACACACAATAAGACATGATCCTCCCGCACGACGTTGACTTCATCTTGGCCGCCTCATTTATCCTGATCCTGATCGACATTATTGGACCATCTCTATCCGGGCCCTGGGATCCAAATGCGGTACTATCCTTACTAGACAATTACGTTGCACGAGGCATTATCATTGCCGGCCCCCATAAGAAAGATCTTCTCGAAATAATCCACCTCCGCAAGACGCTTGGGGATAGACAACTGAAGGCACGAGCGCAAACACACGACCTTAGTGGTAACCGACTCGATGGCTCAGGCATTGGCCCCGCCGCGTCCAACTCTTTCACCGAAAAAAGACATGCAGCCAAATCATGGCCCGCACATAGGTCCGGTGAGGGCAGAATCGCACTGGGAATCCAGGCTCGTACATCCGGAAACGATCCAGTCTGCAATTGAGGGGTTGGGCCTTGGGTTCCTGGATGATCGCTCTGTTGCGGAGACGGTTGGGAACGATTGGATGTGGAGAGTTCGATGGGCATCAAGCAAACTTGAACGGTGTCGCTACGTGAGCCAGCTACGTGTGGTACGACGAGGATTCTGGAATAATCCGGGGATTTCGAAATCCGGAAGGCACCCGATGACGTGGACGAGGCAGCCTGAAGCCCGAACCCAAACGGATTCAGTCCGATTACTCCGTAACGACAGAGTCGGGATGCCGCGACAAGAGTCAAGACATTTCGGCAAAGCTTCTGTACCATTGGTCGATCCCTAGTGCGAGAATATGGCGAAGATATGAGGTATCAAGCCGATGGTGGCATCGGACCGACGACGGACCAGCTAAACAAAACAGTGCATGTGGGGGAAACTCCAGATCAGGCAGATGTGTCAACATGCGGTCAGACTTAGTGGTTGCTTCGCCGGAAGAACTTCGGTCTGGTTGAAACAGGTGAGGTAATTGGTACCCCACGCTATGGGGCCGGCCGGCGACCAGGCCAGGGAAAGCCAGGCACCGTGAAGGCTGAGTGATGCTGGGAGTCTGTCCTAGCGACTTTTTTCCAAGCACGAAGCGCATCAACCATGGCTACAATTCCTAACTACCGCTGTGACAAGACCACAAAATACCACAAGACACTTGAACCACCTCTATTACCCTCTGAGAATCGAAGGAGAGACACGGCATCCCGATTATCTCAATGTAAAATCCTGCAAAACAAGCCAGATGACCTGGTTGGCTGAAACCCAGAACCCCCGGCCCGTCTTGGCTGCTCACACGATGCGAGAATTTTCTGGTTAGTCATGCCGAACCCCCCGCCGAAGCCTCCGGATTTCTCCGTATTCTCTCCCCTCGGCGTCGGACCGAATTACGGGATTGCGGAGCACAAGAAAGACCAGCCTGCGATGCCGCATCTTTCATTGGCAACACGAGAAATTGAGGGTGATCTTGTCCCTTTTGCATCGACGACTGTCTCGTGGATTTTCCCCTTTGGATCTTCGTAGAAACTTTCCAGAATGTTGGATTGTTGGATCGCTCGACCAACCACGGACCGGGCAAAGCAGGGGGCCCCGTCCTCCAGAATGTGCTCGACTCGAGTCTGGAGACCGACTGGGGCACCCACCAAATTCTCCTTGCGGACGACGTCCGACTGACAACCTCCAGTCGTACATACTTTCGCCATCGCGTGAATCCGGTTAAGATCCTCGCCCAGCACCCCAAGCTTTCACTAATCCAGTTAAGACCGTCCGAAGCGTGTAGCCAAGGAGCCCAATTTGCTTGTTTTCTTGCCCAGTGAGCTTCGCCCTTCTGGGGCCGCAGGGAATCTGCCCTGGTCGACGTGGGCCGACACAGGATGCGATGACACACTTGGCTGGCGTCTGGATCATGGTGGGAGGGGATGGAGTGAGGGCATAAAATGCCGCATTCTTTTCACCCCGTGGGCTTTTTTTCACCCTGTCTTCCCCAGCATTTTCTCTCCATCTTCTCGCTGGTCGTGAACTGGTTGGAACTTCATTTGCTACTCTCCCATCTGTCGTGCCTGTGAATACATCCAACATGGCCGACCAAGAAAAAACCGAGCTCGAGGCCCTGGAGGTCGTTCGCGAACGCGGCCAAGAAGCCGACGCCTTCATCGAAGACATGGAGCGTCAACTCGAAGCCGCCGGCGGGCTCAAAAAGGGCTTCTTCCAGCTCGAGTTCAACGACCCGCGACACTTCACCTGGCTCCTCGTCGCCTTTGCGAGTATGGGTGGTCTGCTCTCCGGTATCGACCAGAGTACCATTTCCGGCGCGAACCTGTACCTCCCCAAGGATCTGCACCTCGATGCGCGCCAGAACAGTCTGGTCAACTCGGGGATGCCGCTTGGTGCTGTTGGTGGTGCCCTGATTTTGTCGCCGTGTAACGAGTACTTTGGGCGCAAGTGGGCGATTATGATTTCCTTGATCCTGTATACGATTGGTGCGGCGCTCGAGGCGGGATCGATTAACTATGGTATGTTCACTTTCAACTGGTTATGAGGGTCAAACTAACAGTGCAGGTATAATTGTTGCGTCGCGTGTGATCCTCGGTGTTGGTGTCGGTCTCGAGGGAGGTACTGTCCCCGTCTACGTCGCAGAGACTGTCGAGCGACGAATTCGTGGAAACTTGGTCTCGCTCTACCAGTTCAACATTGCCCTCGGTGAAGTTCTCGGATATGCTATTTCCGCCATGTTCCTGCGCGTCGAGGGAAACTGGCGGTACATCCTCGGATCTTCGCTCGTCTTCTCCACCATCATGTTCGGCGGGTAAGTCTACCCACCCCGAAACACAGATGGCCTATACTGATAAACTCGTTAGAATGCTCTTCCTCCCAGAGAGTCCCCGCTTCCTCATCCACAAAGGCAAGACCCTCGACGCATACAAGGTCTGGAAACGCATTCGTGGTGTCGAAACTCCCGAGTCTCGCGATGAGTTCTTCGTCATGACGGCGTCCGTCCGCCAGGAAGAGAACGAAGTCCACGAGGGCGCTCAGAACAAGCGATTCCCTTGGATGGATTTTTTCACGTACGCCTCCCCTGTTTCCCTTTGCTCCATGAATGAAATCTAACATGTATCTAGCGTCCCCCGCGCCCGCCGCTCCCTCATCTATGCAAACATAATGATCATCCTCGGCCAAATGACCGGAATCAACGCCATCATGTACTACATGAGCACATTGATGAACCAGATCGGATTCGACGAGGAAAACGCAAACTACATGTCTCTCGTCGGCGGCGGCGCCCTTCTCCTCGGTACCATCCCGGCCATCTTCCTCATGGAGAAATTCGGCCGTCGCTTCTGGGCCATCATTACTCTCCCCGGGTTCCTCGCTGGTCTCGTCCTCATTGGCGCGAGCTACCAGGTTGATCTGAAGACGAACCTTGTTACCGTCGAGGGACTGTATTTGACTGGCTTGATCATGTATCAAGGGTTCTTTGGGTCTTATGCTTGTTTGACGTGGGGTATGTCCATCCTCTCTCGCCCCTCCTTTTTAACCGCTTATCGAATCCGTAACTAACGAAAATAAACAGTCGTCCCCGCCGAAGTCTACCCAACCTACCTCCGCAGCTACGGCATGACAACCTCCGACGCCCTCCTCTTCCTCATGTCCTTCATCGTAACCTACAACTTCACCGCAATGCAAGACGCAATGGGCAAGACTGGTCTCGCGCTGGGCTTCTACGGCGGCATCGCGCTCGTCGGCGAAATCTACCAGATCTTCTTCATGCCCGAGACCAAGGACAAGACGCTCGAGGAGATTGATGCCGTCTTTGAACGGCCCACCATGGATATTGTCCGCGAGAACTGGGCGGGCGTTAAGCAGAATTGTGTCGATTTGGTGTGTGGACGGTGGAAGAAGGTTTTTGTCGAGCAGGGACGTAGGAGGGAGAGTGTGCTGGAGGTTCAGGAGAAGACGCTTGCGTAGGTTGTCTGATCCTAGGATTGGTCGCCGAGTCCATATGCATGCTCTATGGAGCCTCATACCAGGATGTATGTCGTGGTAATTGTCAAGGCCCATGAAGAGGGCCAGGTATAGACTATATTTATCAAAGAATACTTTATCGTTCGCGAGCCGTCCTTCCTCTCATGTTCTCTAGTACGTCGAAGGAATAGTACTAAATAATTTTGAATTGTACTTCCTTGAAACAAAAATGCTCTTTGCTCCCACTGTTTCATGCTCCCAGAATCTAATGCATACTCTTACTCGGGGCTGCCCCTGGCCAAGACCCTTTTGTGCAGCCTGGAGGGGAAAATTCTTTTCCTCACCTTGCAGTCTGGGCACGACCCACTCTCGGCCCCAGCCGGAGCCGTGGTGGAAACAGAAAGAACTGAAAAACACAAAAAGAAATGACCTACGCAGGGATCGAACCTGCAATCTCTTGATTCGTAGTCAAGCGCCTTGCCATTGGGCCAGCAGGCCATGTTGTTGAAAATGTTAATTTAATTTGACATAATATTCCCAAATATAATTTCGAGAAGTTCCTTGGGTATTTTTGTGGACGCCAAACTTTGTTGCCCTAAGAGAACGAGAAACACGCAAATGAATGAATGTTGGAGTAACAACTACCTCGCTAGTGCTGAGGCTTACTTCTAGCCTCCTGTAATCTGCCTGACTGCGAGTTGACGAAGCTCTTGACAGGTGGTCCATGAAGTATATATTTTGAGACAGTCTTGATGCCCCCTGCCCTCCATTGGGTGCCCGCGAAAGACTTCAAGATCCCAACTACACACCAGCGACCTCTATACCATTCGCAGACTGTTCTAACCCCTCTCCCTCACTTACTGCATGCTTTGAACACCACTTAACATGCTCCCACACCCGCCAATAAACATCCGCATCAGCAGCCTTGCCCACAATGGGATCAAGATGCCCATAACCCTCGACCAAAAACCGGCGATACAGCTCCTCCCCGAACCTCCTCCATAGAAGCTCATAGTCTCCAAGTGTCGTCTCGGGATTAAATACTTCATTATCGGCACCGGATATGAACGGAATTGGCAGGCCTCTCAGGCGCAGGAGGTTCTTCTCCGTGATTAGGGGATGCAGCTCGTTATCTAAGCATCCGCCATGTGTTCCCATGCGGGTGACATGCTCAAGGAGTCTCGTGGGAGTTCCGGCGAAGAATCGATCGATGTTATCATGGGTTTGTCTGTTTAGGTTCTCGTGGTTCCACAGCAAACCGCAGGAGAAGGATGTCCGGTGACAGGCCGCAGAACGACAGCGATCGCGACGCTTGGGAATGGGATAGAAGTCATATAGCGCATCAAGAGCATGATGGAACGGACGCTTACGTCCTGAACGTCCAATTGGGAAATATCGGCCGTCTAACCGCTCGTAGAGCCGAATCAGGATAGGGCTGTATGCCTTGATGGAATTCCAGTACCCGAAGACCTGGTTCATGAAGACGGAGTTTGCAGAGACACCAAGAAGTTGAGTGCTGTCAAGTGTACCATCGAGCAGCGCCATACTCAAGGCAACGGATCCCTGGCAGTGAGCGACCACGTATGGCTTCGGCGACTCGTGGAGTGAGATGTGTTGCACCGCCGCTGCAATGTCTAGACGGGCATCGAACACTGTGCATTCCGTAGCGACGTTTTCATCGCAGCTCCAGCGGGGAGAAAGAATGTAGCGGCGGTGGCCACGGTTGGTGAAGTACTCGATCCTGTTGCATCGCTGATATGGAAGGGCGAAGCAGGAGTGCTCTGGACGGACTCCTAAAATACCGGGGAGAAACAGAATCGGGCATCTGGTGGCTGCTGTATCTGGAGACGAGGTTGGATCGTATACCGCAATCGAGACCTCAATTCCATCCGAGGACTTTAGGGTGCGCACACACGTAGCTGGACGTTTAGGCGCATATGGCAGCGTCGCCGTAGTCCTAGTGCGATGGGAGATGAAAGGATGAAAGAAGAAGCGGCTGATCTGCGCCGCAAAGTAGAGCAAGAATATCAACAAGGCCCGCACGGTGGTGAAGCTGAACTCTGCCGTAAGCCGGAACGATGTTATCTGCCTCACAAACGAGGAAGGCGCGACTCTCACAACACCTGCCCCGATGGCACCTTCCTCGTCTGTGGCAACCCGCACGTTGACCGTGGTCGTTGCCCTCCACATCCTCGAGACAGACCACGCTGCAGAGGGGTCGATCGTCTTGTATCCTGTTATCCTGTACTGATTCCCTTCCACTGAGACCAAGTGTAGTTGATACACTAGTCTTGTTGCATCCGCAGCATCTTCCTCATGTACGAAGAGCTCGAGCTCACCGCGACTGATCCTCATAGTCCTCTCTGAAATCGCGCGGCAGGATACGGTGCCGGTGCATGTTCCTTTGTACTTCGGTCCTGGGCCTACTTTATGTTAGATGGTTCGTCGGGTGATCAAAGGACGTACCTCGTGTCCTCTTTTGAATATCTACTGTCAAAAGCATCGCAATGGCCGACAGCGACCCCTTCCCCTCAATCTCGCCTGTTTCAAAATCTCCTTTCGGTGGTACACTAATGTGCCCCTCAGAAGCTCGGTGAACTGCCAGCCTGTGGACACATAGGCGCCCGTTTCCTCGCTGACATCTTTCGAGTGGATCGGGCTCCGTGGGACCCTAGGTGTGCTGTCATAGCCTAGCGTCCCATTTTGCGTTGTGAGATCTGTGTGAAAACCAGACTCCTTGCTAATAAGAGACAGAGATCGCTCCGCGAGAGCCGTTATAGTGGCGAGTGGGTTCACTCCTGTACAAGGTGAGACAACGTTTACAATCTAGCAATTGTCACTCACCTAGAGATGTTGGTATCACCGACGCATCGCAGCAGATGAGCCCGGCATGGACATCACTTCCGTGCCCAGTAAAGACCTGACCCAGATGGTTCGTCACCCCCTCGCGGCTAGTACCATAACGACTCATGTGTGCACCGCCCAACATATGGACAGACACCCCTTCTCGGGTTCGACCTATAACAAGTCAGCCATTATTCGACGAGCAAGAGTCTGGCCAACCACTGAAATAGCAGAACATCATATCCCCACCCATGAGGTTAGTAATCCGCTCTATAACCTGAGTGATGCGGGTCGCGTTCTGTGATCGCCCTTCGGCTCCTGCCTCTAGATGCGGTTGATCATCCTTGAGCGACAGAGTAATCTCGTTGCTATCATGACCCATCACGAGATATGTAGCAGTGCGCTACATCGCTCCACCCTCCGCATACGGACCCCTGAGCGCGGACTTGAAAGCCGCCAGAGTCCTGCAGGTTTGTTGGTAGGGATGCCAAAGGAACGATGTCAGCTCGTTTCGGAAAGTCAGTGCAGCCAGCATAATTTGCAAGACCGGCGCCAACGGCTCTGAAACGCACCGGTCTTGGATGATATAGCCGGATAAGGGGTTGCTTGAAGACTCTTGACGGTTGTCAATCATTCCGGTTATGGTCGGTCCTGGCGTTCTTGAGCCACTAGCGACGCCGTTCACTTCTTTCGTTCCGTTGTACCCTGGGCGTATTAGCTTCGTCTTTAGGATATGTTACTGCATACCAAACAGTAAGAGATCTCCATTCCCTAACATTTTCCTCCCGATCAGGCGAGATACTGGGAGCCCGTGCCTCTTTGACCGCAGGAGAATCTCCGTCGTCCCCATGGCACCGGCCCCGAGGAAGCAAAACCCATTCTATACACGTTAGCCCAAGATTAAGATGCATTGGGCAACACGTACAGCTTTTACCCAGAATAGCTGTCTATCCATCTCGCTGAAAGCAGCCCTGCCCTTATCATGCCAAACGAAGTACACGATGTACCCGTGTCCCTCTGCCGCTTTCTCGACAAATCACACTTCACAGCCACAGAAGATCTCCGCGCCCCAGTTCCAGGCATCAGCCAAATATGTGGCAGAGATTGAGTTTTTTGAGCCGTCATTGAGACCTGTAGTCTCGTGCCCAGACCCCTTGTTCGGGCGCATCGAGATGCCAGTGGACTTTCGTCCGTGCTTGAAGAACGTAGTTAGAGGAACGCGGGAAAAGTGCTTCTCCTGCCCCAGTAATCTTGCCGCTTCCTCGAGATGATCCAGCTTTCTCGGCGTTGGATGACTCTCCGGGAATGGTGATGGCTGTAGCATGTCAGCTGCTCGGCCATAATCTGGTCTCGTGAGCCACGAATCCAAAGGTCTTCATAAGCACAGCTTACACTCTTTCATTGAGCTAGGATGATCCCTGATCTCTGCCAGCCAGGGGCTCATTCTGAACGTGCTTCCGTCGCTTCGAGGAACACGCCCGAGTTGACGAGTGAGCCGCCCCCGAGTCCTAGTTCGGTCAGCTCTGCTCATAGTGCGAGTTTGAGACTGACCATGAGCGCAAAATGCATGCTGTCCGTCTCCCAACTTAAGCTGAAACAGCTTCGTCTCGCCAGATAGTGGCAGTTTTCCGAGGAGGCCACTTGTCGCTTGTGCTCCCGAGATTGCGGCTTCCCGCATGCACTGGCGGAGTGTGTGTGGGAGCGAGCCCGCTAACCACCATCATGAATCTTCTCGAAGGCATTGAATCAGAAAATGGACGTACGTACGTTGTCGTTCCCAGCCTAGTTCGAGCACCGCGACACTCTTCCCTGCCCGCGCCATCCGGCTGGCAGCGACACCGGCGCCATAGCCTGATCCGACCACAACAACATCGTCCTCGGATCTCAGAGAAGTAACGGAAGGCTGAGTGTTGGATAGTTATCCGGTCGGTCGTGTATTGGCTCTGGCATCCTTGAATAGTTTGAATGAGAAATTCATCGTGTCGCTGGGAATCGGAGTTGTCATAATATATGCCCCGCTTCGAGACCACACCGATAAACACGCAGACATCGCTTATGCATATTTGCGGGTATGTTTATCAATGGATTAGGCAGCGCTACAAGCCGCCAGTTGATTGGATTGACATGGCTATGCAGCCAACCCTGGTTGTGGTGGCCCAATGGCGTTGGGGATAGCCTCCTGATAAGCATGTGAAGACCATGTGAAGACGAGGCTGGAACAAACGGTGCAGATTATGCAATGCATCCATGGGATGTGCCAGCCTTGGCCTCATCGAGACCACGATGGATACAACCTTAAAGTGTTCACATGAACATGTGGAGTTTGTTGCGTGACGATGAACCAGCGAGAGTGGGTTCCTGGATGATGTCATGATGAATGCAACCGTCCTTTATAACGCCCTCTTTGCTGCCACCAGCTCCATCCCATCAACAACAACACAAAATGCCCCTCTTCAAAGCCCAAATCACCATGGACCGAGTCATCAAGACTGCCGACCGCATTCTTGAGCTCGTCTCTACCGCCGTCATGACCTTGACAGGGTATCTGATATCTTTCGCCCTGTCATTCACCATCAGCCGCGTCTTGCTCGTTTCCATTCTTCTTCCGCTATACCTGTGTAAGCTTGTGCTTACCCTCATCCCATCGATTCTGCGAAATGTAACCCAACTATTTGCCCCGAATGGCTGGAACCGGCTGGTCGAGAGCGCCGAGTCGTACAGAGCGCAGTCAGACTCGCTGGCTTATGCACAACTGAACGGGTCCTACACATTCAGACCCGACGAACTCTTCCACATCCCAGAAAAAAGCCGGGGATGGATGGAGAATGTCCCATACGCAAACGATACGCACTCGTTCACCGTCTGCGGAGCGACTGTCCGCTACATCCACCTCAAGCCCAGCTACAGCAGTATCCTGCAGGACGGGAAGAAGACGCATCGGCCGATTGTGCTGCTGCACGGAAACCCGAGCTGGAGTTATATGTGGCGGAATGTGTTTCCCTCGCTGCTTGAGCAGGGACATGAAATTTATGCGATTGACTGGCTTGGCCATGGACGAAGTGATAAGATTCTGAAGCCAGAGGCGATTAGTTTTGAATTGCATGTTCGCACGCTCATGGACTTCTTTGAGACGACGAACCTCGAGGATGCGGTTATTGCTGCGCATGATTGGGGCGGGTAAGTCACCTCCGCCTGCCCATACAAGGAGGATCATAGATACTGACATACGAACTCAGCTGCGTCGCCCTCTGCACCCTCCCCCGCCTCCCAACCTCGTCCTGTGAGAGCGTCTTCCTCCTCAACACCTTCTTACCCCCGCGTCTCAGCGACGCAACCCTGCACTACCGCCTGCTCAACCGCGCCTGGTATTGCACAACGGGCCTGCTAAAGGGGTACACCCCCGAATCCGCCGCCATCCGCTTCATAACCCCCACCATCTCGCAATCCGACGCCGAAGCCTACTCGGCGCCCTACAAGGGCCTGCCCCGCTCCGCGAAATCCTCCATTGAACGCTTTAGCCATATCACGCCTTCCCTACCAAGAGTCATCCTCCACCGCGCCCGCAACCTCCAAGTTTGGAAACTCGCCGAAGGCCTCTGTGGCCCCTCGCACTTCGACACACTAAACACCCAAGCACGCCTCTCCGCGCAGGATGAACTCGTCCGCAAATTCTGGTCCTCGAAAGAGCAGGCGCATGGCTTCGAAGTCGCCGTCATCTTCGGCGACAAGGATCCGCTCGTTCGTGATTACAAGAATGTCCTTGTCCGTGAGATTGCGCCGGAACTCATGGTCAAGTGGGCGCCGAGGGGACTGTGGATTCCCGGTGCGGGCCATATGCCTACGGAGGACAGGGCGGGGGATGTGGCGAGGTTGATTGCAAGGTTTGCGAGAAAGGAGGAGGGGAAGAGTCAGAAGAGTCAGAAGAGTGAGGAGAGAGGGGTGGAGAGGGAGAATGGGGAGGCTTCCTGAGCAAACAGTGAATGGACTGTACTAGTACTAACTGGCTGTATCTTTATGGCGTTTGAAGGGATTTTATTTGAGGGACCATGTACCATACCAAACAAAACCAACCATTGTGTACCAATGCATACCAAAGATCACCCCATCGCAAAAAGTTAATGCCCCTCAGAGATAGTATATGCCTCGACCTCCGCAATACACGTCCGCGCCGGAATCGTCACCGCAATAGGGAACCCCCCATAGTCCGGCTCTTCATTCGGCATGATGAGAAACTCTCCACTGCGCGTCTCATCCCCGTTTAACACGCGCAGCGTCCTCAACTCGATCTCCCCACTGTTGCTCCCAGCCCCCTCCTCAGGGTAAGCAACCTCCTTCTCCAGCGCCTCCAGAATGCCCGTAAACGTGACCCCGGCCTCCAACCCGCGGAACCGTACCTGGAACCCACGGCCAACGACGAGGAAGCGGTACGAGTCGGCGTCGCCGAGCTGGATGACCATTCCGGCGCCGGGCCCGGGTTTCCCAAACACAAAGGCGCGCTCGATAATGACTCGGACGGTGCCAAAGGTCTTTGTCCATTTCTCTTTCCCCCCTGGAGAGCCACATTCAGGGAGCGGGTCGAAGAAAAAGCCCATGCGTTGACTTGCCGCGCTCTCCAGGAGATACCTACTCGTCTGCGCGAGAAGCTTGTATTCTCGACCAATCTCTTCGGCACCGGTATCGACGCCAAACGGCGCGGTCCCCAATGCGCCGTAGCTTGCATACGCGACCCAGACCCGCCGCGCCCCATGCGCATCCCGCCGCTGCTCCGGGATAAACAGCGGATTCGCGCTGGGAAACGTATAATCGGCACACACGCGCTCGTAGTCGTGGAAGTACAGATCCGGCGCGAGAAAGTCGAGCGACGGGGCGTTGAACCGCCAGATATCAGACACGTGGGGACAGGGGCCGCCAGAGGGGTAGATGCCCGGTCGGGCGCCGCCGCCCACGACGATCGGGTAGCCGGTCATGTCGAGGGCGCTGGGGTCGTCGAAGTTGAGCCAGGTGTTGGTGTACATGGGGAGCGCGTAGGCGCGTTTTCCGGCCGCGGCCACGGTCCCGACGTACCGCGAGATGTGGTGTGCCATGAACGCTTCGTCGGCGCGAGTGCCGGGACCGAAGATGGTTTCCCACCTGTAGGGTTCTATTTCTCCACCAGAAGCGTCGTCGGCAAGGGTCCGTGGGTCGGGCAACCGTGACGACGCAACTCGCTCCGCGAATCGCGGATGCAGATTCGCATGCTCACACACATGGCGCAGCAAGTCCAGCGGAACACCGCGCTCAAACGCCTCCTGCGCCCTGGGCGACCGGTCGCGCGAGTCACCCAGTAACCCCGTCTCATTCTCCACCTGCACCATGACGACGGTCGCAAACTGCTCGTCCACCTCTTTGATATGGCCCATGAGCTTCGCAAACGCCCGCGCATCTGCCCTCGCGCCTTCCTCACAGAGTGGAGAGATCATCTCGATACTCTTATACCCACCCCGCTCTGGATCCCAGACCCTGACGCGTGGAAAACGCACATGGTCCCGCTTCACCCACCCGGGGGCATACGTCGAGAGTCCGTTCTTGTAGCTCCCGAACCAGAGGAGGACGAGCTGGATCCCGTGGATGCGGGCGTCGCGGATGATTTGCGTGAGCGCGGAGAAATCAAAGACGCCCTCGACGGGCTCGATCATTTCCCAGGTTACGGCGCCCAGCAGCGTGTTGATGTGGTGGGCTTTCATGGCCGGCCAGACAGTGGACATGTATTTGGGCGAGGAGAGGGAGGAGTTGTGCAGTTCGCCGGGAAGGAGGAGGGTTGGCTTGCCCTTGACGATTAGGCGGGTGCCAGTGGGGGTGGCGGCGAGGTGTGGGTGTGTAGGGGGCATTGTGGATAGAAGATGAGAGGGAATGAGAGAGTTGATGAGAAGAGGTTTAGAGAGGAGGCTGTCTTATTGTTGTTGTGTTGGCTCGCTGGCGAGGAGAGGCCGTTTTATAGCAGGTATTGCTGCACGGTTTCTTTCACTTTTTAGGCATAATGATGATCCTATGAAGTATTAGTAGTAGCCGCACTCGGATAAAGTCCGTAGATACCAGGTACGTGCTATCTAGAAAATAATGTCAAATGATCACCAAGTGAAATAACTGGTGGAGTCCGCTTAAACCTCACTGATTGCCCCCCTAGCTAAAGAACCCCACAATCCAACCAACTCCAACAATCAATTGGCTAGGAATTTCTTCTGATCAACTTCGTTTCTCTTCTTTGTTCCTTGGCAGATTTTACACCGCTGACTCGCCAGAACAAATACTAGCGCGTATTCCAAATCCAGCAAAAAGACCGCCATGACTCGACGCAGGCCCGGCACTCATAATCCCACGGGGTTCAATCTGGGGTAATCACGTAGTAAAATTAACCGAGGTGGGTATATAAGGTTGCCAAAGACCTGAATAGCTTCATCGCAACCATACAAGCGAATATCTTCATCATGGCAAATGACAAGGTCATGCAGCATGATACCCCTACCCACCGTGTGCCTCCCAGCACTGTTCCCTGGTGGCAGCAGAGGAACCTTCGACAATTGTACCTCTTGATGATCATTCTCTTCCTCGCGTCGACTAGTCTAGGTTACGATGCCAGTCTCCTAAACGGTTTGCAGACGATGGATACCTGGGCAGAGTGTACTCCTCGTCCCCCTCCCGCACCCTCTGATCGCAGCACACACTGACACCAATCCATCAGACTTCAACGACCCCCAAGGCAGCCGCCTCGGTCTCTTTGGCGCCCTCCCCGGAATCGGCACCTTGGCCGTCTTCCTCGTGGCCCCCTACCTCAGCGACGGGCTCGGCCGCCGCATCGGAACCGCCATCGGCTGCGCAATCATCGTCCTCGGCGCACTGATCCAGACATTCCCACCAACCGACAACCCAGACCCGATGTATCTCGCCGGCCGCATCCTCGTCGGTATCGGCTCTGGGATCTGCAACGGGGCGTGTCCGCTGCTCATCACCGAGGTCGCGCACCCGGATCATCGCGGGAAGATCACGACGATCTACAATACGCTCTGGTACTTGGGTGCGATTGTCGCGGCGTGGTCTGCATTTGGAACCCTCGAGAATCTAACTGGGGATCTCCAGTGGCGCATTCCGACGGCGCTGCAGGCTGCCATGCCTGGCATCCAGCTGGCCGCCATCTGGCTCCTGCCCGAGAGCCCGCGATGGCTCATCAGCAAGGGGAAACTGGAGCAAGCGCGGAACGTGCTCGTAAAATACCACGGCAACGGGGACGAAAACGACGCCTTTGTGCGATGGGAATTCGCCGAGATCCGCGAGACGCTCCGCCTCGAACAAGAGGCTGCAGCGACGGGGTGGGCGGAGCTGGTCCGCACGCGCGGGAACCGTAAGCGGTGCCTGCTCATCATCCTGACGGCCATCTTCTCGCAATGCAGCGGAAACGAGCTGGTGAGTTATTACCTCTCCCAAGTCCTGAACACCATCGGGATCCGCAACCCGACCGAACAGGCCAAGATCAACGGCGGGCTGACCATCTGGTGTCTCGTCGTCTCGCTCGCGGCGGCCTTTCTCGTCGACCGCTTCGGCCGCAAGACGCTCTTCATGTTCGCGGCCGTGGGGATGCTCGTCTCCTTTTCCATCTGGACGGCCTGTTCGGCCGTCTACGAGAAGACCGAGTCTGCGCCCGCGGGCCGCGCAGTCCTGGCAATGATCTTCCTCTTCTACGGCGCGGCGGGCGCAGCCTGGCCCGGGTTGACGGTTGCGTACACGGTCGAGATCCTTCCCTTCAATATCCGCGCAAAGGGACTAACGCTGTGTACGTGCGTCGCGGCGCTCGCGGGGATCTATAATCAGTATGTGAACCCGTTGGGCCTGGCGGCTTTGCAGTGGCGGTTTTATTTCGTCTATGTGGCGGTTCTCGTGGTCGAGTGTGTGGTTATCTGGTTCTATTTTGTGGAGACGAGGGGGCCAACGCTTGAGGAGATTGCGGTGCTCTTTGATGGGGAGGGTGCGAGGCTTGGAGGGGTGGGGATTTCGTCTGCAAAGGACGAGGGGGAGCAGGCGGCCTCGTATCATGCCGAGCATGGCGAGAGGGGTGAGAAGCCTTGATTCGATGCTTTTCTTGCGTATGTCCACCCGTCTGGACAGTCTTGTGGATAGCCGAATCATGAATGTGGGGTCCGAGTTCTCAATCTGGGGTTAGTGCAGTCTCCAAAAGCGAGATATAAGCGGAGCAAATCCATTCGTACTCTCTTCTCCAATCTTCTCCACATCCATCTTGCGTTCCCTCTTGTGTGCCAACCCGCGGTGTAGCTGCTGCCATGCACCGCGTCAAGCACAGCCGGAACCAAAACGCCTGCGATATTTGCCGCAGCCGACGAGTAAAATGCCGGTTTAGCCAGGGGATTGAGGTTTGTGACGGGTGTCTTTTCTTGGGGACCGAGTGTACGAATGTCAGGCCACGCAGGAAACGGGGGCCTCCGAATCGGTAAATCGCCTTGTGCCGGATGTATCGGCGATGATGTGCCATGCTGACAGGATAGACATGCGGTGCGCGCGGCTGAAGCTGGCCAGGCAGGCTCGGTCCAGTCGCCTGCAGGTCAGACACCTGGAGCTTCACGGTCCATCTGTCCAACATCGAACATTACATCCAACGCTCCAGCGAGCATCCCATCCAACACCTCATACAGCATCGCACCTGACATCTCACCTCCCCAAAGCATCCAGCCACCCAACTCACCCCCTCAGATAACCTCTCCTCCGCAGACCCTCTCCCCAAACCCCCCTTCTCAAGCAGTCTTTTCTTTCTCCAGCTCAGAACCAGACATCCTCGCCCTCCTCGCGCCTCTGTCCCTCATCAAAACCGTGCTAAACGACTGGTTCACACACATCCACCCGCTCGCCCCAATCCTGCATCGAAAGACCTTTCTCGCCCGAGTACACGCCCACACCCACGCCCACCCCGCAGACCAACCGCATAAAAACAAGACCTCTGCCCGCCTCTTCACCGGCCTCGTCATCAGCATCCTCGCCGCAACATGCGCAACCCTGCGCCGAAAGTCCTTTGCCGAATACCACCCTGTCACGCTCGAACGGTGCAAACACTTCATCATCACCTATGACCTTTTACCGTACGACGGGCCGTACTGTCTTGATTGGTGCATTGCGAAATATAACCTGGGCACTGCGGCGACGGCGTATGGAAACATGAGCGACCCGTGGATTTGGAGGGTTCTGGGGGAGAGCATGACGGGTGTGATGTGGTTGGTGGCCTTTCGGGCTGAGGCGATGGAGGTGGCCGACCAGGAGGTGCTAAAACGGCTCTGTTGTCTGCTTATTGTTTGTCAAATGTGTGTTTCCCGTCTCCTTGATCGTGGGTGGTGTGTGTGTGTGTGTGTCCCTGACAAGCAGACAGTGCCATCGATATGATCGGCTACCAACCCATGGGCCGCCTGGCTGTCGACACTGCAATCTCACACTCGCTCCCTCGACCGCTGACAGACCGCGACCTCGATCCCCCTCCGAATCCTACTCCATCCTCCGAGTTGCTTCCCCGGGGTGCAGACGACGACAACGTCAGCTACGTCCCCGGCCTCACGCACCTTCTCCAAATCTTCCTCACCTGGCACACCTGCCAAACGGACCGCTTCTACTATCCTCCCTTGCAGGTGCTCTCGACCGGCCTGTCCCGAATCCGAAGCACGATCGATTCCTTACCACCGGAACTCCGCTGGCGCGGCGGAATGTCACGGCCACAGAACGCAACGCGGGGCCATGACATTCAAATCGCGAATATCTTCATCACGAGTCTATATGTGCGATCGAACCTACTGCAGCAGTTCGCGACCAAGGGTGAGCGCGAGCGCGAGCCCCAGCATGAAGAGGAGCACCATAGTATCGTGAATGATCTACTCGAGGTGCTGTATCATCTCCCGCAGCCGATCCTGGAGGCGAATGGGTACAGTCTTATTCCGAAGATCAGGGATATTGGCGCGGCGTATCTGGAGGTTTTGCAAGGGGGCGCGGATGTTGTTGCTATTGATGATGAGGCAAAGGGGAAGTTGGAGAGGTTGCTTAGAAAGTTGGGGGTTTTGGATTTTATACCAGATCTAACTACTGCCTGAGCTATGGCATGGCATTACTGCGGATGCTGTAGATGGGACGGTTTGTCTGATTAGTCCTGCATGACGGTGGGATCCCATGCGCATGGCTCGTATTTGTCCGTGGTCAGCTTGGCCATGTCGCCCTCGTCCAACTCAAAGTCAAAGACCTCAGCGTTCTCCTTGATGCGCGAGGGCGTGACGGATTTCGGAAGCGGCACGAATCCCTACTTGATTAGTACGTCTCTAGGAAATGGCTCAAGGAGACATACCTTTTGCAAACTCCACCGAATCAACACCTGCGCCGGCGTCTTGCCATGCTTCTTACTCAGCTCCTGGAGAACCGGCTCATCACTGCGCTGATTCCTCACAAGGGGACAGTACGCCTCAACAACGACCCCGCGCTTCTTCAACCAGGACACCAAATCCGCTCGGCCAAGCCAGGGGTGCAGCTCATACTGCCCAACGTCGATACTCCCGCCACCGCCGGACTTGATATACCCCTCGAGCTCCTCCAGATGATGGATCCCATAATTGGACACGCCGATCGACCGCGTCTTTCCAGCCTTTTGCGCCTCGACGAGCGCGCGCCAAGAGCCTAACCGTCCTTCCTTTCCGCCGTAGGGGGCATGGATTAGGATCCTGAAGTCAATCATCAGCATGAAGGATCCTTGCTTTGTAATCCGCACGCACACGACCAACCCGGAGAGCGGGGAAGTGAGGTGGAGACCCTTACAAATCAAAATAATCCGTGCTCGCCTTGTTCAGACTCTCGTCGATGCTCTGCTTCGACGCCTCGTAGCCCATAGCGCCGGGCGGGATCTTGGTTGTCAGGAAGACGTCGGAGCGCGCGAGCCCGGCCTTTCCGATTGCGGCGCTGACTTCTTTTTCGTTTTTGTATGCGGCGGCGGAGTCGATCTACCCAGAATGTTTGTTAGTTTGGTGAATGGGATGGATGATGGGGGATTTGCGGGGTGCGGTACGTGTCTGTAGCCGAGCTTCAGGGCTTCGACCGTGACTTCCTCGGCGACGTCTGTTGGACTATCCGATTGTTAGTGAGACTCCGTGAGTCAAGAATAAAGAAAGTACGTCTGGTAGACCTGTTACCCTGTTAGCCCATCTGTTTCGTGACGTTGGAGAAATGACGTACCCCATATCCGAGCACCGGGATCTGGTAGCCCGAGAGGAGCTTCTGCGTAGACTGGAGGGTGAGCTTTGCGGCCATTGTGAATGTTGGAGAGATTGATTGAAGTTGTAGATGGAGAAAAAAAAAAATGTTACAGCATAGGAGAGGGGTTCGATGATAAATAGCTGCAGCTCCCAAGGTCGGAGCTTCCAGTGTTATCCGAATCCCTAACGCCGACCCCGCTTTCGTCATCGGTCGGTCTGGATTCCCGCCGACTCCCCGATCTCCAGTACAACCGACACTGCAACCGGATCGGTCTTATCTAACGTTGCAGAAGATTATAAATTCCATCGGGGGCCTGGAGTCTCGAGTGACTGGCTATCGAACTTTCAACTGCTAATTCCGCTATGAAGGATCATGAAATGTAACCTCGTTACAAACTCTGCTTGGCATTGGCTAAACACTAACTGCTGTGAAGGAGTGACTAAACAAGCATAGAGAACTAAGCGCAGGAAGGAATGTGCAAGGGTAAAGGAATCGACAATTTGAATCGCAGTTGGCATCATTCATCAGACTAGCGACAAGCCAGACAAAAGGGAAAAATCAGGAAAATAAATCAAGGAGCGACAGAAGGAAAGAATATCCATAGCATAGATATCACCTCAAAGTACAGGGCCCTCCAACTACCCCATAACCAACAACCCATCTCCTTCCTCATCCTCTAGTTCAAATAAAACGAGAAACACGCCGCGCGACTGGTAACATCACAATCATTCCCCGCATGGACATTCGGAGGGGCCGGGCACTGGAAGTTTCCAGGCGCAGTCGCAAACGCCAGGATACTGTCGAAGCGCTTCTTGCAGATGGTGCTGGTGACGGGAGTGAACAGATCCGTCATTGGCGCGGGGTTCCGGGTCTGGTATTTCACGTTCAGGGTCGGGAGCGAGGGGCCAAAGGGGATTTGCACGAGGACATAGCCCGGGGCGGGGAGGGGGGCGGGACTAGAGTGATAGTGTTAGTAGAGCTGTGTGAAGGGAGAGTGGAATGAGGATGGGGTTTGTGGATTGGCCACTCACAGATAGAAAACATTGTTGTTCGGGAACCAAAAATCGCAGACTCGATCAGTCAGGAGCTTGACGTTCGTCCAGGGGGTAAGTGGGGACGAGAAGGGTCCTCCGACGCATTGGTCACGGCGGGTGATGGTGATATTCTATCTCTGTAAGCTCCCGGTCGACCGGAACATACCACGACTCACCTCGGGAATATCAGGAAGTTCAACAGCCGGCTCAACGTCAATCTCCGGATGGGTCTCGAGAAGCGAGCTGTTGCTAGCCTGCACGATGGCTACAGAGTCGTCTCCAGCCACCGGAATAAGGGGCAGGGCTGCGAGGTCGGCTTCAGTCAGCGAGGGGACGTCTGTAGTCGCGACGGCGGAAGTGCTAGTAGCAATGGCCGAGGAGCTAGTCTCGACATCGTCTGCAGTGGGAGTCGGAGTGCCCTCTGCAGTAGTGGCAGAGTCAACAGAAGTCTCTGTCGACGAGAATTGGGGCAAGGCGAGTGCTTGCAGTCCAACGCCGAGCAGGGAGTTGATGACAATGATGCTGAAGAAGGTCTTCATGGTTGCAGTGGTTGCCGTAGTTGAGGTTGGTTTTGTTATGGGAAGTGAAGATTGATGGTTTTGGGAATTCTGAGGTAGAGAAGATCTGCTGGAGAGATGATGCTTCTTATATGTCTTGAAGAGGTCTCATATGGATCTTAAGGGCATCAAGAAGGTTGTATAGAAGAAGTACTAGAGCCATAGAAGTGCTATCTAGATTGGTCGAGTCTCAAAGTTCGTATAGTGGGCCCTACAATGCGCGAATAATATGTCGATTCTACAGAAAGTAAAGCTGGCGGTGAGTCACGGTGACCCCAAGTTGTCCAGTCTCGAGCAACAATGCAGTCCAGATATCAATAGTATCCATTCTCGTAAATCAAACCTTGACTGTAGCGAATGATCGCGAACAACTGCAACCGCCTTCTACAGCCAAATACGGCTGCGGCTCGTTCTATTGCGATATCCCGTATAGACCTCATTCTATTAATATCCTTGTACGTTATGGCTACCAGACGCGTGGTAATAGATCGCCGTCAAGAAAGTTCAGTCATACAGATCCATGGTTCTGGAGGGACACCGCCTCATTCCATATCGTCTATGCGGTCGACGTGACGAGCGACGTACGATACTTCATCCATGACGAATCAAAGTGCCGTGAAAGAGGTATACAATACCTCGACTAACTATTAATAGAATGTCATCTTCTCACAGCGAACTAAATAGCTTGACTTTGTCCCCACGCACAGCCCGTGCACCACACCTCGAAGATCTGCCGGGTATTGGCGGAGATGCTAGTCCGGCAATTTTTTCCGAGAGCTTAAGACAACAAGAAGCCAATAAAATGGGGGCCCAGTGCGGCCATGCTCACCGTTGGTTCCAGCTTGACGGGTTCGATCGTATTGCGCGATCGATTAGAGGAGCCGAGTGTGCAGCCTCTGCTGGGCCTACGTCTCAGGCGGTTGATTGGATACACAACCCTGCTCGCCCGTTTCGTGATGACTCGAATCGTTTTGCGATGCCAAAGTGGCGCTCAACGTTTCTTCGACGCACCCCGGCTTATTCAACTACTAACTAAGCCCCATACACCGCACACACCAACCAATTACTATCCCGGATGACCACAGGCGAATGGCTGCGGATGGGCGTTTCTAGTGTCTCAGTGTCCACGCTATTCTATATCAACTGTATTATAGATCCTCCGAGGATAAAACGATGTTACCGAATGCCTGTCTGGGTTAGACCTGAGGATGGACCAATGTAGCTGGTTGATGTCCATTTAGCACTGCGATATAATGTAAGATATATATACTATGCTTCGCATGGGGTTTAATATAAGGAAGCGGCCGTAAGAGAAAACGCATTTGGTATTGTTCTGACATGGTGTCCGTTGTCGGTCAGCCACCACCAGCAGGGTGCGAGCGTGGCCTGCTTCCATCCTTCCCCCAAGACCTCAGACGCATGCCACCACGCCATCAGGTGTGCAATGTGAGACAGGAGGGTGGGCTCGCGCAGCTGGCCAGGTGCACTGTGCGTGGTGACCTATTCCTGATCATCTCGACCTGCAGAAATCTACGCCTCCTATCTTTACTGACCACATGCTGCAACTGTGTACAGAAAATTAGTATTAGTACTAGTAGTATTTACTTTTGGCTCGCCCGCACTGGGCTCTCAATACGCGTCCACCAACCAAGGACCAAAGGCAGCGAGCTATAGGAGATAGTCTACGTCGGGAGAAAGAAGTCCACTCTACCGACTTCTGCGCCAATGTTATTGGAAAGGGAAGATGTCGACATGATTTCTGAGGTTGGAAAGATGGAGGTCTGTCTTTCAAATTGGAGAGACAGCTGCAAGTGGTGGAGTAAGACCAAACCACGTAGACCAGTGCCACCACTGATATCTGTGGATCATGGATTTGGGTTGCTCGTATCACCGTGACGGCGGGGCTTTGGCGGCCAGTATAATGAAAATATCAGCCATAAGTCGGAGATGGATCTGAGGCAATAACCTTCCAGGAATGTGACCAGTCAATTTGCGCTTCACGCTACTCGACGGTTTGCATTTGGTCTAGACTGTGGTACCGCGCTAACGCAGAGCGCCTTGACAAGGTGAGTCAATGGCCTCGTTCTACCATGAGGCAGTGGTGTTGTCGTTGGGAAATCGTGCTGTGCGGATCAAACAAGAGGGACACATGCGGCATGCAATCATACCCAATGCTGAGGACCGTAGAAGGGGAAGAATCCAAATTGTACCTCTGATTCATGTGCCTACATACGCAGAATCAGAATATATAGTATAAGGTTTCATGAGACATGGTGATAATAGCTAGTTTTCTAAAATAGGGCATCTTGATCAGGAGTGTGGCCCCAGGCCGCATTATTAGGAGCTGAGTGCTTGTCCAAGATATGTTAGAGGAGGCATTAGCTCTAATTATAGTAATCGAACTAGGCTGCGCACGCCTGGATGGATGTCAGTGGAGGAAAATAGTAGATGGCATATGGGTATTTGCCATATTTCCTTGTCTGATAACTATTACTCCAACAAAGCCTCCCGAAACATGATGGCTTCGAAGCCCTTTGGGTTGGAAAAACTCAGTAGCAGCTCACTCGTTCCATGTCAGGCGAACTTGACAATATGTTTTATCTAGAAGCCGGCTACCATGGCTAGGAAGGATCCACCCCTACGCGCCCCCCCACATTCCATCCACGGTAGCTATGCTGTCCCGCATAGTTTGCATGTTGGACCGCCGTGAATGACTATTCTTCAGGTACCAAAACCTCCAGATCGCGAGAACCTGATACTACCACCGAGGGGTCTCTCAGCAATGGCAAACACGAAGATCTAAGATGCACAGGCGAGTATCCAAGGCTACCTTTTCCCGCTCCAAAACCTCCATCTGATTCACATGACTCTGCAGATACTCTTCTCGACCCTCACCGGCGCCCTCGTCCTGACACCCGCATCGGTAGCCCGTTGAAGTGACTAGGAGTCGCACCTCAACATCCAGAGACGGCCAGTAAGCCATACGCCAGATCCACGGCGGCCTCAACCGCCTCCTCGGCGCGGCGCGACGCACGGCGCGCTCTAGATAATGCTACACTGCCTGATCCATAAATAACTGAGCGAGCGGCTGGGTTAAATACATGAGAAAGGAAGAATAAACAAGTCGAAATAGGAAATAGAAGTCGTATCGCAAGAACTGCAGATTCTGCGGATATCATTGCAGGACTGCAGGTGCTCGATGAGACGACTTCTACATGAGCGATTAATATAGAGGAATATCGACCAATCGGTGTATGCAGGTTCCTTGATGTTTGATGCAAGCATACAGGAATAACTGGGCGAGAGAATCGTCGTTCACAATTCTTTTGAGCTTGGTGAAACTCGGCTCAGAGAGGTCTGTTTCCAAACCCCTAACCGAAAGCGCGCCCAGGCCGGAGCTGCGGTGTGGTAAGGTATCTGCAGGTCAGGCAGAGGGCCCGCCGTTCCGCGAATGAGCAGTCGGCAGTCTGGTCGATGAGCTCGGGTGGGAGGTCCAGGATGGTGATCGTAGTATGTTGGTTGGTCATTTTGAACGATTCTTCAAGGACTGAATTGTGGAAACTGGTCCTGGTTCGTAGCGGTGGTTGTGTTGGGGGGTAATATCTCGTGGGATTGAGGTCGTCACTTTGCAAACGGACGTTGCCTATTTATAGACCGAAACACCCAATGACACCAAAATGGGTAAAAGAGCCATTAAGAGGATAAAGAGCGCTTTTTTATTTGACCTACAGAGCACTTTAGAGTCGACAATGCCTCTGGAGAAACTGCAAAGTCACCATATGTGTTGATTGAAGGCCTGAGAAATATACACTCAGACGGTACTCGCCAAAGGACGATCTATTTAAGTAGTACACCATCTTCAGACAAACAGACTGCAAAAAGGAAGGAACTGTGAAGACTCAATGAATTTCAGATAATGATACAGGCTCTGCTAAGCAAAAACAACAAATGACCCTCCATATCCCACCTCACAGGAGAACCAAACCATCGTTCAATAGTAGACGCGTTTGTGTATGGCTTGCGATTTTCTCAAGCACAGCTTTCATACTTGGAGCCTTACACAGCTTCCCCTCCCCAAAAGGCCCGTCGCAGTAAAAATAATTCGCCTGTTGGCCATCCTCACCAGGAAACTTAAAGTATGATGAGGTCGATTCCCCACCACCACGGAGACCGGAGAACTCCACCAACTCAAGGCGCAAGAGGCTGGTAGCGAGAGACTTGAAAATAGTGGGCCAGTCTTGTCCGGCTGGGTGGAGCCCGAGATCCCAGAGGTCGAGGCACTTCAGTGTTCTACTGTGATGCCGGATGAACTCGAGCAGGGATGCGCCGTCGATGTCGGGGACCTCGTTGAGCTCAAGCTCCTGCAGCTGGAAGGGCATCGGAGTCGTGAAAAGACGAGATACTGTATCGCTCCCGGTGTCTCCGAAGCTGATGCCCAGTTTTCGCATCTTTGGCGCATGTAGGAGGATGTCCAACAGGAAGTTGTCGGGGCACGGGTGTTCTGAAGCAAACTCTAGTACCTCGAGGTTGGAGTATAGACACCGGAACTGGGGAAGACCTCCCGGGGCATCGAGCAGCGCCCTCGAATCTGATTGGTCAGACGGAAAAAACAATTGCAGTTCCTTCAGTTGGCGGTTAACTCGCAGCAGAATGCCCAAGACGATGGATACTGTGTCACCAAAGTCGGGTGGGCGACCGAATCTCTTCTCACTGTCAGTCGGCAGGGCCACTGCCGACAAATAAAATGACTGGCAATTAGAAAATCGCCGGAGAATATCTTCCAACTGTCGCTCGTTTGGCTGCAGAGGCAGGATGTGGCCAGTGGATTCTTCCCACATCCAGGGACGCTGCGTTCCATCAGGTGTCTGATCACTAGAAGGGCCTGCATCATTCGAGCACACCACGAGTTTTCTCACATAGGGAGCCCTCCGTGGGTCTTGAGCGACCTCTTCGAGTTGAGCCAATGATTTGGCTGAGAGGTCGGTGATGAGCTCTCCGACCTCCTTCCGTGCGTACGCACTCCAGGTGCTTGTGTACAGGTATCGACAGGCTAGACGGCAGAGGCCATGCTCTTTCAAGGGCAGCGACCGCGCAATCTGATCCAGTAGCTCTGGTGGAAGGTCAAGAATCGACGTTGTTTGGCTCGTATTTTCAGCCATGTTGAGTTGAGAAATTCCGTTCAGTAGCTCTGGTGCAAGGTCGAGAGCTGAGGTTGTTTTGTTCGTCGTGTTATCCATGTTTAATTTCGAATAATCTGTTTTCAAGCAGACCTTGTTTGGGACCGGTAGGGGTATATATGAGCAGTGTACAAAGGGAATCAGACATCAAAGGTGATTAGAGAGTTGGTTTCACATCATATGGAATAATGAACTATGCAGTGCGGGAGGTTTCATGTGACAGGTGCCTCCTCGAAGGTTTATATAACAAAGCCCCTTGATATCATGAAAGAACTTCTAGTTTCTATGTGGCTATAAGATGAGAGTCTGCAAGGTCCTGAAAGCCCTTCACAGAACCTCGAAGAGTACATGAAACACCTTGGGTCTCGAAATGGACTCAGTGCCAATAATATGAACAAAGGCAGTTTGGTGTGAAAGACAGATTTGGTCAAGTCAGCACCCTCTTCCTCCACCTTTGCTTGCACGACAAACACTTCTAATGCCAAATCCCATATTAAAAACATTTGATTGTTCGAAAGCTCCAAGACATCTTCTGGGAGCCTGGTCTATTGCATGAATGCTGCCAAGTATCAGACTCGACAGATTGCAGGTTGAGTACTGCTATACTGCTATGATACGACCACTAACTATGGTTTTGAAGACTATGCTGCTCTTATTCTATTATGTTGTACGATCTACCAGTGGTTAATGAAGGGTAGGTATATCTTAGGACAAACAAGGAAGTCCTGTGGGTGTTAGATAACTCTAGTTTGTGGATTATAAATAAGCCTTATCTACATGTGTATACAAAAGCAGTGGTTCGCTCTGAGAGGGTCATGGCGTGGATGAGACAAAAAGACATTACGTAGAGATAATAGTATTGTTTAGCAGAGCCATGACGCGTATTTTCAGAGAAGAGATCTCAGTATAAGAGAATTTCTGCGGCCACACCAGCTTCGAACCAGCCTATATCTCCGCTATCGAGATGTAAATTAACAGAAACTATGTCGACCTCCTATCTCACGACACCTCAATCAACAACAGCACCGTCGGCAATTCTCCTGAGTGCAATATCCATCCTGGGCCCCGCGTAGCAAATGCTTTCCTCAGCCCAGGAATGCCGATCACGGGTGTTATGAGCGAGCTTGACCTGGTGCCCGCCCGTTGCATCCTCAGGTTGATCCTGCATGGCCTTGGAAAAGTCGAGGATTCCGGTGTTGCCGGGGCCAGTCTGGAAGAGTCCGTCCAGGCAGAGATCTCGCAGGGCGGGGAATCCGCGCGGGATAGCGAGGGACTCAAGGATGGGCATCCAGGATCCGTGGCTGAGACCGACGCTGCTGAAGCGGATCTGGCGGAGGGTTTGCGAGTGCGTGTGGAGGAATCTGCTTAGCGACTCACTCCCGATGCCGTCCGTCCTGTAAAGCACTAGGCTCTCGAGGCGGAAGGGGTATGTAGTGGTGAAGAGCAACTCCAGAAGCTCGGGGACGCCCTCGACGTGGTTGTTATAGTTAAGGTGCAGAGTCAGCTTGCGCAGATTTGCCGCACATGGCAGGATGTGCAAGGGGAAGTTGACGGCCGGCAGCGTACCCTCCGGCCCCACCACACCAAGGTTTAGGCTCTCCAGGTTCGACCAAAGGTCCGGAGCACACGGAGATCCGACCGGGTCCATCTTGATAAAGGGCATCAATGCACTGTACAACTCACCGGCCGTGTCGAACCTGAGTTCCCTGATCTTCCTTCCAGAGTCTGCAAGAGCGGCGAGGATGATGCCAAGTGCAGCTGCAATAGATGGCGCGTCATATGACCGAGCGGAGCTCGAGATGCGTTCTATATGCAGAAACGAAAACGAGTCGCAATTTGGAAGGCCGCGCACAGCATTCTGGAGCCTCTGCGACGCGTATTGCGGAACCACAGCTCGGCAAGGCTCATTAAAGTACCAGAGCTTCTCACGGCGAATCTTGAGGCGAAGCACGTCGACAAAATGTAGTTCCCTCACGTATGCCGCGCGTCCTGCATCCGCGACGATCCATTCCAGACGCTTGAGGGATTTGGGCCTGAGGGTTGTCTTTGTGATGCGCAACGCCTTGGTGTAGTAGGAATGCATCGTGCCCGAGTAGAGATACCGACAGGCGAGACGTAGAGATCTGTGCTCGGCTAGCGAGATATCGGAACAGACCTCGTCTAGCAACTCGGGCGGGAGGTCGAGAAACGAGACTCTGTACTTCACGGAACTCTCCATGTGTTCCCACGGATCAGGTGAATCTATAGTTGGTTGTGCTGGTGTTGGCTTGTGGCCCGACCCATGTGCGTGGTAATACTCCCAGTCCGAGGAATCAGACTGCTGGTAAGTTAGCCACGTCAACGGGTTGATATCGTAGGAAATGTCTCCTATAGAGAGTGTCTGGATGCGATTGGCCAGACTTTACATGGGATCCTCCAGTACAGCTGTGGAAGGCATGGTGAATTTTGATCGTAGAGGGAGTTGTGGAACTTGTGGGTCGCGCGAGTGTCAAGAACTTTCGAGTTGAGAGAAATTGAATAGATAAATGGATATGACAGTACAGATGGTCTAGGAAGAGCATACAACTTATACCAGTCTTATGTGGAAGGCAACAATATCGAGCCTTTGACTTATATGTCAAAGGAATCAAAAGCGGCCTCCATAGAACCATGCCACGGCACGTTTCCGGCTTGAATACAGCTTTTTATTCTCTTTATAGCCGCCACACTGTTTCCAAGCCATAGAACAAAGCATGTCTCCTCATCACAAGGAACAATGAGGTCATGCTTATAGACGACTACCCTTCTGAAAGGAACGGCCACCTTACCGTTCATCAGGATGCGCTTCCAGCTCGATGGCTTGATTCTTATCGACGCACGTCAAGACTCACTGTTGGATGGTTTGCAGTTATGCCATTCTTACGGATAGTTTTGATGTTGTTCGATAGATACATACATTCCAAGCCGACTACAAAGCGACGGGGGCCCATATGGCAAGCAACTCGATTTCCTGTTTCGAATTGGAGCATTACAGCCGCTTTGGTAAATCAGATGGAATCAGGTATCTCTAAGTCAGAAATCCAAGTATGCTCCGCAAAGTATATCGCGTCAAGGTGGCCATTTTTGATCATCCAATGTTTAGTATCTATATTTCGCTATCTTGCAGAACAGATCACAGCATTTAACAACAAATCCAGACTCGCTCAAACCCAATAAACCCGATGCAAAAAAAAAAAAAAAAAAAAGAAAAAAAAAAAGAATACAATCCATCCGAAACACACAGTAACCCCAGTACACCCCTCCAACACCCCACAACCCAGTCCCCAGCTGAACCATGGCCCGTATCTGACATCCCTACCTCAACGGCACATTCTCGAAATCCCCGCGGGGGATATACCCGCCCTTCCCATCTCTTATAACAAAACACGGATGCCACAGATTCATAACAACCATAACAACAAACATGGGCAGTGTATCAAAGATGTATATGAACGCCTCGTGAGTCATGAGAAAGCCTCCATACCCGTCTATAAACTCGACGAGGCGGAAGACCGACCGAATCAATATAAGCGCGGAGACCGTGTACAGCGCGATGAGGAGGGTGATCCAGTTCTTTGCGAGGAGGGTGCGGGGTGTGAGGGTCCAGTGGAGAGCTGTTTCGCGGGATTGGGCGGTGGGCGAGGTATTGATTCGCTTGTGGAAGATTATGCTTGTTATGAGGAAGAAGGTGAAGAAGAGGACTTGGATTATCAGCGCGACGATTGTGAGGTTTTCGCCGAGGGTTCGGGTGTCCGGGTCGTCGCCGGACATGAGGCCGCCGGCTGTGTCTTGTTAGTATCTTTCTAGGTGGGTTGGGTGTAATGAAGGCGTCTGCGTAATACCTCCGCACTGCATGAGGAAAGAAACAACGTCGCCCGCGACGAAGATCTTGGTCATCCAGTTGACCCGCACGATGCTGTGGTGTTCGGCACCGAGGAAGACCATCAACCGGCCGAGAACCATGTATATCGACGCAGCGTAGAGGGCAGGCGCGAGGAGGATAAGGACGGTTTGCAGGGCGTAGAGTGGAATCGAGTCGGTGTTTCCATTGCTCAGGCAGCGCATCAGGTAGCCGATGATTTGGACTGGAGGGTTAGTTATTTAATCACGTCTCGTGTGGGGAGGCTAGGTGGGAGAGATGGCATACAGATACCGCCGATAAAGAACGGGATAAAGTAAAACGCCCTCGCTCTAAAGATTTGCCAACCGTGGTATGCTGTCGTTGTGCCGAAGAGAAGGATGAAGATGACGCCGGCGGCGACGGAGGGCTCGTAGCCGTAGATGTTGTGTGAATCGTCTGAAGCCATGTCTTCTGTTCGACTCTTCTGTTGGTGATTGCACTGGTCATCTTGAAGACGAGCTCACCCCCAATGCTTATATATACCCCATCCCCACTTTCCACTGTTTACAGGATTAAGAAAAGCACAGCCCGGCCAAGCCGCCATCTCGGTGCCTAAATCCATCCGACGAAACAAATCTTTCACGCTCTCGCTTTCGTTTTCGCTTGATTTAGCGCGCTCCACTCCCGCTGCACATTTCGTATTCGCCTTTCTCGGACCGAGCTGAGGCTGCTTAGCATTGGCCAGCGAAACCCGGACAGACCCTGGTGTGTCTCGGATTTTACTTGTCTGGATTCCGATCTGCCCCTGAATTATGCTCTGCTCGTCTGTTGGCGCCGGCGACGCCGCCGGGATGAATGTGAATGTTGTTGCCTGAGTCTGGACTCTGGACGAGATGAGGAGTTAAAAATAAGACTCTTGCTGCAAGCTTCATATCTCCTGAAGTTCTATCTCGATTTGATTGGTGTTGGTCAAATAAGCGTGACAATCCATATCCAATTCTTGCCTTGCCTTGCTCATGGCCTCTTTCCGTCTAACCTCTGCTGTCAAACAGCGTCACCCAGACAACAGACTGGTGCTCTCGCCAAAGACGACCAGCTCATCAGAGGCCCGTCACTGTTCGATCAAGTCCAGAAACAGGTTTTCACCCCCTCTCCAGGTTTCCTGTCACTATCCTGTTGCCTTGGATACCACCACCGACAGGGTCCCAATCAACCACTATGGTTATCATTTCTCGCCTCCTGCGCCGCCCTCTCACCTTCCCTCAACGCATCCCACAACCCGGGAAACTCCTTGAACATCAACACATCCCGCATCTTAAACTTACCGATAACCCCATTTACCATCTCACCCCTCTCAACAAGCCACTGCGCAATCGTCAGCCGATCCTTATCCAACGCCTGCCCCTTCCGCGCATAGAACGTCCCCGTATCCAGCGCCAGATGGAGAGCCGTTGGACCGTGCGCCGGTATGGAAAGGTATTGCTGTCCACAGGAGGTACTCGCGCGGATGTTGACGTCCATGTCTAAGAGGATCCTCACGAGCTCGGCGTTCCCGGCCATCACGGCGAGGTGGAGTGGTGTGCCGGCCCATGGATTGCCCTCGTATAGGGCCGTTGGCTTGTAGCTGGGGTTGTTCCACTGCACCGTTGGTGTGTGGACATTGACTCCCGCCTTTATCAGGGTCAAGGCAAGGTCGGTGTGGCCAGCGTAACAGGCGTTGTGCAGGGCGTTCCAGCCATAGTTGTCAGTTGCGGCAACAGTTGCTCCATGCGCCAGTAAAGTGGAAACGAGCTCGCTGCGTCCCTTGTACGCGGCATCGCAGAGGATCGGGCCAGTTTTCCACCCGTCTGGCATTTTTGTGTTTGGGTCCATCCCGTATGCGAGGAGGTGCTCAACCATCCCGACGTTATTTTCGCGAACCGCACAGTGCAGGACATTCAAGCTGATATCGTTCGGCTTCACTAGTGCCTCGAGCCAAAAGCTTTTGTCGGGAGCAGGAGCAGGAGCAGCAACGTTCGACAGTGAGAATTCGTCACCTGAAAAGAAGAGCAGGGCTTTCAGCGCCCCGGCTTGCTGCGCGAAGCCTGCGCAGTGCACGGGCAGCCAGTCTTTTGCGTCGGTGATGTCTGCCCGAGCGCCGCAGGACAACAGTGTTTCTACCAGCCGGACGTTGCCAGTCTCTGCAGCCAGATGAAGGAGGGTGCGTCCTTCCGAATTCACATTGTCAAGAGCCTCTGCCCTCTGCAGTCCGCGAGACACACGGAGGAAATTTCCTTCAGTCTTCGGCTCGATCTCTCTGAGCCCTTCTGTCCAGTGATGTTGGTTCTCGACGTTTTTGGCCCAGTCAATAAGGTCGTGAAGCACCTGCTCATCTCCGTATAACGCAGCGGTGAGTATCGGATCGAATGTCTTTTCTGACGGCGCAAAAATATCCGCGCCCAGGCTCACAAATCTGGGAAATGCCTTGTGCGACTCGGTTACCCCAGATGCTGCGATAAGTGCCGTGAGTGGTGTATCGCCCTCCTGTGACCGGTAGTCTATGTTTGCCCCAGCACCAACGACTTTGCCTAGTATGTCATCGAAGAGCGCGTGGCGATCATCAGGCCTATATCCATCTTTGCATTTCTCAATAAAGGCTGACACCAGGCCGGAGACGAGTGATTCTGGTGGCTTGACTCCCTGGTCAAGGAGGAGGTCGACGACATTTACATCGAGGTCTTGCGCAGCTGCCGCAAGTATCGGTCCCAACTGTATCTCCTTGGGAAGCTCCGCGCCGAATTCGTAGAATAGGATAGTGACGCGCCACCGTTTATTTTTCAGCGCGATTTCCATTGGAGTGCGGCCCTTTGCCAACTCTTCCTCTGAGGGATTGCTCGTGTCTCCTAAATCGACTTTTTTTCTGCGCACCCCCTGCCGACCAATTGCTGGTGTATTTAGACGATTCCGGGTTGTGTCATAACGGTCTGGACCGAGGATGAGCTTGACGGTTTCTTGGAGATCAGTCTCTGAGAGATACTTTTCCTGGCATGTTGCAAGAATATGAATAGGCAGGCGTCCGTCTTGCTCGGCAGTATCCAAGGGAGACCCTGCGTCAATGAGCAATCTGATCAGAGCCGGATATGGTCGCATGACCGCATAATGCAAGGCTGTCATCCCGGACGAATCTTGTAAGCCGGGATCCGCCCCTCTCGAGAGCAGAAGACGGGCAATGTTCACAGCAAGCTCCGATTTAGGCCTGAAAAGGCTAAATCCGCAAGCCTGTATCAAGGGCGTCGAGCCATCTACCGTGTTGTACATGCCGCGACTCCAGAAGCTTTCTGTCTTTGTCTCATCGCGCATCGGCTGATTGACGTCCGCGCCACCGTCGATCAGGGCCTTGATTGTATCGATGAAGCCGTTAAGCACGGCTTCGTGTAACGCAGATCGACCTCGCGCATTATACTCGTTTGGTTCAGCACCGGCCTTGAGCAAGCATTCGACAAAGCGAGGGTCCTCCCGGCACGCTGCAATGTGAAGTGCGTTTCCATATTGCACATCCGCGCCTGATTGGATAAGCAATTGCACGGAGGAGAGTTGCTCGTCTCTAATTGCGGAGAGTAAAAGAGCAGACTTCCATGTCACTGGGTCAGACCGGTATCCATTAGGACCATCCACATTATATCGGCTTAATTTGGGTACATAATATTCCCGCCCCTGGACCTGTTCACCTTTGGTCAGTGTCCTCCAGGGATTGACCGAAATGGGAGAATCGAATCGCGAAGATGACCAAATTGCGTTGAATTGGGCGTCTCCAACCTCGCCGCCTGGTGTCTGTAGGTACTGGACGAGCAAGTCGAAGATATTTGCGTCGTTGCCGTCCGCCGCGATCTCGAGTGGCAAGAGACTTTCGGCGTATGCCTCTACTTCTTCGACACTCATTTGGTGAAATTGCGGCTGCTCTGGCTCAGATTGCGCATGGTGCTCTAGGAGCAGCTTAACACAATCGGAATGTCCGCTTGACACCGCCCAGTGCAAGGCTGTCCAGCCGAGACTGCTTCTAGCGAGGTGATCTGCACCGTGGTCTAGCAGGAGTCGTACAATACGCGAGTTTCCGTTGAAAGCAGCCCAGAACAACGGAGTCCACCCCTGGATATCCTGCGCTTTGGGTTCGGCTCCATGCCGCAGTAGCAGCTGGACCAGGGCTTCATGATTCCTGGAACATGCCCAGTGGATGGGGGTCCACTTATGCGAGTCTAGAGACGAAACATCCTCTCCAGTGGCCAGAAGCTCCTCCGCCGTATGCGTGAAACCCCAGTAGGCAGCGATATGCAGTGCCTGCTGATCGGTTGGCATGGACTGGAAAATATCTTCAGCTAGGGATTGATCGGAAAGATCGAGTCGATATTGGAGGGCTTGGAATGCACTATTCCGGAGGCCATTGTCGCGTAGCAGCTTCAGGACCAGCTGCTCCAACCTTGTCTCATTGTCTGCGCCCGAGATATGGCGCCCCCAGTGTTTCGCAGCGTATTCGAGGAACGGCATCTGTGTCAGCCGCTGCGACATCTCAGTGGCACTGTTACACGGCCTTGCTAGATGCTTCATTGTCATATACCGCAGGCAGGTGCCGGCGATGTCAATGTTGGTCTGGGTCTCAGAGATATTTCCCGGCTTGAGAAACTCATATGCCGTAGTGTGAACAAGACCAACTGTTTTATCAGAGGGGTCAACAACAACTAATCCGAGGCATGACCGAAGGAGGATGTCAGGATTTGGTCCATTATCAGGGTCAAATTCGTCGTCATCTTCAACCGAAAATGCGCAGATGATCTCTTCCATTTTCAGCCGACGAGGTGCATACGTGATCCATCCAAGCAATCGCCGTGCCAAAAGACTTCGGGTTTTCGATTGAGCGTCGATGCGGCCAAGGGTAGCTTCGAATGCTTGTTCCAGGCTCGCCTGTGGTTTCGCTATCGCTTTGCGTATCCGCTTGACCGATGAGAGTTCGAGTATATCGTCGAGCACCAATCGTGCGAGGAGGAATCTGTGGCGTGTCAGTATCAGCGAACCCCGCGATAAGGCATAGGAAGACGTACAAGCCACTGGATTTCGCCACCACATCGTCAATCAGGCTAGGTTCCTCCTCGACCTCGTCGGAGAAGTCACTATCACGGAACCGGGATTCAACATATACCTTCAAGTCTTCCGGATCGGAAGATATCTCAACGTGAGTGGCCATTTTCATTTTCTTTCGGATATGAGGTAGATCTCGACTAGTCACCAGCACGCTAATCCCAGCTGAGATAAACGATGAGAAATGAGAAAGAAGAGCACTCGGATCTCTGAGCTCATCGATTGCATCCACCAGCAGGTAGACTGGCTGTGAAAGTCCAGCAGTAGCGATAAGCTGGGCGACTTCATTGGCGTTTTGCAGTTTGCCGGGATCTTTGCATGCTTCTTTGATGGAGGCGAGCGTTTCTGGAGATCCCTGTTCAATCATCTGACGAAGAAGAGAATGCAAGATATGAAGAGTATTCTGCTGGTCCTGCGAGGAGAAGTCGCAAAAGAACGAGATGACAGGAGAGCCCGATGGCACACGATTTCTGAGCAGGTCATCGACGACGAGCGACGCAAGGCAACTCTTTCCCACTCCCGGCGGCCCATAGCACCATAGAAAGTCGGAAGATCTGCTAAGCCACTCTTGAACGGCATCCTGTTTGAGAAACGCGGTCCCCGTACCAGGACACGGCGCTGGCCTTTGCCGCACTGCAGCATTCGATGGTGGTAGCCACGTGAGCAGAATACTCCGGTCCTGCTCCTGATTCAGTAGCGAAACCTTCTTATACGTCGCATTCCCCGTCACAAGAATGCAAGACGCGAGGAAATCCGCAAAGAGCGACCGGAATTTGTGCAACATGTCGATATGAGCCCTCCACTCCTTCTCATGGAACGGCTGCAGAAACCGCGATCTCCGCTTCTGTAGATCAAACTCAAGGCCAGAGAGCGCCTTGTAGCAGTCCATTAACGTGTCATCGCTAAGCGATGGTGGTCGCTCGGTATGGAGACCTGTCGTCTCTGCATCGTGTATCGCCTGCTCGACGCGGAAGAGCACTTCCATGAGCGCGGACACCTCTTGAAGGTACTGCTTTTGTGTCTTTGGGGCATTTTTGACGTCGCGGGCGTAATTGTAGCTGAGCTGGGCGATTTCCGTCGCGAGTTGCAGGACGGCTGCGATGTTGACTGCGACGCCCAGTGCTTCGGCCATTGTGGGGTGGGATTCTTCAGGCTCCCCCGCTTATTGTGTTGACAGATTTGTTGTTAGCGTTCAAGGTTGTTGGAAGAGAATATAGCGGCTCATTGAGGACCGAAGTCACTTCCTTATGAAATACTGTTTGATGTGCAAGCAGGCAGCCAATGTGGCCCCAGCCACAAGGGTCTTGATGATCCATCATTGGTGAAGGCGTAAGCTGCAGATTATTTTGAGACGCGTGAGGCTGTGTGGGCGCCATCTCAGCCGCTCACGTGAGGAAGGTGCGATCCTGCCTTCACTGCGGGGAGTGTTAACCACCCAGCTATGGTGTCGTGGGATATGTACTTGGATTATCAAAGGGCTTATAGGAAGTATCTAGGCTTTTATTCAGCTATGAAATTCCCCGTTGGGTGTCTAGGTCTATTGTAGATCCTTGACGATATATATTTCTCTGCGTCTTCGTTGATTAAAGTATCTGGATCACCTGGCAGCGGTTACCTTACAAGGAGAGGTGCGGAACAACAAGCTCGAATCCCTTCTGTCATACATGCAATTATTCAATTCATAGTCTAGTGCACTAGTACTGGGCCTTTTCTTACTCCGAGCTTGAAAATCACCTGCAGGTTGAATCCTGGGTTCTGCTCAATTAGAGACGACGATAATGATATAAGAATAAAACATTTCATTAGCCGCTCAGGCGAGAGCCTACAGGGAAAACAAAAACACATCATCTATAATGCAAGACCTAATATACAACCCCTACCCCTCCTTCTCCAACCTCACCCTCCACGCAACTGGCTCAACCCCCGTCACACGCCCCTCAGAGTCAAGCGCAAACACAAACTCCCCAAAGGCTCTATTCGCATACGTCTGGGTATCAAGCGTTAACCAATCATTAACATCATAGAGTCCCGTAAACAGCTTCGAGTTGTCACCCGGTCGAGACGGAGCGGCCGTCGGGGGCGTCGCGGCGCGGAAGGCGATCCTTTCGGGCGTAACGATTGCCGGGCGCAGACGGTATGGTTTCTTCTCTGCGCCTCCTAGGAGAGCTGGGAGGAGTGGGGAGAGGTCTGTGCCGTTGCTTATGAAGTTTGTAATCACGAGGCCGGGGACAGCGGGAGTTTTGGCTGATGCGAATGTGATTGTGGAGTTTAGGTTCGGGTCTGTGGATGTATATGTGCCCGCGTACTTGTCCTCGAGTTCGCTCGCAGCCTGCACGTTCAGAGCGGGAAGAATCGTATCGACGATCTCTTGAATGAGCGCGAGCGTCAGGGAACTCCGACTCGTCTTGGAACTCGCGGCAATAACACTAAACCCGACATCGAAATCCGGCAAAAACGCAGAGATACTACCGTAGTACCCGGAATCCCCAAGCTTCGTATAGATATCAGTCACAATCCCGCTCCTGGGTTCCGTGTACCGGTAGATCTCCCAGGGTGCGCCAGAGGAATAGTGCAAGCTTGCGCCGTGGACGAGGGGTTTCATCCAGCGACGTGTTTGGAGTGGCGAAAGGAGCGTGGAATTTAGGACGCCGATCCCGAATTTGTTCAGGTCGTTTAGTGTCGAGAAGATCCCGCCTGAGGGGGTTGAGAGGCCGTTATCCACGCCCCAGCTGGTGGCGGGGTCTCCGGCGACCACGAAGCGGGAGGATTCAGAGTCTGGTGGGATGGAGGAGTAAGATGAGGACATGTCCAGCGGGTCGAAAATGGCGTCTTGGTAGACCTCTTGCAGGGATTTCCCGGTGAGGTTTGCGATTGCGATGCCGAGGAGGGTGAGGCCGTTGTTCGAGTAGGCAGGGCTGGACCAGGGGAGGAAGATGGGTGGGTTGTGTGCGACGCCCTGCGTGTATTCCTCTGGGGTGCATGTACCCTCGAGGTTTGAGCAGCGCGATAAGTTCGAGGGATCGGTTAGGTCGACGTATGGAAGGCCGTATGTGGCGGGATCGTATGCTGGGTTCGTGTCGTTGGTGGCGAGTCCCACGGCGTAGGAGAGGAGGATGTCTTCAGTCCAGACCTGGCCGTAGTGGGAGACGCCTGCGAGATGGGCAGCGAGGACACTGGGCGTAATCGCATCCCATTGCGTGTCGTAAACTGGGTCGAGTGTGCCAGAGCTCTCGCGGAGAGATTCGGCTAGTGCAGGCGAGAGCTCAGAGAGAGGTCGCTCCCAGTCTGCGGGTTCTAGCTCAACAAGCCCAGCAAGGACAGTGATGAGCTTGGACACGCTAGCGACGCGGTAGATGCTATCTGCATCGACCCTGTTCGTGCCATTTGTTGCATTTCGGACCTCGTGAGATGTATAGTGGTACTGGAGGTCGGTGGCCCTGGAATCATGGGGCGAGAATAGGCCAATTGAAAAGGTGAGATCTTTGAATGCCGATAGAGTCGAGTTGGATCTGCTGTGTAGGCTTCGCTCCAATTTCGTCGTCAGGTTCTTCCAAGAAGCAGCAACGGCACTCTCACTGCTGCTAATGTCCTTCGGAGGCGGATATGTTGGCGCAAGGAAGTTGGCGAAAGCGCCAGGAAGGCATACCGATGCCAAAGCGAGAGAAGTGTGTACCCGCATCGTATATGTGCTGATAGCTGAAAGATTGATCATCCCATCTGAGCTGGAGAAGTCCTCCATCTTATAACCACCCAGCGAGGCAGTGACGAGTGCGGCGTCTGGAGATCCATGGCGACATGCAGAACTTGACCACGCCAACAGCCGATCGTTCCTGAGGCGCTGTTGTTCTTTTTGGCTCTGTCAGGCGCCCCTAAACCCTATGCGAGATAATCTCCGGCGCGGACCCGGGGCGGTGCTTGACATCAATGGCGTGGATCATCGGTTGCTGTGCTGGAAATTGACCTCATCGGCCTGTATCGTTCGCGCATTGCGACAATTTTATTGGACAGCGCTGGATAGAACCCAAAGTGGTTTGGTGTCGCGACAATCCATCTGGGCACGATGCCCCACAGCCGGCCAAGGCGCGGATATTTGTTCCCAAGGGCAGCAAGACCGGCTGAAATGGCCCCCACGTCGTCATCGAACGAGACCAGTCATTCGTGCTTGGTAGTTCACCACTTGGACTGCGTATACAAAAGGGTAGAAGATGGTGGCTAGTGGCAATTAGGGGCTGAGCAGTGCAAGCGTTTGGGAAAAGAAGATACATAGTAGAGTGAAACGTGGACCTTGATGGATTAAAAGGCCTCCATTCGCGGTTCGGAAATACTGTTCGTAGGCTGAGATCACGGTTCATGATCTTGAGAATCGAGATCCTACAAAATAGGTAGCGCAGCCAAGCTAATATAACAGGAGAACATATAGCCAGATGACATCACATCTGCCGCCGAGGCTGCCCAACCTGAAGGAGTCCACACCTGCCGATGCAATGGATTCCTTATTACGACCTCGAAGTTGCTCGTACTGACAGAATAATGTTGCCTATCTTAGGTGCTCTTGCTCAACAAAGCCACGTTTCGTAGTGACATGAACCATTAACTAAACAAGTGCCATCCCACACAAACTAAGCATCGCGTGCTGAGGAGTAGGGCTGCAGCATCGAGCCGTAGAGCGTGCAGGTTCTGTATATTGAAGGACCCTCTGATGCTGACGCCGAGCAGTTGACTTTAAAGTTCAAGGGTACATAAGACAACCTCGCTGTCTGCACGTATAGCATGAATACCGCGCTGCACAGTTTTACACCCTGCTAGCAGTGATACCATTTAGCTCGCGCCAACTCTATGCCAGGCTAATACCATTTCTGTTCTGAGCTGGAGAACTTGTACGGTCTTCGATGCTATTCTTAATAGTAACATACGAGTCAATATCGTCCCGCTGCTGCTAAAAGCCACCACGGGTACTGGTCGGGTCCACTCAACTTGACAATCTTACATGTTCTAACTACCTGTTTGATGGGATTATATCCCAATACGAGCGCACATTACTTGTCGTCGGCGCTTTAAGTGTATGTAACGTCTCCAGCAGTAGAATAATAGCTGCACGAGTTGCAGTTGGAGAGGGGTTTTGCTCCAGGTAGGAAAGCTCTTTGGGTAGCCTACCCAGGGGCAAGCTTAAGGCCGTATCCGCTAACGCGAGGCATATGATTGATTGCTGGACTAGGGTAGGGTATTTGCCGGGCTCCTTCCAACTCGTGGTGGCCTCGAAACCTTCCATCACCAGCAAAGACTGCCAACGCACCTTGTGTTTTCGCTACGCCAGTTCCATCGCGCGTGAAGCTGGCTTTTATTTTTCTTCAACCTTCCAGCCTGGAGTCTATGCAGATTTTCTACTCCAGGCACTCATCTGCAAATCGCGCTACTCAATACGGCTACGATACTTGTCATAGCAAAAAGGATTAACGAATGATGGATCATAACAGAACCAAAGCAACAGACGACTGGACAACAGGGACTCGAGAGTGATCCGTGTTATTAGTATAATCGTCGTTCTCGCTGGTGGGACGGGCTCTGGCTTACAATTCGAGTTTTGTATTGGACGACCCTTGACCAAGATGATCATCACCACGTCACGCGGAAATAAACGGCTTGCCATGCAAAATTGTCTAGATAAGACTCAAACCATTAGGCATGAGGTTAGTCCCCTCTTCGCTAGAAGACTTCCGTTGAATCCGAACACTTCTATGACTCATCTTCGATCGATACCGAAGGAACTTAAACTCAACCTGGACCATTGTTTTCAGAGATTTTGTCACTACGTTGGCCACCAGGGCGCTGAAGTTAAGAGCCTATCAAAGCGGCGAGTACTCATACGATACATTCTACTGCCATTTTCGGGGGCTTTAGAAAGCGGACTACCAGGTATAAAACATGATTTCACCATTGCTATTCCTGACGGGTAAACTAACCTTTTCTTTTTTCTTTCTTTCAATTTTGTTGACAATTTACTGGCTTACCAGTGCGCGAGATCAGCCATCTCCTCCATCACATAAACGCTGGTTGGGGCACCCGGACCGCGAACAGCCCAACCTGACGGCTCACCAAAATTGGAAGCCTGCGTCCATCGAAACCTTGTCAGCTCGGACTTACCAGGGCGCAGCTTCCGACACGCTCCAGACACCACGATGGACTTGACCCAGCGAGGATTGGGGTCGGCGTGGTAGCAGCACTCAAAGGTCAGTTTTTCCAGCGCAGGGAAGCCGGCCGCCTTCATCGGACCAAGGATATCGGTCCAAAGTTTATGGCAGACTGTATCGTGGAACTCGAGTCTCTTGAGAGACTTTCTCTGCGTGAGGAGGAAGCCAAGAGCCTCGTCGGTGCTCTCGTAGAATATGTCCGTCTTGACGAACTGGATTTCCTCCAGTTTCAGCGAGTCTCCATTAGCTGAGAGCTCCTGCAGAATAAAGTCTGGGAGGATACTCGTGCCTATCGTCAGCTGCTTGAGATTCTTTGCCGCCAGTATCATCTTGGTGGCCGGATGCCCAGCAGCACTGGGAGTACTCCCGGTGATTGTGAAGGATTTCAGGTTGGCCCATGCCTTTTTAAAACTCGCGTCGTCGACGAACTCACCAACATTGCAGCGTCCAAGATCTGTTCCGGAGCCCTCCCCAAGCCACCTGATACCGACATCGAACGAAATGACAGGGATCTGCAAGGCCTTGATAATGTGCAGGATCATTCGGCTGGCATCAGTTGTACCAAGAAGCTGGTTGTTTGGCCTCCTCAAATTCGGCAAATCCCCAGCAAGCCGGAAGAACCGAGAGTTAGGTAGCTGTCTGATCATGTCCTGCCACTTGGTGACGCTCTCTTGATCCAAGATAATCTGTCCATCAGCATCCCGCAGCCATTTACAATAATCCCCGAGCACCGGGAAGGTAGGATCCCTTCCGTACTCCTTGGCTCCGCCGGGCGCTGCCTCGAGGACGAGAGTCCTGATTCCCTGAGCGTACTCGGGATCCTGCACGCGCTTCTTCAGCCGCCTCAGCGATCCTGTTGAGAAATCAGTCCGGAAGGTCGAAAGATACTCGCGCCTGAAATGGTAGTCCGTGCATCGGGCGACATAGCTGCAGGTCCTCCGGAATGTGGAGAGTGTCCATCGATCCATATTGGTCGCAATCGCCCCGACAAGCTCGAGGGGGAGCTTCTCGAAGCGCTCTGCGGCCGGGGTAAGGAGGCCGAGTTGGGCCTTGAGGTAGTGTAGGACGCGCTGGCTCTCGGATGCAGACATGTTGAGTTCGTAGTTGAGACTTGTGAAATGTTGGTCAAGTGTTGATGGGACAGTATACGACCGAGGACACGCTTTTATACTTACAGACAGAAATTTAAGCCGGAGTGCAGCGAGAGACCACGACAAAGCGTCAATTAAAGGAGACCTAAGCGTTCTTTGATACCACCGACGAGTTTCAGGCCTCATTGTTGGATGCCACTCGAGGGCAATCAGACTATGTCTTTGTTATCCTTCGGTCGAGGACCCCCGCTGCACAAGATAAAGCCCACACTTAAAGATAGACAACTGATGTCCTCAAGAGACTCAAATTACTTGATACATCTCGAGCCAAGACAATGTGGTCACAAACAATCCGGCGGGTAGCGCGGTTTGTCTTCTGATACTCGCATTGTCTAAAAAAAAGCCAACCTGTCCTTCCCTCGAGTTGCATAACCTTCTATATACAAGACATGAGAGTAATAGTGAAGGGTAGAAAGATATTGGTCATGAACCATAACGAAAAATAAAACATTCAGGTAGAGTCCTAATCGTCTATGGGGGTTGTTAAACAAAGGTTGAAGGCATCAACGGGCGTGAGGGACTGAGATAAATGGAGTTGCATTAATGACGGTCCCGGTGACAAACGAACCAGCATATAGAGTACACCTGTATGGCAGGATTGGGGTTGGGTACATACACAGTCCTCCGATCACAATGTCCAAGCCGAACCATTTACGTGTCCTGATGTTTGGAGCACCGTGAGAACGAGAAGGACGATTGCACAGGCGATTACTGCGGGTTTAGAAGGGGTGTAGGTGCCGTGCGCGTTGTCTTGGGACGACATGTTGGCTGCCGCTTTGTTGACGGAAGTTCTCTGGGGGATGCCTTGCTGACATATATGGAAAGGTACCATCTCCTTTCCCTGCTACAGCCCTACAAGGATCCTGTCTATACCCCTGTGCCCGCCGTATCTCGTATTCCTTGCTGCGTGCGGGGCAGGTCCTCCTCTCCGGCCCGGGGCTTCGGGCAGCTATAGTACAAGAAAAGGAGCAGGAGCAGGGTCGCTCATTACGCCATGTCCCAGGCAGTGATATATATAGACCGTAGGGACATCTGACATGTCAATTCTGCACGTTGCAACACTCCATCGCCGTGATCCAACTTGCGCCAGGCTTATCGCCCAGCAGCTGGTTCGGCAAACCCTTGAATCGGCTCCGGCCCGAAGACCTCGACTCGGACCAGAACATGTCGAAAGAGTGGACGCACGGCTTCTGTGCCGTACCACCTTGAAGCCTTGGTATGCCTCACACTCTTTGGAGTTGGGATACGTATAGCTTATGCTGGCGAGTCTGCGAATCCTGCTTTTGCCCCTGTCTGGTCTTTGGTCGAACGCACGAGCGATCCAAAGGAAACGTCGAGCCAGAGTCTGTCAACCTTGCGGTACTTGTTGCGCCCCGTAACTAGGCGCAGGAGTGTGGCCGATGATCGAATAGTGCTTATGCTACACCGTTGGCTGCATTGCAGGCTTCTTCCCTCTCATCCTCTGCATTGAACGACGGCGTATCCGGAAACAATACAACATCCAAGGAGGCGTGTGTGGGGACTGCTGGGGTTCAGCGTGCTGCATGGGAACCGTACTAATCCAATCATAGCTCGAGACCATCGCAAGGACTCCAACTGCGCCTCCGCGGGCGTACCAGACTGTCGACGGGATGAGGTATGCGGCAGAGTGATACACGGACCTAGCGAGGCGGAAGCGTACCGAATTTTAGTAATCAAGGGGCCGGTTTTTAGGCAGTTTTGTTTTAAATTCTTGATTAAATAATTTCAACTGAGCCAGTATCTCGTACCCCGTACCCCGTATTTCGTTTCACTCGCCACCATGCCAGTGCAAGCTCGGCGGCGGCCACACACCAAATCTCGCCACGGCTGCGTGCGATGCAAGCAGAAGCACGTCAAGTGCGATGAAGTCCGGCCTACCTGCGGCACTTGCGTGAGGTATGAGGTCCCCTGTGCGTATCCGCTGAGCCAGCCGCGTGGGCCAGCGCAAGGGGTAGACGATGCCTCTCCGGAGACCATCGCGCCTTGCTCGACCTCAAACTCGACGTCGCCTGCGCCTGGGCCGAGACTGACTGGGACGGGGTCACTCTCCCCAGCGACGACAGCAAACCACCAGCCACGATCCACGCTTACACTCTGGGAGTTCGAGCTCCTGCACCACTGGATCATCAACGTCGCCGACTCCTTCGACATAAGCCCCGGCGTGCATCGGGCCTTTCGCGACCATGCTGTAACCGCCGCTACACGATTCGATTTCTTCATGCACATGATCCTCATCCTCTCGGCCCTGCATCTCGCGCTCACAAATCGCCCAAGTTCACCGAGAAACACCGCGAGCTGATTCTAAACGGATGCTCCGACGCAATGGCTGCCTTTCAATTGGAGGCCTCCAATATCACCGAGGACAACTGCGAGGAAATCCAAGCATTCCATAGCCTCGTCGCCATCTACGCGCTGGCCCTCGCGCAGTTCGACCGGAGCGACAAGAGCGCGAGCGAGGAAACCGTCGTCGACGAAATGGTGCAAATAATTGTCCTGATGAAAGCCAACCGCGTGATCAAGGATACCGCGCTCCCGATCGTCCGGGCGAAACAGACCAATCGCTGGGTAGTCGAGGAGGACATCTTTACCGATGCCGATGAGTATCCGGGGGATACGGAGCTCGTCAACGCCGCGGCGGCCCTGCAACCGTGGATCGATGCAGCAGAGGACGACGAGGTCGTTCGCGGGATCAACACTCGGGCGGCGGCCATGGTCAGTGAGTTGGTCTCCTATCGACTGCGGCGGAATTTCCGGCGCTTCGTCTGGGGGAATTTTGTGGACGATGAGTTTCTAGGGCTCCTGACTCAGCGCAATCCGATGGCGTTGGTGATTTTTGCGCATTACGCGGTGATTCTGGATCAGTCCAAGTCGCTGTGGTGGTGCGCGAATTGGGGGGTGCGCATCGTCTCCGCCGTGGCCTCGTGCCTGCCGGACAAGTTTATTCCTGCCATTGCGTTTCCTCTGCGCAGTGTGGGCTTACCTATATTATAACTAGTGTAAATTGTACGATAAACTCGATGATACCCAGTATATCTAATCCCCATGGAATGTGCTTGTCCGTGTTGCTTTTCCTGGTCTGCAAATGACCCCTAGACATCAAGCATTCGGCCCTTGACCCGTGCATAGGTATACACGAGAAACTAAGCGAGGCTGGTCGGGCGCACAAAGCTCGGCAATGTGAAACAGATGGATTCTTCCGCCGGCGACCCCTGGCAAGGCTGAACCAAACCTTGGAGGGTGGTCCCGGAGGCGCAGCAATGAAAACACGCTCTTATTGGACAACCACCACTTGTTGGTATACTCCACTCCGGCCCCGTAGCCGAGATACGGGATACGGGATATGGGATACGGCATACGGCAGGCATCTCAGCGCGGGGCAACCAACCTGATTTGGAGGTAAAAGCTTGTTCTCGGACCACGTCGAGTTCGGGGTCTGCCTTGCGTAGGGCGTTTGACTACGTTTTGAATATTTGGATGAACTTGCTCCTCTCTGGTGCCTGTAGATGGGCAAGTAACCAAAGCCCTACCTTTATTCTATCGGATGAAATGTTCAGATGCACCAACGCTGGCGATGTGGATAGTCCAAGAGCCCTAAACTCCCTATCAAGCGCCATTTAATGAGCATACAACCACCCGTAAAATCCCACCGTAAACAACGACCGATATCTAACCATCTAATCCGTCACCATCGCTGGTGAAGAGCCTCGAGAGCGCTGACAGGAACTCTCTATTCATCGCTAAACCCCTCGTGATTCAAGCTCTCTATATCCGTCTGCAGAACACATACGACCGTTAGCTCTATTACGCCGCAAGCCACCGAACGCCACCCCTAGAAGCCACTCACCCTAGTATCGGACCGCAGTCTCCCAGCCATCCGACCATGATGCAACCGCTGTAGATTCGTCTGCCTGACACCCCGCATATAGGCCGCTTGTTCTGGCGGTATGTTGCGTCGTAAGAGGTTCTCTTCCTGGCTAAATGGTTTCAGGACGGCAGCAAGTAGGGCGACGGACGCGAGACAGCCGAGGAGGATGAGAAAGACGATTAGGCCATAGCTGAGCGCCATTGTTGCTTTGTGAACGGGATTCGGGGAGGGTGGAAGTATCAAGTTTCGCAACGGTGTGTGGTCTGCCGCGGGAGCTGGCTATGTAGAGTAATTATGACTGGACGAACTTGGTGATTGTGGACGTGCTGTACCAGAAGCCTTATCTGGACTAAACAACAGGGCATCTGGCACCATTGCACAGCCGTGTTGCCAAGTGGTGATGAGAGAACCCATGGATCGCGCATCCATCTGCGGTTTGCTCCACAGTGTATTTGAGAGTTGCCAAGGTTGACGCCCAATGGCTTGGTATCTTCGCTCGAGACTGGCGGTGGCAGCTTCGGGTTTTGTGGGTGATTGCCAAGTACCTCGGCGAAGAGCGTCCCACGGGCTTCAAGGTCGCCGTATCTGCCTTACGCAGGAGAGCGGGCTTTATTCGTTGGAAAGAGATGGGATTGATAAGTCAAGGTCAGTTGGTGGCTACACTTGTGTCCTCAAAGCAAGATCAACATGTAACAGGAAAACTTCATTATACCCTCCCCAACGCCATAGCTAATCATCAAGTACTTCGCTAAAACATCATTTCAAAACCCATTCCCTGCCCACTAACGTCACTGTCGACTATCCGCCGACTTCTGCCTCTTCCTTCTGTCACACCGACTACACGGGCTCTCCAATCTCCCCCGCGACTCGTTATTATTGTCCAAGGAGTTCATCAGATATGTGACCTGCAAATCTCGACATAGCTCTTCGAGCTCACGGACACGCTGCTTGTAGCCGTCGAGCTCGGTTTGCATGTGGCGATGTCGCTGTTGGAGAAGCTCTAATTCGGTAATTTGAGCATGAAGCTCGATATCTCCTTCGCTGTATACTGAGGGTGCTGTTGTATATGTAGACTGTTGGGCTGCGACCTGATCTCTTGTTTTTGACCGCGACTTGCGAATGTGTAAGCGGCGGCGTATCTCGGAGCCGAGTTCTAATGCTGGGCGCATTTTGGGCGCTGAAGATTTCGATTTGGAAGCTATCTGCGTACTGCAAACAGCTACTGACTCTCTATAGCAATTAGTATCGCATGCAATATGTGCAAAACGTCGAGAGCGAACCTTTGGTCGTCTTGGATCAAGACCTGATATACTGGTATGAATCCCGGTGGATGTGGGTATTCGTTGGATGTGTGGCACAGTCAGACTTCAACAGTGATTTATTTCAACCATCAAGATAGGATCTTGAAGCATATATACGACTCAGCTTGTTGTTCCCATAACCCAAACCTCGCCATTTTGGCGGCCTAGACCACGAGTTCAGCTCGACAGAGTAGGGCAGTGCACGCGCCAAGCACTGTGGCCAAGCCACGCGTATCCCATACATTCGCCAGGCACACCACGTTTTCAGCGCGGTGATTCGTGAACCCTGATCGGCGGCTGCGACATTTCCGTCTGTCCAACAAACACCCCTATTTTATCAGTCGGTTGTGGAAGCTTGGCTTCTTGGTTCGGAGATATGCTTCGGGTGATTTTTTCGCTCAGGGCACAATTCCGGGTTCGGGTGGGGAAATCCCGAGCTAAGCCTCGTTTTTGCATTGAGACGGTCGCTTATTCTTGGAGTATTGTCATAAATCCTACGCTCAGAAGCGGCTTTGACTCGTTGCTCACAGTTAAATCCCTTGGACCAACCGGTCTTCCACACAGGCAGGGAGCGGAATACGACTAAGGTGACCCTGTGTACCTGTACTTGCCAGCGCCCGGTCGGAAGATTGATCCTGTAACCCTCGTCTTCAAGCTGGCCCGACAAGCACTTGGCGAGGAAAATAGCAAACCCCGGAGAATCTAGATGTACATCCCTCCTACAAGTGTACAGATTACACCTCAGCGTCACATTCGAACTGGATCTGAGGGACGACGAGAACCGAAGTTGATATCCTGGTGCCTAGCCGGAACCCGAGGCGCGAGGGCGCAAGCCACCCGCTGGGCCCGGATGTGGCGAGTGCCGAGGTGAAATATGTATATAAGCAGGGTGTGGTATGAAATGTGTCGAACTTGTCAAGAAGCGCTATGAAAGCTGTCGGTGGCTTGGACTGAAAAATGTAACCTGGCTTGAAGCGCAGTACGGTCGTCTCGTCGAAGAGAGTGCTTGCTCGCTGGGCGTAGGTACTAAGTTGACGGACTCAGCCCTAGTTAACCCAAAACAGGCCAAGTATCCGCCTAGCCTGCCGAGATTTGAGCCTGCATGTAGCTCCCATCTCATTTCAGACGACTAGATGTGATGGAGCTGGTAAGAACAAGATCAATTCCTCCTCCATTAAGGATAGGCGATGGTGTATACGGGGCTGTATGGGAAAGTTTCAGGGGCGGTTTTACCCAGTCAGGGTGTTGATACATTTGTTTGGTGCCTTTTATACATACTGGATTGACAATCCGTGGACTCGTAAAGTTTCACTAACAAACATTGCCAAATGTTCTGAGCGAATCAAAATAGTAAGTATATACATATGTGCGAACAACAAGTGTATCCACAACTTTAGAACCAGTTGCCACTCTATAGACAGCCAAATGTATGACATCAGAAACAAATATATATACAAACTAGCAAGTAAAGCCCTGCACAAAGGATCTAACAACGGGATTCTTCTCAATCCCAGGGAAACGCAGCCGCGTGCGAGACGGCCAGCACTGCATATCCCGAATCGTGATATCCTCGAGGGCCTTGTTGTTGTCGCGCAACGAGTCGAGGACAGGCACAAAGGATCCCTCAAAGACGGACAACGGACCGAGAACCAGCTTACGCAGCGATCCATTCTGCGACGCGAGGAACTGGGTAAAGTGCCGTGTCGCGTTTACAGGGGCCCTCTGCCGCCGATCAAAGACGCTCCGCGAGTACTCAAACTCACGCAGGTGGAAGCGCAGAGGCTCGTCGCGCGCGAGGTGCGCCAGCGCGGCCATGAACGGCTCAGCCTCCTGGTCCCAACAGTTCCGGACAATGAGTTTCTGCAGCGCCGCTGTGTGCGGGAGCATGGTTGCGAAGATGCTCTCCTCTCCGCGCATCGCACCGCTCACGCATAGCGAGCGGATACTCGCGCACGCCTGCTTGAATCCGGGTAACTTGACCATCTCAAAGGCGGAGAGGCGTTTGGGGTCGACGCCGCTGACCTCCCGCTGGGCACCCTCGAGGCGGCTGAATTTCACGAACAGGGATTTCTGCGGGGATGCCGGAGCCCGCGAGGATGTAGAGGAGGACCACGAGGGCGTCTGTGCCCGTTAGCTTGTTGGTCGGTCTGTGAGCCTCGGAGGCCGCGTGGAAGATGAAGGAGCGGCAGTTGACGAGTTTCGAAAAGACCGCTTGCCACTGCTTGACTGCGTCCTGGTCATATCGAAGCATTTCAGGAAATGCTCCCGAATCGCGTTTCCAGGTGAACCCTTTGCCGAATTCGGTCCGGCGGGGCTCCTGAATAAGCAAGGTCTCGACCTTGAGCATGAGCTCGCGATGTTTGCAGAGTTTCTCTAGCCTTTTTAGCGAGCGTTTCGAAAAGTCCGTGCGGATTGTTTGGACAGAGTAGGTGTGCTGCCAGTGGTATTGGGTGGAGTTGAAGATGTAGCAGCATGTTGCGCGTAGACGGGATAGCGCTCTGCGCTCAGTGAACGTTGCAATGATATGGATGACTTCTGGCGGGAGGGTGTCGAAGCGTCCGGCGCCTCGGCCTTTGTTCCGTCGATGAAGCTTGATGCGTTTGGTTATATACCGGACGTACTCTTGGCCCTTGTCGAATTTTCTCTTGAGTGAAGGCATGGTATGAGCGAGGAGGTGCGTTGTTACTGAGAAACTTTGTACGCTCGAAGTATGATAGTAGAGATTTAAAGCAGAGAATCAAGCAATCGTTAACTTATGATATTTGGGGGAGAGGAAGTATACATATGGGAGTGAATTACCCAAACGAGAGAATATGAGTCTCACCGCGAGATGCTCTGAGGACCAAAGAAGGTGGGCTGTGGTGGAGGAATAAAGACATGTTGAAACCCGTTTCAACTCACATAAACACAACGAACTCGGTTCCTCGAGCCATACTCTTTCTTTTGTTCTCCCTTGACGTCCCCGCCCATTCTTTGTTAGAGCCACCCTTTTACTGCCTCCTACTCCATCGAGCCTTTCAAGCAGCGTTGTTTGTATATCTTCAATCAACTCCCAACTGCTATTTTTGGACGTTTCTAGGACTTCAAATTGTATTGGATGTTTCTGAGCAGTAGACGATACCGTGATCTTATCTGGACCGGGCAATACTGCATACGCAGAAACGGGCCCGATAGAAAGGACGATGAAGGGCCCCCATGCAGGAATGAGTTGAATAAAAATGACTATTTTAATAAGTTCGGGTAAATGTCATTATTATGGCAGTCGGTCATTATTATTACTAAACATACTAGAAGGCCGTAGAAAGGCAAGTTGACCTCTAGAACCCCGAGCTAGGAAAACCTTTGCTTTGAATTACCAATGCAAACCACACCAAGGTTTTATTCTAAACCACTGTTCCCCTTGTCCCAGCATTTGACGTTCTTGGAGATTTTCTGCCGATCAGTGCGCCCATCATGATCTGGAGACGGCTGGTAGCCCTAGGCTTTTAGCATCAGGTATGCCAAGTCGAATACTCATTCAACAAAACAGTGCTAAACCACACAGAAATCACAGCCGAAGTCTGCCTGAGCATCGACTCCCCCCGAGTCGCCAGCCAAGATGACCTGGACACCATTGCCCAGTCCTGCACGTCTATCGATGGGGATTTCTATATCAGCCACAATTACACTGGGTCTTTTGTTCTCAACAACGTCACCAACATCACCGGAGTAGTTAAGGAAACTGATTATCTCTACGGCCGAGCCCTGCAACCCACTCACATCGTTCGACCTAATCGATCTCGAGCACGTCTCTACCCTTTCCGTGCATTTCGTACCCTCACTGGAGAAATGGTCGCTGCCTAAACTGTCATATGTCAATGAACTCTACGTGACAATTCTCTCCGAGTTAGACAAACTCGAGTTCCCAGCCCTCACCGAGTTCGGGACAGCGCAGATACGTGGAAATGTATCCAAGTACGGAGTCTAAGGCTCCTCGCTGGTAATCTGGTGTCTAACAACTTTAGTATCTCCTTCGACCCTCAAGACTGTCCGGTTCCGCCTTTCCATTGGTAACCAGTCTAGCGTGGACGGTACGACAGAACAAACGCAAACCTCCCTGGACATCTCCCTGCCAGCCCTAGAGAAAATATCACCACGCTGGATGTGTGTGGAAAGGTCTCACGCATCAACGTCCCCGAGCTCGCCTATGTGCCCTTTAATCCGATCCTCATGGGGCGCGAATCATTGGAGTTTGATCTAGTCGACGACCACCCGATCTCACTTGACATCCCGATAGACGGCGGCTTGAAAATTTCCGGAGCTGTTACCTCGTTAGTCTCTCTGATTTGTCTCCTCCCTCTACTCGGTAATACTGACTAGAGTGTATACAGTGTATCCCTCCCTTCTCTCCGCAAATTCCAAGCTGCACTTGGGACACCGAGAACAACGGGGCGAATCAGGTCCGCGGATGGATTGCAATCTATCCAACCGCGAAATTGTCGCTTGATCTCCCGATTGAGACCTTGGATTGGTTGGTTATCCATATTGGGGAATATATCAAGGTGCTTTGCTCGCTTTCCTGTCTCTGCCTTCTGTTTTTCTCTCCCCATCTCCCTCTGTCCCTCGCTACTTTTGTCTCCTCTCTGCCTCTCGTGCATCCCGAGCTTCCCTTGATTAGAAACAATTCCGCGCATGAGTCAATCTAACACCATCGATTATTACTAAAGTGCCCACCTCCCCAACCTGAAAAACCGGGATTATCTCTACGTCGACTCCCTAGCCCCCTTTAACTGCACCGCCTTCGACGCCCAGTTCAACGCCACAAAGGCGCGGCTCGACGCCAATGAATTCGACCGGGATGTCACCTGTACCTCGTTGCCTCTACCCGAGACCAGCGCCCATGTAGTTTATCTGCCGGGATTCGTGAGCATGGCGGTTTTTGCCATTGCGGTTCTCGGCGCGGGTGTGGGATTGTTTTGATAGAGGGGGAAACTTACTTGTGTTTTTGGGTTTGTTAGAGGTACTTTTTTTTATCATTATGTTCTTGAGACACTCGATGGATTCAGTTTTTGCCTTTGCCTTTGCCTTTGTATGAAATGATAATAAAATAAGATAGATACATGGGTCCTTTGATGGACCGGAGGCTCTCCGAGGTATATTTGCTGCACGCCGCCTTAAGGAAGAGGTTCCGGGGCGACACTTACTTGAATCCTATTATTATTTCTTTCACTACTCCGTACTAACCAGCAGGTGTGAAGACTTTGAAGCTGATTATCAGGCATGTAAGCCTTCTGATAAATTCATCGAGCACATTCCAACCCCACAGGTCATGGTTGATCTAGTAATTAACAAGTTAATAGAGTGTGCCATCACCCTCTGAAACCAGCAACATCCGGATCAGACAGGAAGGAGGCCCAGGTTGTAGCTTTCAGGACAGTAGGGTTACCTACCTAGTAGTGCCGAGTACTTGGGTACCTAAGCTTCCCCGACTACTGTGATCGGACTAGCGGATCTGCACAGCCCTCTGAGCGTAGGCGTATTCTCCAGGCACAGCCACCCCTACTCAAACATATAACTACAAGTCAAATCCGCTTGTCAGGATTTCTCGGGAGAGAAGCAATATTTCAAGAACCGCTTATGCATCAACCTGTATCCTTCCAATCCCTCCCCAATGAACTGCAATGCGCCATAATCCGCTACCTCGACCCCATAGCCCTCATCTCAACAAGCCAAACGAACAAACACTTTCGAACCCTCATCAACCCTAGAAAGATTCAATTCACTGAGCGGCTGCTGGCGTTAGAATGTATTGAGGAAATCGGAGGACCAGAGATTAGTTTCTCGCGCTTTGGAACTCTCACGCCCGACCGAACATCACGGGAATGGGGATTGAATCGCTGGGCATGCACGGCGTGTCTTCGTCTCTTGCCATATCAATGCTTCACAAATAAGGCAATCTCACAACTCGCCTATCGAAAACCGATTCGTGGCTCCCCCGCGGCGCGGAAATGTACGTCGTGGGAACCAACGCATCCACGGATTCCCAGGACCAAGTCCGCGCCACAACATACCCATAAAGAGATCAGGGACGAGGAAGAGCAAGGAGAAGAATCCTTCGCCTTCCGAGCCCGCTACGCAATCACCACAACACAAAACTGGGGCGCCCACCGCATCTGGGATAGCCACAGCGACGACGCATTCCAGCTGCTAACCGCGCGACAGATCCATTTCCAGGATGCCGGACTCGTCGAGTTCCAGGATATGGATGTCCACGCATTCACATCACTAACGGAAGCTGAAGAGAATACGATTCTCGACCGCGAGGCGCGCGCCGTCGAAATGCTGCGCGCGGGGCATAATCGGCATCAGCGGCGGTGTCTCGAGTGCCGCTTTCGCCGCGGGGAGTTCCGGGGGTGTTCAGGAGCGGGCAGAGGGGTTGGAACACCGAAGGTGCCCATCGTCACCGGGAGACAGGAGTGGTTTGGGACGGTTGTTGACCGGTATTTCCCGGGTGTGTCGGATGCCCTTGATATCGAGCGACCGCCGTTCAACGCACCGGTCTTTGTGATTCATAGGGAGAACGCCGTGGAGAGGCCCTGGACATTATATCGCGTTCGATGTCCAGGGTGTACGCGGTGGCAAGAACTACGCGCGTTTCGCTTCGGCGGGATATATCCGCGATGGGAGCCGCGAGCAATGCCGCTACTACGGGGTCATGCGGACTGGTACTACAACTGGGATGGGACACCAGTCAAGGTTGAAGTCCTCAGAAACCTTCGATGTAACCATTGTTTTGTCGCGGAACACGACCGGGAGTCTCTCGGGGAGGGACTGGTAAAGTGGCTGACCAGCCTGATCGACGACCAACTCATTGAGGTCACGAATAATCTCCGAGCCGGATTCAACCATCTCATCTGTCGATTCGGGCGCACCTCCAAGGCAGATAAAGCGGAAACTAAGCGGCTCGTGTGGGATCTTCGGCCTCTTCTGAACAAAAATTCATTGGATGTGACGAGGATGGATGTTGCGCTGCTACGGCTGCGGCGAATACAGTGGTTGGACTTGTTTCCGGGAGTCAAGGATGGAGAAGACGAGGGACATGGGTTGTGGTTTGAGCCTGATCATTTCTTCTGGCAGTGGCTGGAGCTCTATGAGGAGAGCGAGGCGATCTGGTTCTGGTTGAAAGGGTTAAGGGATGAGATCCAGGAGGACGACAAAGCTGAGCGACTTGTGGACTGGGCGTTAGCTAGAGATGAGTTGCTTCATTCATAGACTTGGTCTTCCTTGGAACCCTTGTTTCAGTGCATCCAACTCCAAAACTAGACTACAGGGAGTTATTGAACAAGAGCCACATATCACATCGGACCGGGGGCGGGAAAGAGCGGTTGAGCGGGCCGCTCGATGCCACCATAACCATGGTCTCGCCCCCGTCGATCATGAGCAGCTGCGTAAGCACACTCGGCCGTCCACAGTCATTGACAAAATCATCCGTCAATTGCCGTGCCGGTGACTGACCGAAGATTTGGAGGCCGGATGAGAACCGACATATCGATTGCGGAGTATCCCCTCTATGCGTTTTAAAGGGCACCCATTCCTCATCATGGTAGCACTCGCCTTCGTCGGTTCTTCCTTTGCAGTTGTTCAATTGCTTCTGCCCATTCGGAACTTCAGTAGGACTTGAATATATCCTAGAATGCCCGCAGTCTATCCATTGCGGTTTGGTCTGGTTCTTTATTCCTTATGAGCTGATGCTATATGCTCACAGGTGAACCGTGCCAAAGACTTTGCTTGGATCACTTGATTTCCCAGCCCCAAGGCTGGTAACGTGGAGAGTCTCCTAAGGACTTATTTTTACTCTGTCTTCCTTATTGTCTAATCTGGATGACCCCCCACTGGCTATTAAAGATTCACGATGCCACTTTTATAGAAGCAATGGTATCCTAAGCACTGGCGTGAGTTGTAAACAGCTGCACGGGAATCTATTCATTTTACGGTAAATGAACCACTACGCCCGTCCATCTGTAACTGTAGGATGGCTTCACCCCCATCTCAAGAATTCGCACGCTCCATATGACACTTGAAGCCGCTCCAAAAAAAACAAGGCCATCAAAGTCCTACCTATTATCGGCACAAGAGAAAGCCGAATGCGCATTCTTCGCGCTAAGCGAGATCCCCTGGCCGGCCGCCCAAAGCCCTATTCCACACTGCGCGTAATCAATTAACTGATCATCACCAGCGGAGTCAGGAAGCGAGGCGAAAGGAAAACTCACCATCAAGCAGCAGAGAAGAATCAAAAACACATTCAACCCGGCAAGGGCCACCTTCCTCGCCGACCTCGCGCTCGACAACTCCCCCCAGTTCAAATGCATCCAAAACAACCCTTCCAGTCCAAATGAGAACCAGCTCCCAAACGCCGCGGCGAGGAGGGTGAGCAGGTCATTGAACACGGGAATCGCATTCGCAACGATCCACGCAATCGTCCACGAGATCAGCACGATGACCACCCACGTTCCGTACGAGACCAGCGAGCGCTCGTTCATCCGGCCCGTGCCCCGGAATAGCCGCACGTAGATGGTTTTGGCGCCGACGTGGGCGATGATCACGCCGGAAATCACGATCGTCCCGATCGCGATACCGAATGCCACCTTGGAGACCGTATCGCTTGTACTCAGCAGCGCGGGACTCTTGACGGCCGCACCGGCGTACCGGTAGATAACGACCGCAGTAATCAGGTAGATGGTTGTGTTTGTAACCTGGAGGGTGACGAGGGCCTTTGTGAAATCCTTGGGCTCTGCGAGCTCGGACTGGAAGCTGAAGAAGGCGAGGTGGCCGCCGTACGCAGTGATGATGTTTAGGGCGGCCGAGGTGGCGGACAGCAGTGGGGGGTGGCGGATTGCGTGGGCTGTTGGGTCCGGGGCTTGGATGCCGATTGCGATTACTGTGATTAGGACGGCGATGAAGATAGATAGGGAGGCTGGTCTCAGTTAGCATGTATAGGTAGGTCAAATTTCTGGGATTGTCCTAACATAGTATGCCAAGATAGGAAACCTCCTGTAGCCGTCTCGACAGAGTCAGGACAAAGGACAAGACGGCACCAACAAGGCAGAAGAGGATGGTGCAAGCAGCGTGGTCAGTGAGAGTATTCATCATGATTGAAAACGTCAGGATGTGAGCGCCCATCAGGAAGATGAAGAAGATGATCTGCGCGACAGTGACGATTTCGCGGCCCCAGGCGCCAAACAGGATCTCTGCTGCGTCGGACATGTTGTGGATGTGAGGATAGCGTAGCTTGAATTGTCCCAGTATGTACCCAGTGTACGTGGTCAGGACTCCGAGGCCGATAATAAGGATACAGCCACTAGAGGCGTCAGCGGGTTTGTATGGTGGTGGGCAGTCTTAGATAAACGGACGGAACAAATCCCAATGTCGCCATCGACGATGGTAGGGAAAGGACTCCCAATGAAATCGACTGGGCAATCATCACTGGCGGTGTCAGTTGTTATCGAATATGTGATTTATCAATGCGTACATATAGCACAGTGCCTAGGTCTATTCATCAGTATCCACGCATGCACCAGGTAGAGAGAACTCACCACCACTTCATACTCCGATACTGAACCTGAGTCCCCTCTTCGCCCATGAATGGATCCTGTGGACCCGCCGATGGTAGTCCATTCTTTATGGGCTCATCGTCTATATGGCTGCGATGGTGGCCCTGATACTCCGTGCGAGATTCACATATCGACGATCTCTCCACCATCTCTTCGTGATTGGTCTTTTTATCCGGAGAAGACATGTCTGCAAGATGAAAGTAGAGGTCCGAGCCTTGGAAGCTCAAGATGGGAGTAAGAGTGAGAAAATATTGGGAATCCCCAGCTCCTCCCAGCTACCAGACGGCGATTTATAAGAAAAACCGGCCTGCTCCAATTTTCCCCGTGCCCCAGACATGCTAACCCCATACTGCTCTCCACGCCTCCACACGTACCTCCCAAAGCCCCAGCATCCATGGGAGTGCCTAGGTAGCTGACACTGGATTTTGACGAGCCAATTATAAGAATCTCGTTGTCAGAGAGCGAACAACTAGCGATTTAAAGGCGCAAAGTGGGCCAAATACGAGACGTAAACATCCGGCTACCTGGGCGAAGGGAGCACACATCAAATAGGATACCGTGAATTGAATGTCATTGGATCAATCTCTAGCCTGAGCACCATGACTTGGAACTATCAGTAAATGCCATAGTAGGACATCAAAAGGGAGACAGGGCTGGACATGCAATTTTTATTGTCGCCAGTAGACATGGGACAACTGCTGGGGCGGAAAGCACCGGGACTGCCCGGTTGGAACCGGATATCTGACACCTGGTTCCTGGATTGTTGCATGAGGCTCCACTATACGAATTGCAGTTACCTAATAATATGAGATCTAGCCCAGGTACGTACTGTGGGAGGAATGCTTGCTCGAACGAGAGCAGCTTTGTTCGCAATTGTCAACGAGCTCATTATCTCGAGCCGGGGTCATTATCCAACCTAGAATTCATCCTTAACCGCAGAAAGCCAACCTACCCTTGGGGATCTGTGGCCCAGAGTCTCGGTCACGAAGGGTAGATCTCAATTGGCGTTGGCAGTTGACCGAGGTTCCGGAAGAAGATCCACGAAACTTGAAACGTGAATAGGGACAGGAACCTCGCCACAAATGCTGACCACAGTTTCCTGTCACTATCGGCTGGGGGTTCGAGATGGATTTGAGCAAGGGCAAAAGCGAAAGCTGATAGAGAAATCACAAAGCCTGGTGGGCAGTTCATGAAATTCTCAGATAAACCCCCAAACTGTCGTCTAAAGATAATATAGACATGTTTGTTGATCCGGAACGCAGTAGCATTCGAGGAAGCATATAGTTGGGTTCAATAAAGAATGGCACAAAGCCTGATTGAAAAAGAGCGTCAAGACTAACAAGTCATAAAATCGCCGCAGGAAAAGACAGACAGTAACAGGAATCCGGCCGGTGTCCAAATCACATATTAATCATCAGCATCATGGTGCATATCAAGCCCACATCCACTCTCACAGCATCCCAGTCCCAGTCAGTACTTCATCCTCCTAATAACGCCACGCACTTACTGCAGGAGGAAGGCCCCTCCAACAACAACCATAACCCACATGGCCATGGCACTATCCTTAACCGAGACCAAGCCAGCCGTATCCTCGTGCGGGTCATCACCGAAGAAATCGTCCTCCGAGACAGGGCTGGGCGCACCAGTGGCAGTAGGAGGAGGCTGCGTAAAAGTCGTCGTCGCAGTGAAGGTCGAGACGCCCGCACTCGTAGTCGAGGTCAAAGTAGAAGACGAAGGAGGGATGACCGAGCTGGTAGACTGCGAAGTAGTAGTAGAAACGGGAACGGGGACAACGGGGCAGCCGTGCCAGTCATCATCATTGTCATGGTCATCCCAGTCATCGTGGCAGTCATCATCCCATTGGTCGTCGTGGTCATCATGGTCATCGTCCCAGTCATCATCATCATTATCAACATGGCCCGGCACGGGTGGGGTAGTCGGGACAGGAACAACCGTCGCAGGGGTAGTAGTTTGCGAGACGGCCGCAGTGGTGATCGTGGTAGTAACGACGGGAGGACGGGGTCCGTCGTCCCAGTCATCGTCGTGATTGTCGTGGTCATCCCAGTCGTCATCATGGTCATCATGGTCATCATCCCATCCATCGTTGTCGTCACGGACACAGAGAACACTGCCAGGAGCGCAGGCCTCGCGACGGAGAAGACTGCCGACGGTAGAAGGTTTGGCGACTCCCGCGTTTGCGGGCACGAGGCACAGGCCGGAAATGGCCAGGACCTTGAGGGAATGGAAGAGCATCTTCAAGCGAGCGTCGAGGTAATCAAACGACTGAAAGTGTAGAAATGGATTGTCTGTTAATAAGGAGGAGTTATCTGTCGAGGGGTTCACCGCGAATTTATAGTCTTTTGTCGGCAGTCTCGGTTCGTCGCTTCGGTGCTCGTCGACTTGCTTCGACATGAAACTACAGTACGGTAAATAAGGCATTCCCACTCTATCACATCGCCAAGTGCTTCGCCTCATCGTTCTATCTTTTGGCGAGAGGCATGAGATACGAGAACCAAGGGACTTGGAAGAGTGCTGAGCTGGACCCTTTACAATGTGTGTCGGGCTCTCGCTACTTCACTCCAGCCAAGCCAGAAGGAATAAAACGCCACACAACTGGGCTTATGGAGCACGTGCGAACATTATTGTCGTGGAGTGGGTAGATCAAGGGTGATTACTGTGGCTGTATGTGCTGGGCGATGGCCAAACAAAGCACATATACTGCTAGAACCAGGTGTCAGGTGCCTGTCACCTCTAATGTTCAACGAGCCTTGAACATATTCACGTTGCTATGGGCTTCTAACCGAAGGAGCAGTCCGAACCGGACCTTATTCGACAAGTTTCAATTAATCTAGCTGCCTATATTACACAGCCCCCGACCCTGCAGCTCATCAGAACCCTAAGTGCGATGCCGAGTAATAAAGTAGCGGCAAAGTCGAATGAGGTCGCTCACTAAATATAACTCTAATTCCAAGATCTTGGCGAGCAGCTACAGATGTGTTCACAGTCCCTGCGGGATCAATCTCGGCGTTTCGCGATGCGGATGCCAGCCACCAACTCATGACGCTGCAGGTTTGTTCAGGTAGTTGCTTTGCTGCCTAATAAGGATTCTATTCCTGTGTGCTGAGCAGAGAATACTGACTTGTGCGCTTTTCTAGCCCGTGTCCAAGCACATCAAGCTAGGGTAGACTGGAAGCTTGGCCAGGCAGCAAAATTGATTCCGCAGATTGCTGCGCTACGGAAAAGACCCTGAGGGGGCTAAATGTTGGGGAATAATGATTATTCATATCCGCCGCCAGAAATAACACAAGTCCTCAACTGCAGGGGGCGGGAATAGTGGTGAGTTCTCTAGAGCTAGAACACTGTTTACTAGTAGCAGCACGGGCACGCCCATACAGTATACAGTATAGAACGATAGTACTGCTAACTGTTGAAAAAAACCTTGTTCCAAGGCCCATCATCGGCCTGTCTCGTACTGTACGCGCAGAATACTAGTCACGTGTGTCCATATATCCATGCGTCTCTCTCTCTGGCTACACATGTATATATGTGTATCTCGACTGCTACGTACATGCAAAGTTGTGGGAAGGACGTTGGATCCTATTTTTCTTGCAGGTATATAACTCATCGCGGAATTGGACCATCCACATTCACTTACCAAAAAGTCGAAAATGGGAGTGTGGCTCATCATTCTCCATGCCCAGACGTACCTGGGTCGCTCCCCCCGGTTCATCGTCGTGTGATACCCGAGCTTGACAGAGAACATGTGACGCAACAACCGCCTAATTTGTTGTAAACCGTTTTTGTTGTCACCACCCTTTCTTCGACCAGAGGAATATGAAACCATCCGTGCAGAGTGTATAGTGATCTCACGCGCATCGAACCTGGCAGGTGGGAATTGCCCCCTGCATAGCCATCTCATCTCACTGAACCTGCCCTAGCCCGCAAGAGTCCGATCCTGTCGAAATGCGGTCAACTGGAACCCCCAGGCTGTCACCGGAATACGAGCAGCGAGCAACAACCACCAAGCGGCCCAAAACCGCAAATTCAATCTTCAACTTCAACGAATAGACGAATCCCTTGAGCGGGATCTGCACGTCGCGATTGCCCGAGAACTGCACGCCAAGAAGAATTACATCCATGGCAATAATAAGCGCGTTGATGGCCAGCAGCTGGTAGATTATCTTGCGCTTCGCAGTGTTTGTGAAGATGGCCAGCAGCCGGAAGACCTGCACCGTATATATGCTCGATATGACCGTCTCCTGCGCGGAGAATATGGCCAGTTGGATGTCCTCCCATATGCGGTAGGTTTTCGTGGCGATAGACTGCGAGCCGGGGCCGTTGCCCAGAATCGCGAGGACGATGGTCGGCGGACTGAGGGTGACTGCGTTGAACACAATGAGGATCAGGATCGAGAGAAGAGCGCGCCGGCTCTGAAGTAGAATATGCAGCCTCGACCAGAGGACGACTGCCTGTCCGTTGATGAAGGCGCACCAGCCCAGCACAGCCAAGGATACTGGGGCGATGTGGCCGGGATCGTCCTTGTAAAAGTAGACCACATTGCCGACGGTGGACAGGATCAGGCCGCACGCAGTGGCGAGTAGGGACCAGAAGTAGCAGCCCGAGTAGCGCTTGAAGGTGACGAAGATGAGAATCACCACCTCGGCAGCATTATAAAATGTGAGTGCGTAAAACGCCGCAAAGAGGTACTGGAGAGAGGGCGAGGTGGTGCTCACGTGGCTGGTAAACATGGCGTCGCCAGTCACATGGCGGAAACAGTCAATGGGGACTCGATGGAGACAACCCCCACTCCGTCACGAAGGAGAAGGGGTGGATATTTAACAACAAATGATTTCGGCTCCAGCTTCCCCGCCTTCTCTCGTAGCACATGCCTTTAGCCGGTTCAAGGGTAAGTTCCTCTAGGATCAGCCGGTGCTAGCCTTCTCCGCTTACTATTATGGTTCCTCGTACAAGGCCCCTGTTCAGCAGGGGTTCGAATAAGGGACGATGTTATACCAGTATTTCGGGCTAATTCCACAGAAGCGGACCCCATGATCGAGGCCTGCGACTTCTAGATCATCCACCTCCCCCAAAAAAACGGCAAGCAGGGTTTTCGACGAGCTACAAGCGGCGTTCGCTGGTGCAGTGGCTGGGAGTTTCGGTTTTAGCCAGATGGACCCCTTTCCCAGTCCAGTAGCAGACGCTAATCGCTCACTCAGTTGCTCTAGACTCGGCTAGAAGCTCTCGGGAAAGCGGCAAGGGTATGGAGTAGTGTGGAGAGGAATTTCACTCATCATCTGGGCTGCTTACTCCAACGTGGGGGCCGTGACGGATTCAGTAAAACTAATGATGTTCCAGGTCCCGAATTTCTGACAACGCGCACTAGGGTGGAACTAGGCGATATTCAGAAAGAAAAAGCACACCACTACGAGAGTAGAAAAGAAACGCCAAGCGGATCTACAACTCGCCCTGTCTAGCAGCTGGCTTGGCCAAGTGAACCAACAACCCGCATTGGCACTTGAGAGCTGCCTACAGTAACTCTGACTAAACAACTTGGGAATAAGCCGATCCCATACAAGACAAGACGTACGCCTACAAGTAAACAAATAACACAAAATAAGGAAACGCAGCACTTTCGCCTCTAACCCAAAACAACGAACAACCCAAGCCCTAAACATCAAGCGTCTATCGAAAACTACATCGCCTCGCCTGCCATCCCACTCGCCACAGGCGTCCAGCGATAAGCAGACAGCATCTCCCTCCATCGCGCCCTATGCTCTCCGTGAGAAAATGTATCTTCATCTGGGTGTCGGCTTCGATGGAGCATGGAGCGGAGAACCTTGCGCACGTTCTTCTACGGGGTGTGTTAGATGGGACAAAAAGAAACAGTTGGGAGAGATGGATCACGGCGTACCTGTAGAGTGCAGTCAAGGGTCATAATGCTGACTTCGTGGGCGCGAATAAGGACTTCACAGCTGTCTTCGACGGCAGGTCCAGATCCCGTCTCCAGCATTCGGCTCATCAGTCCGAGGACCATGAAGCTGGTGTGCACGAGGTAGATGCTGAAGATATACGGCATGTACGTGAGGTCCGGGTCGAGGTCCAGGATTCGCTGGATACAGGTCGCAGTGGAGATGGCGTGGGAGACGCACGTCTGCAACTTGAAGCTTCTGGGTGCAAAGCCGGCAGCCCACCACCGGGCTCCGCCATCATCGTCGTCCACCATCATGGATTTCGGGTCCCAATTCCCGTGGAGGAGGATGTAGAGGACCTCGAGGAGGCAGGAACTGTACGCGAGGGCGTCCTTGGTTGCCGTTGCTGGTGCTGTTGCTCCAGGCCAGATTGCTGCCAACGGCTCTCGCCCGGTCGCGTCCAGAGCTTGTTCTAACGCGGCTACTTCCTGCTGCCGTTGGGAGATCAGGGTCTCGATCCTGTCCACGGCGCTTGGGGCGAGATACTCGCCTAGTAGCGGGTTATTCCGAAAGTGGTGGAGCTCTATGATGTGGCCCAAGAGACTGGCCGGCGCGAGGAAACATTCAAAGAAGCCGAGTCCAGTAATACTTTGCGGGGGCCCTAGACAGGGCGCTGGGAACGAGATGGAGCCCAGATCCACGTGTTCGAGTGTCTGCCAGAGGGTCTCGGGGAGTGGCGCCGCAACATGAAACGTGCCATCGGGGAAATGCAGGCTGGAATTGAAGGAGAGGGCAAGGTGGCGGTCCAGGTAGTAAACCAGCCAGAACAGCCTGCGACGCTCTTCCTTTGCGACAATCCGGGCGCGGTTGATCATGTCTCCCTGGCCGTGTGGCGACGAGGGCGAGTCCGCAGCCAAGTGTTTGTCCTCCATGTTGAGCCCACTCGCTCGGACAAGGCGAGTTGCTTTGGTCCACCAATGCATGCCGTCGGGCTTGAAATGACCTCTAGAGACTACCAACGTCATGATCACAAGCGCCAAGATGAGATCGGTCGATTCGAGGTTTTCCTGCGCAACGCCATGAGGCGCTTCATACGCAGTCGATTAGCACCATGTTTTCTCAACGACGAGGCAGGGAGAGCAATGAGAGGGCTGACCTACTGGGACTTCCTCCCATGTAATCGTCCAGATCCAGAGGTTCCATCAGGTCCAAAACAAGGTAATAGAGGTCAAGCGTGATTCGCTGCCTCGCACCAGGTGGGTCAAAGACTTTTAGATCAGCCGTCTGTGCAACGCCGAGGAGTATCACGAGAAGGAGAATCGGTGAGGTTGGTCGTGGGTATACGGGATGGAGGACTGCTCCGGAATGAAGGACGTGGGCGGGCGCATAAGCGGACGGTGCGGTAGACGATTTGCGGTCACTGAAGTATATTTCAAGCATCCTGGCAGCGTCACCAGCCGTGAGTATAGCTTTTAGATGCGGTAGTAGCGGTTCCAGGCATGGATATGGGTTTCCTTCTTCCCCAGGGTGGGATGTTGGGGGAGCTGCGGGTGGAAGGCTTGTGGAGAACACCGTTGAGGAATTGGAGGGGGAAGGCCGATGAGGGAGGCCGGAGGGTATGTGATCGAGCCAGGTGGGAACGCCTAGTGAGGAATCTGGGGATGGCAGGAAGTTCTGAGGCGACCGTGGGAAAACAGAGAATCCATCATCGGGCTGGGCCCATACGCCGGGTTTGTCGGCTGTAATATCGCTTGCTGCGGCGTCCGGGTATGGATTGTCTTTGGGCAAGGGCTTGTATAGGCTCTCTGGCGCAGTGCTTTCAAAGCGGGCGCTGGGAGCAGCCATGTCTTCCCCTTTGCCTTGATCAAATGGATCGTTGATGCACGGCACAATGGGCACAACGGATTTGGGAGTGCAATTGGGGGGCAGTCGAGAGATGGGGCGACCGCGTCGGCGCTGGACCTTCTGGTACTGACAAGACAGCTCTCGCTCTGGGCATATGTATGGTCAGTCATTAGACCATCAGGATGACGCCGTTTAAGCTGCTCACATACCGCTGCATCGCTGGCTTTGGATGGGTTAGTGAAAGGTCTGTACTCATGTGTCAAGGCAGTGGGGGTTAAGATGCTGAATGACAAGAAATGCAAAGGAGATGGAATGGATGCCTACCACGGGTCTCGCCCATCACAGCGTTGCTTGTGGCTGGCGCATCTGTCACATGCTCGCAGCACTCGGATGCGTTTGTGTTGTGCAGAATCACTATGCAGCATAATCCGTATACGAGGGTTGGCTTCGAATGCTTCTAGAAGACTCGAGGCGGCAGACTGGTTCTTTTCACCCTCGAGCCAGGCCGCTCCTCGCAGGATGCAACCTTGTATACGGAAAGAGCGGGCAGACCTCGGCGCCCGTGGGGATCAGACCAGCTCGACGCCCCGGTGGGCCCCGACTCCAAGGTGGTCGGCTGGCATCGCTCCCAGTTGGTGGACCCTGCCGAGTATGCCATCCTGCCAACGTTCTTTGGTTTGACCATTGCATTTAGCCTAATAATAATGTCAAGGTAGGATAGGATACCGTGTGCTAGCAGTCGCTCCCGATCGGCAGCCCGGTGGCAGTTGGTTCGGTCTCACCAAGGCAGCTCCTTGCATCGCCCCTCCCGAAGGAGCGAAGCGATGGGACTGCACAAAAGTGCCCGATTTAACAAGCTATTTAGCCTGTTTCAAACCAATTGGTCCAAGGCAATCCTTCCATCTATCCCCTGAGCGAGACTTGGAGGCCCTTAAAGAAGGGACCCTGCATGCGACAGTATTACTGGACAAATAGATCTTCGACAGGACTGAATTCTAGCAACAAGTCACCCGCAGTACCGTTGTCACCATGGGCAGGGCATACACAATCGGCCTCGCCACATTTGCAGCAACGGGGAGTTTCCTCTTTGGCTACGACTCAGGCGTCATGACCGACGTGATCGCCTCTCGGAATTTCCTGGACTTCTTCGACACGACCAAAACATCGTCGATCATCGGTGCCATCAATAGCACGTTCTCTGGCGGAGCTGCCATTGGGGCCTTGACCGCTGGCCTGACAATCGACCGTCTTGGTCGCCGATTCACCATCCAGCTAGGCGCGATCATTGCAACTATTGGCGCTATCCTGCAATGCGCCGCGCAAGATCTGGCCATGATCCTCGTCGGCCGCATCGTCGCTGGTTGGGCAGTGGGGATCTTGAGCATGTCGGTCCCTGTCTACCAGGCTGAATGCGCGCATCCGAGGAACCGTGGCTTGTAAGACCAAACGTACCAGCTTCTGGTTAAACACGGGTGTCTGCTGACACTATCCAGCATCGTCGGCCTCGCCCAGCAAATGATCGGCGTCGGATTTATTGTGAGCACGTAGGTGGAACCTCGCGACAGTCCATCCATTATTGACCTCGATACTCACCCCGGATTTAGGTGGATTGGCTACGGATGCCTGCATGCCCCGGACACGAACTCGGTCCAGTGGCGGTTTCCGCTTGCTTTCCAAGGGCTCCCTTCCATCTTGCTGTGCATCGGCATGATCTGGCTTCCGGAATCGCCGCGGCATCTGGTTGAAAAGCAAAAGGATGAAGAGGCTATGAGGGTGCTGAGGCGGCTTCATTACGACGGCACAAACAGTGACTGGATTGAATCTGAATTTACAGAGATCAAGGCGACCATTGATGCGGAGCGGGAGCTTACGGCCCCCGGTTGGTTGGTTATGTTTCGCGTGCCCCAGTGGAGGAAGCGACTGCTGTACGTCGAGTCCCTGTGCTAACAAGGTGCGACCATTTGCTGACTCGCACCAAACGCAGTCTCGGAACAGCCGTCCAGGTCTTTACCCAGATGACCGGAGTCAATGTCATCAATTACTACCAGAACATCATGTGCGTTGCCATCAGAAACCCAAGCTCGCCGTTTGCTCGAGTGCTAACCCTTGGCTTGTCTAGGTACGAATCCCTCGGTATAACCGGCCACCGCGCGACCCTCGTTTCCGGAATCTACAACGTCGTCGGCCCAATCGCAAACCTCATCTTCATCACCTTTATCCTCGACCGCGTCGGCCGCCGCCGCCCACTGATGTTCGGCGCGGGCGCAATCGCCATCGCGCTCGTCTGCGAAGCAGCACTGAACTCGCAAAACGAAGCCGGTACCCACGACGGATACAGCATCGGCGGCGTCTTCTTCCTCTTCTGCGTGACGGTCATCTTCTCCATGTCGTTTGGGTCGATCAGCTGGGTGTACATGTCCGAGGTGATGCCGATGCAGATCCGCGGCAAGGGCAATGCGTTTGCGACGGGGGTGGGGAATTGGACGGTGAGTACGTTGTGGAGCCAGGTTTCGCCGATTGCGCTCGACAAGATTGGGTGGAAGTTTTACTTTTTGTTTGCGGGTTGGAGTAAGTCGAGTCTCGAGTCTGCAGCGCGGCATTCACAAAGTAATTGGGCCCGGCTAATCTCCGAGCAGATCTCTTCGTGACTATCCCGACAATCTATTTCTTCTTCAAGGAGACGAAGCAAAAGTCGCTCGAGGAAATCGATCTCCTCTTCGGCGGCAGAGCGTTGGGGACTCTGGGGCCTGATCTCAGCTCCAAGAACGTCGAGAAACGGGACTCGTGCGAGGACTCGCGGCAGATCGAGGAGGTCTCCAAGACCCCACAAGCGTAGACTTGCTAGGGAAGCGACGCCCTGGGGATTATCTTTGGCGGGTCAAGTTTGCAGTAAATCGTGGACGGGGCAGTGCTCCAGGTAGATGGATCCATCAGAAGGTCTAGATCGTGTATCGAGTCTGGGTGGAGCGGGGGCTGCCTCTCAGACAATTGTATCATGGGTTGGGATTGGAGTCTCTGCTCCAACCGAGGAGCGTCTATCCACATAGAAATATCGTTGTTCTAGCGGAACCAATTTGGCACTAGACACCTTTTCCCTCACTATCTACCCTCTTCTTTCTGTCGATACCTGCGAGAAATATGCAAAGATTGACAATACGAAACCTTAAGGCGCACGATTCGGCATGGCCACGCTTTCCGGACCCCTATTACGTAGAGTCCCCGCGATTGCCACCATATCCAGAGGATATCCACACGCAGTTCCGTCCTCGCGCACGGAGTCGTAGCAATTGCTCCCCGGAATCGGCCCAGGAAAACGGCCAGTGTCCCCGCATCAACTACCTGAGTACCGGTCGTGTCATGCCCACTGCTGTGGGCTCGCGGCGATCGCTCTAGCCGTTTTGGCCACGGAGTCGGCTCTTTTTTGAAGGCCGGTGGCGCCCCACGGACAGGAATCGAGCCATCGTCGGTTCGGCGCTCCATTTGCGGGTTGCCAGACACGGACCCGTCAGGGGATGGGAAGGGTGATTTCCAGCCTGCAGATCAGACCCGAATCGGATTGTTGTTCGGCCGACGCCCAAGTCTGTTCCCAGCGTAATCTGATTCGCCGTCGGCTTAATCTAAACAGGGATTCAGATCCTACGTACTCCGTAGCTACGGACAAGTATTGTGGAGGCCACTATGCGCTCTAATCATTGCTATGATATTTCCCAGTGGGCGAGTCTGTCGCCGGATGAAGGTGCCCATTGCCCTGTGCTTTTTATCCGCGGAAGTCATGGTTGGTTTCATCTGCGTGAAGATGACCTCCACTGCTGACACGAGACCGTATCCCTCAATGAACCGTGACGGATTCGCCGAGATACCACTAGCGTCTTCAATGGGATCAGCGGAATACTAGGAAGAGTTCTCAAGGTAGATACCAGAGCGCAAGATATCTATACAAGAGTTGAATCCAGTAGAGGAACAAAGTCCCAGCTTCTTTTACGATACCACTATCTACCACACTATCAACGTCTCCTTGAGCTATTCACAAGGAAGCTGTCCTACGACGTGTTCGCCACCTCAATTATAGCTCCCACTACTCGCAGCGATATCTGGCACTCCAAGCGTGCAGATACATGTGGACAGTGGGACATCGTCCCCGGTGGGGATTTCAACGTGTACAACAATCTCTGGGGCCAGGTGAACGGCAACAGTGCGGGTGAGGGCGTGTAGAGTATCGGGGCAGACACGGAGCCATCCACGTGGTCTGATGCTGTTTTCACTACCTTTGCCTATAGACTGAGCGTCTAAATGCTTGGTGTTAGTTTCTTGTCTAGCAAGCTCCGAAGCGTACACCGGACGCTCGATCAATTGGCCTTGGGTCGTTTGCATCCTAATCCTCCAGGTAAAAGCAATGAAAAAGCAACTATTCAGGCCGGAATTTGTAAGTCCATCTAATGTTATTTATAGTACGAAATCATGTCGCGAATCCGCCTCCTGGCAGTCAGATAACCGCGCACGCCATGTCACTCCACCAGAAGCCGTTGGAACACTCTTTGTACATTCCACGCCTCGTGTAACGTACACTAGCATACAGTAGCGTGCCCAAAGCTGGGCAATGTAGATAAACAGCGATGTGAACTACAGTCACACTTCCAGAGCCCCTGATGTCCATGCAAGGTGCATGGCGCAAGAGTCGAGTCGGATGGCCCTGACGACGCGTCAGAAAGGGACAGCGTAAAATCCATCTTGGCCTCTCCCAACGCAACCTAACTAAGCCTCTTGCTAGAACCCGACTCGGGGAGAGATCTGGAGGGTAAATCGGACCATTCCAATCTAAAACCCTAACGCTGGATAAATCCCGGGCTCTCTGGCTAAATGCCAAAGGAAGAAAAAAAGAAGAAAAGAAAAGAAAACAGTAGGAATATTCAGATCAGTGGTGGCAGTGCGGAGTGGAGCGAAAGCATGTGAAAGCCCAGTCACTCGCCCCGAATGCCCCCGGTCTCCCGCGTTACCCACTCACTCGCCGTATGCAGGCGGCCTATTCCCCTGGCCTTGCTTGGTTCGAACCTGTAGACATCGTCCAAGTCGGCGGGGTCTTAGTACGTAAGAGGCGACTTGACTGCCACATATCCTACGGCTAAACTGGTTGTCATCGTCGCGGCAAGAGTAAGCAGCAGCAGCACGCAGGCTTGAAAATGCCCAGCATCAAAATCTTCCATCTTCCGAAGGAGAGGGCCTGCGGGTAATAAGGTCGGAGCTTTGCTGGGAAGATGCCATGTCCAGCCGACGGCGAGTTTACAATATAAGAGTGGCAAGTGGTTCTTGCTTGATCTCGTTTAATACAGTCTCTGAAACGTCACCGCTAGTGGGGACCTGTGCGACTTGCCAGCTAGTATATAGCCACAATGGTTTGATTCTCCTCAGCTGCGGCGGTTGCTCTCGCCGTGAGTGCCACTGCGATGGCGCATGGCCACCAAGGGCCAGCATACAAGAATCCGTCTCTTCCGATTGAGAAAAGAGTTAAAGATCTCTTGTCACGCATGACAATTGAGGAAAAGACTGCTCAATTGGTTCAGGGTACGCGGATACCCCGATTCTCACTGAAGCCGAGTTACCTTTTAGGTTAACTGTGAGATAGGAGATGTGACCAACTGGATGTACCAGGAGACTGGAGCTTTCAATGAGAGCGGGCTAGTTCGGAACATGCAGCAAAGAGCCGGTGCCTTTTACGGTAAGTAGCAAGGGAGGAAATTAGCTTCTTGTTGTATACTAGATGAGTTTAATTCACCCTACCTGTAACTAGATAGAGAACTTTTGGAGACCCTAACACGTCTTTGGGAAACATTTCCGCGATATGCACACGAGACGCGCCATGTGCATAGTTCTAGGCAGGAGGATATTTTGGTCTGGGAAGCTCCTAGCGTGAGCTATGTCCTTGTAGGGTAGAGTCAAGCTATTTGCTCTTCCCGTGGAAACTTGTCTTCCCTAATACTAGATAGCTGTTGAATATTATGGGCACCTTTTTATCTATTTGAATAGTTAGACTCTTTTTTTTTTGGCTACTAAACACTTTTTAAATTATTAAACGCTTTTAACTGTTGATCTCAACCCCTACTAGTAAACGCGTTTTGATATTCTTATTAATTATTAGAGTTATTTTTTTATAGAACCCTTTTATTCGCTATTAGTATTGCGCGACAGCTATGATTTAGATAGACTTAGTTATAAACTTATAAATACCTTCCTTATTCTTCCCCCTGACGCGACCTTTATTTTTCTATAATAATGAAAGAAAACCAGGAATTCTATGCTTTAAAACCCTAAACTCTCTTTAAGGCTTCGAATCATATCCTCTAGTAGTAGCCTAGTTAAGTCTAATAGCAGATGCTATTCCTCATCTAATCTAATTCCCTAGCCGAGCCTGTTAATGATATCCGCTATGCCACCTTCCCTGGGGTGTGCAATCTCAGCAACCTATTTTAGTCAAGGTATTGTTATATAGCGACTTAACTATAAGTGATAGCTTATTAATTAATTTTATAGTCCTAATAATAGCACAGCCGCAGCCTTAGGAGGGGGTTTATTAGCTGGCCCGTTATCGTCACAACCACTCCAGCAAATCCAGGGACTGCCTTAACCCATACCTTTGGCCTTACATCAGTGGATCTCTCGACTATTTAGGAAGAAGTTTAATAGCAGCTCAACCTACTTATCTAGGGAGCCCAAGCGGTTTTCCTGCAGAGGAGAATCTATAAGTTGGAATAGGAGTGAAGAGTCTTGGATAGGAAAAGGAGTAAGAGTTACGGCATATGATATGTGAGATCGATCATGGGACGCTAGTTCAACCTCTGATATCAGTCCTGGAGGTTTCTTACAGTATCCACAAATGGAAGGACCTTCAGAAGTTGGCTGGAGATTATATATTACAGTCCAACGGCGATCTTAAGGTAGTAACTGAGATCTTAAATTCAAGCAGGAATGTAGACTGTTCCTAATTTGGAATTCAGAAAATACTCTTAATCACTCGAAACCTTATTTGAGATGTGGTTACTTCCTCCCGCGTACTGATCGATACCGGTGTTCCTGCTTGATCTACTGCTTCTTCCATGCGGAACTATCCTGCAATGCTTTGTTAGGTTCTGAGCCGAGAAGGTCCTTATTGGTGAGCAGGAAATCATCGATGCGTGGATGATTGGCCTTGGTCCTTCTTTCACGGGCTAGCTGGACACATCAAGCACGAGTGCCGCCCTTGGCAAGGTAGGACTCACTGGCATCGAGAACTAATAAAAGAGGTAATACCTCAACAACTAATGGAATGCTGCGCGAACTTCACGAGCAGGTAAGTGCCGATAAGTCGTCGGGACAACCACAGATCTGGCGCAACATATATAAAGAAGGCGCTGCCCTGGATCACCTTGCCATCATGAAAGACAGTATTGCTGACTTGATCCCCTGAAAAGGAGCACTACAAAATGAGAACGCATCAGTCGAAGGCATTGGTCAAGTATGTGGAGCAAGGAGGTATCCGGAAACTCACGATGATGTTCCTGAAACGACCCGGGACCAGCTGTACGCGGAAGAGCAGCAGGGAATTGAAAAACGACAAAGGCTCCCAATCCTCCAGGTGGATTGATGTTACCCTCAATCAACATGAAAGTCGGCCCAACCCAGCCAGGCCAGATGTCAAAGAGTTCCTATGACCGGGCTGACACGACAACCCCTATTTTGCCTGCTGATCTAGATACCTTTGGGCCAATTCAAGTGGCAGTGGAAGAAGTAGACCGATTGGCACTTAGCGAAAGTGAACAGTGAGAAGGATAATATCAGAATGACACGTGATGTAATGCTGGAGAATTGCCTTGACCTTGCTCAGCTCCATAATCCAAGAATTGGGAGTGAGTTCCTTGAAAAGAAAGGCCTAAAAACTGGGTCGCCGACAGATTCGTCAACGATACCAATCAATGGCTCAAGCAGCGCAAGCGGAAGAGGCCGGCTGAGGAGGATAATGACTTTGAAGTTATCTACACCCGTTTAACCTCGACTATGTCTTTCCATTATTGAATCCGGAGCGATAATTAGCGAGTAAATCCTTCACTGGCGTATCTAGTGCTGTGGCCCTTCCAGGCCTATTATACAGGCAGTATAGCTGAGAAGCCTAGCCCCTATAGGAATTGTCTGGGTCTGGCAAGATGTATACACGGCGACTGTGGTATCTGAACGTCCTCCAAACACGAAAGCGATGACTGAAAACAGATCTGTATGCTCTATGGCTTGAGCACCACATACCCACCCCACCCGCTCAACTTACCAGCGGCCTGCAAAGCCTCTTCGATCTGTTCGAGCCCAAAGACCTCCGTCTGAGAGACACCAGCCTTCTTGCCTAGAGGAAGCAATCCCGATTCGACCATCTGGATCAATTGCAGCACATGCCGGCGATCGTACATGAACCGCCCCTGGATTCGAATACTCTTGAACATGATCTCGAGGTAAGGGAAGTCAATATGTCCCGAATTACCTCCCATAACAACGCATCGACCAAAGGCACGCAATGACCGGATGCCAGACGTGAGGAGTGATGAGCCTTGAACGGCTGGTGGCGAAAGGTCAAGGTACACATCTGCTCCATCCTTCCCAGCTGCTGCACGGAACAACTCGGTATCAGCGGCGGCATCACCAGTGATCTGGACAGTTCTTAATCGATTCGTGGCATGGATGCTCTTCAGCTTCTCCAACGCAGTTATGTTCCGCCCACCAGCGATCACTGTCGCGCCCATTGCCAGGGCAATGTTCACGGCGGCGCCGCCATATCGCCCTGTTGCGGGGGCCACAATCACCACCTCACCAGGCTTCAAGCCGACCTCGGAAAGACCACCAAATGGAACAAGGCACACGGGCAAGAGACATAGATCATTTATGCTGTATCTCAGTGATCGAAGAAGAGACGCCTCATCAAGACGGTATAGATTTTCCAGCGGGAATCGCGCATATTCGGCGTATGTTGCGTTACGCCAAACTCCATCCATGAGTTTTTGTGCCGCGGGATATCCGCCACCGTGTACGCCGTAGAGAATAGAAACGGCCGGATTATCTCGGGCGCGAATGGTAATGTCGCAGAAGACGAGCTGGCCGGGCGTGAGGTCCACGGCATCTGGTCCAACTTCATGTACTCGGCCAATGGCGGTGTTTCCTGGTGTCATGGGCAGAGACAGTGGGTAAGGGCGCTTATTGCTGATCACCTCCCCCATGTAGGGTACGATATCGGCAGCGAGGATGCGAACAATCGCATCACCAGTTGATGCGATGGGGAGGGAGACGGTTTCAAGGACGAGCGGCTTGTCCCGGGCGTGGAGAACTAGGGCTTTGTGAGTCGACATTCTGACCGGAAGCGTTGAGATTCGTTCTCTGAGGTCTTCCTGTTGTGCCGTCCAATTCACTGAACGAGATAGACAGTCATGCTTCACAAACACCTTTATAACAGGCAAGGATATTCAGCGCGCAGATCCAGTCCCCGGCTAGGTCCGTGGCTAACGCCGGGGACATGTTATCTCCGGACAACAAGGCCATCATCCCTTGGTTGGCGGTGGACCAGACAGAAGGAAAATGCGAAGTGGAGTAGAAATAGTGGTCTCATACCTAGGTACGCGAATGTATCCTAATTCGCCTGGGCCAATCAACCCGGTCATTGTGGACAATCTCCACAGCCGCACCCGCAGCCGCACCCGCAGCAGCCACATCGCCTCTGCACCTCTGCTGCAATTCGGTCAGCATCTCCAGTGGGAACGACTTTCGCCTCTCGGCATCCTTATCCGCTTCACCTTTGTTACCTCAATGGTTAGAACGCGACCCAGCCCATGAAATTGACCTACCCCCCGGTACGGGCTCCGTTGGACAGTCATTTCCTCACCACTCAGCCGCGACTTTAGAGTGTTGATCTCAGCTTGAATTTGGACAGAGCTGACCTCGATCGATGGTGTTCTGGAGAAACAGACATAATATTACTGCTGTCAGCCGCAGCCGCAGCCGTGGCCGCAGTGGGATGCATCATATGGGTCCTGCCTTGATTTGTCCGGGCGACGCAAATTCACACATGGGGTAGTCAGCAAAGTCACTGCCAAAATGTATGTTTTGTTTCCAGACTGTGTATATAAATCCATTGTCTCCCCTCCATGCCGTATACTCATACCATCTCTGAACAGCCTTCGTTCGGTCCCTTGTGCTTCCTCACGCAAGCTCATCCTTCAGTCTCTGTATGCTATTTACTTGTTATTTGCTTGCGCAATGGATGCACCGTAACGGCTAACAGAGACCGCAGCTTAGATTACCACTTCGAAACTCTTGACCAAAATCGCGATGATGCACCATTCGGTCAAGACGCTGACGACGCTAGCTGCTCTTTTCTGCATGAGTAACATTGCTCATGGGAAATACATCAGCTGCAGTTCCCAATCAAGCTCGGTTGGGGGTGCATGGAACACGAACTGGAACGTTCCGGGCCATAAAGCGCAATTCGACGTCGGCGATGGTCGAGGCCGCTGCATAATGCGGGACACCATTGGAGGCGACTGCGTTGAAACAATTGGCAAAAGCGACGGTTCGCGGTCGTTTTCCTGCGACCACGGCAGTGTCGACGCGACCTTTTGGATCACACATGACCAATGCCTGAACATTGAAGTCGATGGTCAGCACCATTACTGCTGCGGCGAAACTCTTACCACCGACGGCGCCGCTGGTTGTTCCCTCTAACCGACGGCGTATTTTGGCCTTCTGCACCAGGTCAGTCGCCTTCGACCACGTTCACCCGACTTCGCTCAACAATGCTCGGTAAAAGCGAACTTTTATCATCTTGCTATGACTTCTTGACTGGTGCGTGCCTTGTCGCGGGGAGATAAGTACTGGGGTGAATGGGGTTGGGCTTGAGCGGAGTCTGTCGGCCAACGAAGTACGCTTGTTGTGAAGTTAAATGGGAAGACTTGGTTGAATTCATCACACTGTCCAATACATTTCAAACATTAGCTACATACTGCCTTTCGGATGTAATCATGGTCGACGTTCCCACCACATAGAAGGACGACACTCGTTTGGCCGGTCAATTTCTCAGCGACTTTGTTGAATCCGGCAAGAGCAAGCGCCGCGGAGCCCTCAGCGATGATATTCTCCTGAACAGCAAGAGCGTGTGCGGAGCTCAAGATCTCTGCCTCGTTGCACTCAATAACATAGTCCACGACCGCGCTTGCCAGACCTAGTGTTATCGTTTCGGGATCAATACCACCAGCCACAGCCTCGGCCAGGGTAGGGAAATGATCCGTTTCCACGACATGGCCGGCCGTTAGAGAGGCTGCCAACGCCTTGGAGTTGCTGGCGGAGACTCCATATATCTTCGTTTCGGGGCGAAAACTTTTGAGAACGGATCCGACGCCGCTGAGAAGCCCACCGCCCCCCATGGAAATGAAGACATTGTCGACTTCTTCCAGCTGCTCAAGAATTTCAAGTCCGATTGTTCCTTGTCCCGCAATAACTTCTGCGTCGTTGTACGGCGAAATATAAGTGTAGGAACCTGAAGCAGCAAGCTGCTGCGCGTGCTGTTCCGCCAGGCCGGTCTCCACACCATGAAGGATCACTTCAACACCGAACAACTTGATTTTGTCCAATTTTGCCTGTACGACTGTATCGGGAAGGACGACGGTAAGGTCCTTTGCAAGCACTCTCGCGGCAAGACTGGCACCAATGCCGTGGTTACCTGACGACGCTGTGATCAGGGGTCCCTGTGCTGACGGGGACGACAGTTTAGAAAGTGCGCCTCGTATTTTGAAAGATCCGGTGAGTTGAAAGTTTTCTGCTTTAAACAGAACCTTCGCGCCCTGGTCATGACCGATTCGCCTGGCTGGGATTAGAGGGGTTTGATAGATATGATGGCGAATGCGACTCCTGGCTTGAACGGCGTTGGCCGCGACCTCCTGCTGGGAAATTTGCATGATGGATGCTTTTCCAATTGAAGTAAGCAATGCCGAAGTTGAGAACTTTGTAGGAGGACCACGGAAGCCTTAATTTAAAACATATTTCACCGCTGTGTGAGTCACTGCTTCCTGATCGCTATCTGCGGGGTAAGGCCCATAGCGTTATCAACCCGAGGTTGCATTCTGATATGTAATTGCTAGGCGAATTAGGGCATTCGAGTCTAGTACATTCCCGGATAAACTTGTTGAAACATGGCGGCGACGCGCGGTCTAACTGCAGAAAGCGGCAAACCCATAGGTAAAGCATACGGCCGTGAAATTGCACGGACTGCGGGTTATTTTCATCCCGCAGAAAGTGCCTGGATCGCGGTGTGTCTGCAGTGTGGTTGCCGCGCGGGTTGCTTTGTCGAGCGCGTTCCTGACAATAGATATAGAAGACGATACTTAGAATGAACACGCAATGCGAGTCTTCCTATCCGCGGAAATTAATTATACATAGAAGAAGATTTCAATTCCAAGAGAGATAGACCCATTGAGAGAATCTCGGATTGTAGTCATCGTAACTTCTCAACAAAATCTAGGATCGCTGAGCGGCTGCTTTGATGGCATCTGCCACATGGCCTGGTTTTGTAAAAAAGGGGCTGTGAGATGCATCCACAACGTGAGTGTGAATCTCGATTCCTTTAGCGACCTCCTCCACCATCATTTTCTGCACCGAGAGTGGGATCGCCTCGTCCCTCAGACAATAGAGGTACGTGGAAGGAACATGCCTCCAAGCCGCGAACGTAACCTTGCTATGAAATGTCTGATAACTGTGCGGTTTTAACGCCTTGACAGCCCTTTCTGCATCAAGTCCGCCCATGTCGTTGTAGAATGTTTCTCTGGGGGTAGCCGGTGTCACGAGCAAGCGGTCGTCTGAGACTTGGAACCAAAGGAGACCATCGCCGCCAAAGGAACTAATCAAAGATTTCCCCTCTGGAACGATGAATGAACAGCAAAAGAAGAGATGAACGACACCCCCTGGTCTACCCTGTCGCTGTCGAGATGCCCAGTCTAGGCCACGAATTGCCTCACAGCCCGGAAGCCCACCGTACGAGTGCATCACGACCACCACTCTTTGGCCAGCATTGGCCGCGCTCTCTATGTGTTCCCTGATCCGAAATACATCTTCCGAGAAATCGGACTGAGGCTTGATAGGACCAACAGAGGGCAAGTGGACGACGCCTGTGTGGTAACCGTCGGCTTCCAGCCGTCGAATCACTTTGTCGAAACAGCGAGGGTTGTGCCACGCACCAGGGATGAAAATCACCTTTGTTGAACTCATGAGTGGAGTTTGCTGTAGTATCGTGTTGTAAGTGAGAAAAAGTGAGGTGATGACAGAATGAGGCGACCTGCGTCCAAGCCCGGCTTCATTCAACCTTTTATGTACCATGCGGCCAGTCGTAGGGGCCCAAGCTTACCGGTAATAGACCTAGAGCTTTTGCTGACGAAAGGCATGAGAGCTGATTAGGAATTGTTGAGCACCCCTCGCTGCTGAGCATATGTACACCGAAGGTGATGATTGGACAGCCGCACGTGCGGCCGCACCTCCCTACGCACACCCGCAGAGCCGATGCCAACGACTCATTGCTGGCACCGCACGGATTGATGCAGCAACAGGATATACGAAGCTCATCCATGTGGAACTGACTGCCGCTTTCAAATCAGTGGGGAAGTTCTATTCCTGGATTTCTAATCATCGTTCACCTTCAGCTATCGGATTCAATTTGATTTCCAATCTCTTCGAGGCTCTACTGCGCACGATGAATAATTGTCTCTGCTCGATTGACTATCCGGATGCTCAGACTCTACCGGACCGGATACTTCCTATACTATTCCAAAGACTTAAATAGACTTTCTATGTTTCCTTCAAACATAGCCACTTGGTCTACAGGAAGGCTTTCCGGTTCATTATGATAGACCAAATTTTGTCCATTCCCCCAACATATTCATTCTCGGCTTCAAGAAAAGCAATGGCGGCGTTACTACCGGAAGATATGGGCACGACTGTGGATGTGTCGATTATCCATGCGGGACGAACGACCGTACCGACAGCCTACGTGGTCGACAAGCCCATTTCAGGGCATGATGTGCTTGACATGCCTTGCTATAGCTTCCTAATCGAGAACAGGAGGCTGAATAAGAGGGTCCTCTTTGACCTTGGGATCAGAAAAGATTGGAAGGAGAAGCTGCCACCGCCCAGTAAGCAGGGTCCCTCCTATATATAGTGCCAACCGTGCTATTCACCAGTGCAACACATGTTAGCCTTCCTATATGCTAACGGTGACCGAACGAAAAGTCCTTCACCAAATTGAGTCTGCGAAGGCACTCGTGGAGATTGGCCAAGACGTCGCCGATCAACTTCGCAACGAGAATGTCCCCCTGGAATCCATCAACGCTATTATCTGGTCACACCACCATATGGACCATACAGGAGATCCATCTCTTTTCCCCTCCTCCACGGAGCTAATCGTTGGACCCGGCTTCAAGCGCAATAAAGCGACGTTCCCGGGTTATCCTACCAACGAGGTTGCTCTGGTGACTGACGACGCTTTCTCGGGTCGTAGCTTGGTCGAGCTGGATTTCAGTGACGCAATGACAATTGGTGGCTTTTTGGCCATCGACTTCTTCCACGATGGAAGCCTGTACCTGCTCAAATCAAGCGGACATAGTGAGTCTCTTTAGTCTGTGCTGTCGCAACTTGATGCTCCTTTCAGGGTGATAAGTTACTGATAGTTTTGAAATCATAGCGCACAACCACATTAGTGCTCTGGCTCGGACGTCGAAGGACCGCTTCATCTTCCTCGGGGGCGATATTGCTCATCACCCGGGGGAGTACCGTCCAACTAAACACCTCCCGCTTCCGACTGAGATCAGGCCCTCGCCACTCGGCGACAATATCTCCTCCACCTCTGTATGTCCCGGGTCCATTTTCGAAGCAGTTTCTTCTGCAAAGGTGCGAGGATTGGATGCCAGGGTCACTCCCTTCTACCAGTTGAACGCCGCAATGAACGAGGATCTGGGAGATGCTCAGATCGCTCTTGAAAAGCTGCTACAGTTCGATGGCTCATCCAAGGTTATGGTTGTCATTGCCCATGATGCAAGTCTTCTGGAGGTCCTTCCTTTCTTCCCAAGGAGCATTACCGAGTGGGACGCCAAGGGATACAAGGCAGAGGGGACTTGGAGATTCTTGAAGGATTTTGCTGGGGCTATTGAACGGAACAACGGATGAACGCATATAGTCATTCGGTGTGAATCCCATACTTGGTCGTCCGCTTTGGTCCGCGATTATTGAGACTTTACAATGATTTAGGCCAGGGCAGTCTTGGACCGGTGACTCTCAGCCATTGTCCCAACAATGGCGAAGGGCTGCGTGTTGCACTATAGTTGGAGATAGTGTTATGGTAAAGGAGTTTGAGCTTGTATGTTACAATAAACCATTAACCTGAAAATTTCGGCACGCGACCTACCTTCCGTAGGAGTTCAGTAATTCATAATTGATAAGACCATATTAGATGCCAGTGGATGGATTGCGATCCGTCAATAAAGCTGCCGCTTCTACTCCGCGAGAATTAACTATAAGTAGATATCTGCATATCTTCTAGCACCTGACTGCGATGGTAATTAAAATATCACAGGAGGTGTCGCTGCTTTAGTAATTTAAACGCGAAGGGTACCTGGCCGGTCACCCTCGCATTGAGGCACCCAGAAGCTACGCGATGCGCTACGGCAAGCACAGGAGCGGGGGGCAGTGACGGAATATGAGTGGAAGAAGCAATGGAATATGTCTACAGAGGTGGATGAAGATAATGAATGCGTGCTGTCCGGTTTTACGACAGAAGAGTTAATCCACATTGATATCCATTCTCCCATGCCAGTATGTAAAGATGCGGCTGCGGCTGCGGCTGCGGATCGATAGATAAAGTCAAGCAAGTTCCCCGGCCTGCAAAACCCTTGGATCAGGCTTCTATGGATATCAGAGGGACAGCAGCGGATTTCGGGGTTAATTTTTGCTGATGGCGATAGCTGAATGGGTGTATATAGTCTGCGGCCTCCCTGATAGCAGTGCGGCTTGGAAGCCTCATCCTCTAGGACTCTGTTACATCGTGATCGCCATTAATTTCATTATTTTACCGAAACTTGTTTGTTCCACTCTCCTCACGACACGTTCAACCTGGGACTATTGCAATGGCAGCCTCCGATAAGAATAGTGCGTTAGACTTTAAGGTAGGTTCTATAAAATAGTCAACTTACAGACCTTCACACTGTAGTCTAATTGGCATTTGCACAGACATTCCACAATGTCATCAATAATCAATTGACCTCGACGGCCGTGACCCGCCATGGTATTAACCCAGCCACCGGGGAGCCCAATCCCGCAGTCCCCGTCGCCACTCAGGAGGACCTTGACAAGGCAGTCCAAGCGGCCCGCGCGGCTTTCAATACGTGGTCTATAAGTTCTTTGGAAGAGCGGCGCGCTGCCCTCCACGCCTACGCCGATGCAATTGAAGCTAATATCGATGGATTCTCCAAGACTCTCACCATGGAGCAGGGTAAGCCCCTGTCTCAAGCTAGCACTGAAGTCCGTATGGCGGGCACATGGATTCGGGGACTCAGCAGCATTGAGATTCCTACAAACACCATTGAAGAGACCGAAGACCGCAGAGTCATTCAACGTTATAAGCCCATAGGGGTGGCTGGTGCCATTGTGCCCTGGAATTTCCCGGTCCTCTTGGCTGTTGGGAAGATCGTATCTGCCGTATATACTGGAAACGCGGTCATCGTGAAACCATCACCATTCACGCCATACTGTGACTTGAAGCTCGCGGAGCTAGCAACACGGTTCTTCCCTCCGGGTGTTGTGCAGTGTCTCAGTGGAGAGGATAATATGGGCCCGATGATGACTGAGCACCCTGGCATTGACAAGATCTCATTCACGGGATCAATTGCGACTGGCAAGAGAGTCATGGCGAGCTGCTCTAAGACCCTGAAACGTGTTACACTTGAACTGGGTGGTAACGACCCGGCGATTATTTGTGGTGATGTCGATATGGATACAGTAATCCCTCAGGTAAGCTCTTCTCCGGCAGATCCGACGAGTAGAACTTACGTGATCAACAGGTCGGGATTCTCTCGTACTTGTGCAGCTCCCAGATCTGCAAGATCATAAAACGGCTCTATGTGCACGAGGAAATCTACGACGAGTTCCTGGGGAAGTTGGTGGCATTCGTCAAGTCTCTCAAGGTCGGTAACGGCACCGAGGCTGATGTTTTCTTCGGCCCCGTCCAAAACAAGATGCAGTTTGAAAAGGCCAAGAGTCTCTTCAGTTCCATCGACACAGAGAAACTCAAACCTGTTCTTGGTGGCACGATCGAAGAGTCAAATGGATATTTTATCCACCCGACCATCATCGACAACCCCCCCGACTCATCGCGTGTCGTTCAAGAAGAAGCATTCGCACCTATTCTTCCCGTTATGAAGTGGTCCGATGAGGAGGATGTGATCAAAAGGGCTAACGCGCTGGAAACGGCCTTGGGTGCCTCCGTGTGGAGCAAGGACCTTGAGCGCGCTACTCGTATTGCAGACCGATTGGAGGCTGGCGTGGTCTGGGTGAACTCGCACTTTGATGCGTCGCCTATGGCGCCGTTCGGTGGGCACAAGCAGAGTGGTATCGGTGTTGAATGGGGTCTGGCTGGACTATTAGAATACTGCAACCCGCAGACGCAGTGGTTGAAGAAGTCCTTCTAGTGGGTTTATCAGTTGCTGGGCTCTGGACATTTTATGGATGCACATATATGTGTGCGTGTGCTCAGACTCACCATGCTTCCACGTGGACTTGTCAAGTATTTTCAACTCTTCCGCTCGTAGTTAGTGCTTTTACCTACTCGGCAGGGGGCTCCGGACATTCTCGACCTTCTTCAGTCTACCAGCCCAGCCTGTCCACTTGCCTCATCGGGCACTCTCTGAACAAAACGAGGTATGTCTCGGGCGGTATTCGTAATATTCTTGTTGGCGGTTGAATTAGACCTATCAGAGAAAATGGCAGGAAAATAGAGGTCAGCATAGTATAGACTCGGCAGATACTGCAAGCCCTCGATACTCTCTTCCCACCCACATCTATGGCTTTGACGTATTGTTGCTACGTCTGGATCCCTCGGCCTAGTAGCCACCCAGTCATCGATAATCTCATGGGAGTTGGTGTGGGCGTGTTGTGCTGAAGCTCAGGCATAACCCATGCAAACCTGCTGTCACGAATTGCCTATATGTTTCGTGGAAGTTTGTGATACCAGGTCCATCCATGCCTATACCTTCTCAGCCCAGAAGACGCCTGTAAGGACTAGGATTGAGACCTGTGGTCTCTTTTTCATGGCCGCGGCTTGGGGCCTGTACTAGCTGTGAAATAATAATCATTTACTCTCCAATCAGAGCAGTGGAATCATGAGTGACAGACAGGATGGGATGAAAAGAGTCTTGATTGTGGCAAACTATACTGCCAGACCTATGGTAAAGTTGAAAGAAATGCCAATGAGTTAGACTTGTCCCAGTGTGTCAGAGGTTAGCAACAAGTCCGGCGGGGCCACTCGTAGCACAAGCAGACGTAAATCAAGGAGACGATTATTGTAAGAGTGCAGGCCTCGGGTCACACAGTAACAGGGATACCTAACGAGCGAATACAATGCTGACCACCATTTCTAGGTTCTGCCATTCCCAGGTTGCGGAAAACGAGCGAAGGAGCGTCACATGAGCGAGTTGGGTAGCCTCTGATAAACCTTTGGCAATGGATTACCACTCATAGTATATTTCATCATGGAGGCCCATTCCACTTCAAATTCGCTCTGAGCATGGCGGGATCAATTGATAACATCATACCGAGCAACCAATCAAGGCGGCATTTCCAGTATGGGGGCACCGTAACCTTGAAGCCAAACCTGGAGGGCACTGCATATGGATGATCGACCCACACCCGCACCGGCAGCCGCAGCCGCACCTTGTCATTTGACCCCCGTGCCCCTTTCTGACTGCCCAGATGCAGATGTGCGGTATCTGGTGCTAGACTTGGCCGATCTGGATAGTGTACGGGATGCAGCAATGACGTTTGCTCAGTGAGTTGTACTGGCGACTTGTGTTGTGTGTGTGAATGTTGTTTCTGATAATAGACGATGTAGGCTCGAGTCATGCCTTCAATTACTTGTGAATAGCGCTGGCGTGTATAGGGCTCTTCTCCTCCTGAGGCGTTGCTTACTCGTTCCAGTTTATGTGCCTCCCGTACGAGGAGACAGGACAGGGGTTTGGGATGCAGATAGGGGTAGGTCCAACCCTATATAGCAGCTTTGTTGGACCTACAGCTAAGAGCAGTTAGCTGAACTATATCGGCCACTTCCTGTTCACAAAGTTACTCATCCCGATACTCCAAAAGACGGCAGACAGGGCTGAAAAGGGAAGCGTGCGCATTGTGAATGTGTCCAGCGACGGGCACGCCAAACTCGCACCGAAGGAGGGGATAATATTCTCAGAGATGAACATGAAGGACAGTTTCTCTGTCTGGGCCCGATACGGCCACTCTAAGCTTGCCAACGTTCTGCATTCAAAAGCATTGGCCAAGAGGTATCCAATCATTCTTACATTGTCCTTGCATCCGGGAACGGTGAAGACGTATGTTGCTGGTTCCTGTCCGACCATTCAATGCACGGATCTGACAGTTATTAGGGACTTATCCGCAGGGCCGATCTCGTCAACTCCGCTCTATCGGTTGATAAAGCCTCTTGTCGAACTGGGTGCGCCTGGTCCACGAAAAGGGGCAGGAAATATTCTTTTTGCCGCTGTGTCGCCGAAGCTACGGTTAGAGTCCGACAATGGAGCATACTTGCTGCCAATTGGAAAGGTCTCGGCGCCCAGTAAAGCCGGCTCGGACCCGAAGATGGCGGAGGATCTCTGGGAGTGGACGACGAAGGCCCTTAGAAGTCGAGGGTACGAATAGGCGATTACATGCCACATCCCATTCACCAGTTGAAGCGTATCAATCGTCTCCCGAAACAGCAAGCAAGTTACCGTCTCCAGTAAGTCTTTTTAGTAGGCGGAAATACCTCCAGCCTTGCTGTATAAGAGTCAGCTTTTCGTCGTCGATGGCTGTCAATATCGTTCCCACTTTGCCGATGAAGGCAACGCACGCATCTCGGTGCTCCGAGGCAGCTGCACCCGTAAAGGAAACCCAAGTGACCACTTCCGGAGCGTTGCGAATCCAATATAATGGTTCTATTTGCGACAGGTATTTTAGAAGTTGTCGAACTTCATGATCTCCGGTCGTGTCTGGTGCTTGCTGCGGATGCGATTGTCGTCGAAGCATTTTCCAGAACAATTGGCAGGAGATCCGGCAGCATACATTAAGTCTTTCTGGCGGAGTAAGAGGGTGGCCATATTCGGCTCTGCTAGTCCAAGTACTCGTCGTTGCGAAAGAGGCTGCACGCTCAACTTCAGCAGAAATACTACAGAGGTCGGCCTGGACTATATGATCTAGCCGTGACATGGCTTCGTACACGTCCAATATTGCATCCGTAGTCTCTTTCTCAAAAGATGATTCGTCATAGCCAAAAGTGGCCCTCAACACTACATTCCGGAGAATCGTGCTCGGGCGGACTGATTCAGAGGATAAGCAGTCCCAAACGGGCAGCAGGTCATATATGCAGGCGAACGAGAGCATGGCGCTAGAAAGATGAGTAATAGATCAATCGGTTTAGTGAAAGGTAATGGCGACGTACATCTTGACAATGGCAATCAGGGGTCCTATATTGGCTCGGAAGGATTGGGGCGTCGCCAGGAGCATCTTCACCAGGCCCTTCTGGTGCGTGACCGCAGAGTCTCGGTCAAGTGCGAGCATCTATGAGTCGTTACCATTACCTATCTCGCAGACTATATCCCATAGGAAGTGCACCCACATTGTAATATAGCAAGGGTATTACCGCTCCCAGCGTCCCATAGTTGAGGACTGGCTCTGGTGGTGCTAACCGTTCGTTGATCAAGCGGATAGCCCAGGTGTGGTGGTACAGCGTTCGTGCGGTATTCTGTCGGCCTTGAAGCATGTCTATCGATGCGGATGCACTGAACAGTGTGGCATGGAATAGACAGGGGTCGGACATAGCGTGTTGCATCCATTGAGAACGGAGATGGTGTGCCAGACTGTAAGGCACCACTGTATCCGAGGGTAAAGCTACAGACGTGAGAACTGTCGGATGGTGAGTGGTTAGTGTATCTAAATGGAGCTCTGCAACAGGACCCACAGAATTGTATTAGGTGCGACATGTATGAGCGACACCTCATAGGAGGTTCGAACGCCACTCCTAGTTCCGTCTCTGCCGAAGGAATGAAGTCCATCCTTAGTTGGACGCTATCGGTGCCTGCTTCAGTATCATCAGGAAGAACGACTGCGGGCTGTGGGCTTCTCCCTCGGTAAATACAGCTGGCTCCTATTCTAAGATACAGGTAAACCTCGTTAGTACACATTGACGGTCCAATTGTGGCCCCATCGACCCTTTTATTTGGTATTCCGAGCGGCCTTTACGTACCTTAGGCAGCGGGAGCACTTCGGAATGAGGCGATCACATCCACGCTTATGCACCTTACACCGGAGACATGCATCAGGCCACACCCTATCCATGCATGGCGTTGATTGGATCGGTTGAGTCACGGGTCCTGGTTGCGAGGCGGCTGGGTATCGGCATGGCTTGTCTAGTCTACACATTAGGCAGAATTCAGTATCTGTGCTGTATGTACCTTGTTTGATCTTCAGTGCTAAGGTGTCAATCGGACGTCAAACGTACTTTCTGCATCGAGAACAGATTGGAAGCCGCTTATCGCACGGTCGCTTGCCTGCCTTGCAGGTTAGACAGACCAGCGCAGCTCTGCCCTGTGCTTCTTCAGCTGCTTCTTCTCGGCGGGACGATGACATGATAGTGACTGTGATGCTGGCGGACACTGCTTAGACCAAATAGTGGAAATGCCCTTTCGGGGAGGCGACAACTCAATCGTGCTGAGGCAGTCCGCCTAGGACCAACACTAAGCCTGTCAGTCACACAATTTCTCCTCGGGACCAGGTCCTGCCTTACTGCAATTCTCCCTTACCGTCCTTATCGCCGTAATTAGGTGCGGCTACAGCTGCGGGACTGCGGGTATGTGTAGATTATAAGACGTTCTACCGGACGTGCCGGGAGAGGGCTCGTCTCACTCTCGCCATTTCGTGGGCTCCCGCAACCCCACTTTGCTGATTTGCCCTTCACACCCGAGTCGGTTTTAGGCACTTCGAGCTTTTTTAACTCCGACTCCCGATATTACTAAGTCTGCGCAGCTTACCTAATCAGATATTGTCCGGGTGTGCTAGGCGACGAGACAAAGCTACCGGAAGGAAGCAAGCTCCACCGGAACAGGCGTCCCGTCACTCTCAGCTTGAACTCACCCCGCCAAAATAAGGTTTTGCATGCTGCAGCCCCCTTTTACCCTAGGAAAGATGTTCAACGGCCTACTATTTTTGTATGCTAAGGCAAATACGCCTCCCCCTCACGCGAAGTTCAAGTATCTTGACTTTTTTTTATTTTGAGAACAAATATCAATCTCACATCCCCAACCTTTCGATTTGTCAGCAATTATCATGGGGTGGGGATGGTGGTGCTTCCGTACATTATTAGTTTATATTGCGCATGGTATTCTGCAAGCGTGAAATAGGCGCTCCGAAAGTTGACACGCTTCCTGAGGTTGACTCCGGCCTCCCCGATTGTGTGAGAAAATGAAAGACGGTCAGCGCAGCTATAAGCAGTGGTGTGGTATACCATTTCAACTGTGCTACCTTTCCAGAATACCAATAATTCTAATCTTAGGCGTAGCGACCCAGCTGCAAGAAAGGCTTCCTCTGCAATTAAACGCAAGAGCCTCTTCCTTGGCATCTCAACCGAAACGCTTTGAGTAGCTAACATCCGGCGCAGCGAACCCCACTGGTATTCGTATCGTTCGACGAGCATGACTAACATTTTATGCCGCAGCGGGAGAGATATCATGTACTGCTCATAGCAACGAGGATCAAAGCACATGGGCTTAACTGGGGTTTTCAAGGAAATACCGACTCATTTCTGTGTCTCTCTAGAGGACCAATAGCTAATCCCATCGAATACTAATCCCGTCGAATACCCAATGACCGTTGAACGAGTACATCACTCGGGCCATTCAAGGCTTGGTCTGAGGCTGACTTTGGGCAAAATATGCTCCCAAAGCCCCAGCTTAGGAGACTTATTCAACATGTTCGATAGGTCCGCCGAAGTTTATTGTGGATTTACCACCGATCTAACACCTTTAGATTGACACTTGGGACCCGCGGAAACTCGCCGCGAAGGCTAACTGTTGTGAAATAGCGTTGCCTTGATTTTGAAATCAGCGCATACGCCATGCACAACGGTAACGCCGTCAAAACTGCTTCGCCCGAGTTGCAGGTCTCAGGGGGATCTTGCAAGTGAATAAAATGGCAGTAGATATTTCTTGGCATAAATGTTACACTCAAGCACGAAGAGCGGAAATAAACATAGTACTATTTAGCGGAGTCTCAAGTCTATAGGAAGAAGAATGCCGAAAAATATATAACTGCAGGTTTTGATAATATCGCCGCCAAACCGGTACCTCCCATCTAGAGAGATTCCTTCTCGGTATCTTCAGTCTTGGATGCAGAAATGAAGCAGCCTATCGTCACGCTAAAGCTATATAGTTATTATACATAACGAGTGCAGTGAATCTACATTCTATACTACTTCGCAGGCTTATGTGGGCCTTAGAACCGGGCCCCAAGCCAGACCCACGCCGCACGCACATCGTCGGGCGAGGTCTGGGTTTGGGTTTCCATGGACAATGAAAAGTGAGGTATCTCCAGTATGTCTACACCCTTTACTACGATAAAAACAGACGATGAGTCGTCAACTTGGGCTGATAAAGGGGGACCGTGTTGGAAGAGGTATCAAATTATGGTTCATGGCGGTAAGGATTGATAGCGGCCATGAGCCTCCGCGGATTAGTCCCAGCCCATAGGTTTAGGACCGACAGACTGTATGGTCCGGTGCCGCTCCTCACCTTGAGCCGGTCTCGGCAGACTCTAGCGCAAGCATAGCAAAGTCCCTGACCAAATTACCGGAAGTTTTTCAAGCGGCAAAGTAAAATGAAGCATGGGCCATCAAGCTTTCAGCAATTAAGTGCACACAACAGTCTGATATAAAGTAACATCGGTCATTGAGGATCTCTCGAACGGCAGCTAATCGATCACACATCGACATCGTTAGATATACCTCTGCCGCATTCCGGTCTTTGAGCTTGTCAAGCAGGCCTCGAGCATTCTATGTCTCAAGGCTGCTCCGTCAAAGTTGGTAAGTGTCCCGGGAGCCTTCTCGCCTTCCGCAAAGGCCTGATAGAGCTCCCCAACCTGTCCGAAATGAAGTGGCTCTGGGACTAGCACTTCTTTCCACTCAGAAGCAGTATCAGAGCCACCTGTGGTCGTGTGCATGTAGAGCTTTGGCGGAAAGATTTGAATGTTAATGTTGTTGGATTCAAATTTCAAGGCCCCTTTCTCTCCTGCTATGGTCAAGGTAAACGACGAAGGCAGGCCAGGAGGCGTTAATACCATACTCAAACTAGCCACAGCACCACTCTTCAGTGTGCCGTGCACGAGAATTGAATCCGGAGCGTCTCGTTTGACTGCGCCATTATGATGAGGTGTCCTGATGCTAGGGAAAAAGCAATTTATTGTGGATGACAGACTCTCGAACTCTCCGAGGAGGAAGCACAACGCATCCAGCACGTGGCCAGAGGTGATAGTCGAGATGTCAGCACCTATTTCAATTATCAGCCTTGTGCCTTATGTCGGTTCTAACGCTCCCCTTACGGTTCGCTGCCTCGTGCTCGTAGTCGAAGCGAGGTGGCAGGTAAAGCAGGCTGTTGTCCCACCCGACGACCGTGGTTGCAACGATCTTCCCAAGGGCCCGGGAGTCTAATATTTCTTTTGCCTATCCGTACTCAGTAAGTCATTCACGAAGATAGTCGTCCCCCGCGATGTGTGGCGTACCGTTAGAATCGCAGGCGAAGCCCGAGCCTGAAGCCCGACAATCGTTCGACCACCGCCTCTGCGAGCTGCAGCCTGCAGTTCAGTCACTTGGTCGAGTGTGGTCGCTAGTGGCCACTCGACAAAGACATCCTTTCCGGCCTCCAACAAGGGGAGGGCCAACTCGTAATGAAGTGGCAACTTCACGCCCACCACTACAAGGTCAACCTCTGGGTCATTCGCTAATTGAGAAGCTGCCGTGTAGGCTTTGGTAGACGAAACTCCCCATCTCTCGGCGGAGACGACCGCAGTATCCTTACTGCTCGTGGCGACTGCGTTCAGCTTATACTTTGATGACAAGGGGGGCTTTTGGAGTGCCAAAGCATGGCTGCGAGAAACCCAGGCCATGTTCGAGGCGCTAAGGCCGATGATGCCGACGTTTATCATTGAATTCGGGCTGCGTGAATACGCAGCTTCGGATATTTGAATTCGTGGAGACACCTGCAGTTTGATATTTGGATATCTGTTTAACGGGGCTCGGATTCTTGGACTTTATAATCGCCGGAGATCGATCGCGCGAGAGTTCGGACCATGCCGCATCATTCTTTTTGGATCACCTGGGACGTTGATTACAAATTGGGGGAAAACAGCCAGCATCAGGACAGCGATTAAGCCGGATTCTCCATAATCGATTGATAAGCAAAGGGGAATACGTCTGTTTGGCCCTCCGGTAGACCAAGTCATAACCCAGATCTGCGCACCTAACGGATTATGATAGCGGAAGCCCTCTTCACAAGGCAGATAGAATACTGGGCGTTTTTTATGCTCAAAATACACTAACTTGCGCAGGCGACCTTGTTCACTTCTGTTGCTGGTTGACGTGATCGAGGACAAGGACGCACTTACCGAAGAGAAACTGTCAGCAATTTATACTTTTTACGCTTCCATCTGTCCATATGAGCACGAAGTAGTCCCACAACTTCATACATTGTATACTAATCATGGAAAGATGCTTCACGTTAGAGGGTTTTTCAGGCATTCGACGTTACCAGAAAGGCCCATGTCAATAGCCCTCTATTAGTTGAGAATGGTTCAATTGCATCCGCACACGCTCGAGAACACCTTCAAGGTTGGGCCTTTCGCTCTCTACCCGTATTAGCGCACCCATTCAGATGTAGGCTACTGCATCTGCTTCAGGGAAAAAGGCTGTTACGGAAACGTGGGCCCGGGTGATAGCTGGATAAACAGCTGAGTAACGCTCACATCCGCACCCGCACGCGCACCCGCACCAAGCAGGCCTAAGTCCGAGTCGAGCCTGGGGCTAATGAGTTATCGCCCAAGCTGCTCACCCAATGTCGGGTTCCAATTTTACCACGAAGGCTGTGAGACTGATAATCAATGCCCAATGAAATTGATCCAGATGCCTATAGCGGGCGAACAGGAGTTGCAACCATGGAAATCAAATCACAAGGAAAAGGAAGGAATAATACGGCTAAATACATCATGTCTGGCCTAAGGGAATTATTTATCCTCCGAAGTTCGCCACAGACCGAACATCCATCTAATACCAAGCTCGAGTCTCGCAAATCAACGTAATTATCATCTTGCATTGACCCGTTCCGTACGACATGGATCTACCCATCGTCAGCACCGGCCTAGTCGGCATGCTGCTGCCCTACCAGCTCAATTGTCTTAGTACCTCCTGCTTCATCCAGAGCGAAATTTGGAAACGATAAAAGCGCCGAAACTGGATCTCACTAAATACTGGAGTATGGAGATACTCAGGGTGCTAGGACTAGTAGATGACTACAGGGCGCAGGCCAAACTGTAAGGTCAGCTGCGAATTTGGACTCAATTATTGTCATAAGTTTGTCGAGCGAGGACGCTTGCTTGCTGACTGAGTATGAAATAAGAGGTATACCTTTCATCATGGCTAACCAGATCGGCTATAGAAAACCCCGTCCGTTTACAATAACGCGCATAATAATAGGACACAACCCGCTGAGCCAGGACGACAGTGCTCGTAGATCATTCTTGAGGCTTAGCTTAAGGGGATCGTTTCCACCCGAGCAAATGTGTCCTCTAAAGTTGGATGGACATACATGAACCTGGCTAAAACGTATAACGGAGTCACCGCTATATTTATAGATGTTATTAGCGCAACACGTACATGTCGAGCTCGCTATCTCATGGGCTGTGATGATGGTAGCAGGAAAGTTAGGAAATCTGCCAGAATTAAAATGCTTGGAGATCAAATATATACATATCTGTGCACTTGATACCTATTTCGCTTTACCAATAACTAATGATCTCGCTGGTATTAAAAAGTCCAGTACGCTTCTTTCTGGCTCACTTCCAATCCGTGGAGCTAGAGGAACTGCATTTTAGACATTTCTGGCACGTATTTCTAGTCAGCACTAGGTTTCCTTATCAACCAGGATAAGAAGGATATGGGCCTCGCTGTGACTTACCCTTTGATTATATATACCGCCATACATCCAGTTATATCGAGTTTGCGGGTTCTACGTCAATGCCCTAAATCCGACGGTATTTCCAATTTCCGCCCGCCCCACCCCTCCAGGCTGACTCGTCGGTGGAAAGGTACGCCCAGTCCACGAGTCAGGGTGAGATATCTCCGTGTTCAGTTGTGTCTGCGCGTGCGGGCGTGCGGCCGCCGACCTTGACTAGCCGCTTGAGGCACTCTAAGCGCGGCATCGAGCCTTGCTTTGTTGGATGAACTAGAGTTTCCAGTGTCAGCGAACGGCAATAACATCGGGAGGAATCCACTGACCTGAAGGGTATAAAGCTAGCGAGACTGCCGCGTACAGAAGACCGCAAAAACTACAGGATCCGCTGGAGAGCGAAAGGGTAGCGGAAATAACGAACATGGACTTCTCCGACCTGCCTACCGACCATTTCGCCAAGGCTGATCAATTCACTCGAGATTTATACTACGATGTCTATCCATCCGTCGATCCCTCATCAAAATTACTCAGCCAAAATGGGAAGATAATCCTGGTTACTGGCGCTAGTTCAGGTATTGGACGTCATGTGAGTAGTCATAACATTTTCACGGTTGCTCTGCTGCTTACTACTCGACCACACAGGGAATTGCCTTGTCTTTCGCCAAGGCAGGCACAAGTGTCCTTATACTTGCGGGACGAAACAAGCATGATCTAGAGGCTGCTGCTGCGGAAATACACGTGGTGGCCCCAACGGTTCAGACTGACGTTAGGGTGGTCGATATTAGCAACGAGACTCAAGTCAAGAACACATTTCTTGAACTTAGAGAAGCGTATCCAAGAATCGATATCCTTGTCAACAATGCCGGCGCTGGAGGCTCTCCACTTCCACTTGTTGAGATTGACGCAGAGAGATGGTGGTACAACTTTGTGAGGGGAACATCTGAAAAAGACTACCTGCTTGAGTCACACTGATGTCACAATAGGAAGTCAATGTCAAAGGGACGTTCTTGATGACCCAACAGTTCTTGCAGCTGAATGGGAAGGACAGTGAGGTGACTATAATAAACGTGACAAGCGCAGCCGCGTTGAATTCATTCCCATGTCTATCGAGCTACGCCCTCTCAAAGCTCTGCCAAATCAAGCTACAGGACTTTGTACGTGCAGAGAATCCCAAAGTTCGAACCTTCAGCCTACACCCTGGAATCGTCAAGACCCGCATGACTCCTCATGCCTTCGAACGTTTTTCAAGGGACACGTTCGAGCTGGTTGGCGGTGTTACTGTTTGGTTGGCGTCTGAGCATGCCACGTTCATGAATGGGAGGTACATGTCCGTTAACTGGTCTGTGGACGAGCTGGTTGAGAGGAAGGATGAGATTGTCTCGAACGGCCTACTCAAGATTGGGCTACAGGGGAAATTCGGTCGTTCCTGATAGATATTTAGACTTGTTACAGCGCTACACAGAATGTGACCCTACTGAACTATTTTAGAGGACTTCCCACCGTTAAAGCAGTGATTAGGCATATGATCAGCTGAGCGTGGTTGCTCTACATGGCCAGTTGGTCAGGTTGAATTCTCCACCGTTTGGAATTGCCGTCGAGCCTCATTAGAACAGGGCAGACACATGTCTGTTATGCGCAGGAACTAAGTCACTGAAGATAGAGAGTGGAGACGACGAGATGGCGCACGGAGCCGTCACTTTAGCTGCTTTCCTCCATTTTGGGTGCCCTAGGAGCGAAGGGCGGGTCTAGTTATATGTCCCTGTTAGAACCTCGACTGCCTAGTGCTCTACTCCGCAGAATGCTCCGGCCCACAAAACAATGTAGCGTGCTCCCTTCGAAGTGCTATATAGCATCCTTGTATTTTGACTTACCTTGTGGTATCGCATTGACGGAGGGGCGAGCGATTGGTTTCTCTTTGACAATCATCGGATTCTGGATTTGTACCGCGACTGTTTCACCTTTCCCATCCGCCACCAACACTCCCCAAAAACGAATAGGATTCATCAAGGATTTATGCTTACTATTCTATGTCTCTATGCTACCGCAACAAATTAGACTTATTCCCTGGGCTTGAAGAACTGTGGATATACACTTCGAAGTTCCTCCAGGTTATGTATTTGATATTGGCACGCTGGTGTCGCAGGGATTGGCAAGCCTTCTTCTATAAGGTGAGCCGCGATCCATCCAGCTTGGCGTGCACCAGCGCAATTGTTGTACGAATCGTCTGCTAGAGGTTAGAGTTGTGGTCTCTAACAAGGTGGCGCAACACTTACCAACGAAGTAACAACTTCCATTTCTCTGAACCCCGGCTTCCCTCATAGCCTTCTTAAACATATCAATATGTGGCTTGCAAATAAAGGGTATTTCAGCGTAATTGCAGTAGGTCAAGCCTTCGAACAAGTCATCGACACCAAGCAGCTTCACAACCCTCTCCCCATGGGTTTTGTAGGCATTTGTTACCAGCCAGAGGCGCACTTTATCTCTGTCAATGTCTTCAAGCAATCGTCGGAGCTTCGGATCAGGGTTGATCATATTTTCAAGCGGGAGAGCGTCATCGACGTTGGCATTGTATTCCATAGGATCGATCTGGTGCCGCCGCACCAAGCCTTCAATCGCCTGACCATAGTGCTTGTAGTATTCTCGGAGTAGGAAGACAGCTTGCTCACGGGAGAGACCGAGGTGCTTTTCGAAATAATTGTCAATAAGGCCTGATAGGACTTCTTGCACCTTGATCTCTGGATGTGAAATCGTATTAGACAGCGGTATTCCACAGGTCACTCCTGGCTAGGCTTACGTCGAGAATACAAGCAGTTGTCTATATCGCTGCGGGAGATCAGAAAAGCCCCTTCCAAGACTCCAGAAACAGACTCACAAAAATAAAACGGGCTTCTCGGGTTCGGTTGGGTTGGCTTGCCTTGCAACGGGTTCCATGGCCGTTCACAAAGAACCAGTAATTGCAGCAAGAAGAAGAAACGCGGGACGGTTCTTTGGCTATTATTAACAGAGCAGTCCCAACATAGAGTTACTTTTACGCTCAAGAACCTGGGCCTCTCCAAGCATTATCTCGAAATACACCAAGCCATATCATAATGGCCTTGAAATCTTGGGTCGAGCATGCAGCCGCACATGGGACCGATCATGTAGAACTACTAGACCTGATGCAATGCGGGTGCGGGTGCGGGTGTGGGTGCGGGCGCATATACGATAATACCCACTTTCACATGTTGTCTATTGAGCCACCCGGCAAATTCGCAAGAATATTTACCAGTATTGTTGTACAGGAATGGACTTACCATAAAAAATAAATGTTTAGGACCCGCATTTAAGACTTTAAACCGTCACTAGGTCTCAATCCCCATGTTGTTGTCGCGAGCCGGACGTCCAAACTCCGAGACAGCCATGTCCGTCGATTTGATTTGATTAAATGGCGAAAACCATGTCAAAAAGTAGAGGTCGTTTTAAGTTCCTACTTTTGGTTCGATCAGCCTAGAGGGCATGTGCTGGCTCCCAATATCCCGTCTTCCGCGATTTAAGTCCGGTACTCTGTTCCCACAAGATCTCGGTCACAGAAGAAGTGCTCGGATATCTGTCGTGTCACCCAGTATGTGTATGGCATATGGGGTCAACGTCTTCAAAAGGGAGGCCGCGCCACTTCGCAGACGTCATCAAGCCTAGAAAGTGCTTGTTGAATCCTATTAGGAATCGAGTATCGTCGCGTTTTTCTTCACGGTGGTAAACCCCAGTGTGATTTTATCCCTCCTCAAGCTTCTCAGCCCTTCGTGTTAAAGCGCAAGTGGAACTTTAGTCATCTTTGCCAGCTTGGTCTAATTAGTCAACGGTTAGACTGCAGGGATATTTCCGTATCCAGTCAATACTTTGGAGAAGTTTTGTAGCTCCGCAAACCAAGATGAGCATCGTTGTGTGCCTTGTGGGTCCGTACAGCCGGGGAAGACTGCACCAACTCCGGGTGACGTTACTTCAACCCGGGCAGCGCCACCACAGCAAGTATATTGAGTACATGTATCGGCACTACTCTCCACGATATTGGTAGACCCCAACTCACTGGCAAATTGGCCGTCCTTTTTGTTCCGATCCCATTGATTATGGCCTTTCCATTCCAGAAAACCCCCTTCAGCCCGTTCCTCGGTCGAAGGAGCGCTGTATATAGTGTGGGTGGTATGATAGCATGTTCGCAGCCACTGGCAGCGAGCGCAGGACAGGCCATTCTGGCGAAGGGCGGGAACGCAGCGGTTAGTTTTCCATAACCCTATGGCCAGCACAACAGCGAATGACAGTCTATCAGGATGCAGCTATAGCAGTAGGTTCGTGCAAGCTAAAACCACGTATCCAGTTATGCCCATTAACATTCCACGCCCGTAAGCTGCTGCTTTAAACGTCACCGAGCCCGGCTCGACTGGCATTGGGGGCGACATGTTCTGCCTCTTCTACGAAAACAAGACCAGGAAAGTACATGGACTGAATGGGTCTGGCCGTGCTCCCATGAGTCTCACGCTTGATATTGCGCGCAGAAAGCTGAATATTTCACCAGGCGAAAGTGGCAATATACCGCTTAATAGTGTGCTAGCTGTCACGACGCCGGGGGCAGCGGCTGGATGGGTAGACACCTTGAAATGCTTTGGTAGCGGGAACCTGTCGCTAGCTGAGGTTTTAGAGCCTGCCATCACTCTTGCTGAGGACGGGTTCCCAGTTTCCGAGATCTCCGCGAGATTGGTAAGGCAGTTCTTTCTCAGGATCAATATGGCTTCGGTGAAGCTGACGGTTTACAGTGGCAGGAAAACGCACAGTCGTTGCGAGAGGCGTCACCAAATTTCCGCGAACTTCTCAAGGCCGACACCAGAGCGAAGGAAGGAGTTCGCGCTCCCTTGCCTGGAGAAATTATGACAAACCCAAACCTTGCGCGGACATTCCGTGCGCTTGCTGCACAGGGAAAGGATGGCTTCTACCGAGGCGCAATTGCGGACGCTATTGTCAAGGCAGTGGAAGATCGTGGTGGGGTCCTCTCCCACGCAGACCTGATCTACCATAGCCAGATGGGGACCACAGAAACCGACCCAGTTCGCGTTCAGTTTAATGGAGAGGTCGATGTCTGGGAGCATCCACCAAACGGGCAAGGTCTCGTTGCGCTCATGGCCCTGAAATTGTTGGAGGAGTTAGAGCGCACCAAGCAAATCCCTTGCTTCCCGAGCCTCCGCCACAACTCCGCAGACTACATCCATGCCCTTATAGAAATCTTCCGCATCGCCTTCGCCGACGGCACCTGGTGGATAGGGGATCCGACATTCTCCCAAACACCTGATCTCCTATCCAGAGCCTATATAGAGGAACGAGCCCGGCATTTCAGCCCAATCCAAGCCTCAAATACCATGGCACACGGTAGTCCCTCCTTCAACTCATGCGACACAGTGTACTTCGCCGTCGTAGACAAAGACGGCAACGCCGCATCCGTGGTCAACAGCAACTATTATGGTTTTGGAACCGGTATTATCCCACGCGGTTGCGGATTCACGCTCCAGAGCCGTGGCGCCAATTTCTCCTTAATGGCAGGACACCCTAACGCACTTGCTCCCGGAAAGAGACCATATCACACGATTATACCGGCCATAGCAACGAATCCAGAGGATGGGTCGTTACATACAGTGTTTGGGGTTATGGGCGGGTTTATGCAGCCTCAAGGACATGTGCAATTATTGATTAATATGCTTGTTTTCGGGATGGATGCGCAGAAGGCACTCGAGGCCCCAAGGGTCTGTATTGGGCCTATGGGCCACTATGAGTCAGCGAGCGTGAGTGAGAGGACGGTTTACATAGAGGAAGGGGTAGATTTGCTGGTTGTGGAGGAGCTTAGAAGGCGAGGGCATGTTGTTCGCGTAATGCATGGGTGGGATAGAGAGATGTTTGGTCGCGGACAGGTCATACGGGCCTTTCATCGTGAGGGTGGGCAGACGGTTCTTGAAGGGGGAAGTGACCTTAGGGCTGACGGCATGGCCCTTCCGGCGTAAACTTGTGAGAGCTTACCATGTATTGGTGCATGACCGGTGCACTCCTGTGATTGGACTGTAGAAAATCGATGAGAACCTTTGGAAATCGGGTCGGTAGCCGCCGCGTGTGGCCGCAGCTGGAGCCTACACTTTCTGGTCATTGTACGGTGAAGAAAGTACGGAACATTCCAACCAACGCTGGGGTGCATAACGTTCGTCCAGTCTATATGGAATGGGATGTAATCTCAGAGTATCGTCCAGATCAGGCAACCAACCCATGCAGCTACTCAGCTGCCTTGCAACCTGAACACGAGACTCCGCCCATCCAGTCAATGGAAATAGCACATACAGTCTCCGCTGTTGTGCTCCCTTGTAGGAAAAATAAACGCTAGGCGGTTATCTTCAAGTATCACTCATGGTATGTCATGTCCGGGCACAGCGAAGGGTTCTCCATATCTCCCTGGCGTCCCCCAGAGGCGAAATATCTCTATCCTTACCGATGCACGTGTGCTTTCGGCTTTGATCTATGTACTTATAATCCCGGCACTAGGCGGCCGTTTAGATATTGGACTATGCGGGATATGATTCATGAGTCAAGGGTCAGCAACATGTACGCGGAAGCGCACTAGCCGGTACAGAAATTTCCACTAGGGGTTGACTGCGCCCTGATAAAATGGAACGGACTTAAGATACACGGTCGAGCTCGGGAATAAGCGGAGGCCATTTTTAATATCCGGACAGATGTATAAGATCCCCAATTGAATTCCCGGTACATGATCCGGGCTTCGTGCATCAGTTGAAATCGCGAAAAGAAGACCGTTGTTGATCCTTAACCAATATGCCTGCTATTGTCAACTCCTCCGCCATTGTCCTCGTGACAGGCGCGAATGGTTTTTTGGGAACATGGATTGTTCAACAACTGCTTGAAAAGGGGTATTGTGTCCGGGCGGCCGTACGGAACACAGCAAAAGGTACATATTTGCAGGCGAGATTCAAAAGCTATAAGCAAAGACTTGAGATCGTCATAGTTGAAGACATGACAAAGGTGAGACTGCTAGGTGGTTTGACTCAACAAGTACTTGGAATTTACAAACGCTGTCAATTTAGTCAAATGCATTTGCACACGTTGTCCGGGGCGTCGATGGCATCATCCATACCGCATCACCTGTTACTACTATTGCCGATTCTCCAGAAGGTGTGGCTGCCCCTCCTAACCCTCTAACGGGTGCTTGGGGAATGGGTGACTGATAAGACCCAGAATTAACCGAACCAGCTGTGAGAGGGGTTACTCGAATCCTCGAAAGCGCGCGGGACTATGGGTACGAGTTGCTGACGCCCCTTCGCAGCATCAAGTATTAACCAGCTAGGGAACGAGTCGGGCGAATTGTGATTACGTCCTCCTGCGCGGCCATATTGGACACATCGGACGAGGAAGTAACAGTATCCGAGGACGACTGGAATGATCAGCGTGTTAGAGAATGTGAGATACATGGCCGCAACGCCGTGGGCCTGGCTAAGTACTCTGCCTCCAAGGTCCTAGCAGAGAGGGGTGAGCTATAATAATCCTATTGGTCTGGATGAGCTGACCTTGCGGCTTTAGCGGCTTGGGACTTTGTCAGGGGCAGTCACGAGCGTATTTCCTGGGATTTGACGACCATTTGCCCACCGTACATATTCGGAGTTTGTACTACCACGTCTTGTCAGTTTCAGTATAGCGCGAGCTAACATTCGCAGCCTCCAATACATGATGTAGAATCTCCTGATTTGCTCAAATCCTCGTCAAAACTGATTTACAACGCGCTTGTCAACAACAACTTTGCTGGCGTTCCACCCCTGGAACGGCCGGGGCATGGCTGGGTAGATGTCCGAGACGTGGCAGCCGCACACATAAAAGCGCTTGAAACCCCTGAAGCTGGGGGCGAAAGAATTCTTCTGTCCGCTGGATCATTTGTTTGGCAAGACTTCAGTAAGCAATTGCACGAAGACTTGTACCTGTCTCCTTCGGTTTGCTGACCGTGATTAGTCAATAGTGCATTGTCGCTCCCGGAAGGTATCTACAGAGCGCATGCTGCCGCAACTGGTCCGAAGCCAGTAAAGAGAAGATTGATCACTTTCAAGACGGAAAAGGCAGAGCGGATTCTCGGACTGAAATTGCTGCCTCTGGAGGATTGTGTTCGCGATACGCTGGTTGATTATGCAGAGCGCGGCTGGTACTAATGAACGCTGCTGTGTAGGAGGGCATATTCTGAAGCGCTTGCAAGAGATTTGTCCATGAATAGCAAAATCTCCCCATCTCAGAATTTGCAACGACAGGTCGCACTGATTCCTGTCCTTGGACCTGCTGTGTGTTGTTAACAATAGTTCGGGCGGGTAGTCAAATAAATGATGTTGCAACGCAAAGAATCCGACAAGTCATCGCCAAAGGAAAGGAAGGCCTGCATAACATCCTCTCCAACAAACTGACAATCGACAGCACATGCCCGGTACTTCTCAGAAAGACGTTCCAGAGACAACTAATCGGGCCATTCTACCTCACTACCGTAGTTGATGACTTCCTGCCATCTTGACTCGTTTTCTAATAGATGCAAATTCGAGAGGCGTCCAATACGAGGCAGAGGTCAAATTTGGAAGGTGGAAGCCATCGAGTCTCTAACGGGCGTGTATAACAATAGGCCATACAGCTCAAATAAACGGTAAGGTATTGTGGCTTTGTGCAGCAATTTGGAATTAATCACTCCAAAGAATATTGATTGTCTGCTACAGTCTCGTAAAAGTCCCACGGAACGGCCATAGCTTAGTTGCCCAAACATGGTGCCAGTGGGTTATGAAGAACAACTGATGAGCAGCCGCGCTAGGAAACTGAGATCTCGACTATCTATAATACATAAATACCCCTGATAGTGGTTGGGCGTTCTATTCAGGCCTATCCTCACCGTTGCAGGCCCTTGTGGCCCGGCACCAGTCCTTTCTCCCCGCCCGAAAGTGATGATGAATATAGACTCCATCATTCTTTCCTGGTGTATGCACAAAGGAGAGGATACGTTTTTACACCCACAGTACTTGCTATAATCCAGCACCTGGGTTTACTTAGGCATCGTTGTAACGATCAAAGGAGAGGGGTTTGCAGATCGTGTAAGTCTAAGTCGCTCCCCTAACGAACGAGGTTGTTTGCAAGGAGACGTGTCTTCCGACGGCCCCGAATAAGACACGAGCGGCTGCATGAGCGCTGGAGTCGGCGACCACTCCATTCAACAGTCTCCATCCAACGGTCTGCGTTTAGCAGAGATTGACCAGCGCTTGGATAATTGTGGATAGAATCGCCAAGCTGAGTCATTGTTCCGCTGTCATAGCGATCATACTGTAGATTGTTTCGTGAAGGGTGTAGGAAATGTCTAATTCGGTTTCGCCGAGGAACACTCATTTGGCGACGTATACGCTCCCTGCTGGACCAGATCTCTTCTGATGCGCGCACGCTTCAAGAAAGCCCTCGGTTCACAACGCCAATCTGGGGCAAGGAATATTTGGTCCGGGATACGCGCCGTTTGGAAGAGCACTGCAAGCCGCTTGAGCAACAACTAGCGCATACGCGGTGGGAGTATATGAGAAAGTCATCTCCGTCTGGTCACTCTAAGGGAATCTTAGTAAGCGCCACGTTAATACGCTTGTATACATCCTTATATATCTTATTGCTTTACTCGCGCGCGGGCGGCTCAAGGTGGCTTGCGCGGTAGACTAGTTTCTTAGTATTAGTGTTATAGTGAAGATCTAGAAGGAGAGCAGCCTTATGTCTTTATAGATACAGGTATTAAAGAGGGTATTAAGGGGGATATTCTTCTCATTTACGTGGGACTCGGCTTTTTAGAGAATGGCTTTAAGGCTAGTAAGGGCTTTAGTCATGCTCGTTACAGCGTAGGCTTGGAATAGAGCGGCCATGTTAGTAGTTAACTTAATTTGTGTGGGAAAAGTTAATGAGGTGGGAAACGTGAAGTATAGATTAAGTGCTGACTTAAGGCTGAAGCTGAGTGATTACGCAATATCTTGAGATCTCTTGGAATCAGAGCGACTATTATCTTTCATCACACTGCCCCCATCTGCTCCGCTTGTAGGGCTGCGCATACGAGGAACCAATCTCGCGGCTGGAATGTGGATTATAAACGGAGTTCGATCAGGTTCCAGAGTAAAGCCATACAGTTGATTTGCCAGGGTGGGAAAAACACGAAAAACCGGTGGGACACGATCGAGATCTCCCTTGCTGTTGGACAACACCAATTTGCTTACTTGCGAGCATAGATGAGCGAATCGCAGTATGCCACTGCAAAAGGAATAGCCTAGTACTTGAAGTCTCCTCTCAAGACAAATATTCTACTATTTCAGGGGTCTGAGCTCCAGAGAGACGATGTGGGGAAATTTTATTTTTGGTGCACTGCCTCGAAGCGTGGTGGGGATGAGCTTGTCATGAGCAAGAACTGCGCAGCCAACGCAAACAGACCGCACCACAAGTCTCAAGAAGCTGATGTCAGCGGGGAGTTAACATCCTCAGCCTGGTTCTGGGTGGTTCTGGACACCTTTTCGGCCTAGCGGTACGGCTGACAGCTGAATTCCCCAGAAATCTAAAGTCACCGAGATCACCGAAATCGCTCGTCAAGCCAACGCCACGCTGTCCAGTTATCTTCGGACCATGGCAGTGCTTACGCCAATGAAACACTCCGCATGAGCATGGGCAAATGAGAACTTGCACTCATCTGGCCTTGTGCGGCCGGTGTGCAGACCACGATAACGCTATCCTCTGCAGCTTTCTGTGAGGTATTGCCATCATCCAAACCTTGGCCGAAGGAGAGTTCCTTGCCAGCCTTGTCAACCTCATTTCCGGAAATGAATGAAATGAAATTGTGTCTACCTATTAACTTGGCGCCCATCCTTTCCCTACGCGCTCTGAGTTCGCCAACCTCGAATTCTTCTTGCGTGTCAGCGCCGCGCTTCGTATTCTACATCTTGGCCCTTGGCAAGAATCTCGGTCTCAGAGATAAAGACCGCAATCCCCACACGGCTGGCATTTTCCACATGCAACGCCCATCACAAGATGAAGAGCCTCGAAATCAAGACCGTCGGCCTCGCAATCTCCTTTCTCGTCACGGCGGGGGCAGCACAAACCACGACAGCTCCTCCGGCCGCAACTGCTCCCGCCCTCCTACGCCCTTCTAGCGGCGAGATCATCACGATAAACCAGATATACACAGTCGAATGGACCCCTCCACCGCCTGGACCGCTCGCCATCGAGGTCTCGGGAAATCGGAATGGTCACGTCGGCCAGATCCATTCGCTCCTGCCCGATACCTGGACCTGCACTGGGTATATCATCAATACTGAATGTCGGAAATTGAATATTACTATTCCTGAAGGAGCGACTAGCTATGGTATTATCCCTATATTCCTCTGTCTCAATTCATACTAGTACTTATGACCGCGGGGTACTGATACGCGCTACAGTCTGGAATCTGACAAAGCCCTCGGACCTCTTTCGCATCTCTTACGAATATCTCAATCTCAACCTCGCCGTGTACATCGATGATGTCCCACGTGGAGAACTACCCGAAGACGCTGCGCCGTGGTATGTCAGTGGGCAATTCAGTCTCGTTGAGCCGCCGAGGGAGACTACCACTACGACAACAACCACAAGGACGACGACAACAACAACAACCTCGGCTACGGCGTCGGAATCAGCTAGTGAGTCTCCAAGTGCGACAAGTGGTGAACCCTCAGCGACCTCAACGGACGGCGGTGCAATTACGACCGAGACACCCACAGACGCGGCTGTTCCTCAAACTCCCGGAAGTGACAGCATCTGGAAGTTGGGTCTAGTTTTTGGAATTGCATTCGCTGGGTTCTTCTAAGTCCATCACGAGGTAGATAGTCGGGTATATATATTTGCTCTATGGAGCCTGTTCGTGTAAATATTGACCCCACAATAGCCCCGATCCTCTGCTGCAGATAATGATCCTGGATAGGAAGTGGATGAAAGAACAGTGTGTGCCAGGCTGAGAGCAGGACTGGAGTGCAAAAGACACAAACCCAACAAATGCTTGGCACGTCCTCCGGGAATGCCAAGCCGCCATCGGGCAAGAGGCTCGTGTCGCGGCCGTCCTCGCCGTGCGCGAGACTCGCCACTCCAAAACTTCACCTCCACTTCCCCATCCTCGAAGATCCGTGGTGTCGATGGCTACCCTTCGAAAAAAAAGGCCAATAACCATCCTGTGAGCCATGTCGCACTTCGAAACTTAGATGCAACCACACTACCCCAGTCTGCCAGCAATGCGTTGATGTACCACCCGTGCCTGCTGACCAAGCCTCAAGACACGCACCAGTAGAAAGAACAATTTCGGGCCAAAAGACACTCCTCCGCTGCTGCCACTGCTACTAGCCACCATTGATCTGAACTACCTGAATGGATTGAAAAGCCGCCTTCTCTTCTCCCGCGGAGTTCGCGACAAGCCCCCTCAACACGGGAAGTCCTTGCCGATTCAGGATTCCTGACCCCAATTAGCGGATCAAAAGGGTCTGATGATGTCTCGCTGATTCTTGACTCACAGGCGGAGGTATTGTATGACACTAGTACTCCACACGTAGACCCTAAAGACATTATCCCATGCAGGCGCCATGTCACCTCTCCCTTGAACGGGTTATGCTCAACACACTTGAGTGATTTGCCTTGAGGGGGTAGATATACCTGGCTGTTGGAGCGCGAGATGTCCCTGGGCATATCGAAAACTGACAGAGCGCGCTACGGCTCCAGAGGAAAACTCAGCCATGACCATCTGTCTGGAAGACAAGCGTACCGCCTCGGAATACGCTGTCAGAGATCCGAGCAAGGAGAGTCTATAGTGCTCAAAATATATCTTTCAAAGGCGTTTGACTTTGTGTCGTACTGGGCACTATTGGATACGTAGCTTTGAGGCCTTTGTTAGTTTCAAACAACAACAGGGCAACGGCCTTGGTTTTTGTAGTATGGGCAACGATTCTACTTTACGCTCAAAGGAGATTCTATTTATCCTGAGACTTTGCATTGGGAACTACAACAAAGAACAATTCCTTGTCAAATCTATCATTATCACCTGGTAACTCCCAAATGGTCTCGAGACCATCTTAATTCAAGGTATAAATGATCCTATTCTAGCTACGCGGGGCGGGGGGCGCACGGTATTTATTTCTACTCCTTCATTTCAAACATCCAACAATCTCGTCATCAAAAACGTCGGAATAACCGCGAACAGTATCGAGAACAGTTGCAGACAATGTTCCTCAATCTACCACAGCCGTTCCCCTGCCTTGTTGGCATTCCTCCTGGTGAGGACTACGATGCTATCCTCGATGCCGCTGACTGCTGGTCAGTCAAATGCAGCTGTACCCTCAACGGCGACCATGACGACTCGCGGACCGTCTTTGGTCGTTCCCATATCCGCATTGTCGAGACGGACCTGTCTCAGGCTTCACTGACGAAACTTACACAGCTCACTAGCAATTCTCGCATCGCGCCCCTTGTCCAAGGACTGCTCGTCCATCGAGCAGAGGATGCTGCACTTGGTCGCGGCTTTACCTGGTCCCGGAATTCTTTGGGCAAGATTACTCCTCCGGCAGTGCTAATCACTCAGCTCGCCGCCACCGTGCAATCTCTCACTAGCTGTGTACATTTCGGTGTATCGCGCGCCCCTAACCCTATTTTTACTGCCGTGGACAAGACCCAACCCTCGCCTAGCGAAGCAGTTGCCATCCTCAACACCGTCATCACACTGACGAAGCGCGAGGTAAAGAGTTACGGAATTGACTTTGGACTCTACAGCCACAGACCCTCTATGAACGCGAACCCTATCGACCAGGTCTCGTTGGAATCAATCCACATAGAAGACCCACCGTTCCTCCACTCATTGCAGAGTCTGGAAACACTAACCCTCAAAGTCCCCATCGAGTCCGAGGCATCAATCTCCTTCGCTCTAGCACTCATACAATCCGCCCCAAACATCCAGAATCTAGCCATCGACTTCGACGAAGGTACCTCCGCCGGTCCATTCCTATGCACCCTCCTCTCCACAGGCGTAACGATCCAACTTGAAACCCTAACACTAACAAACGGCACGCTCTCCGGTCGAGACCTGCTAACACTCTTCATCTACAACTGCGTGAACCTGCGCAGCCTCCACCTCGAGCAGATCCGCCTTGAGGAGATCGGGAGCTGGCTTCCGATCATGGATCTCCTTCGTAACGGGTTCCCGTGTCTTGAAGAAGCGAAGCTTCTGGAGCTCATGTCCGGGAACGACGCGATTGATTGGTGGAGTCTGGAGCTTGCGGGGGTTGGAAAGGATGATGTTGCTGGGAGGTCGCAGAGGAGGAGGTTTGTTTGGGATCGGGTGGAGGATATGCCGTATTAGCTGGCTGGCTGGGCATCGTCTGGTTGCAGGGGTTTTTTCTTTTTTGTTTTGTGCATGTTTCTTGCCTAGATTTTTACCATTCTTCATAGTTGAGTACATATGCTGGAATACTATTCCTCTGTGTTGGGATAAAGATCAGCGCTTTTCCTTTGACGCCTTCCCACCAACAAAGACCACTACCCTCTCAAGCTTGGCTTTGGCTTCTTTTTTGCAGGTCGAAAACCCCATAAATTTGCACATACAGAGGGCGTTTGCATTTTGCCGAACAAGATGCCGTAAATGCAGCGTCAGACTCCATCTTTGCAGTGACACGAATCCCAACGCTTAGGAAGCGGAATTCCAAGCACCTCTGCATGCAGCAATCGGGTGAGTGCTAAGTGCATGTGCCATAACGTTTCTTTCAGCAGAGTGTCTGTTCATCAAGATTTTCCCCTGGCCGAGTGTCACTATCGAGTTAGGGATGACTGACCATAGTCGTCCTTGAGCTGGTGGTATTATTAGATTTTCTGAAATATGTCCTCTTCCTTGATTTCTTGGGCGAACCTCTTTCCTTTTAGCCCAGGACAAAGACAACCAAAGATGAATCCAGCGGATCCTGTCATGTGGAATTCCGTCTTTATCGGTCGTCCGAGGGCCCGGCCCTTTGTCGAGTCCGATGCGAATGTCGCTTTGTCCTCGAAATATCAACGGCCTCGCAGTTTTATGCTCTCGATGGCCATCATGATTCAGTCCGTATACACAATGTACATTTGCCCTCCAATTTCTGCAAGAACATCACCGTATTTGCCAAACTATCGCACCACCTCAACATCAACATGACCATGAGCATGGACCTGGACATGGAGTGGGAGCAGCCCCCCTCCATGCTCTCCAAGCTCTGCAGCAGAGTCGTCAACTACGTCGAGGAACTCACCAAGCCGCCAAAGGAAAGAACCCTGGGCCCGAACCACCTGCTCGCCGGCACCTTCTCCGTCGTCGCACCCGAGCTCATCGAGCAAGTCGCCTTCTTCCTCAACACCACCGACAACAACTCTTTCCGCCTCACATGCAAGTACATCGAGCACTCGACGTTCTCGCACTGGGAGCGCACGTGCCTCGCGTCTATCCAGACGGACCTTTCCCACCGGTCGTTCATGAGACTGTCAGACCTCATCATGCAAGAACCTCTCGCGGCGCGGGTCAGGAAGATCGTCGTGACTGAGCGCAATTTCGGCGGGCTGGGCAAGGGCTTCAAGTGGGAGCGCGTCCTCGGCGAGCTGTACCTCAACACAGACCAAGTCTCCATCCGCATGTGGACTGCCCTCTTCTCGCAGTTCGACTACCTGCGGTGCGTCAAAGTCCAGCGCGGCTTTACAGCCTGGGACCGAGACGAGCGCACCCTCCTCTCCGCCAGCGACGCCTTCACAGTCGTCATGCAGATCATCACGCACGCACAGCTGCCCGTCACCTCCTTCGAGCTCGACTTTGAGCCCCAGAACTGGAACTCCATCGACCTGCGCCGCATTCGGCGCACGCAGCTGGTCGGCTCGCCCTTTACCGACAGCTGGGCGAAACTCCAATCGCTCTCGCTGCGCCTCAAACTCACCGAAGAGGCCGTTGCCGGTGTGCCGTACCTCCTAATGCACAGCTGCCCCAACGTCAAATCCCTCTCGCTCGACTGCGACGGCGGAGCCTACGCGGGCCGCCTGCTACATGCCATGGCGCAGAACCGGATGAACGCGAAGTGGAAACTGGAAGAACTCTCGCTGCGCAAAATCACCGTCAACGACGTCGAGGATCTCGGCTTCTTTCTGCAGCACCACTCGCGCACCCTGCGGAAACTGAAGCTCGCTTCGATAACCCTCGACGAACCGCTCATCTGGCCAAAGGTCTTTGCGCTGCTGCGCGACTGTTTCCTGCAGCTTAAGAGCATCGAGGTCGGTGATTTGAGGGATTTCGGCGACGCGAGGCATCTGGTTCATTGGCCGAATGTGTCCACGACGAGTACGCGGGATACGGATGGCGTGCGCTTCGTCTATCATGAGTGCAGGTGGCCGCCGATGAACCCGCGCGCGCCAAAGAAAAACTTTTATATTGCGTATCAGGGGAAGCAGACGCATACTGCGTTGAGGCTGATCGAGGAGTGGGCGGTTTATATGCCCTTAGGGCCGTAAGGTTTCGTCGCGGCCCGGGATGTCAGGGGGCTTGTATGCTGGTCTCGCGTAACCAGCGCTGTACCTTTGATGGGCATTTTTGGTTGTGTAGCTTTGATTTTATACTATTTGATTTGTGCCACTGTAGATGTATATATAAAAACAGATTCCCTTCTTCATACTACGCATTCCAAGAATAAGTAGATGATAGATGACCGAGAGATTAGCGAATCACAGCCACAATCAAGGATGAGACTGCAAGCCTGCCCATCGAGATGCAAAATGTTTGCTTCCGGGCAGGTCGGCGACTCCGTTCGGGTCTTGCGGCGCGCGTACCGACATATGCAGTGACACGTCGCCCCTCAGCCAGCCACATACAAGCTGGCCCAGAACGCCCATAAAAGGTGAGAACCACCCGATGCTGATCAACTACTCCGGACTGCTGCAATCCTCTAGCGTCACATACGCGTGATATACCGTCACAGCCATGGCATCGATCAAGTCAAAGTATGTCATTGACCCTCCCACAACAGACCTCCTCTCGTACCTCTTCGACGCCCCCTATAACGCGCACGGCGGCTGGCCAGACAAAGAACCACTCCTCGTCTCAGCGAGCAATCCAAACTTCTCAGGCTACACAATCGAGGAAATCAAATCAATCGTGAAAGCCCTGGGCTGTGGCCTCAACCTGCTTGGTACCCGGGGTAAGCGCATCATGGTCTACGGCACGGACAACATCCATTTCTGCCTGGCTGTGCTCGGAGTAATTGCAGCAGGCGCATCGTGCAACGTGCTTGCTGTGAGTCCTGTGGATTACCTTGTCAGTAGATTGCGCCAGCTGGATTGCGACACTATTCTCTTTGCGCCGCCGGATGTGGATACTGTGCGTGCTGCAGCAGAGGAGTTGGGTATCCCGAATGAGAGGCTCTTTATCGTGGATGAGGCTCTTGACAACTCGGAGACAACGCTTGCTGTCGGTGGGATTCGGCACTGGAGCTCTCTCTTGGATACACCTGGCCGTGCGACGTACGAGTGGCCGAAGCTCTCGCCCGAGGAAGCGATGACCACGACTGCGTTCCTTATATACACTTCGGGGTAAGTCCACCCACCCAAACTACTCTACCAGCATCTCCCAACACTGAAACGGTCTAGGATAACCGGGACATCCAAACTCGCCGAACGAACGCACTACAGCCTAATCGGCAGCATCGAGTCGACGCTCCACCACATCAACCTCGAAAAGACCAACCGCGAAACCATGGCCTGCTGCTACAAATTCTCGGGCCTCGGCTTCCTCATGCTCGGTATCCTCATCCCGCTAAAGGGGCGCTACAAGACTATATTCCCGGCTCCCTTTGCGCCGCCGGCATTTGCGGAATCTGCGCAGCGATTGAGGCCGACGATCCTCGCCGCACCGAAACATCTCCTTCGCGCCATACTAGCTATGCCGCAGAGACCTGATCTTAGCACAGTGCGACATGTACCGACGGGCGGGGCGGTCATTTCGTATGAGCTCATTTCGGAGTGGCAGGGGGCTTTTGGGTCGCAGGTGCAGAGTTCGTATGGGATGACCGAGTAAGGTGCCTTTCATTTCAGACCGATTCAGATCCGGGGACTGATAGTAGACACCAGGGCCGGCTTCTTCGCAACGCCCGAACCAACGCATGCCGTCCGGGACGCCGCGGTTGGAAGCTTGCTACCAAATGTCGAAGCGAAGATTCTGGATGATACCGGCTCACTGCTACAACGGAACGAGAGGGGGAACGTATACATACGCACGCCGTTCGTCATGAAGGGGTACCTTGATGAGCCCGCTCAGACTGCAGAGACGGTTATGGAGGATGGGTGGATTCGGACGGGCGATATTGGGTGGGTTGATGCGGAGGATCGGCTATATATTGTTGGTCGTTCCAAGGTAGGTGGTTCTCTTCGCATCCGGCGATACTCACGTATTTTACTAAAGCACGTACAGGATCTATTCAAGATCAACGGCGACAATGTCACGGCAGCGGAGATCGAGGCGGCGCTTCTGCTGCATCCGGATGTCCAGGATGTTGCTGTCATCCCAGTGATTCTGTAAGACCTCACCCTCCTAATCCCTCTCGTACTAGCCCTACCTTGGACAACCAACTGATACCCCTCCCAGGCCAGGAGACCCAGAACCCGTCCCCCGCGGCTACATAGTCAAATCCGACAAATCCACCCTGACCCTCTCCGAACTCGGCTGCTGGATGAAGGACAACCACCCTCCGGAATTGTCTCTTCTCGGCGGCGCGTCGTTTATCGAGGCTATCCCGATTGCAAATGTGCGTATCCGCTCACTTCCCTTGTTGTTCTTTTCTCTAACAGCCACCAAAGGGCGGAAACAGCAAAGTCGACCGACAACGCCTCGTGCAGCTCGCACAGCGGGAGCTTTCTCTGTCTAATGGTAACTGACCTGAGTCCAAACCAGATGGAGAAATAACATACACTGGCGCCATAGGATGGAAGAATACTAGGTGGAGAGCAAGGTGCTATTTATCCGTCTCGAAGCGTACAGTTCTCTATAGAATACCATACATGCACCTTCTACCGGATTCTTTTCCTTCACTGTGACCCAGATCGACTTATCATATTCATCGTTATATAGATCCCCGTGTTCTCAACCGGCAGCTATGGAATCAGGCCAATACACCGACTATCGATATATTTCCACGCAAAGGTGAAGCACCAGAGAATGTCCGATCGAGTTCCCTGACTCGCCACATTGTTTCAAACATGCAGACCTAGATCGCCGCCTGGCTTCCTGCCCCAGCCCCAGTCTGGCCAGCCGCAAGCCTCTCCTTGTCCTGATTCGTGACAGAGACCGTTGCCACACCCGTCTCCTCGTCGGTCGTCACACTCGCCGTATCCCCCTTTGCCTCAACGGGGACATGCTCCCTCATGGCCACCCAGGTCGGGTACACAGCAAGACCTAGTATGCGCGAGTCAGCATGGAAGCCAAAGCAAGAATGGGGAAACAAGATTAGGATAGAAAACAAAGGCAAAACATACCCAGCAAGATCGTATTAACAGCGAGTGGCACCCTCCCGCCCTTCCACTCGCGGGTATTCAGCCCAAAACTAACCGCCTGCGCAAAGCTCTCCTGGCCGCGGAGGATGCCCGAAAACCGACTGAGTTCCGAGATATTATCCGTCTTGGTCGCGAGGAAGTAGTACAGCCAGTTCTGCAGCGCCTGCCGTGCGAAATCCCACAGCAGCAGGACGAAGAAGCCCTCGACGAAACCGGGATCGACCCAGTCCCATGCGGGCGGGTTCGCGGTATATTTCTCCTGGATGACCCACCCGTAGATCCAGGCGATGACGTGCCAGAGCACGACCCAGTAGAACCCGTATTCGATGCGGCGTTTCACGGGGAGGCCCTTGTAATCCAGCAGCGTGCTGATGAGTTGCGAGGAGAGGAGGGTGCCGAAGTTGCTCACGAACCCGATGAGGGCGCGTGCGCGCACGCCAAAGTAGTATGTTTGAAAATTGCCCGAGTACTGGTTGAAGTATGCCGCCCAGAAGATTGGGAGGAGGAGGAGGATGTCGCGGCGCATGCTTGCTCTGTACAGGGCGCGGAATTCGGCTGCGAAGCTTGCTTCCGCGCGGACGATGACTTTGCTCCCGTCGGAGCGCTGGACCTTTTCGGGGGGTGAGAGGAGGAGAGCCACTGGGGCAGCGACGCACTGCAGTGCCACGAAGATGAGGTATGTTTGCGCGTCGACGGACCCCTTCTTCACGGCCGAGGCATCGTTATTCAGCGCGAGGACAATCGCTCCACCGACAAGCGGCCCACCAGTTCGGAACCACAGCCAGATGTTCATATATCGTCCACGCTTATGCGGCTCAGGATATCCCAACGCAACAGCGCCCTCGCTCGCCCAGAAGAGTCCCGCGGAAACACCACACGTCACCGCGCCCACGAGGACAAGCCACTCGTTCCCGAAGCGGTTATTCGTGTACAGACCCGCCGAGTAGACCGGGTACCCGACTGCGCCGAGAAAGAGCGTCCAGGCTAATCCGATGCGGTTTGCGATGGGTCCGCCGAAGAGGCAGAGGAAGCCCATGAGCCCAAAGACGAGGGCGTTCGCCGCGTTGACGAGGTAGGGTTCCTGCGCACCACCGGCGCCCAGCGAGGACATGGCGTTCCACAGGCCCGGGGCGAGGAAGCCGACTGCGCCGATGACGAAGGCGTTGAAGAGGGTTGTGCGGTACCATTTTCGCTGGATGACATTGTCCGGCTGGGCCTCCGTGGTGGAGGTGGCGGTTGGTTCACCCATTGTGAGAGAGCTGGCAGCGAGGGCAGTGAAAAGTTTGACTGCTCCCGAGTAGTATCTCTGAATGCTTTTATAGCCATCCTTATTGATCACGCCAGAGCGGTTCGCCCCGCCTTGTGGACTCTGAGTGTAACGCTATACCATCGTAGTGCGCGATTGCGCCATCTGCCAAGCGGGAAAAAAAAATGGAGACATCACCACCCAGACCATGTGTGCTATCTTTTCAGCTTTTGTTGTCGCTGCATGGTGAACATGGAGTCGCATGAGGTCGGCGCAATGTCCTAATGCTGTCTTGCTGTAGATGTGGCAGGTTTAGGGCTGAATCTTAAGTCAGCTTCGCGATGATGCGCTCCGCCAGCGCGCGATATGTCGGCCGAGATAATGGTCGCTTCCGCCACCAGCAAGACATATGCCGACTACGCTAAAGAACTCCGTATAGATTAGTATCGCGTAATTGGCCTCCAGAGCAATGTTTTATGACTCGGAAGGGGGGCCTCAGGTGGCGGAATACGAGGCAGCTTCGGAGCTAATCCGCTCGGCTGGGCCTCAGTGGTCGGCCACGCTATGCCCGCGGACAGGATATGCGAAAAGCATGTGGACTTATTGCTAATGTCGTGCCGTCTTGGGATACCCTTGGAACCTGAAAAGCCAGACGGCTGCAAACCTTGGCACGCAAATGTGGGCCCTGCACGTTTCAGATCTTGTTTCCACGACTTCATGTTGGTGTTCTCCCTACCCTCACACGACGCACCAGTGAATCAGGATAATGCACACCAGTAAGAGTCTGGAAATTGACATGGTTGATTTTGCTTCAGTCCCAAGGTAGTCGAGTGTCTGGGCACGGCCTTGCTTGAACTTATATTCAAATCGTGCCTTATTTACTCTGTATATCAGTGCGCGGGCACATGAGTGAGTACTCGTAACTGAAGCCTTTTGACATATATTGCCTTGTTTTGGCGGGATAACGGAATAAACCATTCTTCACGAGGCTACCGCAGGGGATCTGGAATGCCTGCATCGTGCATGCGTATGGTAATCCTCGTGGCTACTACTTCTCCTAAATAGTAGACCTGGACGTTCTCAGATTGCGCTGGATTCGCTACAAGGAAAGGGCGCAGAGCCCCAAGGCGGTGCAGTCCTCGTATCACCCTCCCTGAACGCCGACGCCAGTGCTGCCCCTCTACTTACGTTCTTCGCCCTCCGGCGGGAAACAGAAGGGTGGTGTGAGATGAAGCTGATGTGCGTTGCCAAAGAAAGTGTGCAGCACGAGATGGGGCATTAGATCGCGGGAAATTGGGTATTAAGGGATTTGCCTCCATTTGCCTCCATTTGCCTCCATTTGCGATCTGAGACGGGGCCAGCACAGAGTCTGTATCGCAAGCTGGGGTGTGGTTTACAAAGGCGACACCTAAAACATTTTAAGGATATCACCAAGCTTGTGTAAATAGACTGCGCCTAGTAGATAGTTATACAGCTCCCTCGCAGAAATCTCGGTGTGTCATCAACGCAACCCCAAAATATCCTTTAGAACCGCCAGAGCCCCAAACAGCTCACTATCATGGTACTTCCTCGCAACAACCTGCAGCGCAAGGGGCGCGCCGTCGAAATCCCCACTCTCCCACAACCGCTTCACATCCTCACAAGCCGCGCTCAGTGGCGTATACCCAGGGTCGTACTGCACCCCGGCCTCTACCCTCACCGGCGTCGGAACAACAACACCGGGATAATCAACGAGATTATACAGCGACGTATACGTCCAGTAAAACGCGGTATCATGTGCACAGGCCGGGCCCACAAACGCTGGCCCGATGACGACGTCGACATCTTGTTCCTCCCACGCACGCGCAAAGGCGAGCCGGAATTCATCGCGCTCTCGGCGGAAGTTGTTCACGGCCTCTGCGGTTAGCATTCCCGTCGCTTCGGCTTCTTTCCAGATCGCGGTGCTGAGTGGTTGGATTGGTTCGCCGGAGGCCTGTAGGGAAGATTTGAGCAGGTTGGCCCCGTCCGGCCAGTAGAAGCGTTGGATCTTGGACCAGGCTGCTGCTGCGCCGAAGGGGGTGAATGGTTTGATTTCGAGCAGGTTTGCATGTTTCGGGTGGGAGAGCAAGGTATTCGCCCATTCAACCGCCCTCTTTCCGGGCGGTTGCGGCTCAATGAACCCGTCGTTCCTGATAATTCCAACCTTGAGACGTCGTCCCAGCGACGTCTGCAGACCCGTCCAGGGCAGCGGCACAAGCCTTGGGTCAAGCAGATACGGCTTCGCCTCCGCCATAAGCCGCATAAACATATCCATATCCCTAAGACTCGTACACATCGGCCCCGTCGAGCAGAGAACATTCAACTCTGCCGCAAACGGCGCCGCTAGAAATCCGTCCATCGGCAGCATATACGAGGTAGCCTTGAATCCGTAGATCCCACAGAACGCCGCAGGACCCCGGATACTTCCCCCGATGTCTGTTCCAACACCGAGCACTGAGCCACGCAGTGCGATGAGAGCAGCTTCTCCGCCCGTCGACCCACCCGCTGAAAGCCGGATATTGTACGGGTTCAGCACACGGCCCCAGTGCGAGTCGCTCTCGAGGTGCATGAGCGCCTGCGGCTGGTTCGTCTTGCAGTAGAAGACTGCGCCTAACTTTCGTAGGATAGAAACCATCTGGCAGTCTTGTTCATCTTTCACGATGCTGGCTAGCGAGCCCTGTGATGAGAATGTCCCCGCGATGGGGATATGGTCTTTGATACTTATGGGCACGCCGTGGAGGGGTCCGATGGGTTTTCCGTGCTCGGCCACGTAGTCATCTAGATATTTCGCTTGCGCGAGTGCCTCGTCCGCGAGCCATTGTGTTAGGCAACAGGTGAGCTGGTGGGCGATGATGGATCGCTTTAGAAATGCCGTGGTCACTGCCACGGCAGTGTACGTCCGGCTCGCAATAGCTTCCGCAAGCCCGACCGCATCGTACGTCTCGGTGATTTGGATTTCCTCAGCAGACAGTATTCCGCACGTGCGTGGGATGCCAGAGACATCGTTTGGTGGATTGGCGATGAGGGCTTGCGGGAGACGATATTCGGGAGGGACTTTGGCTTGGAAACATTCGAGTAACGCAGCACGTTTGGCTTCGAATTCCGGACTACCCGGTGGCATGGGTTTTATCTGGATACAGAAGCGGGGTTCAGCGGCGGGGGCCATACTGATCGATTTGAGAGAAATGTTCAGAGGCGGTTGTTGCGTTTGCAGGTGTCGATTATCACATTGGACGACTAGAAAACCAAGTTGGACTGGCTATTATAATAGGACCCGACAAGCTGTCTTATCTCTCTTGGCCTTAATATCTGCTTGATAGCGACGATTTAACAGCTGAAGATAAGCTCACTGGGACCAGAGTATCTCCCAACCCGTGACGGCACTTGGAGGAACCTTATCGAGGCCTGAAGAGAGGGGTAAATATGCACAGCGTAACTCCTGCCCAAACAGGAGCAAGGATCCCATCACTTGCACTGCACCAAAGCTAGCCTATCAAAAGCCATCTTTACCAATTAAACATCAGATAGAGTCGGGGATAGTCTAATTCATCCTGCAATTCAAACAGGTAGGGGAAACAAAAGCGGATACATACCCAGCTTGCGAGCTATAATCGTCAGAGCCATGCCTTGCAAGGCTTCCACTGGGGTTTACGGGGCTAACTCGAGAGTTCGTCTGAAGTAATAATTGCAAATTCGATCTAGATATAAATGGCCCCGCCGCTCGCTTCATCTCGTTGCCTGCACCATACAGCTCCTCGTAATCTTCCATTCCCCATCCGTTTGCCTCGGGGTTTCTAGGTTGTACTTATAGCCCCTACATTGAGAAAATCGCCTAGCTATTATTGTAGCTTTACTTATCTGAGGATAATATTTCAAGACACTACAGCATATATCCCGATGCAAAATACAGTGTAACTAGCCTACTTAACCCGATAGCATTGCTATAGTGCCTTTATAGCTAAGATTATCAAGATAAATCAAGATGTTGCCTAACGCTGTCCGGCCACCAGGGCCCTATGCTTACCTCTCGGCATACAAACATACTCAACATCCTCAATGGTCATCTCGAAATCTGTGGGCGTCTCTTGCGGCGGCACACCCGTACTTGTGATTGTTGTCGTCGCGATCACAGTCTCCGTTGCCGTCGATGAGACCGGACAGGTCGGCGAGCAAGTTGTCTTTGTGGACGTCCCAGTTTCAGCCGGAGTGGTATCCGCGCTTGAACCAGGCGTGACGGGGATAACGACGAGCGGGTCATCAGTTGTTTCCACAGGAGCACCTGATTCAGTCGAGGGCGCAGGACTAGTCATCGTAACAAATGTTGTCGGCGTAGCAGTCACAACAGGGGTAGAAGTCTCCGTCGTATCCTCACGCTCCTCACCCGGACCAGCAGGATTATACAACTTCGGCCCAGGCGGAATATACCCCTTGACCTCCCCCCAAACATTCGTATTGAGCCCGGGTTCCTGCCCCGTATAAAGCTGCGCCCCAGGCACACCCTCAGGGACAGCCTCTCCACCCTCGGTAACCTGCAAATTAATACACTGCGGATACAGCTGAAACTTACCATGCATAGCGACAATCTCATGGCGGAGCACATACCCGCCCGCCTTGATATCCGCGGGGATAACCACGTCCCAGGAATTCCCCTGCTGGATGAGGATATCCGACCCCCAAAGGCCATTCTCGAAGCCGCTCTCGCTGATTTTGAAAAACTTCAAGTCGGCTGCGTGCACAGCCGCACAGTCGCCGTTACACGCCGCCAGATAGTTCAGTACGGGGCCCTTGTGTTCGCCGAGCCATTGGCTCCAGGTTACTGTCACGGTTTCGCCGGCGGCGATTGGCGCGGAGAGCTTTCCTGGTTTCGCGTCTCGATGGCAGATGACGTCGGGCCCGGGGACGGTCTGAACGAACCCCGTGTCTGTGGCTGTTGTGCTCCAGGCGATTAGGTCGGGTTTGGGCTCGCTCCAGGGGTAGACGTCTGCGAGGAAGCCGCCGTATTCCTGTCCGGCGACATTGATGGATTTGATGTAACCGTGGGCGGAGACTGTGCCTGCTGTGGCGAGGGCGGCGAGGATGAAGAGAGGGACGGTCATGTTGAGTTATTCGATAGTCACGGCCGGCGTGATTGAATTTGCAAACAAAGAAAAGGTTTCAGGAGTGTTAGATTCGTCAATCAATTGATGTACTTGACACTTGCTAAGCGGAAATTGGCCGGAAAGGGAACCACAGGCGCTCCTAGCGTATATTTATAGAGCATGGCGAGTCTTTGTTGGAGGCTCTTGTCTGACGCATTGTTCCTAGTTGAGAGAGGGACAAAGGGCGTGGCGCAAAAACAATCGAGTCGAGACGTCGTCCGTCGAGCAGACAATGGGGGCAGCATTATAATATCCTGCAGCTAATGGCATTCAATCGAAAGGCAGGTTCAGTCAAGAGTTTCGTCACTGCAGGCTTGTTGCATTGTTAACTGGTCTAGCCTCGTCTTGGGGCTACGTTGGACTTGTCATGGGCTGCATACAGTGTGACTACGATCCGGCCTCTAGAAGGCCCCCGGCTTTCTACTACGAAGGCTTGAGATACTCACGGTCGCACTCAGAACTCTCAGTGACGGGAGCCCGCACACTCATGTCTATAGTTGGCTCAACCCCCCGTCTCTCACCTCCCCCGCCCTGCCTGTCGATCTGTACAGCCCTGCTCAACATTTTACATGTGCGTCGATCGATACTTCAATAACTTATCAAACGTCATCAACTGCCCTCCAAAACGCCTGGAAACAGCTCCGCTATGAACAGCCGTACATTGCTATTACCATTGATATTCAGAAATAAGAACATGGGCTATGAGATTCCAGATGGAAGGGCAATTGAGTGGTTATCTTCGACGTTTATCGTTTCTACCGCCTCTACCGCTGATCAACTATATCGTACGCCGAGGGGAATTACGCAGGGTACAATGTATTTCATCCTCGCCTCCTCAGAACTTGTCTTCCCTTCTCTGCACGCGCACATTGATGGGATGGGGACGATGCACTTGTGGGATTGCTATCTAAGTGCGGTTGCAAACCCAGCGGGGGAGGTCGAGTTTGGAAAGAAGTATGTTTGGCTGGCGCCAACGGTGCCAGAGATTCTCGGGAAAACTGCGGAGCCAACTAAGGAGGAGCTTACGACGGCGAGCGCCAAACTGATGGAATATGTCACTAAGCTTCCCGCGATTGGGACTCCTTCTCGCGTGGAAAGCGCGCCGTTCAAGGAGTTCGTACAACGGAACTCGTTCTTCTTGTGGAGACGACGAACGCCATCATCGCTGCTTGCAAGGAGCGAGGCATCAGCGTCACATCTGCCTTCCACCCAGCTTATATTGCCACGGTAGCGCGTAATCCGGATCCTGCAGGTGCCCAGTCTAGATATACGACTATCAGTCCGTTCAGGCTGCGGCCGCACCTCCCATCACCATACACCACACGCGAATACGCTGCCGTGTTCTGTTACACGCCCGTCCAGTTCCGGTATCGAGATGCCTGCGTCGTTTTCGGAAATTGCCAGTGCACTCAGCAAGTCCTACCGGACTAGCCTAAGAGAGCATCCAGAGTTCGTCGAGCTGACTGGACCGCCCAAGCATATGGTTGCGCAACTGGTTCAGAGGCAGGAGGCTGCCAACGCTCCGGTTCCCGCGTATGCCATAGTGAGCAGCCTGGGTATCATTGAGGATAATTTGAAGCGCCCGTATGGGGATGCGGTCAAGGTACCAACTCCATGATGGGTGTTGATGTCGTGTTTGGGATGTCTGCGCTGCATGTTTTCACCTTCGATGGGCAGCTGAGAGGTGTGTATAGCTGCAATCACGGCTATGAAGATCCATTGCAGATACAGACGTACTTGACCGAGGTCGAGGGTATACGGAATGAGGAGCTTCTGGGATTATGTCGCCTACTTTGGCCATTGTCTGTGCTGTGGTCTCTCATCCAATTCGTCCAGGGCGTAAATTCATAACGAGGGTACATCGTCGTTGCTCTGAGCCACCTTAATCTCCGCGCTTTGTGCAGAAGCAACGCAGATGCACCAGGCCTTCTCGCATACGAGAGGTCAAAAATCTGCAAAGAAAGCCCCAATAGCATCATCATCGAAGGGCATAAAGTTATCGAACTCGGCCCCGAAAAGCGAGGGATCCCCCAAATCAGGAAATTGCGAAAAGGAGATAGGTGTGTATGCCGAATTCGCCATGCGGCACAGTTGTTGTGTTTGAAGCTGTGTATGGTCAGAATGAGATATGAAGGCAAGATATAATGGCAAGGGAGTACATACCATCTGCGCCAGATTCCCTTGCTGCTGAGCAGAAGAGCTTATCAACCGTTCCCGGCAGGCTGATAAAGCTTCCAGAACACCCCGATGGACAAGCTCCTTCTTCTCCCCTTTCATTCCACCCGAACGTGCCAAGTGGAACTCGACTGCAAGTAAGAGAACATCCTTGAAGCTGCTATTCGGATGACTAAAACTCGCGATAAGACCTTTGAGGGCGTTCTCCACGGTACGTATTAGGCTCGCTTTCGTATGTGGTGTGGGCGAGGTCACTTCCGGCTTCTTGATGTGTTCGCATAGATACAGTGCCGCGCGCAGAATATCGTTCTTGCAGAATATTTGGAATATCTCCCAGAATGCGGGGACATCCAGGTCAACCATGCTCGGGTCGAAGTGGTCCTGGTGCACAAGAACGCCGAAACACAGATCTAGCGAAACGTTTCGCACATTCTGTTTTGGGTGAATCTTGGTGATGAATGAGTTCAGGCAGATAAGGGGTCGCCGTGTATACAAATCTACCAGGACACTGTTGAATAACATGGCGGCAGTTTTGCCGGGTCTTGTGGGAGGGTCAAGGACGACAATATTGTGTAGATGATCTTGAAGGTCGTTTGCGTATTGGGCGGCCTGTGTGAGGTTACAAGTGCCGGACTGGACGAATAGCATTGTCCGAATTCGTGTCCGCAAAGAGCCTGCCAAAAGCACCTGTGGAAGAGCCTCAGTCCATTCACTCGTTGGTCGACCAGGCGGCAGCTCGTCTACCGACTCGTCAAAGTCCGTATCTTTCAAATTGGCCGCGGTCAAGGGACCAAAGTCCATGTCCGGAATGGTAACGGGCATTCCCGACGCGATCGACGCTTGAAGATCCATCTCGGCAATTGTAATCCACAGTCTACGTCTGATTTCCTTGTCAAAAGGCGATATGCCAGTGACTTTTGACAAATCGAGATGTAGACCAATGACCATGGCTGAGCGAACGAGCTCACCCGTCGCTTGCCACAGGTCCCCTGGTGAATCTCGCCGCAATTGCCGGGCCAGTATGACAATTGCCTCGGTCTGAAGAGTTGATGTTTCCGTCCGCTGCTTGCGACCGAGCTTTCGCAGCCAGCCACGTACGATATTGAGGGCGTCGTTCTGCAGATAGCCATGAATAGTGGGAAAGTCCAACCGGAACTGGGTTTCGACAAATGGTAGGCCTGCAACCAGCACAGCTGTCAACTGGGCCAGGAACGCAGAAGTTTGATCAGCGTCCAGGTCGCCAGTTGTGAATCGAGCAAAGTGACGTTTAAAGGTTGGGATATGGAAAATCCGAAAGGTCTTTTCAAGATTGGCCGCATACAAATCAACCAGGCGGTCGCAGATATTATATGGCGGCAGGCGCTCTCGCAGCTGCTGGAGCTCAGAGGTTCCAGACTCGAAAATCGACTCTGGTGAGTTCGGAACCTTTGATCTGCTCTGCAGAAACTGGATCTCCTTGGCAAGTCTAAAAATTGGAGAACTCATGTTGCATTCGTGATTGATGAAGGTTTTGGCATCGCTGTACTGATGCAGCAGGGAGACCCGGTTGGTCTGCCCGTGATAGAGAGTTCTCGTGCCTTTGACAACCAGGACGCCTGGGTATGGACTCGCTGAGGAAGGTGCGTCCGGGGGTGCGCCAGGGGTTCCATTGGAGGAAGGCGCGATCGAGGACGGCGTATTTGAGGAAGGTGTAGCTGAAGTGAGATCGGGGGAAGGAACGTTCAAGGCTGGTCCATTCGAGGAAGGAGCGACTCGTCTATCTCCTCCAGCCCCTAAGTCGTCCAAAGCAAACGACGCGAGAAAAGGATTGTGCGGGTTCACGGCGAGGAGATCCTCTAGCCTTTTCATCCGTTGCTGCAGTCCCTCGATAATTCCGACTTTGCCTGAATCCAAAGTGAGCCTACTGTTAGAGGTGTCTCCATCATCGGCCAGACGAAGTCTTTTCGAGCCATCCGGATCATGCTGATACGCGCAGTCCGACGAGAGACCTGCCTTTTTGCAGTTGTCACAGGGGGCGACGCGGTCGCATTTTAATTTCTTTTCGCGACAGCGTAGGCAGGAGATGATCGGCCGAGGCCGTCTCCGGGGGGCGCCATCACCATCAGGCATGCTGTGGACGCCAGGGCTGGCTGGACCAAGCTTTGCTGCTGCGGGGAAAACAAGTCGCGTCGCGACGCGAAGCGGCGAAGACCGTTCGGCGTCGGCCCAGACGGAGTGCCAAGAGAGCAATTCGCGCTAGTCTTAATCTGACCTCCAGAGCGAAGAGAGAGAGAAGCTCTAATTTTACAGGAAGGGTGTCTTGGCAGCGCCTTAGTCTGGTCTCCTAGACGATCTTTCTTGTGTCCAGTCTACTACCCGCTCCTGTCGGATTAGCAGAGTACGCCTTGATCTGGCTAGACGATATGTCCATGGCCTCGGCAGCGGTTTTCTCGCGATCAAGCCGAAGATTATATTCTCGGCAGTATACTCACGACTGGGCTTCGAAATCCTTGATTTCCTACCTTGAAGTTGTGAGGCGATGGCCATTGGGCATCGAGAAATCACCCCATCCCTATGTCAAAATATATTGTCCGCTAGTGTATCTGAGAAACGAAAACAAAATCCAGAACGCGAATAATCACCAAGCCACTATCAGCACGAGAGGTCAATAGACACATCTAAGTCGAAATAACAGGCTCGGCCCCATCCCACTCGGTACTCTCAACTGCATTAACCAAAAACCCCGCAACGCCCACCCGACTAGCACTCGCCATAAGCGGTACCCCCTTCCCATGCTCAGCCCAAACCTTGACCTTCCTCTCATTAGATTCCACAAGCCTACACGGCCGAACAAGCACATACTCTACCTTCCCATCCCTTTCTCTACTATTCTCCTTAACAAGCCCCTCAACAGCCCCATGATCCTCATACTGGAGCCACATATTTGATTTCCGCATGAGCAGCTGCAGCATGCAGTTCATATTCTCCCACGACTCCCCGACGCCGAAGGCCTGCATGATGACGATTTTGCGCACGTTAAACTCCGTCATTGCGGTGAGTACGTTTCGTGTGCAGTCGGCCATTAGAGTTGGTGGGGATATGGGCGCTGCGAAGGGGCTGTCGCTTGCGCGAGGGGCGGAGAGGGTGCTTATCACGGCGGAGATGGGGTGAATATTCTGGGAGGTGAATGCGGATCGGACGTCATTTAGATTGGCTGGTGTCCCTATTCTCGATTAGATTCATCTGGTCAAGTTTGAGATTGAGGCGGTGCGTACCTTTCACGATGTTAAGCTTGGCACGTGGGTTGCCGAGTGCCAGTGGGTTTCGTGCGAGAGTCGTTACTTCGTGGCCTATTGGTCTGTCAGAAATGCGCGGAGATCTTGGCAGAGAAGAGTCTGCATACCTCGCGAAAGAAGCTCGTCGATGACAAGTTTGCCGGTTCGGCCGGTTCCTCCGATGACAAGGACGTGCATGATGATATGATGTTTTGAGATTGGAGATGGTGAGTTGAAAAGCAGAGTAAAGGCGATTATAGGAGAAGAACCCTGATAGTTGTGAATTGAGATCTATTAAGTATGTGACTATGAAACGTTTTATAATCTATAGCAAAGCCATACATCGAAGGGTTCTCGGACCATACTTCGGATCCGACGGAGAAGAGGCGACTTCTCCGAAGTGCACAGCCCTCGCCCACGATTGGTTGGCGCTCAACGGCCCCAAAATCAAGATCAGCCCCGGCCCCAGATCGAGAACCCTCAGCCCAGCGGCAAACGATCCTGCTTTCGGAGAAGAGGTCGGATCCGAGGGCAGCCTCTTCAGCTTTGCAAATCTCACTCCAGGGTGCTATTCTATATAAACCCACGAATCCCGCCTGTCTAGAATTCTGTCCTCCAAAACAACACGATTCACATTCCAATCCTCCTTTCAATTCCCTTGTTATTCCAAACCAACCAACCCGATCCCTCGCTTTACCCCCAAACCGTCCACCATCTGCCACTAAGACAATGCCCCAACCCCAATCCATCGCCATAATCGGTGCCGGCCTCTCCGGCCTCACCCTCGCCCTCTCCCTGCATGCACAGGGCATCCCCTGCAAAATCTACGAGTCCCGCTCCGCCCCGCTCGACATCGGCGGCGCCCTCATGCTCTCCCCCAACGCACTCCGCATCCTCGACGCGCTAGGCGTATACCCCCGAATCAGAAGCGAAGCGTACGAATTCGACACGCTGTATTTCAGATCCCCCGAGGATAAACCGCTTGACACATTCGAGTTTGGCTCCGAAGCGAAATACGGGTATCCCGGGGTCCGGGTGTATCGGCACGTGCTGATCCGGGAATTGAGTGCGATGGTGGCCGAGAGCGGGGTGGAGGTCAGTTATGGGAAGAAGTTCGTCCGCGTCGTCGCGGATACCGAGCAGGGCGTGACGTGGGAGTTCGAAGATGGGACCCGTGGATCAGCAACGTGTCTCGTTGGCGCCGACGGCATTCACTCGAAAGTCCGAAGCTACCTATACCCGGACCTGCAGCCAACATTCACGCATACAATGGCCGTCACGGCTGCCGTCCCGACGTCTCAGCTCAAGGTTCCAGACGGCTATGGATTACCAGTCACAATCCTCAACAGAACCCACGGCGCGTTCGTGATCGCCCCGCAACAACCCTCCGGCTCCGAAGTCCTCATCGGCCGGCAGAAGCGCGCGGCGCAGCTTGATCGGGCTGGGTGGGATGCCCTCTTGAACAATAAAGAATGGTGCATCGACTTCCTCCGCGACGGGGCGAGCGATTTTCCAGAGGTCGTGCAAAATGCAGTGCGGCACATCGAGACGGACAAAATCAACCTGTGGCCGTTTTATGTGGTTCCCAAGCTTGAGACCTGGGCGTCCAGTTCTGCTCGCGTTGTTATTCTCGGTGATGCGGCGCATGCGATTCCGCCGAGTGCGGGGCAGGGGATTAACCAGGGCTTTGAGGACGTGTTTACGTTTGCCGCGGTTTTGAAGCGATGCGAGGGCGGAGAGGGGGCGCTGAAGAAGGCGCTCACGGTTTGGCAGGGCGGGAGGCAGGAGAGGATTGATAGGGTGCTGGAGCTTAATGCGGAGATTGATCGGCGGCGAGGGCCCCGAGCACCCGGGCTGGAAGAGCAGGAGGAGACAAGTAGGGCTTTTGAGTTGGGTTGGTTGTATAAAGTTGATTTTGAGCAGATGGTTGATGGGTGGTTGGCCAAGGCGTAGCCGACGGACTTTTGTTTGGTATTTGCTTGCGGATATAGAATAAACGGAGTATATTTCCTGGCAATCTCAAGTACCAGCTATGTTGTTTCTTCCAATCCTCTATATCTGCTTCACGGGCCTCACCACCTCGAACCGAAAGGGCACATCCCCTAACCCCGCAACAACATCCTCCAAATCCTCCTCGCAAACCACCACAACCCTAAACTCCTCCACACTTACGTTCCTCATCGGCTCCAACAGCCACGGAATCGTCCGTTCCAGGTCATATCCCCACTGTGCATCAAGTGTGACAACCAACTCCCGCAACCCCTTCATCGACTCCAGCAAATTCCACGCCCTGATCCACGAGGCCGGGGTATTAAACGCCCATTCCGGAACGGGACACGCAAAGACGGAATTCGAGAAGGCTGTGAAGATTGCGCGGGTGGTGAAGTGGATGGCTCGGATGCTGTGCAGGCGCGCTGGGAGGATGTGCTTTGGCAACAGGGATATTGTTTCTGAAGACCGGAGGGCGAAGGTGTTCTTTTCGTAGAGGATCGGGAGAGCTTCGGCGTATCTACTTTTCATCATTATGAAATCCTGGACAAAGTTTCTGGCACCGCACCGCGCAAGAAAGGAGGAAACAGAAAGGGAGAGAGAGGAACGTACACCCTCCGACAAACCCTCAACACCCCCAAGTGAACCCGAACCCTCCCCCGTCCCCGATGCCTCCCCAACCCAACGACACAGTTTCCCCTCGGAATCTCATGCTTCCCCTCCGCCTCCCGCCTTGATACCCAGCACCGGTGATCCCAGGCAGGAATATCGCTTCGTCGCTCGTAGCATGGGACCGTCACGACCCGGGAGCGGGAGCGAGAGCGAGAGCCCTGGCGATAGTGTATGATATGTAGCGGCGTCTGCCGGGGTGCGAGGAGTTCGGTATAAATCATATCGCGGAGTTCGCGTGAAAGCAGGGTAAAGAGAGGCGAGTTGTTTTGTGGGTTGCAGGTGATTTGTGCGGGGTTTGGATTGGATGTTGGGGATTGAGTCTGAAGTGAAGTGCGGAAGGGGAGTTTGAAGGAGCGAAACTTGGAGGCTCCATATCTACGGTGTGAATTGGGCCTGGAATAGGTGGACTGAGATTCAGAGCAAAGATCCCCTGATGGAGGAGGTGTAAGGGCGCGTTTCCGGGGGAGAAGAGAACAGGGTGGTGCTTGGCATTCAGGGTTTCTAGCCAGTTCGCGGTTGTATTCGGCAACTATATCATGGGGCATCTTGGAAGCTAAGGTTGCAGTTTCTCAGTCCCAGTTACGAGATGGGCTGAAGAGCCGATAAGTAGTGTGATCCAGGTGTGGCGGAGTCGACGAGAATACGAGGTCTGAGCCTCATCCCCCAGAAACCACGCTACAGGGTATGATCGATTCACTGAAAGGCCGGTTTAGACATTTTGGCGTCTAAGCAAGCTAGCTTCAGAGTAAAACTATATTCTGTGATCAAGCCGTTCGAGAGTATGACACGAAGGCTTTCATATTAAAATGACTAACATGACTAACAACTGAGACAGCGCGTGTATAACTTCCCAGGGTATCTATACAAAATCAACCAACCAACCAACTCCAAAACAGAAACCAAGCCATATATCCACAGGAAATCTGGAAAGCAAAAAACGAGAACTTTTACGCAAACTCATCGGCCGCCCTCTCGAGATCCGGCACCTTCCTCCTGCCCAAATGCGCCTTCTTCCTCAAATTCCTCTCCTTGAGCAACAACGCCCTCTTTCTGCGCCGTGCCGGATAATTAATAGGGCTCTCACCGCCCGTAAATATTACCAGATCATAAACGAACCCCCCAAAAAGCCCACCCGCAATATCCGCCACCCACGGTCCCCAAACCCACCACGCATGATACTCTGTAAACATATCCCCTCCCCACCCGGCCATGACGGTTACAAGGCGGCCGCCTAAGTCCCGCGCCGGGTTAAAGCACCCGCCTGTTGTGTAGCCCATCGCGAGGACAAGGACGGTGATGAGCAGGCCGATGATGAACGCTTGCATTCCGGCCCCGGGGGGCGCATTCGTGTCATCGCCTAGTGCCATGATCACGCCGAGAAGGATGGCTGTCCCGATGAATTCCGTGAAAAAGGCCGCGACGGGATGCACGAATTCCTTTGGTACAGTAACCATCGCCTGCTTCGCGGCCGACTGTGCCTGCGGGACGGCGTCCATGTTGGCGGAATTCACAATCGAGTCGTGATATATCGCGTACGCGATCCCGCTCGCTGTGATGGCCCCCAGGACCTGCGCGAGGATATACGTGAAACATCTCCTCGTCGGGAACCCGCGCCAAACAGCCATGGAAATCGTAATCGCCGGATTGAGGTGTCCACCGGACACGCCGCCGGCGACATAAATCGCAATCATAAACGCGAACCCCCAGGCTGCCGCGAGGGAAGGGAACGTGCCTGCCTGGTTCTGCGATGTGAATGTTGAGAGTCCGGCGCAGAGACCCAGTGTCATTGCGACGGTGACCCCGAGCCACTCGGCGAGTTCTTGGCGGATGTAGTGGCGCCATTCCGCCCAGGTGTTGAAGTGCGAGCGGTTGTCGGGTGTGGATTCTTGGGCCTGGTGCTTTTCGGAGGTTTCGCCGCGGTCTTGTGGGTTGAATGTTGGCGGTTCGTCCGCTGCGGCGTCGCGGGAAGTATTTATGTTTGGGTGATCTTGGTCCTGTTCGATTGCCTGGGGGGTATTTTTCTCGGGGCTTCCGCCTCCGGTTTCGTTCGAAGAATCCTGCTGCGACTGGTTTCCGCGCATCCCATTCCTCACGACGTGTGGGAGCGGATTCGCCAGACTCCAGACGGGGCCATTCTGGTGCTTCTGCCCGTACTGCGGGTTGTACCGCAGGTAGTCGGGGTGAAGGTAGACGACGCCCGCAGTGTTGTTGGGGTTCTGTTGTTGGGTTGATGGGACACCTGCGAGGGAGATGAAGGGGGCTTGGGAGGGGTGAGAGGGGGTTTCGTGGATTGTGGCGTCCGAGAATGAATTGGGTGAGCGGGTTTGTGATGGCGAGGTTGAAGTTGTTGGTTGTGGAGAGGGTCGATGGGTATGGCTGCTCGAGGTTGCACTGTGTGTGCGTGCCATTATGGCGGTGCAGTAAAGTCAATTGACAGCGTCAAAAAAAGGGGCCGTGGTTCTCTTGAAAAGTCGCGGTTGCTCAAGTGATCGATTTAAATGTATAGGGTGCGCCAGGAGGCGGAGGAGATTGCATCATCTGGAGTCACACCCGCCTGTCACAGGCCAGATCAAGTATTGACTCAGGGAGAGAGTTTCCTTCTATACATAATACCCCTGAGGTACCGTCGAAAATCCTGAATGCTAACTGGAGGCTCAAATCCCGAACCGATCGACAATGTTGGACGGACGGGAAAAAGGCACGAACGGCCACTGGTGATGGCGAAATGACAAAAAAATGAATCAGCGCCAGGGGGACACGTCGCCGAACAGGAGCTCTAGATCGGCCCGTCCAAGGGTCAAGCAATTGAAGATTCTGACGTATGACACAATTCCTCCCCGAATATTAGCGGTATCGCACGCGATTGGCGGCATCTCCCCCCTAGGGCAGGTCGGCCCACAGCGGACCAGGTTCGGCGAGCCCTGCTCGGGAGGGCGGCCTCAAATTAGGTGTGGCTGATTGTGCCCTGTGATGTCATGACAGGTAATTGGCTGTATGTGGTTCTACGTACGAGTGGAAAATTTGGAGTATAAAAGGGCCCTGGACTTCCCACTCTATGATCTTGACTTTGTTAGGTTATTCTCAAACTTGCTAGAATTCACTCGGAAAAATGCTCACCAGGTCTGACTCTTTTATGCAGTTGTCTACCCACACTGTAGTGAAAACGACCTGGTTCCAAGGCAAATTGTCTCTTCAAGCTCAATTAGGATAAAATACTGTAATCTGGAAGGCAAAGTCACCATCACAATTCAATGAGTATCTTTCAACCACGAAATGATATCACAACAAGGTTGCGAGCTATACCCTCTGCCAAAACACAGCGACAGTACGTGCTTAGCATGGATTGTTACATGCTTCAAGTGAAAATGTATTAGTATAGAGGCATTCTTGTGATTCAAGAAGGAATGGATTTATTGAACTATTGCCATATTGATATAGACGATGGTAAAGAGGGTTGCTAATTCAGAAGATGATTGGGGAGGCCACTTTTCTAACAGTATGGAAGACCATATGGTTACAATGTATAGTGGTAAAAACAGATCAAGATCACCGCAATCAATATAATTGGCATGTTTGAATAGATTTAATGATAAAATGAAAAAATGTAGAGTAGGAAGTCAAGGCTTGAAAGCGATACTCTTCATCCACCTCGGCGTCTTGGTCTTCATCCTAGACGCCTCTCTCGCCGTGGGAAGTCGCGGAGTCTGTGGAGGGGGAGTAGGAAAATAATTCGGATCGACCGAAATCGGCGTAACCCACGCAATGGGAGCTGGACGTAACTGAAACCACTGTGTCTGCTGTGGCTGCTGCTGCTGAGGCTGCTGCCACTGCTGCTGTTGTGGTTGCTGTTGCTGAGGCTGGCTGGCAGATCGGCTCCTCGACCTCCTCTTCCTCGCTTCCCTCGCTTTCCTCTCTTTCTCCGCTTTCTTAGCTTTCCTGGCTTTTCTGGCTTTCCTCGCAGCCTTAAGAAAGTCGACACTGATCCCCCGATCCCCATTCTGGGCCGGATGCGTATACACCCACCACGCAAGCCGATGCGCATTCCACGTCGTCTCGGGACCCGGAAATTTCACTTCAACAACCTCAAACCTCTTCCCAAACCCACCGAGATAGAGTTTCAGCACCTCATCCTCCTCCTTGATCTCATCGGGGAAATCAACAAGCATAAGCACCTCGCGCTCCGCACTCCGCGCCCTCTCCTTAGCCCACCACGGCAGTTTGGCCCTCGCCATCCGCCGCGCCTGCGCCTCCTCACTCCCCATACCACCCCCCGCATTCCTCGCCGCCTTTTTTGCAAACACCTTCGTCGTCTCCTGCCAACTGACCTCCTGGACGGAAAGCATCCCGGGAGTCGGACTCGTCAGGTCCGTAAAGTCCGCGAAATTGCCCCCGCCGGCACTCGCATCCCGCGCGCGCTCGACGGCACACACGCGGACCCGCGGGTGCTTGTGCTCCCCCCGGAGTTTACTCCAGCGAAGAGTCCGCGTCGGGTAGAACAGGTGCAGTCGCGAAATCTGCTTCCACACCCAGGTCTGGATCTCCTGTTGGGTGCCCGTGACGTGCACAGTCACGGTGATGGGGAACCAGCCGGCGCGGGACTCGATTTGCGAGTGCGGGATGGATGAGCAGATCTTGGTTGCGGCTTCCAGGCAGGGTTTGCAGAAGGATTTGAGTTTTAGGCATTTTTTGTTGGAGCATTCGGCTGCCGGTTCGGGTTCGGATTCGGATTCTGACGATGAGCTTTCTGAGTCTGAGTCTGATGATGATGATGATCCGGAGCCGGATTCGGATTCGGATTCGGATTCAGATTGCGGCGTGTCTTTTTCTTTGGTCTTGCTTTTATCGTTCTTCGGGGCGGGAGGGTTCTTTTCTTTTGGTCCTCCCCCATCCTTGGGTTGAGATTGGGATTGGGATTGTGCGGTGTCTTTGCTCGTGTTCTTGTCTTTCTCAGTCGGAGCGTTGTTTCCTCCGCCGTTGTTGCTTGGATCAGATGGGGGTGCTGGGGCTGACATGGTTGCTTAGATGTTGTGTATTGCTTAATCTCTGATTGAATTGTTGACTTGATAGGTCTTTCGATTCATAGCAGTTGGATGTATCGTAATCGGTACTGTAACAACGAGCCAAACTTTCAGCATCGTCCCCAGTGGGATTGATGGGGAATATATATTAGGAGACACAAAGAGGCAAACGGACAATGGGCTGCCCAAAAGGCTAACAAACTCCTTTATACTCATGCACTCTGTCGAGGTTTCAGGCCGGTTCACCTCTTTAAATCTTCCATTGTCATGCACTTAAAGGCTTCCCGACAAAGACATGGCGGTACCTATGGAAGCAAGCCCTTTGTTACAAGTAAGTCCTTCTCGGTCTTTTGTCGCAGAGTACTGTACTCTACAAGGTAGTGTGACTTCGGATATACCCTACGGTCAATATTGGTACAAACGCAATTATTCGAGCCACTTGTACCGCGGCTACATTTGATCAAGTCAGTCGTTGGCAAGATGGCTGAACAGGATACCTGTGCGATAGTAGTGTATTACTTGAGATTATGTACAGCCCTCCGCTCTGAGCTGCCAGTGGGTAACTGCTGTTATGCCTATGTAGGACGCCGATGAGACCCGACCCCAGTATAGCTACTGTTCCTACCTATCCTTCAAAAACGATTGCCCAGCACGTTAGTATCGCGCAATTGAAGGCCACCATAGAATGATGATACCCAACGCGGCATGAGTGCGTTTCAAACTCATTTTTGTAGTAATTCATAAGCGCAACCTCCAAGATTACTTCCCCTGGAGAAGCTGACCTCGGGCCAACTTCTAGCCTATTTGGCAATGATCTCAAAATCCGATCATGGTATAAACGGAAGAATTATTTCTATTTCTAGAAAAAAAAATAAACTAAAAAAAAAATCGAAAACATCTAAACAACCCCGGGCAATCTAAACCACGACCGCTTCTTCATCTTCCACTCCATCCTCTCCCTCTGGCGATCCGCATACGTCCTCGTGGACCGCGGGCGCTGCTGCGTCCCAGACGCAGAAGCATAGCGATACCCAGTTGTCCACCCAGACGTACTCACCCGGGCAGCCGCAGCCACACGCGCCGGTGCAGTCCAGTTCCACCCGTTCGCATAATAGCTGTGCCAGCTATACCCATTCCTCGCCGCCTCCGCCCTCATCCTGGCCGCGTTCGTTGCCTTGGGGTTACAGTTCTTACAAGATTCTTCCACCTTCCTATCCCCATTATGAGGAGTTTCATCGCCATAACACCCCTTGCAGTGCTTCTTCTTCCCCTCGGGCCACGTAGCCTGGACATACCGGCGCGTCTCCTCCCAGATAAAACCCTCAAACTCGGACGACGGGTGCGTCATCACCCACCACAGTAGCCGGAACCGGTTGTGGTTGCTCGCCGGGTGCGTGATTTTCGCGGGGAGCCGCAGCCACTTGAGCCAGGCGTTGACGAGCAGTCCCTCGACGGGCCCCTCTGGTGTGATCTTCTGCGGGAAGTCGATGAGGAAACTGATCTCAAAGGTTTGCGCCTTGTACTCAAAGGTACTCCAGTAACCCAGCGCGCAGAGGACGCGCTGCACCATCGCCCCGGTGTACCCTTCCCTCATCGTATCCTGTGCATCCGGGTATCCGCGCCCCGCATTCGCAGCATCGCTCCAGCTGACGTGGCGGCCTGCTGCGTGCACGAGGCGACGGGTCGCATTCACAAGCACGCCCTTGGGGAACATGGCCTGCAGTCGGAGGATCGTCTCGAAGACAAAGGTGAATACATCCGGGAGGGTCCGCCGCACGACGACGTCGATGATCACCGGGTACGAGCCTTCGGGGCGGTGGATTTCTCGCCTGTCCAGTGTGCCGTTTACCAAGACTGCCAGGCGCAGGCAGTCGATGCAGAATGTATCCCGTGTATAACAGGTGTCGCATCCCGAGGCGGCTTGGCCGGTTGTCAGCTGGCCGATGCCCAGCTGGTCGCCGAGTTTGGTAATGGTGTCGGCGACGCCCGTTGAGTGTTCGCTTGGGTCGCCCGGGTCGGCGCAGTTCTTGGACTCGTCGTCACTGGACTTCTTCTTCTTCTTCGATTTTTTCTTCTTGGACTTGTCCGTTTTCGACTTGTCTTTCTTGGACTTATCTTTGTCGGACTTATCTTTGTTCGACTTATCCGTGTTAGACTCCGACGGCTTTGGGTCCGCTGGCTTTGGATTTGATGGCTGAGGATTTGCTGGCTGAGTTGCTGGCTGAGTTGCTGGCTGTGGATTTGCCGCTTGAGGATTCGATCGCTGTGAAATTGCTGGCTGTGGATCTGTTGGCTTTGGGTCTGCAGGCTTAGGTTCTGCAGGCTTAGGATCTGCTGCCTGAGGATCTGCTGGCTGTGGTCCTGACGGCGTGGGATGCAACGGTGTCGACTCTGCTGGCTTCGGTCCTGCTTGAGCGTCTGGGGTCTTATCCTTCTCAACCGGCGCCAGCCTCCTAATCCTCAGCTCCCAATACTCCCTATCCCCAGCACTAAGATTAAACCGCTCCAAATCCGCCACAGATTTAATCTTACTCCACTCGCTCAGCGGAACCCCAAACTGCCTCAGCTCCCCCTCCCCGCCATTCCCTTCTGCGCCATCACGCCCGATCCCTTCTAGCCGCTCAATATGTTTCATCCAGTACTCCCGCTGTGGTGGCGTAAGATCATACCGATCCAGATCCGCGGCGGTGAGGATCTTCTTCCGCTCGCTTTGTGGGATGCCACGGAGGAGAATCACCGTGTCGCCGCGGTTCGTCGAGGTCCTGGTTATGGCTGGCTCGGAGGTGGTGTTCGTGGGAGTTTCGGACTGTCGCCTAGGCTCCATAACCCTGGCCGCGTCGTTTGCCGCAATCCGTCCCGTCCAATACTGTCGGTCTTCTGGTGTCATCTTGTACCGGTTCAGATCGGCGAGCGTCTTGATCTGGCTTTCTTCTCTTAGCGGAATGCCACGGACAAGGAGTAATGCGTCGGCTGGGTTAACTGATGTTGATCGTGACCGCGATGTCGCGGACTGGCCGTTGTCACCCCTGGGATTGCTGGATTCCTTGTTTTGGCTCGCTTGCGAGTTGTAGTTTGCCTTGTTTGTTGCGTCTTTCGTCGACGGATCCTTGTCCTGAGGTTCTTTGTTCGGCTGCGGTTGGGACGACGAAGAAGAGGCGGAAGCCGTAGCTGTACCGCTTGGTCCAGCAATCCCGACCGATCCAAAAGACCAGGAAGGTTGTTCTGGATTCTTGAGAGGCTGAGGATCCGAGGGATTAGGCGGTGGTGCCGCACCATCTATCTGAGCGAATCTAAGTGAATCATCTTGCACCCCTCTATTCCATGCCGGAGGAGCACCGTCTGCTTTTTCGGTGTTTTCATTGGGAGGTGCCGATTTTGATGATGCCGTAGCGGTTCCCTCATTCGCACCTGGCGGGCGTTTCCCGAGGGCCTTGGCTGATGGCGTCTGAGCAGGTGGCGAAGCATCTTTGTCCTTCGGGGTCGAAGAAGCAGAGCCATTCTTCTCAACACTGGTCGCGACAGGCGACGCCACTGGGCCAGTGCTATTCTTATCGGTCCCAATATTTGGGGAAACCGCGTCATTGGACTTCGACTTGTCTCCATTACCGCTGTTGGAAAACCAGTCCCTCGCTGGGGGAGCATTGGCATTGGTCTTCTCAGCGGGTGGATTGGAGCTGTTGAATGTGAATGTCGACGAGGGTGTCGTAGCAGGCTGGTCAGGCTTCATAAAGCTGTTGAAGGCTCCACCAGCGGGGTTTTCCTGTTCCTTGTTTGAACCCCAGGCCCAGCCGAATAGACCCGAGCCGCCCTGCTCTTTCTCTTTGGACTTGTTCTTCTCAGTGTCGTCTTTGTCTTTGCTGCCCCAGAAAAGGAAACCAGAACCACTCTCTTTCGATTGCTGACCATCTTTCATCACAGTATCTGAACCCTTGGGCTTGGAAGCTGCTTTGAAGGGTCCCGGGGGTGAGCCATGTGATTTATCGTCTGATACCACGATGGGCTTCTCAGGCGTTGAGCCTGCATTCTCAGGAGACGGTGCAGGTACCGACCCTGTATCCTTCTCCGGACGTTGCGACTTACCAAGATTCTCCGAAGAAGTCGCCCTCGAGGGCCCCTTGTTCTTAAACGGCCCCGGCACATCCGGCGCCGCAAAGAAACTCTTAACAGAAGACGTCGTCTCAGGCACCGTAAGAAAGTCCTTGACTGTCGACGCCGCGGTCCCTAGCCGTTCAGTGATATCTTCCAGACTCTTGGAGATGGGCGTCGTTGGCGTGGCCGACGGGTCTGGGTTTGCATTGTCGTTGGTGAGATTCTGGGACGTGTTCGACCTGGATCTTCGCTTGAAGGGGCCGGGAACGTCGTCAGTTGCGGAGCGGCTTGTCGAAGTCTCGGGGTTTGTGGAACGTGTTTTATCTGATGGAGGCGTATCTTTCGGTGCGTCCTTTTCCGCCTTGACTGGGCCCGGTGAATCTGATGCTGCGAATAGGTTCGTTACTGAGGCAGCGGCACTACCAAGTCTGCTGGTGACGCCTGGACTGTCGGTGGAATCGGCAGCAGGGTGTCCGGGCTCTGAACCTGAAGCCTGGCCTGTTCTTTCGTTCGAGTTGGTCGACGCATTGCTCTTTTTGAAGGGGCCAGGTACATCCGAGGGCGCAAACCAGCTCTTGACCGATTCCGCCGCGCCCGAGACTGATATTCTGCTAGGGCCAGACTCTGCGTTGGGAGACGACTCGGCATTTGAGCTCGACCCGCCGAACAGCCCAAAAAAACTACCCCCCGACCCCTTCCTCCCAGACGCAGGCTTCGACGTCGCCGAGCCCGACCGCGAAGGCCGCTTCTTAAACGGCCCGGGCACCTCGTCCCCAGACCCATTCCCATTACTCCCATACTTATGACCCGTAACAGTCTCCGCATCACTAACCTCAGACACCCGGCTCGACGTCCCCTCCCGCCCCGGCGCCCTCGCCCGAAACGGCCCCGGCGCAGCCTCTCCATTCGTATCCGACGGCGGCTGCCCGAGCATGGAACTCGACACGGAATCCCCTTCCGCCGCCGAATCAACATAGTCATTGGGATATTCGTCGGGGATCTCGACGACGCGCGTGTGCGGTTCCGGTGTGTAGCGGAGCCAGCTCTTTACGGCGGCGGGCTTGGTTATGTCCTCGTCCGGGTCGTCGTCGGAGCTGTCGCTGTCCAGGGATGTCTTGTGGCGCTTCTGGTTCCTGCCGGAGGTTGATGTATCGCCGAACGAGACGTTTTTCTTTGGGCCAGAGCGTCGAGATCGAGATCCAGAAGGGCCCTGGCCGTTGGCGCCGTCGTCGGAGGGGAAGGAGGGGAAGGCGCCGATGTTTCCGGACATTTTCTAGGTTGTGTGTAAGTGCTCGTGGTTGATAGTTATATGCAGGGTATACTTTCCAGAGTGTGCCAAGTAGGGCTTTAGATAGATTTTCGAAAGTCGATTCCTAATGCTAGCGAACTTTCGAAACATTGATTATATGACGATGGGATGGCCAAGGGGGTCCCTCGATGGTGTTATATAGCACTGCAGAACAAAGACCATGGACCCGTTACAGCAGACAATCCAGCACAATAGGCGTCCTGTTTCAGGATGTGTGCGCCGCCATAAGCTTTTCTTGCATTAGTTGAGACGTAGTAAAGCACGCTTGGTACATGCGTGGCTTTGTTCGGTCCATCTCCTGCCGCGGCCCTCCACAAAGGATTCTTCTACGTAGCCGTTGTTTCCCTTTGTCTATTGGGATCTATCCACGTGGGCGTTTGAACGGGGCTCAAAGGAGATATACAGACGGCCTGTGCCAATGCTTTCATTGGATTCATGACGCTCTACATAGCCGGATCGTCGTACCATGGGATCTCCCTAGTGGCGCTACCCCGGTAAAATGTACCCATTTATAAAATCATCAACAGCTGAGTTTTCTCATATTACAGCAGCTACATAGTACTGGATTATCTCTCGGAAAAAAAAATTTGATTTGAATGCAAATAAACTAGCATAGATAACTATTCACCATCCCAGCCACCCTCAACTCCTATTATGTTTCATATGTTTTCTATTTTTCCGCAACAGAAACAGACATACTCTACCTACCAACCAGAAAAAGCCAGGGAAGGAAAAATAAAGGAAACAAACTCACTTCTTCTTTCCCTCCTTCGCCTTTCCCTTCCCACCAGACTCAACCTGCCCATGATGGTGAGCAGAGTGGTCATGACCACCATGATGATGGTCATAGTGATCATGCCCTCCATGATGATGAGCAGACTGATCATGTGCGGCATGATGATGCGCAGTATGGTCATGGAAACCCCCATGATGGTGCTCGTAGTGGTCGTGCATATCCCCGTGGTGGTGCGCGTGGTGGTCGTGAGATTCTGTGTCGGTACCTGTGGCGCCGGGTGTTTTAGTGGGGTTGTTCTCTTTGGCAGTCATTTTGAATAGTAGCTGAGTAGAAGTTGTAGTTGAGTTGGATTCGGTTACCTTGAGTTGAGGTGAGGTGTGCTGGGGCTTGTTGTAGCGAGAAGAAGACTTGGGTGTCCGCTGATGGGAGCAATGTATCTCGAGGGGGTATCGAGGGAGTATTTATAGACTGCATGGAAAGGACAATGGATGCATCTGAAAGATGGGACGTCTTTTGTCCGAACAATGCTCATTGATCTGCCCAAGGTCTAAGGGATGAATGACTCTTTGGGTTCGAGTTGAACAAGTCCTTTCTGTTTTCTTTTGATCCTAAAGGAGTCTTTCTCCGAATCCCTTTTGACATACTCCTTTCATCTGCTGACCTTGTCTTGAGCAGTTCTTCCTCCTCAACGCCTTTTGGCAGCCCATTGAAGGCGGGTTCGGAAATATAATTACTTGGTCGAGTATCTGATTTGCCATCTCGCCATAGATCCCTAAGGTGAAGAAAGGAACTATGATTCAGATAGGAAAGGCCGCAGGCCAATCCACGAATTGCATGACTGTCGTTCGTGCTTCCTCCATAGCTCAATGGCTGGAAGCCGCGGAACATTGGAGGATAGTGATGCAAGCTTCAGGCCTGCGGAGTCCGGTGTACGTGACGCAGCAGGATTGCAGATCTCGTAGGGGAAAGCAAGGTCTCGAAGAGGACTGGTCAGTCGGAAAGGGGCATGTAAAAGATATGAAAGAAGTGAAAGAACACTATTCGATACCCTTTCAGAGTGGGCGTTGGAAATCTTGGCGCGATAGTCGAGGTAAAATGGATCGGTAGATTCAGTGTCTGAGCAATGAGGTCGAGTAGGGAAAGAACGGGATCGGGGGTTTTCATTGTTCTGTACTTAATTGTCAAGAGTGGACCGAGTAACGTGTCGCTCCAAACCACCCCGGCAGGGCCTGTCGCGTTGTAGAGTTCCTATATATATATATATATATTGATCTCGCAAGAGCTGACTGCTCCTGAAAGCAAAATCATGTGGCAAGCCAGATATTGTCAAATGGAAACATACTAATGAGAGCTCTTATTGGCTCTTCAAGGCATGGATATTCATAACTCTTATTCCCAAGTATCTAGTCCACTTGATGCATGCCCTACATCAGCTATAGTCACTTTATTCATCCCACCAGTCGAATACTCTATTCTCCCACCCCTCGAGATGCATTATGTGTCTAGGCTACCTTTTCTTCCGGCGTGGAGAGTATATTGTATGATTTAGAAAATTGCTCGATGGCCTTGTAGGTGATGGTTCGGCATCTTGTAATTTTACATGATGCTTACAACAGTTCCTACTTTAGATCGGGAGCAGATAATATACAGGTATCGAATGAACACTTTGATAATAAAATATTGATTTGATCCAACCGCGAATAAGCATATAAGTAGTTGTAGGATAGGAAAAGTAATACACTAACGCCATAGCAACCCCAGGTACTTACTTGTGTAGCCGTTCATCTCGGATTAGGACCCCTAACAAAGGGCACAGGAAACAGCATAAACCCCATGGGAACGCCTCCTTGGAACTGAAAAGCAGGCAGTACCACCTGCTGCGCCTGCTGCGGCTGCTGTTCCCTCCGCCGCCGCCGCTCCGCGGCCCTCCGACTCTCCCTAAGATGATCAATCCAAAACCCCAACCGAAAGTGCTGCGCGCACTCCTCGCTCTCCGGGCTGCAAACCTGCCACTCCTCCTGACCCGCCGCCAGCAGCGGAATCAACCCGGCAACGCCCAGGATCTCGTCAATGACATTCCAGTCAGACACATCCACCTCCCACGGCAGATCGACCAGGATGAACAGGTCTGTGTACTCGCGGCGGAACTCCTTCCGCCCGGCCATGGGCACGGGCGTCCCCGGCGCGAGCCCGAACATGTTCTGCACTTGGGGTGTCATGACGCGTGCGATGTCGCGGCAGATGTTGTGGATCTCCTGGACTTCGGCGGCATTTGTGGCGGGGCGGATGCGGATTTTTAGGTGGATGGGGTAGGTGGTTAGGGAGGGACAGTTGAGTCGGTCGGCGGGGATGTGTCCGTGCAGGTGGGTGTAGAGCGGGGCGCATTTGGCGCAGAGGTTGGTGCTGGTGGTGGAGCAGGCGGTTCGTGGGTGAGACATTGTGGGTGGTTTGGGTTTGTTTGCTGAGTTTTTGGGATCTTGAACTGGGATTGAGATGGGGATGTGTTCAGGGTTGAATAGCTGCTTGAGAGAGTGCGGGTGGGTTGCTGATGGACACATTAGCTTCGAGGGAGAGATAGAGGTTATATCTCTCTACGGACAAAGAAAAGGGTTTGACAAGGAAGACAACCATCGCTTTATAAATCTCAATGGAGTCCCTATACAAGGGATCCCATACAAATCAGCCTTCAGTTAGGGCTGCGTTGGTCTCAATGTATCTTTTTCAGTCACAAAAGACCTGTGAGCCGGAAGAATGAAAATCGAAATCGCACAAAGATCTCAATCTTTCATCTCAACAAAGGGTGTTTGTCCTCTTATCCATTGTTAGCAATCCCATTATTGCGTTTCTTTCTTTCCATTTCCAGTCAGAGTTGGCCTGTTCGTACATTCTTTCAGGAGCCAGCTAGACTCCAATCAGAGGCTGAGAAATAAGACTTGATGAAGCTCATATACGTCTACGCTAGAATCTTGCAAGGAGCTTAAGACCATTGATTGACGATGTTGCGTATGCTACCCAAGCTCGGTTATACAATTGACGGTAGCTACAACCCCATGGCAGGATACCAGACACATCTAGTGCCGTCGTGTCACAAAGGAAGACAAAGCGATATAGGTGCGTGCGAAGATAGGAAAGAGTCCCGTGAGGAGCACCGACGCCTAGCAGCCAGACACGCTGACCACGCCATAACTTCAGGCCGACAGGTCATCGGCAGTAATCTTCTCAGTGACATGCCCATCCTCCTGAACGACAACACGGTCGCGTTTCTTCGATGCCTTGACGGGGTTTGGCTGCTGGTAGATGTATTCGAGTTCCTCGAGGGTTCGGCCCTGGGCCTCGACGCTGGAAACATTATCATTAGCCTTCATCCTGGTCTCCTACGAATGTAGTCCACTTAGAAAAAGGAACGCAACTTACCCGAACATATACCAACACCCCGACTCAACAATATCCCAGCCCACAAAAATCCAGAAATAGTTCGTCGAGATATTCCTCAGCGCAATCGGGGTGGCAAACTGCGAGATGAAGCTCGTTCCACTGACGAGGAACCCCGAGAGCGCGAGACCTTTCGCGCGGGTCGTTGTCTCAAGCGCTTCGGCGGGGACGACGCCCTGTAGCGGCGTGTATGTGAAGGAGAAGGTCACGTTGAAGAGGTAGTAAAAGGCCAGCGCGGTGCGGCCGAATGTCATATTCACCGGTTCTTCGGCGCGCTGTTGTGGGATCATGGGTTGCGAGACGCCGGCGTTTACGGCCATGAACATTGCACAGGCTGATTTGTCAGTACTGAAGTTCTTGATAGCTGGATTGACAATCCAATGTATATATTAAAGGGCTCACCGAATGTTCCATAAACAAGGACCGGACGACGAGGCATTCGGTCACAGAAGTACACGGCCGTCAACGCCCCGATGGCAGAGACGACTTGGTTGACGAGGTTGAGGAGAAGCTGCATGGAGCTGGAAGTGTAGCCGAGCGACTTGTAGATGGTCGGGTTGAAGTATCCAAGACCATTGCCGGACCATTGACCGAAGATGGAGATCATGATGACCTGCAGGAATCGCCAGCGACCGCTGTGGGTGGTGACAAAGGGGCGGTCTGAACGGTCAGCTGGGTAATTCAAAAATTGTCCAAGGTAAGGGGAGTTCCGTACAATCCCACCATCTCTTGTCGATACCATCCTGGCGAATACCCTCCTTCATCTCGTCGACCTCTAGACGAACAAGCCGGGTGTTGGGATCGCCGTTTCCGTGGTACTTGGCTAGGATGTCAATCGCTTCCTGCTCACGACCCTGTGAGATGAGCCAGCGCGGAGATTCGGGGATAAACCAGATGGCTACGATAACGATGCAAGCAGCGAAGCACTGCATGAGGAAGGGCACGCGCCATTGCCAGTTGCTGTTGATAAAGTTGCAGCCGTAGCACACGCAGGCGGCTGGGATGGCACCGCCGAACCACCCACAGTTATAGAAGCCTGGTCTGTCAGGAATGTTGCCTGGAACTCAAGGGATGTGAGACGTACCAACTGCGCGACCACGCCAGTGTGGAGGAGCGATCTCGACGGCGTATGCAGGTGCAGACACAACCATGATCTGGATGCCGAAGCCGAGGACGAAGCGGCCGACGACGAAGTGGGCGAGGGTGTTGGCAGTCGCAATTATGATGGACCCAATGATGATAACCCAACCGCCAGCGAACATGCACTTGCGGCGACCAAAGTTGTCCGAGATGACGGCGGAGATGGGGGTTGCAACCATGGAGCCACTATGATTGTTAGCTGTGTTCACATTCCTGGATAATGTGAAGCGTACACAGTGTATAGAGAAGTAACGACGGACACTTCAGGACCATCCATGCCGGTCTTGAAGGTGGCCTGGTAATGGTCCATGGCGAGGACGGCGCCCATCAAGGAGCCTGTCGATTAGCATGAGGCCGTGAACTGGGTCGCATGCAACTCACCATCATAACCATTGGCACAGGCACAGCAGAATGCGACGAAGATGCAGACTAGCTTGGTCAGCGATATTTTCGAAGCTAGTTGAGTAACTCACAATATAGATGGATCGAGGTCTTGCTCCATTTCTCGATTTTGGTCTCATTGACCGCAGCATACAGGTCGGCCTGGTGATGTTAGCCATTAGCATCAGTAGAGGCGATGGTCACCAACATTGAAGACGTTCTTTGTCGTCGCGCCAGGCTTTTCGGCAGTCTTTCCATGGAAGGTGTTGACCTTGGCCCCCTCCGCCTGGGTGACTGAGATGCCATACTTGTCTTCGCTACTGACGTTCGCCATTGAGTCGATAATAGATCCCGTTTGGGAAGCCTGAGGGACGATCAAGAGAAGAGGGAAGGGATGGGAGTGCAGGTCCTTTATATAAAGCGCCCCGTTGTTACACGGCGCCTGGCCACCCTGTCCCGTCTGTGCCATCCACGCACAGCGCCCATTGGTAGACAGTCTTGATCCTCCAATAAGGTGCTTATCGCCCCATTTGCATCCCTTGTAGCTGAGCGGGGCAACCCCCGGACTCCGCATGGAGCAATCGAGGACTCACCAGGACCCTTGCGGTGGAATCAAAGTTCTCACCCTCATGACAGCTCGAAAAGTCCTTGGTGGGAATCTTCTGGGACCGGGGTTTGTTCAGCCGTTTCCCTTGTGGCCTAGTGGGTGCTCGTCGTGGCTGGGCAGGCTGGGCTCCAGCACGGAGGCCCGTTCTCTTTGCAGTTAGCGTGGGTAGAATACCTGGGGAAGCTCGGTGTCGTGTTCGGGTCAGTCCCGAGTCAATCTGGGGAAATACGAGCGGCGCCTCCTCGTATCTGCCTGGATATCGGCGTCTGACAGCGAGCATGTCGCGTGGGTGGATGTGGTCAATGCGAAGGAATTCCCCAGACGGATCAAAAGAAGCGGACGACCGATCAAATCGGGGATTTGCAATTCTCGGGTGCTCTGCCCGCGGTCGAAGCTGTGACCCCGCACTCGCCTCCAAAGGCGCCTAACCGAGGCCATGTCAAAGTTCCAAGCCGTCGTCTGATCATTGCGCAGGCAGGCTCACCACACCAGTTGCGACGCGACATTTGCAGGTCAACATCTTGGCGAGACACCTTATGAGATTGCGAAGAGGTCCACCCTCAGATAATTTGTTTGACAAGACACGCAAGGGGCCCGTTCGGCCCCTCATCTTCATCTATCCCTTGGTTAGTCGAGACATTGGTACAGGTGCGCTTGGGCTTCGGGGCCAACGATCGTCACTCATCACCTGCTACGGCTTCACGTCCGGGCCAAAGGTGGACTAGGCCACCTGCTTTTCCAGCAGAGCCTTGTTTAAGGTTAGTTAAGGCTGGCTCCGTTTCCATTTTGTCCTGCTGTTTGGTTCCAACCGTCCTCGAGGATTGAGTGACGATCTGCCAACTACCAGAGTGGTGCAGCCAAGAGGACACGATAAGAACAGCTAATAAAGAACATAGGCCGACCACGGTTTCAAAGCAACACAATTTGGGCTCATTGAGCTGAACTAAAGGGGCTAACAAGCAGACTGAAAAGTCGGGAAAACTAGCTCAAGCAAACACAACACTCCCCATTCCTCCTTCCTCATCTGCTCTCACTTCTTCCGCAGCTTGTCCTTCAGTCGGACCCAGACTCCCTTCCGCTCGACAATCTCTTGCTGCCCGCCATTCATCTGGGCATCCCCTCCAGGCCCCGGATATGGTGGTGGCGCAGAAAACGGACCTGTCCCATCAAAGGAATTCGGCGCGCCATGATATGCCGCGCCAGAAGGCCCCATTCTACTGGATGGGGCAGCATTGTCCCAGTCCATGATGCTCCGGACTGGTCCCGCCGAGGACGCCCCCCGTTTCTCCGATTGAGGCCAGAACTCGCTCTCCTCTCGTTGCCGAGGTGCTGGTCCCATCAACTTCTCAGACCAACCGGAGCTTGGCCCGTTCGGCTCGTTAGGACAAAATGTTCGACCAAGCCGGCTGGCCGTCGTTGGCGCCATGAAAGGGGTCCGTACGCTGCTCCTGCGACCAAAGACAGAGCCACCATTTCTGCCGCGATCTCCTTGGCCCTCGAGATAATCGCGCCACGCACTCCGTCGACTGATTCGGTACGGCCGTTCACGGAAATTAGCCTCGTACGCGTTAGCCACTACCTGCGCCAGGTCCTTGAGCATCTGTCCGTAGTGCGGCAGATTGTACAGCTTCTGCACGAGCTTCGCAACACCGGCCTCGTTCAGCGGAGCATACGCATCTGCGCCGTCCACCACACTGTCCTTATCCTTTTGCTCCATCGCCTCGACAAACTTCTGGTAATCGTCAAGATCCTTCTCCAGCGATTCCAGTCTGGCTCGGCTCTGCCCGGTCCGCACTTTCGTTCGTTCATCCCTGATCAGGTGTTCGAGATACTCGACCGTCGCGTCGTTGTAATGGGTGATCGAGTTGTGCTTGAGGTAGAGACTGAACTTGGCAGCTGCCGTCTGGACCTGCTTGTGCTCCTCCTTTAACTCGGCAATGTTCTTCTCGATGGCCTTGATGGCATTTTCTTTTGCCTTGATCATGCTGCCGGTTGTCGTCAGCTCACGCTGTACGTTTGCGTCGACTACTGTCTCTTGACGCTTCGCATACTCGACCAGGATATGCTCGTGTTCCTTCCAGCTGTGGCTGCATATGGTGCAGTTGTCGCCGGCGAACGCAAAGCAGTTCTTCAATTGAGGCGTGCCGACCTTGCCGACCGGGACATTCGTCAAACAACATGGGTTGTGACCTATCTTGTTAGCCTGTGAAATAGCCCAGGGGTCAGTGACCTACAGAGCTTCTTGCGCAAAAGTACTTCGGAATTACTCGACGCGTCAAAGACCGACTCAATGCAGGCCTCGTTTGCACACACTGTCTTTGGCTTGGTCAGTTGCTCAGCAGAGACTGTCGTCTTGTGGATCCGAAGCTTCGTCTTCAAATCGTCCCTCGTCAACTGCGCATTATAGAGATCGTCCGCTTGTTGTTTGTTCTTCGCGATCGTGTCCGTAATGGCGACCGAGATTTGCTGCATCGGTGCTGTCAGCTGCGCGATCAGATGGCGTGTCTCGTTCAGACTGAGTGTTTCCTGCGTATGGTGTGGTCGCAGCGACTGGAAATGTGCCAGCAGTCGGTCTGCCTCCTGTGAAGACTGCTCCCAGCTGCGTCGGTAGTCATCCATGTGTCCCATCTCAATGCCCTGTTTGCGGGCAGCCAAATACCGGAAGCTCTCTGAGTCGAAACAATACACATTCGAGCGAGACAGCTGTGGGATGACGTTGTGGTATTCGGAGAGTAGACTCTCGAGCGGCTTAAAGGTATCGCCTGGCGTGTAGTTGGACCCACGCGTGTTGGTGAAGCCAAAGACCATGTTCTGCGCCGCACTCGTGTGCAGATGAGTTAGGAGCTCCTTGACGCAGAACCGGAACATCACTCCCAGTCGAGCGTTATTCGGCTTGAGCAGGATCAAGATCCCATGCAGGGCCGGGTAGTTGCGGAGAATCGCGAGCATGTTGGCCATGTTCTGCTTGTCTTGCTCCAGGCCCCGCGTATCGCCAATTCCAGGGGTGTCAATGAGTCGAATGAGGGTGTCTCTAAAGTACAATGGATACACCGTCGCTTTCTGTGTTGCAGAGTCGCCCTTTGATCCGTCAACCTCGTCTTTGTCTCTGCCGACCACGACATCCTTCGAGATCAACCGACCGTGTTGATCGACGACCTGAGTGGTGAACGAGCACGGGATAATACAGTTAAGTTTTGGATCCTTTAGTCCTTCATCCAACGAAGAGAAGGTGAGGTAGTTGACGAAGGCGTTGACAAACGTCGACTTGCCCACGCCCGTCTCTCCGAGGATGAGGATGTTCACCTCTCGCGGCTCGGGGAGGGAGCGAAGCAGATCACGCAGGTCGTTGCGATCAAACTGGAAATAGCCATCCTTGTGTCGGGGTCGTTGGCAGTTGAATTCCGCCCGATCGAATGGCACTCTGCCGCAGTCGCAGTAGAAGTAGCCATCTCGACTACCAAATTCGATGGTTTCATGACAGTCTCCACAGGACCAGAGACAGAGATCTTGCTCCTCGCAGAATGGTCCAGGACAGGGAATCCGCAACGACTTTCGATATGTGGGGACATCATTGGTGGACTCTAGGAATGAACGATCGTAGCGGACGAGGTGCTTGCTGGCGATTTCTTTCTTCTGCTCCAGCACATTCTCGACGACGACCAGTCCGTTGGCATAAAGGCCAATGCAGGGTTGTGGAAGTTCTTCGCCATAGTTATCCCAGTCGATGAGTTGGACTTCGGGTTTCTGATCCTGCGTCAACAGCTCTTCGAGAAGTTTGCTATTTTCTCTCCAAAGCTCAGAGGTGTCCATGGCACGGCTGTTGAAGTGAAAGACGTAAAACGTAGTGTAGTACGTGGACGCCCGTTCTATCAACTCCTGAGGGCTTGTCCGGGCATTCTCTGCGTACGAAGCTCCAAGTCCAATCATTCTGACCAAAAAGGCGACCTTGTCTTCATATCTCTTTGCCACATTCATGAGGTTACGAGCTGCCGCGACATCGGTCTTCACTGTGGAGATCAAGTCAAGCACGCCCTGGCTGGATGCTCGATTCTGTCGCACTGCAGTCAGTCCCTCTGTATATCCTGCGCGCAGATGTGTTTCGGCCGCCCTGACTTTTGAGATCTGTTTCTCCACCTGGTCGAGATGTGCGTCGTTGACTAATGTTCTGTGCTGGTGAAGCAGCTGTCGGTGCGCGTTGAGTGTCTGCTGCACCTCTGCCAACATATCGACGAGCTCGATTGTCTGCTCATAGCTCTCGGCGCTGAGCTGTCCCGCAGTGACGTGATTTGGGACAATAGCGCCAAGTGTGACGAGGAACGCAATCGGTAGCAGGGTGTAGATGAGCGGCTTTCCTCCCGTGGCCTGCACGTGTGGGCTGAAATGGTTAAAGTGCTCCAGAGCATCGGCGACATTATCCGCCTGGCCATCCAGCACCTCTCTTGCGTCTGTGTAGAGTCGCACCTGTGGCTCCTCATTCGTCTGTTCGCCACTCGGAAGGTCAAGCCAGCTGTGGTTGTTACCCTGCGGCTTCGAGAAAGGCTCCAGTGCTTGGTCGAGTTGCTTTGAACACTTCTGCTTATCCGCCTCTAGTGTGATCCTCTTCTGCATAGACACGATGGCCCTCCCGCCCCAGGTTATTCCCGTCAGCACATGCGTCGCTGTGGAGTCTGTGAGGACATTGAAGTTGAGAAGCTCCCGCGTATTGCCGCCCATAAAACTGAGTTGCTCGATCTTCGTCGTGACACTTAATATGGCCGCCCGCTGGACCGTAGGTAAACTGTCCCCTTGCTGTGAGAGATATCGTGCCGAACCACGAGGGGGAACTAGGCCCGCCAACAGACTGGCTCCGAGCTCCGGAGAAACATCGAGCGCCTCAAATCGTTCTTTCACAGTTCCAGTCTGAAGGAGTGTTGTCTCGTCACGATTCGCCGTACTTGACGCGATAGCATCAGCGGGTATTTCGCCAGTGAGCAATGACTGGTCAAGAAAAGTCTCGGTCCGAGCATCGTATAGCGTCCCGATGGCAGCAGTCTGGCCAAGGGACAACCTCTTGAGCGTATTCATGATGGATGTTGATGCCTCTAGTGTAGTAGTTGCATGTCTGTTACTTCCAAGATGAAGAGTTTGCATGCAAAGGTTGAGGGGAAGGCAAACGCGAGATATAACCAGCACGTAGAGTTTTCGCTTATTTAGGTTTAGCGTGCGCGTTCATCGGGCAAAAACGTCCAGCGCCCGGTATCAAAGACTGGGGACAAGGACAAAGCTGCCTTGTCCCCCGGCGGACTGTGCACACCTACCGATGGACTCAGCGTGGCAAGACTGACACGGGGCAGGGTCTCTGGGAACTTTATTCGCTGGTCAGGGTAGGTTGCAGTAGGTCTGCATAAAGCTCGTGGTGAGAATCGGGGTTTGACATTCTCCACGAGGATAGTTCGAGTACCTGGCAAGAATACTATGCATATCTATCTTCCCCTGTCTACCAGGAATAGTGTCCACTCTGCCACCTGGTGAAGATACAAAAGCCCCGCAAGGCACCTCACACCACCTGTTGACGGCGACGTCATTTCTCCCAATATCCGCAGGAAGGTTCGAAACAAGTCGCAGCTGCGCCTTGGCCCAACACGAGCCCCAAGCTCCCCATTCCTGGGCAACAAACGCAATACCTATGGATCCAATCGTTTCCAGCGAGTCGATCGCAGCTCCCCACTTTTACGAGCCGCACGATCGCCAGCGAACCAGCTGCGCTGTGGGCCTCATGAGGCTACATGACTGGTACTCTGGGATTCGTCCACCAGGAACCCCATTGGGCGAGGATGGTTTGGGGCCGTATCCGGGCGTGGAGTATAGATGCGAGAGGCTGTCTGCTCTCCACGGTCCGCACTCCACCAATAACCTTTTGTGGCATATATGGATTTCCTCCCTGCGCCCGGATAACAATGGCGTGATCAAGGTTCCGCATGAGTGCCTGATTTGCGTTCTTACGCTTACGCTGCTGGTAGGGTAGCATTTCACAGGGTGAGTTTCAAGTCTGGTTATTGCTGTGCCCGGCTACGCAACGGACTCCTTCGCATATTTAATCTTATGGCATGATTAGGACTTGTATCAGAAATGGCAAGGTAGACGCTAAGCTCTGATACTACCTAGTCCACTACTGTGTAACATCCGGGAGGCTCAGTTCCTGGAATCGACCCACATAGAGCCTCCGAGGCATTTTTTAGGCCGCTTTTTGCCGGGCACTGGGCATCCGGTACGTCGATATTTCCTTATCTGATTGTGCCGTTGCCCCGTCACCGTACGGGGTGCTGCGCGAAGTATCCTTTACTACTAGTACCACTCTCCTTGTTCCTACGACATGAGCGTCCAGGCGGTGCCCCAGGCAGCTTTGCGTCGCCGATCCTGGTATGGTGGTGATCTTGTGTAGGAGGCTCTTTCTGTGGTGGACTATGGATTAAGAATGCCGGCCTAGCTTACTTGTATTCCATACTTGTATTTCATGTTTTTTTCTTCCCGTTCTCTTGTCGGGTGATGAAGAAAGAGCAAACCGCAACCCTCTTGTTTGACAAGAGTAGACATGGGGTCAACAGACTGGCAAAGAATAACCCTTTTCCTTATATGGGTCAATGGTTGCACAAGACCCACCGTGCCACAGTCGTCCAAAGCAGTCTATCCCAAACTGGCACACTCCATCATACAAGTGATATCGGACAAAGTCTATGTATACTCTGCATATCTTCCACTGCCACGGTAGTGTAGTAATCGATTGCCTGATCCCGAGCTGCTAGGTAGGATAATGACAGTCCCATCGCCACCCTCTCTCTCAAGCCCTATCCTATACCCGCCCAGTGGGCAGCGGATACAAGAGATCAATCGAGTCCGCATCCCCTTTGTCTTCGTCGTCGGGGCTAATGCCTCCTTCAACCACCTGTTCGACTGGAGCAGCGACTCTCAGCGGACCACTGTATATCCGAATCCCATTCCCCCACATTCCTATACTCTCATCAGAACTGAAGCAACCCACAGCCCTCATCAATATCCCCGAAAGAAAATGAGTATAGGTCGGTATAGGTTTGCAAACATACCCTCCGCCACATACGACGTCGTCCCCACAAACTCCGCATCCTCATCCCCCTCCGCCGGTTTGAACCTATACTCATCGAGCCCCCACCTCGTAAGGGGAATAAGCGCCTTGATGTCCTGCATATCGCGCAGACCTTCAATGAGCACGCCTCCAGGCCCGTTAAACCACACCCCGTCTTCCAATAGACCCTGTTGGGTGCAGTCAGACAAGGGTCCGGGAGCAAGCACGAGCGCGATGTGGTCCTCCGCTACGGCGATGACGGGTGCGCCCCGGAAGCGGCTTTTTAGGATCTGCACTTCGCGGGTGAGAGGGTCGAGGTCTGTCTCGGTGTAGCCGGCTTCCCTGTACAGCCGCAAGAGGTATTGGCCGATTGGGTAGAGCGCTGTGCGGCGGAGGGAGGTTGCGCGTGCGTACGCGTCGCTGATCGCCCGCTGCCCCTCGTCGTCCGGGTCCGAGGCCGGGTCCGGCTCCGGGTTTGTACGCGGTGCTCGAATCCCCGGCGGACCAGACCACGCAAACCCAATTCCTATCCCCTCCTCCTCCTCCTCCTCCTCCTCCTCCTCCGCACACCAAACCCGCTCGAGCAACGCCCTCGCCTCCTCACTCCGGCCACAGGCCACAAACCCCCTCGCAACCGCAAGCGCGACTGGCATGAGCATCTCCTCCACCAGTAGCCCGCGAAAAGTGGCCCAGAGCCTTTCGAGTAGATCCTGTACGGCAGCGGGATCGATAACGCTCACTCGGGAAACCGCAAGGAGTTGTCGGAGTAAGCGGCCAAGACCGAGGTAGTTTAGGACGATGTGCCCCCATTCGTCGTTGTATGCTGTGTGGACTATGTGTGTTGCGCGTGTGGTGAAGAGCGAGCGGAATGTAGTGGAGATTTGCGTGGTTTTTGGTAGCGTGCTGAGGGTGTGGTCTGGGAGGGAGAGGATGATTTGGAGGAGGAGTTCGGGGGGGAAGGGATGTTAGTGTTGCGGGCATTTTTTGCTCTGGTTGGGGTTTGGAGTGAGGTGCTTGAGATAGTATCTCGAGTCTTGCATTGCTGGGATGATAGATGTGTAGGAGGAGGTTGGGAGGCGTAGGGAGGTGCTTGTGTGACGCTAAGCCACAGGTGCAAGGCTGAGCTTTGGAGACGCTGCGTCGCCGTTCTTGGCAGTTTTGGTTTAGTTTACCTGTTGTATGACTCGCAACGAGCCTCAACGGATGATGGACAAGAGTAGGTAGTTTGAATGGGCAAATATGGACAGAACCGCTTAGTGATTTCGAGTCAACCCCAAACTCTAGCCAAGGTGTTCTATTTCTCGCTCTTTCCAACAACACCTACAGCTTGCACTTCCACCCCCTCAATATCACCCCCGACGTACCTCGCACTATCAAACTCATCGAGATACTCCTTCGGCTCCCTCCACCCGCTGCCCTTAACCATCCCCTTGGGCGCCCTCCAAAGCGCAAACCCATAATAGCCAACAAACGCAACTACCAGACCGACCGGATACGCGACAAAATAGAACCTCTGCACACCCTCACTAGCTTCAACCCCCATCTGGTTCAGAAACCCATAGAAATTCGGCGCGATGGCGATGACGTACGTCGCGAAGGCGCGGAGCCCGAACCCGTAGAAGTAGTGGTACATCCCCTCCGGATGAGCGGTGTACAGGTCTGGAATTGAGAGGGCGCCTCGGCGGAGGAGGTAATAGTCGCAGATGAGGATTCCGGTTATGGCGGAGAGGAAGATTTGGTAGGACGAGAGGAAGTTTATGAAGACGGAGGCTGAGGAGAGGAGGTACCAGGGGCAGATTGCGTAGGAGAGCAGTGCGCAGATGAAGAAGCCGCGTTTTATGGTTATGTAGCGGGGGAGGAGGGAGGCGATGTCGTTGCCGGCGCTGCAAATGTTAGTATCTGATGTGGTGAGGTTTGCAGAAAACGTGGACGTACGGAATGGAGTTTTCGAAGATCGCAGAGAAAACAGTAGAGTAAGCGAGGGCCAGCGCGATAAATGCGCAAGCTGTGCGGTTTCCAGACGTGTAGCGTTCGCCGGCCATGAGCATGTCGAGGAAGTCGAGCGGATTCCAGATGAGCTATTCACGTTAGCGAGGTCATCCAAGTGCAATGAGGCGACTAACCTCTCCAAAGACCCCAACACTGGCAGCAGCGATAACATTCCCAAAGACTGCAACGATCAGCGCTGACAACGGAAAACTGATAAGCTGCCCCCAAATCACATCGCTCGGCCGTCGCGCATATCGCTGCATATCCGCAGCATTGGAGATGAATGTCGCACAGGATGCAAGGCCAATGAAGAGGAACTTGCAAATCATCCAGCTCTTTTCCGACCCGTGGATCGTCGAGCCTTGACTTAGGGCAGAAGTCGTCCCGCCCGCTAGCGAGACCGTCCAGCCTGTCATGGCAATGACAGCGGCGTAGTAGACGAACACTTTGATGTAGACGAGCGACTTCATCTTTGGGACGGGTACGACCAGGAAGGCGCAGTTTACAAGCCTGTCAATGAATGTTAGCTATTGTTGTCAGGTAGGACAGTGACCTACCAGTAAATCAAGAAGCAAATCATCCCGGCGGAGTTAAGTGCAGACTTGGGGCCCATCTTGTCTGGGATATTCTCAATAGACGGGAATATTGCATGTAGAAACACACTATCAAGTTAGTATTCTATTTTTGCCCCATTCGAGAGGCGCCTTACTAGATACACTGTGCACCTTGCACAGCGTTAACTCCATTCCACACAATCGACATGACCGCGCGATTGAATGTCGGCCAGAGAGCGCCCCACGGCCCAAAGCTTGCGCGACACAGCACGGGAAACGGAATGCGATACAGCGCGCCGCCGCGACCGTTGAGAGCCATCAGACATCCTGCAAGGAATTGGCCCGCAAACGAACACGCGACTGCTTCCCACATGCTCAAGCCGACAGTAAGCCCCGTTGAAGCAGCGTACAGATTGCTCACGTTCGCGGTTGCGGAGAACCAGAACGACATGTAGGTGAGCTGCGTCCATGTCCGGTCCTTGACGCGGGTTGGGCGGATGGAGTCGTTGTCGATTGCTTCGACGACGCGGATGTTGCCATCCTGGTCGACACTCTTGACAAGGATCTTGTCGTGGAGGCGGGACAGAAAGGAAGCCATTTCGGATGTCTAGTGCTGGGCTCTGGAGAAGTCTACATTGTAGAGGAGGGGGCTTGGGTTTTGCTTTTCTTTGACAATGACTATCTTTGGGGTCATGATTGCGATATCTCGCGCGGATAAGGCGAACCAGTAGCGAGACGCTTTATCAAGCTTATCACCGTGGCCAAGACTGGGTCGTCTCCAACTCGGAATTGGATATATGACAGCCGTTAATTTGCCATAGCGATAAAGAAGCACACAGTGAGATTCTTATCTCTGCTGTCAAGCGGGCCGTGGCGAACTCCAATTCTTGGTGTTGCTTACTCCAAGGTTTCAGAGCAGTTGCAGCGCAAGAGTTCGAGTGGGTCGCGGTCTTGCCCACCGGCGGGGCCCGCCGCAGTCGGAGTCGTTATCGTCAGTCACGGGGATCACAATCAACACATAAATCCGTATCCTTCAACAGGTTATCGATCACGAATCCTCGTAAACGCGAAAGATGGCCGGATACACACAGCTCGAACTGCGCACGCTGAACGGTCCCGAATTCCGACGAGTGTCAACTGCCCCGCCTCGTATTCCCACCGAAGACGAAATCCCCGTCATCGACCTCACTCCGATCGATGGTGATCTCGCGACGCGCAAGCAGCTCGCATCAAAGATAAGAGCCGCTGCAGAGGGGACGGGGTTTTTCTATGTGAAGAATCATGGAATTCCTGAAGAGTTGATTCAACGCGCATTGGGTGTGGCGAAATCGTTTTTCGAGCAAACGGCTGAGGACAAGGAGAAGGTGTCGCATGTCAGGGCGAAGCACAATGATGGCTATCATGGGGTTGGAACGACTCAGATCAATAATAAGGAGTCGCGAGGTATGCTGGTCGGAACGACTCCGGAAATTGATTGCTGATCGCGCGACAGATCAAAAGGAAACATTCTCGGTGCGGTATAATCCACTGAATGACCCGACCGTCTCAGAAGAAGCCAAAAAGAAGCTGCTCGCCGATGAAGCCTCCTCATATGGTGCGCAGGAATACCTCTGGGATGGAACCAGCCATCTCCCTGGATTCCGCGAAACCACACTCGAATTCTACAAGAGCCGACTGACCCTCGCACGCAAGATGATCAGGCTCTTTGCTCTCTCACTCGAGCTCCCCGAAGATTATTTCGACTCCGTCATCACCCACCCTGGCGCAGACGGACTATACGTGCACTATCCGGGAACCCCAGGACTCGACAAAGACAAGGATACGGACATTGAAATCGACGTCGGAATCGGCTCGCATACGGACATCCAGTGCGTAACGCTACTGTGGCAAGATAACTCGGGCGGTCTTCAGGTTCTGTCTGCCAGCGATGAGTGGCTTGACGCGAGGCCGATTGAGGGCACACTGGTCGTAAATATTGGCGACTTTCTGCAACGGCTATCGAATAACCGGTTCAAGTCGACTGTGCACAGGGTGTATAATCGGCAGAGCACGTCTCGCTACTCCATGCCATTCTTCCTCGGGTTTAACCCGGAATCCGTGCTCAAGGTTGTGCCGACTTGTGTGGACGAGACGCACCCGCCGCTATATGAGCCGATCTCGTGTGGTCAGGTTAGTTTCTTGAACCCTCTATTGGTTGTGTCATGCTAATTCTGCTGTAGTGGCACCGTGCAAGGCTTGCGTTGGCTCAGAAAACAACCGCCGCCGCTTAAGTAAGATCCCATCGGAGTAGTTTAGTGACGATGCTTTATTCTTGGTGGTAGCACTTGGCTCTCAACCGCTGTCAGCCATATTAGCATAATTTAAAGTCGTTCTCCCCATTGGTCCGACTGTTGTTCTGCATCAAAAATGTAGGTCAACTCGCGCTTCTAGCCATATGCTGTCTTACGCTCAGCGATATATATTCTGCAATTCCGTCTCGGAAAGCCTGAAAAACCGTACATTATCTCCAGAAATCCAATGTTGAGGTCTAATGAGCGATGTAATCTTCCACGCGAATGATCCGAGTCCGATTGAAGATGATTGCGACAAACTGCCACGATGCTGCTCTGCGACTCCAACTGCAACTGCCAACTGCGAGTGCTGCGCTGCAAGTCCGGCCGATCGGTGTTTTGTGTGGGCCCGTAGTTCCGGCTAAAAGCGGACCTCCACATTCCGGGCAAATTCAATCACCAGCCATTGGTGCATAAAGTGGGAAAATGCGAGCGAGCAATCACTAGGGAACTCCTATTGGACCACAATAGCCGTAGGCCATCGTCCCGGAAAATTGAAGATTGCCCAGCGTTTGTACAGACGCTGCGGGAGTTAAGCCCGTTATAGCCGTCATGGTGGTTGGCTCAACGCAAGCAAATCTGGCAGGTACGACCAGGCCGGCTATTAAGGCCGTCGTCTGCCACTGAAGGTGACTCTGGCGATGCCTTCACCTTCGAAGCTGTCGACGCCCAAAGACACGCATATCCTATCTTATCATGGCGACGAAACCGCCACTCATTCAGGTCCTCCCTCCCCTCATTCTCGGTGGTGCCGGATTCAGCCACCAGCTCACGTCGAACCCGAACCCACTACGGACGCGAGAGGTGCTGAAGCGGGCCTTTGAACTCGGACTCCGAGCGATCGATACCTCGGCATATTATGAGCCATCGGAAGAACTCATCGGTGCAGCGCTGGCACATCGCGAGATGGCCACCTACAAGCGGCACGAATATTTTCTCATGACCAAGGTTGGCCGCATCAGTGCTACAAAGTCGGACTATTCGCCAGCCTGGATCCGGCACTCGGTCCATCGATCCCTTCAGCGGCTAAGAACGACCTACCTGGATGTGGTATTCTGCCACGATATCGAGTTTGTATCAGAGGAAAATGTCTTGGAAGCCATTGGGGTTCTCTTGGAGATGGTTGCGGTGGGGAAGATACGATATGTGGGAATATCAGGTTATCCGATCGGTCTATTGGCGAGAGTCGCCCGTCGAGCACGACAGCTGTACGGTCGACCCATCGATGTGATACAGACCTGGGCGCAGTTGACACTGCAGAATAACCGGCTTGAGCGAGAAGGATTGCAACTATTCAAAGACGCGGGCGTACAATGCGTTTGCAGCTCCAGCCCACTTGCTAGTGGTCTTTTGCGCGACGAAGGCGTTCCAGTGGGTACTTTAGGGGACTGGCATCCGGCACCAGAAGGGCTCCGACAGGCTGCACGCCAGGCGTCTCAATACGTGAAGTCTCTGGGAGAGTCGTTGGCCAGATTGTCCTTGCGATATGCTATTAGACGTGCACAGTATTCGTCAACGACGGAGTTCTCTGTCGCAACAATTATCGGTGGCACATCCCTTACTGAAGTAGACGAAAATATCGCAACAGCGCTGCAGGTATTACGCCGCGAGGAAGGTATATGGCAATGGAATTCAAAGGGTGACTCGGAGCTCGGGGAGACGGGGAGCAACGAGCAATTGGAAGAAGATGCGCTGATATCCAACGGAGTCAAGCTGATCATGGGTGAATGGAGGAATTACAGTTTCGTACAAGAACCGGAACCACAGACGGGAGGACTTTTCGTTCCCACGAAGCTGTAAACTAGTATTAGATATTATCTTTAAACGGCATCAGATGGAAGCACGATACATTCAACTTACCGAAAGCTTGGGCGTGCCACGGAAATAGCGCACTCTTGTTGTCGAGAGTGAGAAGCCAGGAGGGCATCTGGATCGCCAAGATCGTCTATCACAAGCAATCGACCTCTACGGTCTGCTTGGGGCTTCCATTGATCACTGCACTATTAACTCCCATTCGACCTCACTAGGCTCTTTCCAGTAATTCGTCCCACTCGCAGAAAAACCAAGCTTTTTCAGCAGCCCCGCGCTTCGATGATTCTCCCTTTCGGTCTCCGCGATGAATCGGCGAACGCCCCTGGCCTTGACTGCCCAGTGCACAACAGCCTCAGCAACTTCTTTCGCGATAGCCTTGCCCCAGTATTTCGAGGAAATGCCATACCGGAGTTCAACCATTTCTTGCCAAGGAGGGAGCTCCGGATCGTCTGTTTCTCGTGGAGGGAGAGATGTTGTCGTGGCATCACGAACGCCAGCATATCCCACCCATTCGATCTCGTCGAGCAATTTTCCGTTTGGGCCAGCATTCGTTTCGAAATCATGGCCCTTGAGTATTGAGAACCGGGAGTGATTGTCATCAATGCACGCAGAAGGCGGCTTGACCCCAGCCGCGAAGTCACCTAGACCGTATTTCTTCCAAGAGCGGCCAATATCGCGGGTTTCAATACTTTGGCGCGTTTCTTCGTCGCTCCAGTTCCTGGCTGGGAAATGCGGTCCGAAAGCCATCTCGCAGAAATCCACGTCGGCGTGCAACCCCGCGTACAGCATTCGATAGGAGGGCAAGTTGACTGCAATCGGCGTCGGAATCAGTATCAGCCTCGAAGTAAGTAGAGCGAAGGGCTCAAAGCCCTCCATCGACGAGGAATCCATGGTGTTGTGGAAGAGTGTCCCGGTCACGGAGTTGCGGCCGCCTCCAGGATTTTTAGCCGGCCGCGGGGTTAGCCTCAGGCCACTAGCCTGCTAGCGTTGGGCTAACGGCAGTCGAAGCCCCCGCATCCTCCAGTCTCCTCCAGTCTTAAGCCAGCTTCTTCCCCGGCCCAGACCGCGCCATTGAGCTGGAAATTCAAAATGTCAAGACGCGAAAGATGGAAGACAGTCCGATGATTGTTGATGGTGACTTGGCCGGCGAGAGTCGCTTGCGAGTGCTGCGTGCCTGCGACCGCTGCTCTCAGTCAAAACAGCGCTGCGATGGAGAGCGTCCGTGGTGAGTTCTCAATTCCACACCTGTTGGTTCTTCATGTTTCCCATGACTTTTGCCGCTCTGCGCTCGGCGCATCAGAGCTAACACTTCGCAGCCAGCGATGTACCGGTAGGTGGCTGACCCCGCACGCATGCCACGAGACCGATCACTCGGCGACTGACTCGAATTCTTCCAGAGCGAAACATCCCGTGTCAATATGAGAAGACCGTACGGAAGCGTGGTCGCCGCCGTCGGACAAAGTTCGCCTCCACCACCCACAGAACACTTGCCCCTGGCCCTCCGAGTCTAAACGATCTGATCAACCACGGAAACAGCAGTGTGGAGCCTTCCCCAGAGGAGCGCGACAATATGCCGGACAGCGTGCGACGAAGAAACACCAACCCGCTTAGCACTCCATCGTACACCGAAGACGACTCGATTACGCGACTGACGAACGATACAAGAGGAGGAGGCAGCAATGGTCAGGAGGAAGCCGACCCATTTCGTCTCGAGCCAGCTACCACTCTTCCTGGACTATCAAACCAGGACGCGACTCGCGCTTCGCTGAATCCCTTTGTCTTCCAGGACGCATTCTTCAGCATGCCGGGCCAGTCTCAGAGCCCAGCTAGAATTGCGTCCGGTCGCGTCGAGCACTGGTTGAGCAAGACGCCCCCTGTCCCGTCGGGCGGGCCGCTCCGTGGACTCTATTCTACGGTTTCGCACAAGAATTTACAGGGAAGCTCTGCTCACGGCTCATCGCAAGGCCAGATATCCTACCCTTGTTTAGAGCCTCTTCTGCCGTACTTACGGGGAATCTTGTCGCCAAGTGATGCCTCGGAGATGCTGGAGATCTACTTTAACGAGCAGCGAAACCCAATCTTCAAGGCGACATCTCCGTATACTATCGCGCACATAGTCCAACCTTCATCCGTTCTACATCCAACTGCACCGCGGCCGACTTCATCTATCCTGCTTCTCGTCATGCTACTTTGCGTCGCGCACACTGCAGATATCAGAATTTTCGACCCACCTGGTGCGCGACAACGCATCGTGCTCGACCTCTATCGTCTAGTGCTTGATCTGATGGAGCCGGTCGACTGGGATAACTATTTCAGAACATCAGGTATGTAGACTTGGAGATCTTGAGCTAAGGGTCGACTGACACAGTCAGATGGGTGGCAGTACCACCCGCGAGGAGGGTTCCCGGACAAAGATGGGCGATCTTCTGTCTGTCATGCTGCCGGCAGCGGGCTCATTCCCGACTTTCTTGGTTCCACAGATGTCATCTTGGCTCTGGTCATACTCACACTCGTGATATCTGGAGGTCACTTCAAAGCGGACTCTCTGAAATGGTGGTCAAAGGCAATTCGTCTGACCCGAGCAAGTGGTCTAAGCATGGAAGACCAGGGACTGCAGTCGGGGAACATTCCTAGCTCATTTTATCAAGGACAGACGTCTGTCCGAGAGTGGCTGATAGTCAAAGAGGAGCGTCGGCGACTCTTCTGGCTGATATACTGCCTTGACCGTCATCTGGGGTTGTCCTTCAACGCGCCAGTGAACTTCCCGGAGGGTACATTCTGGGTTGCTGCTCCTCTGCCCGAGGACCTCTGGCAGACCTTGGAGACCGTTGACCTCAGCCGCATCCCTGCGCCGCAGCTTGGCCCTCCTGCGAAGATAACAGGATACGGTTTCTTCGAGTATTTCCTTCCCCTCGCCACCGTGCTAGGGCATATCATCGACTTTCACCATGTTCAGAACCATCCTCTTCTCGGAGATACGCTCAACCACGCGGCCATTCATCGAATTGAAGCGCTGATCTCTCAACGCGAACAAGACATCGCGGATCTCAGGGACCAGCTCGAGAATCCACTCCCCAATCAGCACCCCATCGACCCTTTCAATCCCACGTTTGGATATGTCCAAAACCCAGCGTCGTCGGTCGATGCGAAGAAGCCGCTAGTGATTGCATACAGCTCCCACATGCTTCATGTATTTTACATCCTGCTGCACGGGAAATGGGATCCGATATCCATGATTGAAGATAAGGATGACTGGATAACGTCGGAGAGCTTTCAGGCATGCGCCTCGCACGCGCTCAGCGCGACGGCAGCTGTACACCAGATCCTCACCCTCGACCCGGAACTCAATTTTATGCCCTACCTCTTTGGTATATATCTGCTTCAGGGAAGCTTCATCCTCCTGTTGTTCGTCGACCGGATGCCGGAGCTCGGATTCAACAAGTCTGTCGAGGAGGTTTGCGAGACAATTATCCGGGCGCATGAAGTGAGCGTGGTGACACTGGACACCACATTTCAGGTAATTACCTTTATTCGAAACGCAACCGTTTCCTGTTGAATGCAACAATCGCTGACTAGATGTCTAGAAAAACATCCGTAAAGTTTTTCGATCGATGCTACACGACGCGCAACGGGCTGATCCGCATTTCCGAGAAACTCACAAAGCTCGACGAAGAGAGATCCTCTCGCTCTACCGGTGGACGCGTAATTCGCATGGGCTGGCCTACTGATAAGCCGTCATTGCCTGGTGGTTGAAGCTGCAAACTCCAGCACTGACTCCAATCGAGCCGTCGCGGTCCGATATGCCAAGGCTGGTTAGACTGCGCGGGGACCGATTCCTAGCTTCTGCTTTTATTGGTTCAACCATTCCCTGGTGGGTCGATTTGATGAGGTCTGAGTCGGTCTGGCGATGTTGCAAACACGTTCAAACAGCTCAGCCCCTGAGGGTCTCCAGACGAACACCAGACTTCTCGCGAGTTACCCAGCCAGACTGCAGTGTCAATATGTGCTCTCTCAGTCATCATGGACCAACTGAGCCAATCTGACAGCTTTCTTTAAACAGTGCAAATGCATCAAACTCCACCGTGCGTCAACCCACTAAACTATGTCCCCCGTTCTCGGTAGTATAAATATGGCGTTGTCCATCATGGCTGTCGAATCATCCAACTCATATCTTGCAAGAACTTGTGAAGTTAACACACAATCGAGACGCCACAATGTCATCAACATCCTTCTCGACCGATTCAAACACCTCCATACATGTTCGCATCACACACCCCTCCAAGCATTTCGATAAACCGCTCCTGGTCTTCCTGCATTACTGGGGCGGCACCTCGTCGACATGGTACAAGCTTACCTCGCCTGAGACATCGACTTCTCTCGCACACGAATATCCGACTGCTGCCGTTGACCTTCGTGGATGGGGCAAATCAACTGGACCGCTCGACGATGAACGGGCATACTCTATCGCCGCGATGGCGGCTGACGTCGCATCGGTCTTGCTGCAGGTGTATCAGGATGCCGCCAACGGAAGGCTTCTTGCCAACGGCTTTGTATTGGTTGGTCAATCGATGGGCGCAAAGGTCGCACTCGCTACTCTATCTGCCCTTTCAGACAATCTCCTGAAGGCACTCAAGGGCATCGTACTCGTTGCACCAGCACCTCCCACACCCCTCATTCTTCCAAACGAAATGAAGGAACAACAGAAAGTCGCGTACAAGACTGCAGAGTCTGTCCGCTGGACCATCACCAACGTCCTCGCCATTGCCGAGAACCTAAACGAAACAGACCTGGAAATGGTGGTTCGTGACAGCCTCTCCGGAAACCCTTTAGCAAAGGCCGCTTGGCCCGGCTACGCAATGGAGGAGGATGTTTCCCAGGATGTGAAGAAAGCCCTTGCTACCTTGGCTGCAGGCGTTCGGGTTCGTGTTTTGGCCGGGGAATTCGATATCGTTGAGCCAAAGGAGCGAGTGGAGAGGGAGGTTTGTCAGTTTCTGGAGGATGCCGGGGCAGATGTCTCATTCCAAGTTGTCGACGGCGTCAAGCATTTGATTCCGTTGGAGAGACCCGACGCGATCTATGAAGCGGCTGTTGGTCTATAGTCCTAAACGCCTTGGGAACCCGGCTTACGGGGTACTAACTTGAAATATATGTAGTGGATGTGTCTCACAATCAACCAATCCGTTACCATGCCTTCAAATGTCAATTCTTGATTATATAGTCTAGACGCGTCGCTTTGCTCTCCACCCAGCACGCTTACGCCTCCGTACTTGCAGTGGCGTCACAGGCAACAGCCACTTTTCTCACAAGCTACGCTGTGGGAATACTGGTATTCGCCCTTGATTATTTTGAGATTGGTGATGTGGTATCTCTACGCAATTTATTTCTGTATCAACAGTCAGGTACCGATCTGCGGGGCGGCTCTTCGCACCACCCACCGGAAGCACGGCATCGGCAAAGCCCTAATAGAATACGTCCTCAACAAGGCGAAGTCCCTGATCATCGCTGTCACACCCTCCTACCAGCTGTTGGTATACCTGTTCTTCAAGAGATGGGGCATTGAGGATACGAGGCATTGGGACTTTGACCTTCCGAAATAGGCCCTGCTGTATTCCGGCTTTGGGATCTTTAAGCTTGCGGGCTTGACTTGATATCCTTCCCAGAAGTGAGCCTGTGGGCGCGCGGGACAAAGACTATGGACGTTGTTATGGTGTGATGGATGTGAAGGGTAGGTTCTGTAGGTTTCTACTATCTTTGTTTATGGCTCTATACAATGGAAAGCAATTTTTGCCACAGGGTAAGGGGGTCACTCTGTTACCTGGATCATCTCCCTCCCTAGACCACGACCTCTGACTCAACTCATATCTCTGCACTAATACCCCAAACCCAGAACGACGAAATGCGCTGCAAAAGCCCAGACCGAATGTGCTCTACATGCCAAACCAAATACACCTCTTTAGCCAGCACCCCTCTCGCCCACAAACGCTCCCCAGGCGCCAACATCTACCAAGTAATCTTCACGCGCTACCTCTACAACATCCACACCTTTGCCCCCCTCGAAACCATGGCGACCAACTTCGCCCGAAACATAAAACTTCTCAGCGGCCTCGACATCGACCCCATAATCAGCGCACTCAAGTACGGCCCAAGGGGCGCGGAGAACGGCGCGTCGATGTACATCTCCATGCTCGTGGAATTTCCTCGACCACTACTCTTTCCGGATGATGATCAGAGCGAGAGGGATGCGAGTGAGATCCTGGATGAGTTGGTGGGCATTGGAAATGGGATTGACGGGTTCCCGGCACAGCCTGTTGGCACAGAGTGGATGGTTTCTTCGATTGATGAGAAGGATGGGCACCATTCGCTTGTGAGGCTGGGGTGGTTGCTGGAGGCCGTGGATTTGGCTAGTGGGGTTCCGGCTCATATTGCGCAAAAGAAGCTGTATGGGAGGAGTACGTTGGCGGAGTGCTGGGAGGAGGAGGATTGGAGTGAGATATATGGGCCTTTTGAGTTGCCGGGTTGAAGAACAGGATGGTAGTGAGCCCGTTCTTTTTTCTGTACTATTGTAGGCTCTGCTAGTTGAGGAATCATAAGGTGTCCGTCCACTTTCCGAGAATAATCACAAAACATAGCTGGGCCCCAGGAAGCCAAAGCGCAGTTCGCGTGTCCAGTAATTTGCCAAGTGACAACAATCTCAACGTCTGCCAAATATTGCTCTCCCCATGCGCTGTCCGTTGCCCGACAGCCTCGGGTTCAATCCTCCTCCTCATCCGCTATCTCCTCATCTTCCTTATTGAATTTAGCCTGAACCTTCTTCTTCTTTCTCGCAGTCGCCCCCTTCCCAGACACACTCCCCCTCTTCCTCTTCCTCCCGGCCCTAACCGGAGCCCCAGCCCTAGCCTCGCTCTGAGCCTGGCCATCCGCATCGTCCGCCCTGGCCATACCCTCCGCCGCTTCCGCAGCCTGTTTCTTCAACTTTGTAAACTGGTTGGTAATAGACCTGGTAGTGCATTCTAGAGAAGCAACACGGGAAAAGGGTCAGCAGTGTCAATAACCAAAGTCGAAACTAGACAGCGTTGGCGCATTTCCCTGGGCAAGCGCGGGAGGATGGGTTGCGCAACGCAACGTACCGGGTCCCATGTGCTCGGCAAGCTTCTTGTAGTCGAGCTTGACGGACTGGTCTTTGAGTTGGGCCAGCATTCCGACGAGGAGCTGTTGCTAGGTGGATCTGTTAGCGTTTGTTCTTGTTCAAGCGGTTTGAGGTGGAAGAGCAAGGAGCCAGTAGAGGATAGACCTTGACGTTTGCTTCTGGAGACCAGATCATCGGCATTTTGGCCGTTGTTGCTTTCAAAAGAGTGTAGAATGTGTTTGGGGAGTGGTGGGAAAGTCGTAGAGATGGGGAGGTGGGCGTGTATGTTGTAGGTAGGTGAGAGGTTGATAGAGTGGAGTGGAGAGGGCAAGAATAAACCGAGACTGGAATCTGAGCGATGGTTGTTTGAGAGAAAGGGGAGGGGGGAATGAAAGGAAGCAGAGTGTGTTGATTTCTTGTGCTTGGGAAAAGTGTTTGTGTGTGTTGGTTCATTTGCTTAGTCGTGTGCTGAGTCGTGCATCTTGGGTTGGTGGGGAGACCTGGTATCCCACCAAAAGGGATTCACTCTATCTATAGCTGTATGTGCCCTTCCTGTCAACACATGGATGCCTCTGCTATTACTTCCCTCGCGTACAAGATTTAGAATCCCATGGACGATCTGCAACAGACTCAGCAGACCTGAGGGGTAGATTACTGTCTGCCAATGTTCTCCAGATGTCGCTCATCCAACAATGCAGGAACATAGCCGATTTGAGCCAGTTCTGTGTGTCTTGGATTGGCTCGCAGATCAAGTCATTTCGATCAAAAGCCTCTTTGAAGATCAATAAGGATCTGCAGAACAAATGGTCTTGTTGAGAATAATGAGATTAAAGCTCCGAGGCTTTGTACAAATCGCTTTATTAATGACATGGGTCTTTTGTGGGCAGTTTCAAAGTCACAATGAGTTCAAGGTAACCCTGACGCCCTTATACAAAAAATTGATAAAGACGTGTAAAGCAATGAATGACATTTATTGTCCAAGTCGTTCAATCTTTGTCTATAGACACATATAAGCCTTGATATCTCCCTCCAAATCTCCCCTATCAACCAACTAGCCCACCATCAGCCAACAAAATCCCACTACCTCACGCAAACCAATACTCCACGCAGTAACTAACAGACAGACTAACCACCATGGTCGTCCCTTTACCACCCTGCTGCGCCCGCAACGCCCACGGCCCACAAAACATCCTCTGCTCGCAGTGCGTCCACCTCTATGAAAAGCTCCGCCCGCATCTCGACGCAGACAGACTCGAATCCTCAACCCTGCAAACCTACCCCATAGTCCTGAAAATCCGGCTGCCGCCCGTGCCCAACGACGTCTACCCCCAGCACATCTACGACCTCTCAAAAAAGCTCGCCGACGTGATCCACCACCTGGCGTGGGAGATGTTTGGCGCCAGGGTGCCGACGGTCATCGTGCAGGAGTTCCAAACCGACTATGTGGATATTCGGGTCCTGCTGGACTTTCCTCGGTACTTCAATGCCGTGGACTCCCCCTTTGTGAAACGGCTCCTCAAGGAGGCGGCCAAGTTCATACCGGAGTTGAAGGCGGCGGGCGACGACCAGCGGTGGCAGGCTGAGTTTCCGAGTCAGGGTCAGTGTGCGGGGCAGTTTCGGTTGGAGTTTTGGGACAGGTTTCAAAAGGAGTTGATGAGGGGGGAGAAAAAGTTCCGTCGTAAAGAGTAAGTGGCTGATGGCGGAGGGTTGTTTTGCTAGAGGTACGTAGTGTCTTTTATATATGCTTCGTGAGGGCATCACCCTCTGAAAAATGGATACTGCGTCGACAGACGGCGTTTCACTCTTTTAGCTATTCAAAAATGAATAAAAGGTTACCCAGGGTTGAGATCAGACTTATTATTGCGATATAAATTCTTCTTCCACTACCCGTATATGGCCTCCTGGGGGCCTGCGATAGAAAGTAGCCTCGAGATCCAGGTGAAACTACTTGACCCGTTAGTTTCATTCATATATGATTTACTTGATTCTTCCAAATCTAAGGGATAAAGTAATTGTGTACGCCCTAACCTATGCCTAGAGTGGAGAATTCATTGGCAGGTGGCCAATGGGATAAATAATGAAGAGGAGCATGCAGTAAGTGGACCAGATACTCTAGGTACACTTCAGCTGGTATAGAACGCGCCTTGAATAGTCAAATTGTGGATTTTCTTTGTATGTTTCGCTTGAACAACATCGCTTGCGCCTTAGACAATTATGCCTTCATATGGAGCTATAAAGAGTACAAAGAAGATGCGAAGCCTAGAAGCGTGGACAAACCCTTTAGCAGGGTTTCATTTTTTTCGGTTCCGTCCTTGCAAATAATAGAGAGTACAAAGCGCTGTACAAGTATAATAAAAGTCTCTATGGGCACTTGATCTTCTTGTCCGTCAAAACAGTATATGTACTTATCCCACCCCCACCTGCATATTGTACATAGCTGCGAACAACCTCGACACCTTCAACAACCTGGACTATATCATCTATCTACCTACTAGCAAGAGTACTACCGTCAAAATGACCACTCCCCAATGCACGACCCCAACCATGCTCTGCACCGACTGCACCGCCATCAAGACCAAACTATCCCTATCCCCCAAATTCACCCCCACCCAACTAACCACCCAGCCCAAAACATACCCCGTCATCTTCTGGAAGACCATGCCAGAAACCACAGACCTACCAAACCTGTACCTCTTCTGCCGGCGCGCAGAGCGCATCCTCGCAACCGAGGTGAAGGTTAGCGTGACTGTCTGGACGTCGATCTTCAAGGATAAGGGCGAGGCGGGGACGAAGACTGTCAAGGTTCTTGTTGACTTTGCAGAGTTTACCACGATTAGCGAGGGTATGAGAAGGCGATTGTTTGAAGGGGCAGCTGAGAATGTGGGCGTGGGCGTGGAACTTCCTACCATGCTTGCGGACGGGAAGCTGGCGGCGCATCCGAGTCTTGTTCGGTTGGAGTTTTTCAAAGAGATGCATGAGACGGCGCGCGAGGGGCGGTTGTTGAATCATGATCATGTGCCGCTGAGTATCACTGTGTAATTTGTCCGTCCAAGGCTCCAGGAGCTGAGTAGTGGGAGAGATATCAAGGAATAGCAACAAAAATATATACGCGTTTGTTCTTTCTTTCGTTTAGTCTGGAATAGCCGCTGCGCGAAAGTCCAGGACGGGAAGGGGAAAGGAAACCTTTACTTTTACCTGCATAATATATATATATATATACTCCTCATTGAATATCGTTTATTGTCACAGCAGAATGGCTGCAATACTGAAGAATGTGAGGACGGATGGTGATAATTTACCCCAACCAGCCCACTGTCAGGAAAAGGCTCCCTAGAAACAGATAACATATGTATTCCTGCTCTCTATAGGGTGATCTATAGTCATATTACGCCTGTCGGTTCGTCATTTTGAGCAAAACTATTTTACTTGGACGGGACAACAAGTATAGGATTCGGCATCTAACTACCTCCAGGATGCCTCTCAACGGTCTCATGGCTCGCGCCTCGAGAACAATGGATCTGATTAGCCAATAGTAATTACAAAGACGGCATTGATTAAATGCTGAAGGCTGCCCCTATTGTTGTCTACTAACACAAGGCATTTCATGCAAGATAAGGTCAAAGGCTCACAGGCTCTGGCTTTGTCAATCAAGTGTCTTGGAACTAGACGCTATACACAGCACACAAAGAAACACTAGCCAAGACACATTCCAGTCCATTATCCATGTCATCCTTTGTTGATCAAGTATATAACCACCCACCCCTCATCCAATTCCCCCCTCATCCTCTCACCACTCCCATCCCCGCAACCATCACCAGTCACAATTTCCCTAACCCGCAAACCCCTTCCCACCAGCACGGGCACAATGGACTGCACAACCCCCGAAAAGCTCTGCCGCGACTGCAAGCCCATCTACCAGAACCTCCTGCTGGCCTACGGCCCGTACCAACTCGATCTCCCGCCGGGGTACTACCCGGTCCTCTTCACCATCACGCTACCGCCTAGGTCAAACCTCAAGTTCGTTGATACGATGGGCAAGGCGATCGAGAATACGCTTGCGCTGTCGTATGGGATGGTTAATGCCAAGGTTTGGAAGATTGTTTTTTATGAGGGGGGTGATGGCGAGGGGATGGACGCGGATAAGGGCAGCGACAAGGAGAAGGGGAAGGAGGAGGACAAGGACAACGGCAAGGGTAAAGAGAAGGAGAAGAAGAAGGAGAAAGAACCTCCCAAGCCCGCAACTCTAAAACTCCTCATCGACTTCCCGCACAAGATCAAGGTCATGGACGATATGCGCTCGGGGATCTTCCTGCAGTTCCCGATTCCCAAGGGGGCCTCCGAGTGGAAGATGCACCTTCCCGAGGAGGCTGGTGCGGATGGAAAGCCGGGTCACGAGTCATTGGCGAGGCTAAGGTTCTGGAAGGAGGTCGATGAGTTGTTTACCGCCAAGAGGATCCTGAACAAGGACATGCGGAAGTGAGTCTTTTTGCTTTCTGTTTTTGTTTAGTCTAAGATGGGAGATAGGTGTTGAAAATCAATAAAAAAACATGTTGGGACTGGAAGCTTATTCACAATGTGCAGCGAGTAGTAGAGTAAAAAACAATATAGAGATTCATATGTAGACTCTCATATCAGGCGGACTCGGGATAATAGTGTCATACACGCACCGGGAAAGATAAAGTCATTACTGAGGGACCTGGCATGTAGAAAGACTTCTAATACTGTGACCAAGTAGTAGATAATTTGTCTCTAATTCCAGGAAGCAGCCAAAATCACTTGGTACAGGACGACAATATGCACTGCCTCGCGGACAGCAGCAGCCGGTGGAATAATCTCCTACGTGGAGCTGTCGTGCCGGGAGATAAAATATATATCTATCGCGAGCTAGCATGCAGCTGCATGTAGCGGCACCCTGCACGTTGGAGAGCGAAAAACATACATAACTCACGTTTCAGTCCACAATGATATATCATCGCAAGGCTATCAGGGCAATTTTGTTCTCAAGTTGGAGAAGCATATTATTTGATAGATAACTCTCTACCCCTATCAAGTCACCCCCTTATCTTCTCGAAGAGTTTGATTCGTAGACTACTATCGACCAACACAGAAACATAACGCTTTACCAAAGACAGTCACTCTTACCTAGTCTCGCTTTTATCAAAATCTACATTAATGATAGCACGCCTACCAGAAAAAAGCGGTACAGCGATGATACCCTCAACAGTCCCGAAGCCGGTTCTCGGTGCGGTGTCCTCCAGCGCGTGCAGTCGTAGATGAGAGTCCACAGTGCTAGCTCATGTAGCAGAGCCAGAGCTAGGTCTATCATTTTCCAAGTGTTTAGCTTATTGTATAAGAAGTAGACATGATGAAGTACTCCAGCTGATAAGAGAGACGCAGAGATGAACGAGTTAGAGAGCCCGTAGGAGTGATGTAGATGCGAGTAGGAAAGAGCACGTGAAAGCGAAGATAAAGATGTTGCGAAGACTAGAATGACAAGAGAAAGAAGCGATATGTGTTTAGAACAAGAAGTAGTCTCTAGATGAACTAGACGTGAATGCAGAGATCCGCAAGCCAAGTCGCAGTCTGAAGACTAGTTACCATAACTGCAAGATGTATACATAGAGTCGCAGAGCATGTCCAGACCGAATCGCATCACGTTCCATAGCTATTAGCCATACCCGCTTCTCGTTATAGAAATATAAGAACGCCACTCCCCGAGCAGCAGCCCTCTGCAGTGCTGTGTATATCCACGCCCACGCGCAGAAACCATGAATCCGAGCACCCGTTCAGATAACCGCGAGAGAGACACCCCTATCCTCGCCTGCCCATCGCACAGCAGTAGTTCCAGCCACATGCCAGTCAGTCAAGACAGTAAAGCTACCGTCTGACCAAGGTGCCAAAGCCAGAGACCCTGAGGCTGATATTAAATTGCGTGTTCCGCGTAGTCTACGACTAGCTAAGCCCAGAGGAAAGAGCCTACGCCGTAGCAACTCCGCAGCAGAACCTGAGCAATGGGACCGCGGGATGAAGAAACGTGCTCTACGACTGCACTTTGGCGCAGGGCTTGGCGTCATTTGCAGGGTTGTCTGGCCCGCTGGGCTCGAGTGTGTGGTTGTTTTGGACTCACCGAGGAGAATTGAACATTTTGTCGGTGTCGAGTGATCATCCATCTGCAGCGATGGAGCAGACGGCTTGGGCGTTTGGTGGTTCAAGGAAAGAGAATACTTGGCCTGGAGGTGCTTATCTTCACCGGGACACGGACAGATCGAGGCGGGGTGTATCGAGAGATGGAAAATTGCTTGGGTGCTGGGAGTGGGAACCAGTAAGCCGCGATGAAGGAGAGGGGACGGTCAGTGAGGTGAATGAAACTGACTCCCCGGAGTTGTAGTGGGCAAGGAGAGGGAGTGGGAAAAGAGCGGAAGAGGACGCGTGTAGTGGACGTGCCGCGGGTGCAGAAAGGGCCAATCAAGAGAGCTCGCTGAAATTGTCTACCTTGAGACGAGGCCATGGAAGTGTGAGGAAAGTAGCCAGATTCCCAGACAGTCATGGCAACAAGCACAGCGAGCTAAAATGAGAAAGAGGCGCGCGATTTGGCCACCCAATCACCCCCGGAGCAAAGTGAGCCACCACCGAGCCAAGGATGCTAGCCAGAACCTGGGATCGGAAAGCAAAATGGAATGGCTAAATATACCAGAGAAACAGCGGTCTCCTTTACGAGGCCAGCGAAACGCGTTAAACCTCGAAATATATACACACACAGATGGTCAAGTCTATATAACCCCACACGACACACACCCATCGTGCAAGACCCTTCAAGCAATTCCAAGAAATGGGTAGACACTTGGCGAGTGGGTTCAGCACGCACCAAGCATTGCCGATGATGTCTACAAGCCTTACTGACAGGACCCCTCTTGGCCGGGCCCCGTCGGGCAAAAAAAGGAATTCTATCTCGAGTGCAACTGCAAAGGGGAAGCTCATCGATATACGCCCGAAAGGTGCAGGTTCTTTAGAGATTACAGCTGATGGATGGCAAGCTGACTGCTAGTGCAGGCTCGGTGGTGTTTGTGGCAGCGGGCGACCCGACCGAGTTCAAGCGGAAACAACACGCGCAGGCGCAGAAGAACCAGCGAGATCGCATGAAGGCGGCGCTGGACCGGATAGCGCAGATAATGGAGGGGGGCGGCGTCAATGCAGGGACCACTACTACTGGGGCGACAAAGGTGAGCAGTTCTCGAGACCAAGAGGAGACGGGCCAATCCGGGAAGGCCCTGCTGCCACGAGCCTCTGCTCACTCGGAGAATTGTTATCTAGGTGGAACTGCTCGAGGCAGCAATCGGGTATATCCAGCGGTTGCAGGGGCAAATTGAGGAGATGAGGGAGGTTACCACGCGACCCAGTGACCCAACGGACGGAGCTTCTCCTGTAAAGTAACAAGAAGCGAGGAATGAAATGCATCAAGATCGCGATGGCGTGTGTTTAGGTAGCGAATGAGATGGGAGACAAGTCGGCCTTCGAGACCTTTCTAGGCTGGACTGGAGGCATATGATCGCGCCGTGAGTCGTTTTGTCCGGGGCATGCGCTGGACTGTGCCGCGGATTGGATTGAGAGGGAGATGTTCTGTTTGAACTGGGCGTTGGCCAAGACATCATACGAAGAGAGGCCAGCGCCAAGAGCTCGGTCTTTCCCGTTGTGCAGACACGTTCCCCAGCTCAGCCTCCTGATTGGACACGCACCCCGTCCAAGTGAGCTTCGCCCTGGTCAAGACCACAGGCGGAGCTGCTTGGCATTCATTCGATTTATGAGCTGCGGACACCAGGAGATTCCATCACTGACGCAGGGCGTGTAGGCCGACTCTGCCTGGCCGGCCCTTATATAACAACCCCCTGGGCCATGATCATCCCGTTGGACCGCTCGAACACGACCACCAAGAAGATACTCTGGGGAACTGGGTACCACCGTCACCATGCCTCTTCACCAGTTCGACTATATCCTTGCCATTGGCACCATCTTTGCCTTTCTTGATGCGTGGAACATTGGCGCCAACGATGTCGCCAACTCGTGGGCCACCTCCATCTCCTCCCGGTCCGTCAAGTACTGGCAGGCCATGGTGCTCGCGACCGTCATGGAGTTTGGTGGAGCGTAAGAGTCTCCGCCTTGATGTGAAGATGTCGAGATGCTGACCCAAACAGTATGGGTGTAGGTGCTACCGTCGCTGATACAATCCGTACCAAGGTCGTCGACATTGACCGCTTCACCAACGATGCTCCCCTGCTCATGCTCGGCATGATGTGCGCCCTGGTCGCATCCTCCCTCTACCTCACCTTTGCCACCAAGATTGGTCTGCCCGTCTCAACCACCCACTCGATCATGGGTGGTGTTATCGGCATGGGAATCGCGCTCGTCGGCTCTGATGGAGTTATCTGGTGGGGCGGAGACATCAACTCGGGCGTGGTACAGGTCTTTCTGGCCTGGGTCATTGCTCCCTTTTGCTCTGGTGCCTTTGGAGCGATTATTTTCCTCTTCACCAAATACGCCGTTCTTCTCCGCAGCAACCCTGCCTTCAAGGCCTTGTGCACCGTCCCATTCTACTTCTTCCTGACCTGTACTCTGCTTGCCAGTAGGTCATCTCCCTTGAAAAGCTTGAACAACAACTAACCATTACAGTGCTTATCGTGTGGAAGGGCGGTTCCAGCAGGATTGACGACCTTACTGGAGGTGAGATTGCAGGAACAGTCGTTGGAACTGGTGCAGTCATGGGTTTCCTGGCAGCCTTCTTCCTCGTCCCCTGGCTGTACCGCCGGGTCATCAAGGAGGACTGGCAACTGCGTCCCTACCATCTCCTCCTTGGGCCTCTCGTGCTTCGCCGCGGCGAGGTCCCTCCCCGACCCGACGGCATCAAAGCTGGTGTCCAAAACTATTACCGCGGCCACAAGACCCTTGAGGAGCTGCAGGCCGAGCGCGCCGCCGGCCGCGACGAGGAAACCCCGCGCAAGACCAGCGGCGACGCCCCCTCCGAGGAGAACAGCGGCAAGCAAGAGCCGCACGTCGTCGCGTCGTCCGAATCCGAATCCAGCAACGACGACGTCGTTATCATCTCTGGAAAGCGGCCCGAGGGCAGCAACTATAGCCCGCAGGTCCTCTTCTGGCAGGCCAAGCGCTGGTTCTTCCGTGGTATCGAGCAGGATGTCATTGGCATGCAGAACAAGCGGAATATCCTCACGGGCGATATCGATGAGGTGCATGCGCATGCGACGCACTTTGAGAACCGCGCCGAGTACATGTTTTCGTTCCTGCAGGTCTTGACGGCCTCGACGGCTTCATTCACCCACGGCGCGAATGACGTTTCCAAGTGTGTCTCAGATCCCTCTTTCCAAGTACGTTGACTAACGTCACCAGCGCCATCGGCCCCTATGCCACCATCTACGGCATCTGGAAAAACACCACCCTCGAAGGCTCCAAGACCGAGGTCCCGTACTGGATTCTGTAAGTCCCCTACCCTCTACCATCCGGCCCTGTGCTAACGATAGCAGCGCCTTCGGCGGTGCCGCGATTGTCATCGGCCTCTGGACCTACGGCTACAACATCATGCGCAACCTGGGTAACCGCATCACCCTGCACTCGCCATCCCGCGGCTTCACCATGGAGCTCGGCTCCGCCATTACCATCATCATGGCCACGAAATTGAGTAGGTTACCCTGCAACTCCCCGAATTCGTCTCGTTTTTCTAATCATTTTTAGAACTCCCCGTCTCAACAACCCAATGCATCACGGGCGCCACCGTCGGCGTGGGCCTCTGCAACGGCACATGGCGCACAATCAACTGGCGGATGGTCGCGTGGATCTACATGGGCTGGATCATTACGTTGCCCGTTACGGGGATCATCTCCGGGTGTCTGGTGGGCATTATTGTTAATGCGCCCCGCTGGGGATTGTCGTATGGCAGTGGGGAGATTCCGCAAAGTGTGCTCAATGCCACTGCTGCTGCGGTTTCTTTCTAGAGGGGTGTGTGGATTGGATGGGTGTGTGGAGGAGAAGAGACTCCGCTCTTTTGTTTCTTCTGCTGTGTAATCGTTCCCAGTTGGTCCGGTCGACGTACCTGGCTGGCTTGGGGAGGGGACGTGGATAGGGTGATAGAGTCTATGTACTTGCGATTGAGATCGTGTTATAATATTATATACTATATATTGTGCTGTGATGAAGCCATGAGCTCATGATCACCTCTTTACTGCTCAACCATCTTTATCTGTTACCATCTCTGTGAATAAACCAACAAGTATCCTCAGCACAATATATATTGCCATCGGGTCGTTAGTCTGCGACCTCATTTCAGTTTGACCAGTTGCAACAATTCTACAGACCTATCCTCTATGCTGCTAGGGAAGGCTTTTGGGGACATTCACCTCTACCGATGAACCCTCGGTTCGCCATCCCATCGGACTGCAGCCATCGTCCTGGAGAGGTCGTTCGCATCGTTACGAAACAGGGTTCCAGTCCCTGCGACTCCTTCTACTACTTCCTCCACCCTGATCACCGTACGTGCCCTAGCTGAGAATCTGAACATGTTACTTCAATTCTCACTAACTCATCTTTTAATGGGCCATCTCCTCGTCACCCTCGGGCCAATCCTCCCACCCATCCTCCCACATGCCCGCGAGTTTCTCCGCCTTCCTTGTAGAATCCATCTTCTTACTCCCCATAACCTGCTCCCACCGCCTCCAATCCTTATCATCCAACAAACACCCATCCAACAACTCCGTAATAGCCTGCACATCCAACCCCTCCCCAATAAACACCAGCTCCTGCCGTCGATCCCCCCACTTTCCCTGGAAATCCCGCTCAATCGACTCGCGCACATCCTTGTCCTCCGGCCAGTCCTCCTCGGGGACTTCGGCGAACCAGGGACCTCCCGGGCCGACGGTGAGCATCCCGCCTGCTTGGCTCCATTCGCCAAAGTGCATGGGCCGGGTGGCGAGCCAGAAGAAGCCTTTGCTCCGGAGGATTGGGCCGAAGGCTGGGTGGGAGCGTTTGTTTTGGAGGATTAGGGCTTGGTCGGGCTGGTTGAAGTCGGAGATGGATTCCGTGTCGGATTCCATGGCTTCGTCGGCGTCTGAGTCTTCGGCGTTTTCCTGCGAGTCGTCCTCGTCTTCTTCTTCCTCGTCCTCATCTTCGTCCTCGCCGTCGTCGTGAGAGTGCAGTGACTGCAGGAGGATGAACTTGTCGTGCAGAAGCTCAAAGAGCTTTCGCGGATGGAAGGGGCGTCGTGCCGTGTAGACGAAGTTGTTGATCCCGTACCTGCCCACGTCAGCCTCAATCATCAACCCCATCATCAGGACAGAAGACAATAACATACTCCAACGTCTCCGGCTTGGGCGCAACCCTCTTCCCAACCCCCGTATTGACAACACTCATCTCATGCAAACTCCTCAACCACCCAGCCCCACTCGCCGCCTTGAGGAAATCAAACCTCCCCGTCCCAATAATCTCCCTCACATCGACCTTGGAATACGAGGCCTCGATGAGCTTCGCGTCCGGGTTTAGTAACCCGATCAGCCTCCGTATTTTGCCCTTGACCTCTTCAGACACGGTCTCGATCTTGTTCATGATGAGCACGTCGGCGAACTCGATCTGGTCGACCATGAGGTCGGAGATTGTGCGTTCGTCTTCGGGGATGATTTGGTCGCGGCCGTACCGGTCGGATAGGAATTCGGTCGTGTCGAAGTTGGAGAGAAGGTTGAAGGTGTCGATTACGGTTACGGTTGTGTCGAGTTTGGCGATTTTGTGCAGGCCGCCCATTTGGGCGCTGTTGCTCGGTATCAGTATCTCAGCCATGGAGACGGAGCACGAGAAAAGAAGTAAGAAAAACGAAAGAGCGGCATACATTTCCTCCAGAATCCTCCTCCCCTCCTCATCCACCCCCTCCATCCCATCCCCACCCTCGCCTTCTCCATCTTGAACACCAAACTCCCCCTCAGCCTGCACCATCGCCAGCGAAAACTCACTCGTAAACGTCTCGGCAACCTGCATCGGCTCGCTGATCCCCGTGGACTCGATCACAACATAATCGACCTCCTCCTGCTTCGTCAGCCGCGCGAGCTCGGCGAGGAGGTCGCCGCGCAATGTACAGCAGATGCACCCGTTTTGCAGCTGGATGAGCTTTTCCTTTGTTTGAGAGACTTTGTGGTGGGTTATTAGGGCAGCGTCGATGTTGAGGCTGGCTCGATGAGAAGAGGGTTAGTCTACTGGGTGGTAGGGTCGAGAGGGGTTATTTGGGAAAGGGTTAAGTTGGGGAGGAATGTGAGGGCACGTACGAGCTCATATCGTTGACGATGACGGCGATGCGGAGGCCGTGTGAGGGGGATTTGAGGATGTGTTCGAGGAGGGTTGTTTTGCCGCTTCCCTATTGTCACCAGTCGATATTAGTTTCTTTCGCATATTGAAAGCAGATGCCGCTGCTGCGAGGTTGGAGGTGTGTGTGTGTATATGGAGGTATACCAGGAACCCAGAAAGCAGGGTAACAGGAAGCTGGCGCTTCTCTTCTTCCTTCTCTTCTCTTGCGATCATTTTGCTTCCTCGTTTCTCCTAGATTATCCTTTATTTCTTCGAAATCGAAAACAAATTTCAGAGAATTGAATTCTCTTAATTAATTTGTGCGACCCTCTTCCCTTTATACAACCCCTCACCTCCTCCGACCCTTAGTACGCCCCCAAGGTACGTCGCCAATCCATGTCTCTGCGACGAGTGTAGTACAATAGCCCTAGAAACGTAGTGTTTGTATGTAGGTGCTCGAGGGAGAATGACTTCTGCGGTGCACTGATTGGTCCGTTGAGTCTCCAAGGTACCTGGGTGAGGACCGTGGTTGGGTTCCAAGGTCCCCAGTGGGAGATAACGGGATTTCGGGGGAGTGTTATTGGTTGATGAGACGAGGAAAAAGAATCAAGATTTGAAAAAATGAGATTTGCAAGGCGCTTTTTACTTATGCTGTGTTGGAGTGAGCATGGAATAATATGGGATCGTTCCTTGGCTCGTTGAGGTTGGACTGCCCTCGGTTGGTGACAATATCATATCGCCCAAGCCCAAATTAAGGTACTGAATTACTCACTCACTCACTCTTAATGATCCTATCTCATCCAGTACGCAGGCGATTGCTGCGCCCTCTAAACTCCAGAAGGGCCTGCCCTTTGGGAGATATTGGCCCATGCGTGGACCTAGAGTCTACCACGCTTGTCATACCGAGCTTAGAGCGTCTCTCACAATCTCAGACAACGTCAAAAGACCCGATCATGTAATCACCCCGAGTGAACCTATACCCTTAGCACAAGTTAACCTCTCCTGCCCTACTGAGATAACTGCTTTTCGATTAGCGTGCGTGTGGGTTAGGTCTGGTGCACCTGGATATGCCGTGACGGAGGCCATGTATGGCATCAGTAGCTGCTATGTTTGGTGCTGATTTCATCACATTCTCTGTACAAAGCACGTGGTATGGTGGTGAATGGTGATCTATAGGTGGCTATCATAGGATGTTTCCATCGACGTTATAATGCCGCAGACGCCGGGCAGAAGTAGGGAGAAACAGCGAAGCTCTGGAAGCCTCAAAATAATGCTGTCGACGGCTGGTTAGGAGGATTTGCCGATTACAAGAATATGGGCCCCGGGCACTCCAGTTACACTCGCGCAAGGCGCTTGAGACGGACCCATTTTCATTACCGAAATCAGTTGGGTGTTGCTAAGAGTTGTTGAAATAGCACGACAGAGGTCCATCCGGTAGATTGATTGCGGTACCCGGGTATCTAGGCCAAAGAACATGCTTCGCAGAGTATCTGATGAAGATAATATGCTAAGAAATGTGCTAAAATTGCTTGACCGAAATTCCAACTAGAGAGACATTGAAAGCGCGTATAGGAAGCCGTCCAAAAGTCCGTGTGGGTAGAGTGTCCCCGAACAGAGATACTGCAACAGCTGCGGCTCCAATGACAATGGTACCTCGCACCCCAAGGCCGAGAAAAAAACAAGAAAAAAAAAGCTATCGTTGTGCTCTCGTTCAATCGCCGATACCTCTGCACTAGATGATGCTCAAAGCCAAAACGGAAATATATAACAATACCTGTCGCCCCAGGTATACCGCACAACCGTCTGTGTGAGAAACGGCGCAGTGACAGCGATGAGCACCGCAGGGATCTTGCTCGCAATACTTTTCGACTTCTTCAGCAGCATGTGGCTTGTTTGCTGGCGCGGTGGCGGGAAGATCAGCGGAGGGATCCTCGCTGGGTGTGCTCTTGGGGCGGATATGGGCAGCGGTGGAAGGGGAGGGCGTCTGCGTGGATAGCGAGGGTGGGTGGATGTGTGCAGCAAGAAATGTGCAGACATTTCGCCGCTGGTGTAGATTGGGAGCGCGGTTATGTGGTGGGTTGTCGGGTGTGTTGGGCCCGCGGTAAGGCGTTGGTGGAAGGTGTGGGTTTGTGGGAGGTGAGATGGGTTTGGGGCGCCGGGGAGGCTCAGGCCGCGGGTTGTGGGGTGGTAGGTATAGCCTGGAGGCGTGGGGAGGCTGTGAGTTTGCTTGTTAGCTGGTGGAAATCTGTGGTTCGCGTCTGGAGTGACGGTGTGGCTGCATACGAGTGGATGCGCATCGTGAGCCCGTGAGACGGAGGAGGCACGCGAGACCAGAAGGTGGGTGTGAGGACCCGTAGGTTGAGGAGAGTCTGCTGGGTAGATGGAAATGTAGATTGGGTGGTTGGTAACTGTTGAAACTTGATGAGGCTGACGCCAAAGGTAGTGAAATGGTGAGTTGGCAGAGGAACAAAACGGAAGAGAAGCGGGAGGCGAGAAGAGGAAAGTAAGGGAGAGGCCAACGTCATCGAGGCCGCAGTCGACAAGTCGAGTGGAAGTGAATGTCAAGTGAGTCAATTTTGACATTTGCAGAAATGGGTTCCCAAACTGTGAATGGTTCCGGCTGGGCTGTCACTGGCCTGGAGGCCACTCCGCTGACTGAAAAAGACTTCCACGCGAAATACGATCGAACCTTACCGAGCGCATGAGGATGTCGGCACTTGACAGAAGCTGCTTCTGATCCCAGAGGCAAACGTGTCGAGTGTCATTTATGTGGTGAACTAGGTGGTAACGAAGCAGTGGTCCTGAAATCTGACCACCATCCAAGCTTCTTCCAGCCCAGTACACGACACAGTCTGGAGATAAGAAATTGGGACAACCAGAAACCTTGACACGGATAAGGTTGTGCGGCAAAAGCCTCCTGAGGGCACTCACCTGCGCCACCGTCGCGGGTGCCTGGCTGTTTGGTATATCCCAACACGAACTTTCGACTGGGCCGTAGATACACGAGATCATTCCGGCGAGCTGGCCTTTGACTTTGCCTCTTGTATCGAAGCGAGGCACCCAGGGCAGTCTAACCTTCCCCCGTGGCCATTTGGGGGCAGGAGTGCTCTAATTCTAGCACTTGGTCTGTTGTCTGAAAGTGGGTCGGAAGGCCATGGTGATTGCTCAGTATTTCCCACAGATTAAGTGTGGTTTCTGAGATATGAACATCTCTCCCATCCGCACGGTTGTTCCTTTCAAGAATACGTGAACCCCCGTTGAGAGGGAATGGAACGGCGTATAGCATGGATTCGACGTAGAGGTACGATGGATTACCGTGAAAACTTCTTCCGGCTAATGTCTGGTCATCGATTGGTTGGAAAACACAGCTTTGATTCCATAATGCAGCCGCGCTGCTTCCAACTTTGGTGTCTAGCAACCCAGTTAGCACGATCCTGTTTTGCTGGCCTTCATTATTGAAAGGTTCCGTCATGCTGCGGGAGTCGACGTGGCTAGTTGCATAGTATATGGTATAATTCTGAGCGCTTACAGCGAACGTGCAGTCCTGAGAGTAGCATTGGAGCTGAAAGAAGGAGCTTCGAGTTGGCCGAAGCATCAGGTCATGGGTCAAGGCGATTCGCCCGTGCTAATTCCATGAAACCAGTGACGTGGATATACACCGCCACTTACGTGAGTAGCATCGCTTGACAATTTACTGCGTCCGTTGCCCTCACCACTTGATTCAAGTATTCCATAAATGCTAACCTGTGCCTGCTTCCTCTTCCTTCACTCGTTTCCCCTCCCACTCGGCTGCATGGAGTATATTGGTCCGAGCAGTGGACAACCCCACACGGACAACGCTCGATGGAGGATGCACGCTATTTATACCAAGGCTTAATTATTGATCTTTGATACTGATTAGGGTCCAGAAGCGGAATGAATGCAAGATGAGCACACGGAAATCAAGGCCTAGTAAATCGCACTTGGTTTATGGCCACATGTGGTAAATTTAGAACGTCTTTTTGGTATATACTGTAAGACCTGACCCGGTAGGAATAATAATAGTCTGGTCACCAAGCTCTGTTTCAGCCGGTAAGGGAGGCTGATTGATGCAGCAGGAATCCCCGCTTCCTTTTCGGCTTCGCGCTCGAGGTTCTGGGACATATTTCTTATGGGGGCTTGATGCTAGAACATGGGGAATTAAGGAATGGCGCTAATCATTCACGGCCTTTACTACGGAGAGCTCAAAGTCTAAAAAATGGGGCGCATCCTTCCGGACGAGACGGGTGGCTTCCGGGTTCCGGATCCGGGTGCTGTCCGGCTTATGGTTCTCCGGTGCATCATGGCGAACCTACTTGGGGTAAACTGACGGAGATACCTGGTTCACTATATCCGTAAAAACCACTTTCATCAAGTTGTATAATCCAAGAGGACGGCTGATGCCATAGATTGCAGGTGTCCGTTAGCGGATATTCACACACTCTGATACCAGAGCTTGCTAGGGTCAAGAATAAGATTTTCCACGTAACAAGAAATGATGTAGCGTAGATGGCGTGAGAAAAGGAGATAATGCGTTCTCCATAGAGACCTTTGCTTTTACAGTCTAGTGTCAACTGTCTTAATTAAAAAGAAGAGTCTAGACTTCAAGTGTACTGACTATCCCAACACTTGGGGTAGACTGCCTACCTCGCGATCATGACTTTCAGCTCAAGCAGACTCAAGGTTGTTAAGCACCCCACAAGCACCTGCGAGATGCTCAGAAGCCTGTGATCAAGTGCTAATCTATCCCAGGTACCTAGATTGCTCGAATTAGGATATATCGAGCCCTTAGCTTTGGTTTCTCATTTATGGCTTAAAGGTGTTGTTAATCAACTTTGCTTCAGGTCAAAACAAATTCTTCAGATGAACCTTACAACGGTCAGAGATGCCTTGTAGGTGCGCTTTAGCCACACTATACTTGTAAGCCTGCGGTCCTCTAAGCTGGCGCTGCACCAAACTAGCCCACAGCTACTACTATGACTAGATCAGGAGCCAGCATCAGAGCCTATAAAAGCCAAAGAAGCAGGAGACGCGCTCTATGACGCCTCGTCATCCCCGATGTTTGTCGCCAGCACGCCGGACGCGAGTGAGACCGGAGTGAAAACATGGCTGGGAATGCGGACAACGCCGCCGCCCGCGCTGTCTCCGACTGAACGAGACACTTCGGCATGCTCATCGAGTTCGCCGCCAAATACCTCGCCAAGTAGCTGCGCCTGCATGAGAAGATCCGGCTCGGGCGCAGGGACAAGGTGTCCTAATCGCCGTGTGGCTTGGCAGAGTGACGCAGTAATGACCGCCTTGAGAATACGTCTGACAGTCACTAGGTGCTAACATACACGGCGAGACGGGGTTTGGCAGAGTAAGCAATGTCCATCTTCATTTCCGGAACGGTCTCCAAATGATGCTGCGCCAGCCTCGTAAGCCTCTCCTTCGGACTTGCCACTATTTCGGACCACCTGATATCCAGGTGCAGTAAAAAGTCACCGGATGACGAGTCTCTTATGCATAGCAATGAAACAATCATACGAATTGGAATATATATAAGCTCTTGGAGTGCAACATGGAAGAAGGGAATAGGAGAACACAAACACACATATTGATCCTCCTTGTACAGCGGAAGACTCACTTGACACGATGCCTATACTCGCACCTCTCCTAGCTGCTGGCTTGGGCACTGTCTCACTTGCAGCTGCCTCTGCAACAGGACTATACGATTATGTCGTCGTTGGCTCGGGACCGGGTGGTGGCTCCCTTGCGTAAGTCGCGAACACATTTCACATATCCTGGTGAAGTACGTTGAGCTACATAATAACTAACGGAGCATAGCGCCAATCTGGCCACAAGCGGATACTCCGTTTTCCTGATTGAAGCTGGTGGTGACGCCTCCGATGATCTTCTCCAAATGCTTCCTCTCCTGTGAGTCGAGCATCTGTAGCTACAGCGCAGCACTGAGCCCCCTTGCTAATGTATCAAAGATCTTCGCGTGCTGCAGAAACGCCAGGCCACTCCTGGCAGTTCTTCGTCGAGCACTACCAGAACGAGACACAGGCCCGTCGGGATCCCAAGTACACCTATACGCTGGGCAATGGCTCCTACTGGTATGGGTTGGATCCTCCCGCAGACGCGGTCCCGTAAGTCACTCGGCCATCCACCTTCTGTCCTTGTACACAATGCTCACAATGCATCGAATAAAGTGAGGGAATCTATTATCCCCGTGGCGCTACGCTCGGTGGAAGCGCCCAGGTAAACGCTATGAACTTCATCTGGGCTCCTGACAACGAGTGGGACTACATTGCCGAGCTGACTGGCGATGAGTCCTGGAGACACGAAGAAATGCGCAGGCACCTCATGGCTCTTGAAAACTGTACCTATGTCCCCCGTGGAACGCCAGGTCATGGATTTGATGGTTACATTGAGGTAAAATGGCCCCCTCTGCACTGACATTCAGGCTTCTGGCTTACATGTTCTGCCTGTCACTTAGTCTAGCCTAGGCAACGCCACGAACGACCTTACGTCCCCCAACGCCGCAAGGCTCATTGAGGAGATGTTTCTTCAAGCAGAGGGCATTGAGGTGGACGGCCTCGAACATATGCGTGAGCTCCTCCTGCGTGACATCAACAGAATCGACAACGAGCGCTATGAATCCAACTTTGTGTTCACAACCCCTGCGGCTGTCTCCCCTTCGACTGGTGGCAGGAGCGGGGTGGCAGGATATATCAATCGAGTTGTCGCTGCCGGACATCCCCTCACTGTCAGCCTGCACCCTCTAGCTACAAAGGTTCTATTTAAGGACCGGGGTCCCGGCAAGAAGCCCAAGGCATACGGCGTCGAGTACATGGTTGGTGAGGGTCTCTACTCGGCCGATGGTCGATACGATGCGTCCCAGACGGGAGAGATCAGGACTGTCAAGGCGAAGAGGGAGGTGATTGTCTCTGGAGGATCGTTCAACACCCCGCAGATACTCAAGCTCAGTGGCGTTGGTCCCCGTGAAGAGCTGGAAGAGCTCGGCATCCCCGTTGTGGTAGATCTGCCCGCAGTCGTGAGTCACCCTTCATTGCCAAGCACAAATCAATGTTTATTAACCCTTCTGTCAGGGCAATTTTATGCAGGACAACTATGAGGTGCCCGCACACATTGAAGCCGAGGAGCAATGGGTCAGGAATGGGAGCAACCCGTGCAACCTGAGGTTCGACGAAACAGACCCATGCTTCGTGCTTTGGCAGACGACTCGAACTGGGCCCTACGCTCAGCGTGGCGGATCCTTCAATTTGAGCTGGAAGAGCAGTGCCACTTGGAACGAGGATGCAGACCTTATCTACCTGAGCTCCGCGGGTGTCGGTGGCATGGGTGGCTTCTATCCCGGATACTCGAACAGGTCCTTTGCCCCGCGCCAATGGAACACGCCGCTCGTCAAGATGCAGACCAGCAACGCGGCGGGGACCGTGAAGCTGCGGTCCAAGGATCCCCGGGAGACACCGGCGATCAACTTCAACTACTTCTCGCAGAATGCAGAGCGGGATCTGCAGGCTTTGGTTGAGGGTGTCGAGTTCCTGTTCAGTGTCTTTGACGCGGTTGGCATTCCGTACAGGGTGCTCGCGCCCAACCCCGAGGTCGACATGAGACAGGACATCATGGACAAAGCACACAGTCACCATGCTACTTCCAGCTGCCGCATGGGTCCTGCCGGTCACAGGGACTATTGCGTTGACTCCAAGTTCCGAGTGAATGGCGTTGACAGCCTGCGTGTGGTTGACGCTTCTGTCCTGCCGAGGGTTCCAGGCGCCATGCCCAACGGGCCGACCTTTACCATCTCGCACAAGGCGTATGAGGCGATACTGCAAGACGCTTGAACTGGAGAGATGCTGTGTTATGTGCCAATGTCGGGGCCGGGCATCTGATATTCGGACTTCTATGACGAGGAATCGACCTCAAGTAGAAATATACTTTATGTTGGCACTTGCGATCCTCCTCGTGTGTATCTCTTCATGGTGTCCACAGCCGGTGATATTCCAGAGGGATTAGTAGGTAGAACATTCTTCGCATACTACAATAGAACCTGTCAAATAATTAGTCCCGCTGTTACGAGAGAGCAAGCCATGCAGGATACTCGACTCATGCCAGGACTAGGGATGTGTGACAAGATCCATGTACGTATGAAGCCTGAAGTTCCGGAGGGAGAGAAAAGACACAGATGGACAAGCGTAGTTATGCAGGGCCTGGTACCAAGTGTTCTCTTCCTCCATGGTCATTGCGTAAACAGGTAGACCAACGCCATTGAGCTGAACACTTATCGCCGTATTTGCCGTCCGCTGACATCTTAGTAACATGACCTTAGTCACCTATGAGAGTCCATGATCAAAGGCATCGTGGTCAACCGGCACTATGGAAATACATGTTGCCTATGAGGAAGTAGGTGGGAAGATATTTGCAGCAAAGACCGGAAATTGACAGACAGTGAGAATCGGCAATCGTGGAATTGGGAACAATCCCCAAACCCTCAACTGCGCCGCTTATTGCATGAGGGACGATTGGGTGTGAATCCTGGTACGACCGCTTTTTCCAAGTAGATCCTGGAGAGCGTCTAAGCTGATGCGGCTCCCTGGTATGCTTGAACCAGGTTCAAAATGGAGTACCTTTTCCCTACGCCAATCCGTCTTTCAAAAGAATCACGGCATTTTATCATTTTCAACATAGGACGTTTATTGAACTTAGCATACCCCAAAACGAGACTTCCTACATTGTATAGCTTCAAGCAGCGCTTTACTATAAGCAATGACAGTGATACAGTGCAACCCTCCCTCGACAGTCAATGTTGATATGTATGATACACACAATACAACTATCACCCCTCAGACCCTCTACATTCAAAGCCGTTGACCATCTACTAAGCCAGCTTCTGTCTCTGCCCTTGCTTCTCAAGCCGACGCGTATACCAGAAACAAACCCCGTACAAGAGATCCAACACGAAGAATGCCCCTGATAACCACCGCATGAGAAGATTGTCCGACCACGCCCAGACCTCGGGCCAGTACGTCGAGCGCAGAAACAAACTAGCCACCGCAAATATCGATGCGATGAAGCGCGAGAGCCTAGGTGGTTCAAGTCCAATCAAGTCAGGTCAGCCAGCCATCCACCGATGCATGCATGCATCCTCCGGGTCTAGGGGCAGCGCAGTCGACGAGACTCTAGCTTCAACATGCAATCGGGCAGAGTGACAATAATGGACTTACCACATCCCATACGACGCCCCACGCGTATGACCACGCTGGACCAGCAGATGCAGTGCAGTGCCGCTCATCGTAACCAGACACAGCATCCCGCTCCAGTAGAACGCGCGAAGCGGACCAAGGTGCACGGAGAGCACCCAGTGGCCCGACGCGAAGCCCAGAATCCCAGCGAGCACGAAGAGCGGCAGGGAGCGGCTGAGAAGAGCGGGAGGGGGATGGGCATTTGAATTTCCTGCACCTGCATTACCCGGCGTGCCGCCTCGCGCAAACTGTACCGTGGTGTAGATGACGAAGATGTCGACGAGGAGCCATGAGCGGACGATGATCGTCGCGATGGGCAGCGGTGGGGGGTGGAGGATGGCGAAGACGAGCTCCCAGGCGAGGTTGTTGCTCAGAGCGATGAGGGAAACGCCCGGGGTGCGGTCTCGAAACGCGGTTCGGATCGTTGTGATGTAGTTTATCAGCCAGCCCGTGCCGGAGACGGCGAAGAGGCCTAGCAGGAAGGGCTGCACTTGCTTGAACTTGGCCGGGGCGGCGTCGAAATCCCAGCCTTCTTCCATGATGATGGATCTGGATTGGAAAAAGTATTCGGGCTGGTGTCAGAAATCTGAGGAATAAAATGGCAACGAAACCCCGAGGACAGGTGGATGGCGAGATGTTTCACTCCAAAGACACAATTGCGTACTTCTTACCTTTAGCATAAAAACGGGTTTGTTTCTGGCTAAATCAGATCCCTGCGTTTGACCAAGAACCCCGCGTGACGCTCGGACCGGCGTCCGTGTCCATTTCTAATTGAGGTTGCACTGCCACCAGCGGGGAATCTGGTCGTCGGGCGCCAAGTCTGCAGCTTTAGGGCAGGATTCAGGATCCACATCTATAGAAAGTGCAGAGACTAGTATCGTTGTCATGACTGTGGTGCTGGTCGTACTGGTAACTCAGGTGACGGTCATGGTCTTGGTCTTCCCCAAGCAGAAGAGGAGTGTCTGCCCTGGCATACAGATTGACTATGTAGATATATAAGCATAGGAATAGGAACGAGTTGGCCCCAAGCTATTCACACCGTCATGCTTGCCACAATGATGTTCGATGCTCTCAATGCCCCCCAGCCGTACCAAGAGCATTATCCACCCCGGTGGGCTGTACACCCCCCATCCCTCCCCTTCCCAAACGGACACCATGTCTCTCCGAATGGTAAAGTAGCAGCAGCAGCTACCAATGGCGCAGATACCCAACACCAGCACAACGGCAAGGAGGAAGAGATCATTTGCGCACCTGTGCACTACGTCACAACCCTCCCAGGCAAAGACATTCGCGGAAAACTCATCTCGGCCTTTAACGAGTGGTTCCAAATTCCAGATGAACAGTTGGAGATCATCAAGCGGGTGGTTGGCCTACTTCACGTCGCTTCGTTGCTGTAGGCTTCCTCACTCTATCCAACCAAACACGAAAACCAGAAGGAAAAAGAACTACCTAGTAAATCTGACATGACAGACTACTAACTCGTGTGCGCCCAGCATCGACGACATTGAAGACTACTCCAAGCTCCGGCGCGGCTTCCCCGTCGCCCACAGCATCTTCGGGATCCCGCAGACGATCAACTCGGCCAACTACGCTTACTTCCAAGCGCAGAGCGAGGTGCTGAAGCTGCGCAGATGCGAGGACGCCCTACGGATCTTTACCGAGGAGCTTCTGCGACTGCACAGAGGCCAGGGGATGGATCTGTACTGGCGAGATTCCCTCAGCTGCCCGAGCGAAGAGGAGTACCTGGGCATGGTCGCGAACAAGACGGGCGGGCTGTTTCGGCTCGCTATTAAGCTGATACAGTTGGAAAGTGATGTTGATGAGTTCGTGTTCGCCTTTCGCGTTTTATATTGATTGATTTCTTCCGGTTCGAAGAGCAGCGCAGAGCAGCGCGGACTGACGACGGCGCAGGGACTGCGTGCCCCTAGTGGACCTGCTAGGAATCATCTTCCAGATCCGAGACGACTACCAGAACCTGCAGAGCGACCAGTATGCCAAGAACAAGGGATTTGGCGAGGACATTACCGAGGGCAAGTTCTCGTACCCGATTGTCCACAGTATTCAAAGTAGCAGTGGTAGTTCTGGCGCGGGCAGCGACCGCAGTCTCCAACTGCTGAACATTTTGCGGCAGAAGACGGAGGATGAGGCCGTCAAGAGATATGCGATTCGGATCCTGGAGCAGACGGGCAGCTTTGAGTATACCAGGCAGAAGTTGAGGGAGTTGACGGCGAGGGCGAGGGAGATGCTTGGTGGACTGAGGGAGACGGCGGGGGCGGAAACAGGCGCTGCGGGGTTGCTGGGCATCTTGGATTTCCTCGAGCTGAAGGAGTGATTCTTTCCTTCTTCTTTTATGAAACAATAACACGTATTTTGCACATTTAATCCTGAATAATACAATCTAGGTTTTAGCGAGATGAAATAGTCAATTATACACTACCCTTGCTTCATCACCCGCTTTCTGGATACAACGCAATGGGTTTGGAGCTTACCTGGCAAGTTACTCGAAAGCTGGACGCCTAACCATTGAAATAAGGAGCAAGGACACTAACGGAAGACGCAAGATTTGGAGAAGATGGCGGAGATACGGTCCGCCCACCCTGAAGAAGCGTCATAGTATCTCAACGCTGAAGAACGGAATCCACGCCATGGAAGTTGCAATGCATCGATCGGGTGTTTTCCGTCGCAAAGTACCTCAAGGCCTTGTTTAGGCTATGCTTACCGATGCTTACCCAGACCTGCCGCATCGGCCGTAAGCATGTCTTTTATCAGGTACGGTAAAAATAGCCTATTTTACAGAATAGAAATCAAAGCGTTGTTTGATAGCTGAGCAGGAAGTACGGAGTCCGCCAAGTATTCTGAATGGTCTTGAGTTACCAGATAGGAATTGTAATAGTAAAAGCTGCCAAAGACGCCAGTATTGAACACTGGGCTGTGGTCTCCCCCCACGAATGATATCCTTGGGTATTTCTAGTGCTGCGTCCCTAAGAGTCAGAACCGTGAACTTGCAGAATCCTCGACTTATCTCCCCCATTTCCATCTCCAACAGCTCAGCATCAATACAATGGCACACACCAAGCGAGACCTAAATCAACTCGCCATTGACCTCTTGGTCCTATCCAGATTCAACCGCTACAACCCGCTCCTGGCTACTTTTGCCGGAGGTACTCAACCTATTCCCCTTCTATCCACAGACACCAAAGCTAATCTGCTCCTCTCCGCCAGTCTGGGCTACCATCCTGGCCGGATCCGACAAAGTCGCTCACTCCCAGGGCCAAGCTGCGGATACAGACGCCATCTCACCAAGCTATGTCCTCCAACAAGCCCTCCTCTGCTTCACATGCAGCTTCGTCTTCTGCGGCGCCGGAATGGTCTGGAACGACTGGATAGACCTGCACATTGACCGAAACGTCGCCCGGACCAAGAACCGCCCGCTTGCACGCGGGGCAGTCACGACTTCCGAAGCCTTGCTGTGGATGGGCGCTCAGTATGTCGCCAGCTGGTTCTTGGTTTCCTTGATGCTGGATGGGGAGAATGTGTATGTTGCCTGCCCAACCCCCAACCCACATCCGCAAGTGTATAAGACTTAGGTGAAGGGATTTTCTTTGTTCTAAACTAACTTGCAAAAGCCCAGCAGCGATGCTCCCCGTAACTCTCAGCACGATCCTCTACCCCTTCGCCAAACGCGCCATCTTCCGCCGCCTGCACATCTACCCACAATACCTCCTCGGCTTCACCCTCGCCTATCCCTCCCTAATCGGGGTCCTCGCAATAAAAGGCCTCGACCAGCCGCTCGCAGCATCCATATCCGAATCCCTCCCGCTGGGCATAATGGTCTTCGCCTGGACGCTCTACCTCAACACCGCATACAGCTACCAAGACATCGAGGACGACCGGAAGATGGGCGTCAACTCGGCGTATGTGCTCGCGGGCTCCTACATCCACTACCTGCTTGTGCTGCTTGCGGGGCTGGCGCTGGGGGCTTTGGGGTGGCAGCTTGCTGGGCAGGGGTCCGAATGGCTCTGGGGCAGTTGGATGGGGGTCTGGGTTTGGTCGTTTTTGGGCCAGCTGGCGAGGTTTGATCGGAAGAGGCCGGAGAGCGGGGGTGGGTTGCATCGGGAGAATTTTCTCTTGGGGGTTTGGACGGTTGGGGTTTGTGCTGTGGAGCTGGTGCTTTGATTCTTGACTTCGTGGTGTATTCATCTGCGCGTGCGTACCTGAGAGAGGGATGGGGCTGAGGTGGGGGTGTATATAGCGTTGGACTACATTGGTTTCATTATGCTTCAAACAGGTATTTCAAAAGTGATCAATTGTTGAACTCAAGTCAAGTCCCGCAAGTTGTTTGCAATTCGCGTACTTTGAGAAGACTGCCATTTTCGAGCATGCATTTGGAGGTGGAGAATTCAATGTGCATACTTGTACGTTGTGGCGGCAGTTGGGGCCATGGTCCGACTCGTTCCCATGAAATCAATCCTTGTATTCATTTTACTCTCAAAGCCCAGTAAGCTGCCACGTAGGTAGGTAACCCACCAAGTACGCATGTAACTAAATACGGATCTCCCCCTCCCTCCTCCTCACCCTCAACATCGCCCTCTTATCCCTCCAAATCATCATTCCGTCCGTCTGCGCCCGCGCAAGGGCTCCATCCACCAGTTCAAAATCATACTTGAGCAGAATATGGCACAGGGCAATCTTGGTCTCCGCCCCTGCAAAGAATCGCCCCGGGCACGCGTGCTTGCCGTACCCAAAGCCCATGTGGTTGGCGCTGACGCTAACGAACGAGAGGCCGCTGCCGCCGCCGCCGCCGCCACCGACTGTGCCAGTCGTGCTCTCCTTCTCCTGTTGTCGGAGCTTTACAAAGCGATAGCCGTCGAACCTGGCGGCGTCCGGGTAGACGGCCGAGTTCCACATGTTGTCTGTCGTCAGACGGACCTGTGTGCCTCGTGGGATGCGCGTGCCGTCGTTCAGGACAACGGGTTCGCGCGCGATGCGGGAGAGCGTAACTGTGTACAATTGGAAATTGTCAGTCAGTTACCGTAACCGGGGATTGCATGCATGGTAAGAGGGGTGGTGGTGGGGGGAGGATGGCGTACAGCTAGCAAGCGGCTCCAACCTCTGCGTCTCCTTCAGGACACTATCAAGCAGAACCATCTTGGCCAACGCGGCCTCGCTCCACCCATGCTCGTTGACAACGGTGACAATCTCCTCGCGAAGCGGCTGTACTAGCTCCGCGTGCTCGCACAGCGCAACAACCACCTTGGTCATCATGTCGCTGGTCGTATGCACGGCCGCATACGCCAGCCGGAGCTGCGTGAGCGTCGCATCGTACCTGGTGCCATTCTCCCGGGCAACCCCGTCAATCCAGGATAACGCGTCATCAGCGCTCTTATCCTCCTCGCCGCCGCCCTGGCCTTGTGCCGCCGTCCTACGAGCCTCCAAAACACGCTCGACAAAGGGCCTCCCGGCCCTCACGCACGCGCGGAGCGCTCTGCACGACGGGAGAAACCAGTGTGCGAGCGGGATTAGCCGGCCGTACGCGTGCAATTCCTTCATTGCAGCTGTGCGGTGCGCGGTGTAGCGAATGGCGTTGTCGATCCATGCGCGGTCGCGGCAGAGCTCTTCGCCGATGAAGATGCGCGCCGTGAGCTGGGCGATTAGGAGGTGCATAGTCTCGTTTAGGGGAACGGCGTGCCATTCTTGGGTATTTCACCATTAGCTCTGGACTTGCGTATGATGGATATGAGGGTCGGCGGGGAGAGGAGAGGGAGGTGTGGTGGGGGGGGGCACCTGTTTCATCAGACCAGTTGTCCCGCAGGAAGATGCCCGTCTCGGTGGACAGGGGCTCAAGTAGAGCACCTATCTTGCGCGAGAATGCGGATGCCGTGTCCCACACTATGTGGTTGTGGAATGTTCCGGTGAACATGGCTTCGAGGCCGGGGACTGTGGTGAGGAAGTCCTAGTCAGATCGGATATCAATCAGTTCCAAGCACATCTTGGGTCCCATATGTGGGAAGTAGGTAGGTAGGCACCTACCTTCTCCAACCCATCCCGGAAGCTGAGAAGGTCATTGTTCCGGATCTCGTGGGCGTAGCGATTAGGCAGGATCATCGAGTTGCCGAAAGTGAGGATTTGGCCTTCGGACTAGGTAAGTAGCACAGCAGGTCAATTTTAAACTGTATTTCCATTTCCTTGAGAAGGAGTGTATAGCTCGAAATGGAAGCAAATACCTCCTTTCGATCCAAGCTCGCCGGGTCGAAAGGCCAGGAAGGAGGAGCATGGCCCTGAGCTTGCGTCTGCTTCCCTCGTCGCAGATGCCAGAGTAAGGGGATTGAAATGGACAGGATTCCCACAGTCAGATGGACAGGGTCAGTCAAGAAATTCGAAAAAGTGTCGTATAGATCCATTTTGATTATCCTTTAGTGGTGGCAGCCTGTGAATACTCCTGGAATTGAATATCCAGCGATAGATAATATAATCGTCAAACAGCACATCATAGCAACCAGAACTGCCTAATCAGTAGGTCCCCTAGATACCATGGATCATAGGTTAGACCGCGAACCAGGTATTACTACCGGGAACCCATCCCACTTGGTGTATTTTTGGCCCCCACGCGCGGGGCAGCAATGCGGAGTCTTCAGCCTGCAGAGCTTAGGCTAGTTGGGGAGGCTAGCTGCAGACACCCCCTGTTCCAATTCTGCAACCTGCCAGATAAGGCAAGGTCAAGCTGATAATGCAAATTACCGTGAGTAAAATACACATATGAGGTAGATATCTGCTTGTTTATCCGAGGGAGGCCACTGCGCTGCAACACGGATTCCACGCCCTCAGGGAATACGGGCCGTGTCTCCAATGCAAGAGACAGAAGAATTCGATTGATGGTTGACGTACGGATCAGATTGCAACTCCAGCACCGGGCAATCCTTCCTCTCAAATCCACAATCCCCAGGCAAGCAAACACAATCAAGCCGATCTCCAAGTGTAGTACCCCGAGAAAGAAGGAGAAAAGAGAGAGGAAGCTGCCGGCAAGATGGAACCCTCACCCTCGCCCACGTCCCAGCCCATGACCAACTTCAAGGTAATCATCGTCGGCGGCTCAATCGCAGGCCTCACGCTCGCCCACTGCCTCGCCAGGCTCCCGAACGTGGACTTTGTCGTCCTGGAAAAGCGAGCGGAAATCGCTCCCCAGGAGGGCGCCTCAGTCGGTATCTTGCCGCACGGTGGACGCATCCTCGATCAATTGGGCCTGTTTGAGGAGATTCTCAGACATGTTGAGCCACTGACTACAGCGCATGTTTCGTACCCGGATGGGTTTCGCCATACCAATCGGTCCCCCACGGTGCTTCTTGAGCGGTATGGCTCCCCTCCCCTACCTCCCTACCAACCTGTTTACCTAGTTCGTGTCTGTATATTGTTGTTGTTGTTGTTGCTTTTGGGTATAGGATATACTGATTCTGTGGACGGGCAAGGTTCGGATTGCCCCTGGCGTTCCTGGAACGGCGCGTCCTTTTGGATATTTTGTATACATCTCTACCGGATCCCTCGCGGGTGCTTGTTGGAAAAAGCGTTGTCTCTGTAGAACGGGAGCATGACGGTAGGAACGGTATGACTGTGCGAACGCATGACGGATGCACTTATCATGGCGACCTTGTCGTCGGCGCGGACGGAGTGCACAGCCGAGTTCGCCGGGAGATGTGGCGTCTTGCTGAACTCGAGCGGCCGGGTCTCATCACAGCACAGGAGAAGAGTGGTCTGTCTTTTAAGCACCTCCCTCCAGAGTGTAGCTGCTAAGTCGGTGATAGGCCTGACCGTCGACTACGACTGCATCTTCGGTATATCAGACTCAGTGCCAGACCTCCTTCCCGGAGAGCAGATAGCGAGTCTTCACGACGGAAGATCGTTCCTCACGTTCCCCGGCAAAGACGGCCGCGTGTTTTGGTTCCTCCTCCGAAAGCTCGACAGGCAATACCCGTATAGCTCTGCACCGCGATGGTCGCCGACGAACATGGAGAAAGCCGCTGAGCAGTTTGCGGAGGACCATATCTGGAATGGAGTTCAGTTCGGCCATCTCTGGAAGCGGAGACGCGTTATTGGTATGACGAACCTTGAAGAAGGGGTGTTTCCCACATGGCACTGCGGCCGTGTCGTTTGTATTGGTGATAGCATGCACAAGGTGCCCAGACCCACTCCGCATAATCGTCATGGTTTTGTTCCGCTAACAGGGTCCCGGGCAAGATGGCACCGAATACAGGGCAGGGCGCCAACTGCGCAATTGAAGACGCCGCTGCACTTGCCAACGCCCTCAGCATGGCCACCAAACTCGACTCCTACCCATCTCAAGCAACAATCCACTCCCTTCTCGAATCGGTCAATAAAACCCGGCTGGCGCGGGTCCAGGAAATCTACAAATCCGCCCGCCTGGTCGTCCGTCTCCACGCGCGCGAGAGTCTGGCACTGCGACTTGTGGGCCGGTATTACCTCCCGTATTCCGGAGACCTCCCAGCAGATACCGCGTCGAAGCTGATCGTGGGAGGGGAGCAATTGAGATTTTTGGCCCCATCGCGGCGGGCGGGGTCCCGATGGGACGAGTATCGCAGGAAGAGCAGCCGGAGCTACGTGGGGCTTCTGCTGACCCCAGGCGGGGCAGTGCTGGTACTTGTTCTGGGCCTCGTTGGAGTCTGGAATTTTAGGCTATTTAATTATCTTTGATTGAACATTTTAGGCACGGGCCGCACGCCCCCGCCTGGTCCTGATGCCTGAATAGGCAGTATCGTGCGCTAGTGGCCGCTGACGATCTCTATCTCTCTCTAGCACATGCATCACCGTTATAGTTTGATTGGAGCTAGTACGGTAACATTAGATCTTCAATACCTGACCCCCACAGGATCCGCCAACTCCCCCAACTAGAGGAGCGCAAGGTCAATCTCCTCCCTGCGCCTCCTAACCCCAATCGGACACCAGACATTGGCATACTGCGCCGCCCCATGCTCAATAATATCCGGCCTGTGCCCGTCCAGTAGCTTCAAATCGTACTTGAGTACCACATGGGCAATCAGCACTTTAGCCGTCGTCGCCGCGAAGAAGCGCCCCGGACACGCGTGCATCCCGTGTCCGAAGCCCAGATGCTTGTTACTCGTGGAAACGAGCTGGGTCCAGTTTTCTTGCCCGGGGAGTCGCCGCAGCTTGAGGAATCTGTATCCGTCAAACTTCTCGGGGTTCGAGTGCACCGAGTCGGTCCACATGTTGTGGCAGGAGACTAGCGTTCGTGTGTTGCGGGGCACCTGGAGGCCATCGCTGAAGGTGACGGGGGAGATTGTGGTGCGGACCATGGTGCCTGAACGTTTTTTGTATTTGGTCAGCCAGTTGTCAAAAGTCAGTAATCCGGCTTAAAGGAAAAAGAAGTGGGTACCGATTGAAATCGGCTTCAGCCGCTGAGTCTCCTTGAGCACGCTGTCCATCAGCTTTAGTTGATACAGAGCCGGCTTGACCCAGCCCTGCTGGCCAATCACTTCGATGACTTCTCTACGGAGGTCGTCCACGAGCTGAGGCCGGCTGCATAGATTAAAGAGTGTCTGGCTGACGAGGTCGGAGGTTGTGTGGATGGACGCCAGCGAGACCTTCATTTGGAGGAGGGCAGCATCGTAGATGGCCCCATTGGCCGCTTCCTCGGCCCACTCGATCATATTGCCTTCTTCCTCCTCTTCAAATTCTGTCGTCCTTGCGGCGGAATTCTTCTCTTGCGCCATTTTGGCCCGTACGCGCTCCAGCCTCTCTTCTAGGACCGGGGCGATGATGCGTCTTGCCTCTTGCGCCTCGGCACGCAGCTTCCTGCACAGCGGCAGGACCTTGGCTGCGAGGGGTCGCAGTGGGTGCGGCCACACCTTGAGCGACTCGGCGGCTTCGAAGAAAGTGACCGTGTGGTTCACGGTGATGCGCAGCCAGTCGGGGTTGTAGCACAGCGGCGCGCCTTGGAAGACTCGGGAGGATTGTTTGGCGATTGTGCGCAGGACGCTTTGGTGGAGGGGAAGGGAGTGCCATTCTTTGTGCTCAGTGTCAGCTTTCAGAATTTGTCCAAGAGTGATTTTTCGCGTTTTGCATACCTGTCTCGTCGGTCCAGTATTCCCGTAGGCCATCGGCGGCTTCTAGCGAGATGGGCTTGACGAATTTCCCTTTTCTCATATTAGCCATCACATCACGACTCTAGCACAGGTACGAGAAAGGAAAGGAAAATAAACCGAAGGGCAGTTACCAATAGCCCGAGTCAACTTATTCCGCACAGTCTCGACAAAAACGCGCTCCAGGACATGATCGTCCTCGAACATCTCAAACCCGGCAATCGTCCCATGGAACATGTCCTCATTATACTTGCCGATATCAAAGCGTGGATCGTTGCGCACCTCGGGCGCGTACTTGGAGTCGAGGATGAGTTCGACATCGGTGTCTGTCATGATGTAGAAAGCGTCCGGGTGCTGTGCGAACGCGGCCTTGAAGAGGTCGCGCGCACCGCGCTGGAAGCGCTTCCGCGCGTTCGTCCAGAGGAGCTCCGATCCGGCGCGGTCGTTGAATATCCGCGCGCCTTTGACGCGCAGGTAGGGGGAGAGGATTGTGAAGGCGGTCCATGTTAGGCTTGCTGCTGTGCCCAAGGCGATGAGGAGACCGAGGGCGCTCACGAAGTTGGTGGGAAGGAGGGATTGGAGCATGATTTTTGTTTTGGGATTGCGGGCTCAGGCTCACTGTCTAGTTCAGCTGTTCGAACGGTCTTGTCCTTGACTTGATGTGCCGATAGTGTACTGTAAGCCCGACGGTCGTACTTGTAGGCTGGGCTATGACAGTGATACGTAAGACCCTTGTAAAAGCACGGCTCTCCGTATAGTACAGTGCGGGAACTTGAAGGAATTGAATGCATGCTGTATTTGAAATGCTACTGCAGCACCCTGACGGGTACTAACTACGTACTGCAGGAGGCCCTGCAGGCCTTCCTGCTGCAACGTCTCCGGGTGTCCCCTCGCATTACCCGACGGGTAAACGGGAGTATAACCGCTGCTCCACACACCTCAGGATTGCAGCTAGGTTTCTGCGCAGTGTTCGTAATCTCTGGTACTTTGCGCTGCTTGGCGAGCCCGCGGGTTAGAGTTGGAGTTGGAGTTGGAGCTGAGGATGGGCTGGGGCTGGGTACGCCTGCCGCGGTAGACATTGATTGTTGATTGTAGTAGAAAGATTGAGCTGAGAAAAGGCCATTCACTTAAAATCTAGTAATACACATTAATCTATCATTTGGCATTATATGTTGTTACCTGTGAGACTTTCTCCCAGACGAATTATCCATTTGGTCCATGGTAATCGTACCTTGTATGCAACATGCCCTCCTCAATCCCACCCCTGATCATCTACGGCTCGCAAACAATCCCTCCCACAGCAGAAATCCTCGACCAGCTCGCTTCGTACTTAACACGACGCCAAAACACCCCAGAGCTAGGACCACTCGTCAAGGCAATTCGGGCCCTTCCCGAAACATGGGCTACATTGAAGACGGCCGAGCCTCGCCTTCAAGGCTTATCTGATGCGCCGGTTCTCAGTTTGGGACAATGGCTTTCAGCCACGTCCTCCTCATCACTGCACTCTGATATTACTAGTAGCAGTGACAGTGCCCGTGATGGTCACACCAACACTTACTCACGCCTGGCAATTCCAGCCACACTCCCGAATGTCCTCCTTGCGCCCCTGACGGTGATAATCCACATTGCGCAGTACAGCCATTATCTGGATGGTCTAAATCTAGACGTTGGTCTGTCTGGTGCCAGTCCTGATCCCGATGCTCATGTTTATATCCGGGAGGGCTTTGCTGCCGCTTGCCCTGCTCACACCCCAGACACCGGCATCGGCACGGCGTCACAGTTCCAAGGCCTGTGCATTGGCATGTTAAGTGCCGCGGTGATGGAATGCTCCGCGACAAGAACGGAGCTTGGACGGAATGCTGCGGCCGCTGTGAGGCTTGCCATGTGTATAGGGGCATATATCGACTCGGAGAGAGCGCTGGCAATGAGTGGGTCCAAATCCAACTGTAGTCTCAATTCCGACTCCGACGTGGTGTGCTTTATTGCGCGTTGGGGGGTGGAGTCCGGTCGAGAAATTGTGGAAGCGATCTTGAGCCGGTATTCTGAGGTATGTTGCATCATTTAGGGGAACCGGTGGGAGCGCTATGCTAAGCGATAATATCACTCTCAGGCCTATATCTCAGTTGAGCTAGACAGAAACTGCGTGACGATCACGGTACCGGATTGCGATTCGCGCTTTCTGTGCAGGGAATTGAACAGCCACGGCGTGAGAGTGGCAGATATCCCCGTCCGAGGACGGTACCATAGCTCGAAGAACGAGCCGCTTGTGCGGAGCCTGTTGGAATTATGTTCTACCGACTCTGCCAGCCCATTCTGGGTCCCCTGGGGTGTGGAGAAGCTGGAGTGCTGTTTACGGTCGATCCTCACCGAGCAGGCGGGCTGGTTTTCCGAGATGTCAAAAACAGTCAGTTCACTTTCGCACATGTCGCCCATGCCAATGACCGTTCTGGAACTCGGTCTTGTGAGCTCTTTCCCGCCATCCCTTTCTGTGCTGCCTCATCTTCGTGTGGTCCGCGGATCTCTCTCTCTGCCCGCTTCCCAGATTCAGGGCCAGGACCTGGACCAGGATCCCTACAACTATCCAGAAACATCAGTGGCCATCATAGGCACAGCCTGCAAATACCCAGGGGCCGGTAGCCTCGACCAGCTATGGACGCTCATTTCGACCGGGCAAGTAATGTTCAGTGAAGCGCCTGCTGGCAGATTCAAAGAGCCGGTTGCTGGCAATTTCATTTCGGATGTTGATCAGTTCGACTACGGGCTATTTGGCATCTCTCCGCGTGAAGCGACGTATATGGATCCGCAGCAACGCATTGCCCTGCAAGTGGCCTACCAGGCCGTGGAGTCGAGTGGGTATTTCGCGTCCCCGCATCCAGAGCTGGATGTTGGCTGTTATGTCGGGGTGGGAAGCTCTGACTACGAGCATAATGTGAATCAAAACCCGCCCACCGCGTATTCATTCACAGGGACCTCGCGGGCGTTCATCAGTGGACGGGTAAGCCATTTCTTCAAGTGGACGGGGCCCTCTCTTACCGTCGACACCGCCTGTTCTTCGTCCGCGACGGCAATCCATCAAGCCTGTAACGCTCTCGCGATGGGCGACTGCTCCGTTGCACTAGCCGGTGGGGTCCATATCATGGCGAGTCTGCCGGCAGATCGGAATATTGCTGCTGCCGGGATGACGAACTCGAGTGAGCCGTGCCGTCCGTTTGATGCAGATGCTGCGGGCTACTCTCGCGGCGAGGGATGCGGGTTCCTCGTGCTGAAGCGTCTCTCCGCTGCGCGTGCTAGTGGTGATCATATTCTAGGGGTGATTGCTGCGACAGCGACAAACCAGTCGAATGGGAGCAGCTCGATTACCGTTCCTGTCTCGCAGTCTCAGAGTGATGCCTATTGCCGGGCTTTGTCCCGGGCCGCCATGAGCGCAGCTGATATCTCCTACGTCGAGGCCCATGGGACGGGGACACAGCGCGGAGACCCAGTTGAGTATCAGAGCATTCGGGAGGTCTTTGGCGGGAAGGAAAAAGTGCACATAGGCTCTCTGAAGGCTAATATTGGACACACGGAGGGTGCGTCAGGAGTAGCCGGTGTGCTAAAGGTCCTGCTGATGCTGAGACATGGTCAGATCCCAGCGCAGGCGAACTTTGCCAGGCTAAATCCCGCGATTCCAGCTCAGGAGCGTGAGGACCGGTTGGTCGTTCCCACCCGGCTGCAGAAATGGGATAGGAAGTTCCGCGCGGCATGCGTTAATAATTATGGGGCGGCCGGTAGCAATGCTGCGATTATCATCTGCCAACCTCCGTGCGACCACCGCATGGTCCAGGACAAACTGACCGGCCCCGTTGAGCCAAGCCGCTACCCCTTCCTTATATTAGCGCAGTCCCCGGTTAGTATACAAAGGTACTGTGCTGCCCTGGCTCAGTACGTCGAGGCAAAATCACCCTCATTGGCTGAAGTTGCCTCCCTTGTCGCGCGGCAGCAGAACCGCTCTCTTCGCCACCGTATAGTCTTCAATGCAGCCTCAATTCCAGAGCTGCAGGACCACCTGCGGCATCACGCTCAAACTGACGACACGGTGTTATCGCTGTCCGGCAGACAATCAAAGCCCATTGTCCTGGTTTTCGGCGGTCAGAGCGGCTCAATACTCCACTTTAGCAAAGCAGTGTACGATGCGTCTTACCATGTCCGTCAGCACGTGGACAAGTGCCATGCTCTTATCCGGCAGATGGGACTGCTTGGTCTGTTCCCTGATATCTTCAGCCAATGTCCCATCGATGACCTGGTGATACTTCACTGCTGCCTGTTTTCTATACAGTATTCCTGCGCCGCAGCATGGCTGGACTCAGGGCTTTCAGTTCACCGGGTGATTGGCCATAGCTTTGGACAACTGACTGCAATGTGTATCTCGGGCGTGGTTACTCTTGAAGATGCATTGCGACTCGTTGTAGGACGAGCACAGCTGATAAGGGATTGCTGGGGAGATGAGAAAGGGTGTATGCTCTCCGTCGAGATTGACAGGGAAGGTGCAGAAGGCCTAGCATGGTCAGAGCCAGGCATCGAAGTCGCCTGCTACAATGGACCAAACAACCATGTCCTTGTGGGCAGCCAGAGCGCTATCGCGAACGTCGAAAGAAGAGCATTATCATCTTCGCTGCGGACCCGGAGACTCAATACCACCCACGGCTTCCACTCTCACCTCATCGAACCCATCATGCCCCGCTACTTGGACCTTGTCAACACCGTTACATTCAGAGCACCCGTAATCGCCATTGAGACCTGCTCGGAGACTAGCACCTGGGGCGCCTTCACCGCACAGCTGGTGGCCGAGCATTCGCGCTGCCCAGTCTATTTCTGCGACGCGGTCCAGCGGATAGAACGGGATCTTGGACCGTGTATCTGGCTAGAGGCTGGCTCGGCCTCGGGCGCAGTTATGCTCGTGAAGCAGTCGCTAATCAGCGACTCCAGCTCGCTCTGTGGACTCCAACTGGGGTCATCCAATCAAAGAAACCCATTGGACTCAGTTGTCAATGCGACCTTGGAGCTATGGACTCAGGGAGCATCTGCCCAGTGTTGGGTATACCATCCCAAAAGTCTAATTAATTCCATTCGACTCGTGGCCTTGCCAGGTTACCAGTTTGATACGAGTCCGCACTGGCTTTCCTGCGTTGGGCCAGAGGTAGAAGGAAAGGGCTCTTCATTGGAGCGGAACCCGAGTGATCTGGTTTCTCTCGCATCTCTCTCGCATCCGGGGCCTGGCGTTTGCAGCTTCGAGGTTAACCAGGGGACTCAGAGTCTTGCACATATCCTGGCAGGGCGCAGGGTTCTAGGGGGATCACTGTGGCCGCTTGCTCTTTACATGGAAGTGGCTGCTCAAGCTACCGCTCTTCTGACCCCTGGCCTGCCACCAGACTCTCGGCTCATAAGGCTCTTTGGGCTCAGAATCAAAACACCAATCGGCGCTAGCCAAATTGACGGCCTCCACCTACGCTTGGAGCAGTCCGATATGCGGACGTGGGAATTCTCCCTCGAGAGTGACGCCACAGAGCATGCCCTGGCAACCGTTATCCTCGACGATCAACGTAGCAGCACTGGACCGATACTCGACTACAAAGACCGCGACTATTACAGTCTTGAAAAGGTTACAGCTCAGGGTATAATCTCAGCCTCCGGGATGATAGCCTACAAGCTGCTCGAAAAGGTCGCTGAGTACGAGCCTTCACACCGGGGCATCGAGTGCATCCGCATGAACGACCATGCAGCCATGGCCCGGGTCTATCTTCCGAAAGCAGCCGAGGCTGTAGGATACGCCGGCAAGACAAGATGCAATCCAATACTCATCGACCAGTCCCTTGCGGTTGCCGAGATCCACGCGCTGACTATGGAAGACTGTCAACGCGACGAGGTTTTCGCCTGTTCCGGCCTCGGCGAGGCAACGGTTTTGGCGAGCTTTGCGGGGACAGCAGCAGGGAGGGCCCGGGGCTGGTCAGTGTATGTCAGGCAATCGTCCAAGCAAGGCCGAGAAATCGTTTACGATATCTTTGTGTCCGATGCCGGCGTTGACCGAGGCCATGGCCAGGACGGGGATCGGGGCAAGGACCCGTGTCTGGTTCTAGCCCTCGTCGGTGTCAAGTTTCTCAGAACCTCAACTCTTGCTCTTGAACAGATCGTCGCGCGAGCCAACCTTAACTCCGCACCCGCGTCTCCCGAGAAGGTGGGCACCCCTTTACAGATGCAGGAAGAGGAGGCAGGCACCGCTACAATCTGGCCAGTGATTGCTAGCTTGCTACACGAGCTCACGGGCTGTCCCCAAACGCGGATAACACCTCAAACAGCCCTAGCAGATCTAGCAATGGACTCTCTAAGCATCATGGAGTTCAAGGCCAGAATCGGGGCGATATTCAACGTGCACTTACCCGGTATCATTGAAGCAAACCCGACCGTCGAGTTAATCTGCGATGCGATTGCCGTTGCACAAACCACCCTGGCCCCGACCCGCTTCTCCCGGTCTCATTTCACACTTACCCCGTCCGGATCAGGCTCAGCCTCAAGGTCTCGATCAGGCTCATCGCCCTTGGAATCTGACAGCGAAACGCAAGTCAGCGAAGTAAGCCTTAGCACATCCGCATCCACGTCGACGTCCACTATGCTGGCAAACATAACCAGGACAGTATCTGCGCACCTGAGGACCGGGGAAAAGCTACGTCCCAGCTCCCAACTGCACAGCCTTGGACTCGACTCGCTTGCAACGCTGGAGCTGCAGTCTGATCTTCAACGAAGCTTTGGATTAAGGGTCTCTTTGATGCAGCTTGATGGAAGCGCGACGATCAGTGACTTGCATGCGATGCTTGTGTGCGGGACGCTGAAACAGTAGGGCCGGTCCATACCATATAGTCAGTTGCAAATATATACACGGGTTAGATACCTTTCGTTATGTCAATGTCACTATCCGGAGCAGTAAATATCACGCACTGCCTTGCCCATTGAAGCCATGGTACCAACCATTTCGATTCCAAGAATGGCATCATATCGGGACTCTATATCATCGGTCATGGTGGTCATGCCCTGGTTCAGCTATCAGCCAGGTGGAGCAGAAGCAGGCGCACCGCTTTACACAGGGAATTTGGATCCAGGGGGTCAGCTCTCCCTTGCTCTTATCGCCACTTTGTCCCACCTCCGCCGATGACGCTAACCCATCCCCGCAAAGACGAGCTGCATTCTGTGGAGTGGTGGGGAATCCGGACTTATCTTCAATCCGAAGTAATGGCTGTGCTCGTTCTGTGGGGTAGATATCTCCATCTGGCCTAGGACAGATGTATCCGATTCCCACGCCGTTGTGGAGATATCACTGTGCTCCGTCTAAGACTGTCAGTCTTCTGGGTGATACTTGTTTTCTGCCTCAGGTAAAAGGGTCGAACTTGACTCTAGAGCCAAATCCAGTTTTAGATGTAATGTATTCATCTCAGGGCCCTTGAGCAGCGGCCCGGTATTTATCTATAAGTTGGACTCCATAGCCGCCTACCACCCCAGGTGATCGCCAAGAGCTTTGCGAAGATCAGAAGACTGTACGTTGGCTGTATCGAAGCACGCCAGAATATGCTGATCGGGTCGGACTAATGTGGCCTGTCCTCTGTTGAGGCCCATAAGGTTGATCCAGGCCGTACTATGCTCAGACGGCTCAAGCTCGAAGTGCTTTCCCATGACCACAGTTTTGACTTTAGGCGTAGATCTAATGTCTGGAGGCAAAGTGCGGAGAGCCTCGAGGACATATGTTCGCCACTGGTCTGCGGTAGCAGTATGGACGACGAGGATGAACGTGTCAACCGGGCAAAGGTCCAGCGTAGAGTACCTTTTGCGCTCAACTTCATCTACTGCCAGCTCTGACACGTAGGATGAATCAATTGCCGGTAGCTCAACGCCCAGATCGGAGGGTTCGAGTAAGCGAATCCATGCATGCGGAAGGCGCGCACCTGGGACGCAGAGCGGATTGTAAAGAGACGCGCTCTCCGGTATCCGGGTATCCCCATAAACGTATCCAATGTGCAGTTGAAGGTTGTCAAAATGTTCACGCTGTTCCTCAATCCCGCGGTTGATTTCAACCACAGCGTCAGGGTCCTTGAGGTTCCGATGAAGGTTCTCACGCGCCACCTGGACGTCTTTATCCGTCGTTCCCAAAGCTTTGAGCAGTCCAAATATTTTCTGGCCATTCTTGACACTCTGCTGAGAGTTGACAAGTGCGACGTGGCGCCTGTCCGCGTGGTATGTGTCAAGGACGCCATCACGCGCCCAGCCTTGATGTACTGCAGCCAGCTTGTAGGCCAGGTTGTGGACGTCGCCCAGGCCAGAGTTCAACCCGAGTCCACCAGTCGGAGGAAAGGAGTGAGCGGCGTCTCCGGCTCTATCATTTGTTAGCCTAGATCTAGTGGCATACAAGTGTGTTCAGCGTACAGGAAAACACGTCCTATTCTATATTGGTTTGCGACTTTCCGACTCAGCACCCAGGGCCGGTAGGAGAGGACGTCGTACTTGACGTGCTGGCCGATCGCTGCGTTCAAAGTCTTTCGGCAGAGACTTTCATTCCACGACTCGAGGGGGTGCTTTTCTGGCTAGAAAACATGTTAGCACTACACCATCGTCGCTAAGTATGTCACCCACGTCAAAGTTGCAAATCAGAACTTGGTTCGCGGAGAGATCATATCCGATGATGAACCCTGAGGTCTCGGGATCCATGACCCAGTGCAGCATTCCAACGCGATCTCCTACAACCGGGCGCAAGTCTGCATTGAAATGGATTGTCATCATGGTTTCGTCTGCCCAGTTAGTGGTGTATCAATTTCCATGTCGGCGTAGGGTGCTAACAAGAATCCTCTCCTTCGCTCTCGACCTCGAGGAATCGCCTAACAGCACTCTTGGCCCCATCGCAGGCAACAACGTGTTTAGACCTGACGACATACTCGCGGCCAGAACTCCGATCTTCCACGGTCGTTAAGACGTAGTCGTCATGCTGTTGTTGTCAGACACTCGTTTAAAAGTTGAAGACGAAGCCATACTATCTTACCTCCTCTAATCGAACAAAGGAGTGATGCTTTCGAATCTCGTTGAGCGGACTCTCTTTGAGATTCTGAGCGACCAGTTCCTCAAAATCGGGCTGCGGGATATTATGAATCATCTGCAATTGTCATTAGCTCATGAGACCGACAAAGACGATATAGATAGGCTACAGTGGGAGTTGCATCAATGACTTCTGGGTCCATCCGCTCGTACGGTAACCGCCCGACCTGCTTTCCACTGAGGTTGGTGATGAAATTGACCCAGTACGCATCCTCGCGTGAAGTCCCAAGCCGGCGGACCTCGTTGACGTCTAGTCCGAATTGGCGACTTAATTCTAGAGAGCGGGGTGATAATGCGTGAGCTTTAGGCGCAGCGAGACGTGTCGCGTATCTCTCGACGATAAGTGTTTGCACTGCGATGGCTGGTTAGCTTGGGCTGCGACCAGAGGGACCGAACAAGTGACCATTAAGACGAGATAGCATGTGCGCGAGTAAAAGACCTGATGGTCCGCCCCCGACGATTAAAATCGGGATATCATCATGAAATGTCTCAGTAACAACTTTGGAAGGGGACATGTTTCGCGGGCTCTCTGCCGTTCTTCTTCTTCTTGATCAGAATATATATCGTAGTTTTCAGTTGAATGGGGGCGAAACTTCAAGGACTCCCGGCTGGGAACACCACAGCACCCAAATTTATAGCGGAACATCTCAATGGCGCCACCATGACTTTCGATCGGCATCTTACACGAAGCGGAGGTCTGAGTCGTGGTTGTTGGGCGATGGACGTGGGAATGGTTTCCCCACGCGAGTGGGAAAGAGCCAGAATTGTCCCACCTGTGCACAGTCAGCTGCCAAGTGGGAAAGCCGCCGGCGCCACTTTTCCCACTTGATCATCACCTTCCCCTGTCCACAGTCCACGAAGTCTGCAAGCTTTGAAGTTCCGTCACATTCGACCTTCGGAGCTGAGTTGAGCAGTTGGTGTTTCTTCCCCACTACGATAGCTCATTCCCTTCTGTCTTCCGGTCGCAATGACACTTGGCTCCGAACGTTTGGAAGGCGCGACCGCGAGTCCGAGGCGCTTCCAGTGTGCAAAATGCGGCCGGTGTTACTCCAAGCTCGAGCATTTGAACGTACGTCTTCTACGACCTCAACGAGAGCGAACTGAGCTAACGTTGCTATAGAGGCACGAACGAACGCGTATGCTACAGGTTAGACGAGCACACTGAAAACATCCGCTAACTTGGCCAGATACGAACTCGAGGCCGTATCGTTGCGATGAGTGTGGTAGAAGGTTTGGTCGTCAGGATGTGTTGTCGCGACATGCAAAGCTCCATTCCCAGAAACAGTCCGAATCCCTCTCCGGGCCCTCGAGCGCCCAGCAGCCGTCCTATACCGAACAAAATCAATCCTCACCTGGCGAGGGACAAGCCTTCGCAGCCCAAACCGCAGCTGTGCCCACCCCACCCGATGATATCGCACCTCATGCGACCTTCGAAGACTCGGATGGCCTGTTGGACTGGCTTATGTCAGGGCTTAATGACCACACTGCTCTCCCTCTACCCTTTACTGATCTCCCGGGGATCAACACTTCGCTGAACATGGGCAATGTCACACTATTCGGGGAACAGCAAGCACATGGCGGCGATCCGGCACCTGAGGCAAGGGGCGTTCAGCAATTGTTCAAGCTGATTGACGACACGGCCAAGCGGCTTGGCTCGGATATTGAAAACAATAGGATCACATCGCAATTTCTCGACTCGTGTCTGCATGAGTTCTTTCAACGAGTTCAACCCGCCTTTCCAGTAATCCATGCGCCGACGTTCTCGTCGCCGAAGACAATCGCACCGCTGCTACTCAACATGGTTGCTCTAGGATCATTATTCGTATGCGTCCCGAACAGCGTGCAAAATGGAGAACTCCTCTGGCGCCTGGGACACACCGCCGTCGCTACCTCATGGCGAACATTGATCACCTGGCGCGGTCCCCATGACACATGCGACGGCGTTCAACTGGTGTTGACGGCGCTGCTCGGCCAGACGTATGCGCTATTATCATCCAACCCAGATATACGTACGACTGCATTCGTATTTCACGGGCTAGGATTCTACTGGGCAAGGACGTGCGGGATGTACTCGGTTGAAACTCGACACTTCCAAGTATGTGATGGGGATTTACCACAATCGGAGAAACAATATCTATGGGAGCAGTGGGCCGCGGCTGAGGTCCAGCGCAGAGCAGTGTTGGGACATTATATCCTGGACGGACTCATCTCGCAAGCATCTGGATCGCCGACGAGTGCCCGGCATATGATAAACAAACTTGGCGCCGCGTCTTCGGATGCAGCTTTTGAGGCAACGACATCAGACGGGTGGCTGGAGGAGATGTTGCGCTCAAGGCAGGATCACCCGCCAATGTCGAAAGTGTATACGGCCATCCTCAACCCACAATACAGACAGTCTCCCCTGAACCTGTCGTCTTTCTCGGCGGCGGTTGTTATCGAGGGGCTCCAGTCTCTTGTTGCTGAGAGCCACGAGGTTGCCGATAATTGTCCTGGTGTTGTTGCGAGAGAGGAAATAATTCGCGGACTGCTCAACGTCTACCGCGTGCATGTATCATTTGCCTTGGCCCATGAAAAAAGGGTGATCCGTTGGCACAACGTTTGTATGGAAATGGCGGCACCATCGACGTCTCTATATAGTGCTTTATGTGCCATGTTTGACGTTCCGTTCCTGCTGAGCGGAATTTCGGCAGCTTCTGCAGTCCAGAATCTGGATCTACGACACTGGGTGAGTAGCCCAGATTCCATCCGGGCATTCCTGCATGCCTTAGCCATTGTTCGCCTGGTTCGCCACCTTCCGTTCGCAGACTCGCACTCCCCGCATGTTCCAATTGCTATCTTTGCGTCTGCCATAGTAATGAGCACAATCTGGCTGTTTGGAACAACTACTCTGGAGGTGCCCGTCTCTCCCCGATGGGAGGATGTCTGGACGCAGTGCCCACTCGACTCTGCCGGTAATCAGGGCCTCTCAACTCCCGAAGGCCAGAACACGAGTGACTTCTTGCATGCTCTCAACAGCAGTTCCTCCGGAAAGACAGTCTCGGTCCATCTGCCTAGTGAGATCAATTTCCTTCAACTGGCCCTGCAGACCGGCACATCGCGCTGGGGAATATCCCAACAAATGGAAAACGTCGTGCAACACCTGGTTGCAATAAGTCAGGAGCGCCAATGAGAGCTTAAGGGTCTCGACAATGACGTTAACCTTTAGCTACAGCCTTGCGAGGGGTAGTGAAAATGTGGGGTCCCCGATCCGTGGGTCGAGATAAGCCTGTTGCATTAGTCCGACTTTCCCACCTGTGCGCCCATGCTGCCCCAGATTCAATTCGTATATAATGATTCCACGTCCCACGTAGGAAAACTCTCAACAATCTTTCGGACAGCAACCATGCAAGGGTATACGTACAACGGTCCTGTTGACTGCACTCGCCAACCCGACAGCAGCAATCTCAAGGGGACGACTGCGATCGTGACGGGGGGTGAGTAAACACTGCCCCACGCATCATTTGAGTCGGATGTTAACTGTCTAGGTGCCAACGGCCTTGGTGAGGCGTATGTTCGCGCCCTGGTGGCAGCTGGGTACGACCCCTATCATACTTCGAGAGCCCCCGCTAACGCTTCAAAGAGTAAATGTCTGCATCGGAGACCTCAATACCAAGCGAGGAAAGAAACTTGAGCTGGAACTTCCAGGGTATGTGAAGCAATTACCGACTGCCAGTGCGGACTAACACGCTGGACAGCACGAAGTTTGTCCAATGCAACACCGCAAACTGGGATGACCAAGTCCGCCTCTTCCAAGCGGCCTCCAAACACTCTCCAACCGGGCGCATTTCTTACGTGGTCGCGAACGCTGGCATCCACCGTCCCGACGAAGTGTTCACCTACGACGGGGACAATGCAGAGCCTCGAAAGCCTAACCTCAGCACAATCGACGTGAATGTCAACGGAACCCTCTACACGGCCAAACTCGCGATGCACTACTTTGTCAAACAAAACGGACACACCCCCTCTGAGAACCAAGAAGATACATGCCTCGTTCTCATCGGCTCTGGCGCCGCATTCCTCGACGTCCCTCGAGCACCACAGTACGACGCGAGCAAATGGGCGATGCGCGGAATTATGCACTCAGTTCGTCGAACGGCATATCATTACGGAAGTCGGGTCAATGTGATTAGTCCGTGGTATGTGCGGACGAGTATCCTGTCGGAGGAAACCTTCAACAGCATTGAAGCCCTTGGTATCCAATTCGCAACGGTCGAAGATGCCGGCGAGTGTCTGATACGCATTCTCAGCGATAAGAGCATTAACGGAAAGTCGCTATTCGTGACGGCGAGAAAATGGGCAGAGAGGGGATATATGGACCTTGACCTGGAGGATTATGACGGGATTGATCTCTTGCAGGAAATTCAAGAGGAGCAGATGCGGTCTGCGCCGCCAGAGGCGGGTCTGTTCGTGTAGTCTGTCCAATAGCGTCAAGGCCACATCGTATCCATGGATGACGGCTTCATCCACACGTGGCCGGCATATCACAGGCCGACAAAGTTCTGAGTATAATCCACCCAGTCTAAACCAGAAAGTGGGCCGTAAGCAACCTGCATTAGCGCATTTCACCATCCAATCGCAACTTATGCCACCCAATTAAAGTCTTGGTCCTTCTGGCGGATTCTGCGACTCGTCCTCTGATCAGCATCTCGCATAATACCCCAGCGCCAACCCCCAAGGTTGCAGCTTATGCTCACACATCGACATCCGACGACGATAAAAGCAACGAGACGACAATGGCTGACACTCCGCTAACCAATAACGACGCAATCGCCCTCGCCCACATGCCTCAGCAGGCCCACGTCTGGCGCGCCGAAGACGACTGGACCGGGGTGATTGACCGCAAGGAGAGGAGGAGGTTGCAGAATCGGCAAAATCAGAGGAAGTGGCGTATGCAACCCGTTCCCTTAGATATACATTGTGCTCAGGAGGGTGTAGTATTGGTTGACTAACCGAGACAAGGCCAACGGCGAAAAGCCACAAGTACAAAGTCCTCCTCTCCGGAGAGTAGCGAGGCCCCGGGCTCGAAAGCCACAGGGATCGGCTCCTCAACCATCTCGGTAAAGTCGGAGCCTGAAGAGCGCGAGGTTACGGAGATTCGATGCGCACACGCCCCACCCAATGCACTAGAGTACCTGCGCTGGTTCGAAGCCACATTGCGCGAGAGCTACCTGCGCGGCTCTCCGAAAAGGGAACATCTCATCGGACTCACGAGGCTGAATGTTCACCGGGCTATTAACGAGAACATCCGTGCCATCGGCATGGACGTCGACTGGATGTCCTGCGACGACAGTATTAGTATCTTCAACCTGCAGTCTCCCACCTCCGCATCACTACCACCTTCAACATCAGCATCAACATCACCATCGTCACTCCCCTCAACACAAGTATACCCCTACACAGAAAACCACATCCCGCCCGCCCTGCGTCCCACTGAAATCCAAAAACTCATCCCGCACCACCCGTGGCTCGACTTCTTCCCCTTCCCCCGAATGCGCGACTGCCTGATCGCTGCCAGCCACCTCTTCGACGACGACGAGCTGTGCCACGACCTGATGGCATTCTGGGATACGCGCAATACAGGCGCGACGCTGATTGTTTGGGGGCAGCCATGGGATCCAAGCAATTGGGAGGTGACGGAGCTGTTCTTGAGGAAGTGGGGGTGGGCGCTTAGGGGGAGTCCGGAGTTGCTTGTTTCGACGAATTATTGGAGGCGGAGGAGGGGGGAGAAGGGGATTGTTTGGGGGGAGGTTTTGCCGTTTGCCGCGAAACCATAAGTATTTAAGCGAGGTATGAATAGAGGAAGGAGTGTGAGATATGGTTTATGAGGAATGCTGTATGCGATTTTGTATTGGATGTATATAGTCATGACCATTAATCATCAAAAGAGTACTATCATCATCAGGCATACCGATAGTACGGTGTCGCACGCACCGGCGGTCTTGGGGAATATGGTGGAGGCGCATACCCCACGACAGGAGGAAGAGGCGCCTGGTTCGGCACGGTCTTCGGCCGGCGTCGACAGCAACAACAGTACGCAATGCTAGACACAATCAACAGGAGCAGGAAACCGCCTATACCAGCCGACAGCCCAATCACTAGCTGGAGATTGCGCTGAACCCATGACTCGCCACCGTTGTCGCCTGTACGAGTTCGACTTCGACACTGGCCGCCGCGACACATGCCCCCGTCGCAGGGTGTTCCATCAAGCACAGTCCCAACCCGCGCACAGTTTCCTTCGGCGAGGCTGGATCCACACGACAGGACACATGTTGAATTTCCACACGAGGAAACGGTCGAGTTGTCTCCGTTGATCATCGCCTGACACTGCAGATCGCGATTCGTGCACTGCCCACTGGAGCAGAACAGCCCTTCCCCAGATGCACCACAGGACTGCCCATCATCTTCAAAGCGATCACTCGGACAAGCCGCTTCATCCCCCGCGCACGTCTCCTCAACATCGCACTCGTCCACCGCTGCCCGGCACACGTCCCCCCGTCCTCTGAATTGGCATCCCTGACAGCACGACCCATCCGCATCATCACAGACTGCGTTTCCTCGAAACCGGCATGTGCTTCCATCACAGCACGCATTCCCATCACACTCGTCGCCACAATCACACTCCTCGCCAACCTCGACGATCCCATTCCCGCACTCGCCTGCCGAAATCGTCGGTGGTGTATTCGCGTTCGTGGTGAGGCAGCTCGTGCTCACGCGCCCGGAGTCCATCCCCGAGCAGACGTTTCCGACGGAGCAGGGGGAGAATTCGCGCTGCGGGGAGGAGGAGACGGGGTTCATTATGTAGTTGCCACTGGCGGAGCAGGTGGAGGCTGAGAAGGGGCAGCAAGTTTGGCTGCCGCCCGCGATGCTGCAGGTGCTCGCGTCGCAATCATGGTAGGCGCCGAAGGTGTGGGCCGATTCGTGGCTATTACAAGAGCATTAGCACTTCCGTACAGTGACGGACTTAGCCAAGCATGAATGATTCATGTGGTGGATGGGCCATGGGAGAAGGGGCGACGTACGCAAAAACCTGCCACTGATTCTGCGCGAGTGCAACAACATTCGCACTCAGCTCCTCGTGACACAGCTCACCAACCCATGAGACACCAACCTCTGTCCCTGTCGGACACCCGCTCATAAGCGTCCAGTACGCGTTCTCACTCCCTCCCGAGTTCTCCCTCCAGGTCGTGAACTGCTGCAGTCTCCAATTGAGATCTATCCCACTCGCACACCCGACATTCCAGGGTAACTCCGACGACGGAGAGGAAGGACAATCCTCCTCCTCGATTGTGAGATTCGCGACCGCGAGGGCGATGTTGAATGTTTCTTCAAAGACGGCGGAGGCCGTATTCACCATGCTCACCACGCTGTCGACCAGGTCCTCTTGGGAGGAGAATGTGCCCGTGAATGCACAATCTGTCGCTATCCCCACGAGTGCGATGCGCCTATCTGTTGGGCAGCCGTCTATTGAGCCGATTGTGTCGACGAGGTTTGGCGGGTTAGGATTAAAGCCGAATTGGCGCTTTTGCGGGGCAAAGTGTGGTGTGGTGTCTATGTCTGTAATATTCGTGAGGCTCTCCGCGCTCAGGATGGGGTCCTGGTCCTCCGCTTCGTAAGAAACGACCATTGCTCCGTCTTTGACCTTGATATGGTATTGTACGCCATGCACACTGAACGCACCATCAAGGAGCGGATTGGTTCCATCACGCAGAACGGATATTCGCGTCCAGCCGACTTTTTTCCACCCGGTGATCTCATTACCTGATAGTACGGAGCCTTTGAAGACACGGTGGCGATGCCGCTGCATCACCTCTGTTCGACGAGCAAGGCCATTGCGATCGATGTATCGAATCTGCGAGTCTTGAACGAGGAGGTCGTGGTTTGGTTCGAGGGCGAGTTTCAGAGGTTGGCGATCGTCGGCCAGAGTGAATGTTATGTTGAATGGGGCATTAGGGTAGATCCGTTGAGAAGGTGTGTGGATTAGAATGTTGGTAAGGGTTGTGCTGTTGTAGGGTGTTGTTGGGTGGATGGAATAGGCTGGATCGGATTATATTAGTATCTGCTACGAATTGGGAAGACAGGAAAGAATCGAGGGGGTGCTTACCGGAAACCTGCGCTGTAGATATCAGTAGAGTCCAACTCAGGACATATTGCAGTAAACTCCCCATGACTCTCATCGCAGATAGCGCGCGTTCAGTTCACCCTACCAACTGAAAGTATATGTACAACGTAGGGCGCTTAGGGAGACCAAAGTAAAGCAACAAAAACAAACCAAACCATGATCGACAGCCGACCAACAGGTATATGTATAACCATTGGCAATGCAAAGCCCATCTTACCTTGCTGCGCCGAGCCCTGATCGCCCCTCAGCCTGATCCAGCCTCTGGCTCGCCCTCTCTTACTGTACGCTCGGCGGAGCGCGTCAGGGCATAGGCCCCCACCGGCGACCACTCAAACGATCTGCGACAAAACCAACGACCAAGAACATCTCACTCCGCCCAAGATTAGGCAGCATAATTCCTCGTCGCCGTTGGTGGAGGCCGGTCAACGCATGACAGGCGCCAAGAGCGACTCGTCATCGGCAAGCGCCAATGCTGACACGCTGCGCTCCGCTTATGCATACTCCGATACGCTGTGATGGAGGAACGGTCAGTCGACTGAGGTCCGGGTTTCACTCCCCGGGGGCGAGGCGGCCAAATACTAAGCAGTACTCTGCAGGTTTGCATTTGCACAGCCCCGTTGGTGATGGGTGATCGAGATGCTGTGTGGCTGTTTCAGTTGGCGCTGTCCCGCATTTTCAGACATGAACTGGATTGATGGGGTGGTGGCTCGATTTATCATCCTGCATAAGCAGCGACTTGTAAGATGCTATGAAACAGTTTCGTTTCTCTCATCAGAGTGCAAGTTGTATAACACACCGAGCGAGAAAAAATTACTCGGTGTCGAATTTTCAGGGTCTGAGTTACCCCTGCTTGCTTTCCGAATACGATAGTGAATAAAGGCATCGAACACACAAGGCGATCTACCGAACGATCGACATTGCCGGCTCCTTCGGAGGTTTCTTTACTCCGTCGACTTCTTCGAATTCGAGCCTTGATATTGGTCTCGGCCTTGGCCGAGCACTTCATCTTCTTGTTCGGTTCTTTATCCGTATGCCCGCCTTGCTGTCTGTCAAGCCCCACTCCGGCTTATTAGAGCCCTTCTCCACTGGGCTAGAAACAGCGCCATGGGTTCTGGAAGGAGGGAATTACCTGGATCCCGCCTTTTCGGCGGATCAGTGAGGGAAGTGGTCGAGAAATCTGGGAACGCTGGTCTTTTAAATGACACCGAAGAGCCCTATATTCGAGCACGAAAGCCGGTGTTCCTGGCAGCATCCAGGACTTCTCAGGAGTTCTGGCCATGGTACCAAACTTGCGCTCGAGTTGAATCGATGGTCCTTCTCCTCCTCCATTGTATATCGGTCTGGCCCTTTGTCGAGTCAGCTCTTCACTCCATCCTTCACCAAAACAAGTCTCGAGGCCGAGGAGTCTCGGCAAGCGGGGTCGGAAGAGGCGCAGCAAGATCTCGTCAACATTGCTTAACCACCCCCGGATTCCGACCGTCTTATCTCCGGCGTTCGATCAGTCAGCTTATGGCTTGACACTGAGGCTTGTCGCTGCGATGACGCGTTCCACAGGCTGGGCATGAGCCACAGGTCACAGGCGGGGCATCGGCGACTTGATAGAGAGGTTAGGCTTGGCGGGATAGGAAGTAGTTATTGGTCAAGGATTGTCTGTCGGGGAGAGGGTGAAGTATGCGGAGTTTGGATGATAGATTGGTGTGGAGTAGGAGTCGGGTTAGAGGGTTGCGGAATAGATAGGTCGGTCTCCTAGATCTGTGCACTTGCTATTCTATCAGCAACGGCATGGCTCTTCCAGATAATGACTTACTAGTGGCATTAGTATGTCTTGAGGGAAACAGGAAGAAGGAACGTGAAGCGGGAAAACTGTATTGCAGGTAGCTATCTAAGAGAGTTCGTGGTGTTGAACGATGAGGAAACACTGGAGGAGCGGATAACACGTGACACTGGATCACGTGTTCCGACGGTATGGCCCTCCGCGGTACTGTTTCGGTGCACGTTGAACGGCCACGGACGGTGAAGAGCAACGTTTCTCTAGGGTTGGAACTCCTATCCACCTTCACTGCATGGTGCCGTAATACAAGTCAGATCCTCCGCTCAGTCACCACTTGACCGTTGTTAGATAGGGCCCTTCTAGGGACACACTCCTCCGTCGGCCGGCTTGTTCCACCCCGTCTTAGCTTCCTGGGAGCTCCTCTGGCCGAACCCCAGACTCGTTTCCCGCGACCTTTCGATGTCGTACTGAGCGGCGCAGTTTTATATCTTCGCCACTGGTCCAGGCCAGCTCCGGATGGCGGCACAATTCACATCGAACATCAATCCTCCGGTCCCTCTACCCGTTCCACGGCTCACGTCCTCCCTGTGGTCTCGGGCGCCTACTATCCTAACCCTGGTGAGATTGCCGGAGGAATTATATCTATTACATCGCCACAGAAGCTAGTTGTCTTGATGCCGAAACAGCCAAGGGATAACCCATAGTATTGTGACGATGCACCAGCACCCAATCGGTTCCTCGGAAAGATTCATTGGTGGGACGAGCCCATCATGGTATCTCTTATAATCAGACGAAGCACAGTATAGATTTTATCCTTCGTTTTCGGCCCCCAAGCCCGGTGTGGGCGCCACTGGCACCACTGGAAGTTGCGGAGTCAGTATGCGCACTTGCAGCTAGTTTGGAGGGGAATGAGTCAAACCTTTGTGTCATTGCCAATCTCAAGGAAAACGATGTCACGACCGTCCGAAACAAGGCCGAATATGGCAGTATTCTGACCTCCTTGGCGTTTCCCCATCGCCTGAACCATCGCTAGTAGGCTTGTCAGCGATATGAAGCAAAAGGAGTAGCTTACACACGAACCCATATAGGTCAAGCACTCAACTAGGCGCATGCTCAACGAGTCCAGGCTCGGTGCTTCCAGAAGTACCAAACAGGGTGCCGTTTCATGCTTAGTGTACAGGACCGAACAATCCGCATCAGCTGTGACGTTTTTCCGCATTCTCTTGTGAGACACTTCGACAGTGAGGTACGTTTCTGGAGTAAAAATGGGAGAGCAGGGACGGAGGTTCTGCGCAGCGAAGCCTTGTTCCTCTCGAAAACAATGGAACAGCAATGTCTTTGTTGAAAGAAGCATCCTCCCACATTCTTCGAGCCATGGGCTAGCGCTCCGAGCTCCTTAGTCATCTCGCGCTCTGATTCAGCGTTTAGTACTGGGACTGAATGTAATCACAGAAAGAGGTGAATACCTAGGCTCTCCGGCACATGAAATCTACCCGCGTCGGGGATTTCAACGAGGTCGCGTTCTAGGTCTTCATGGAGATTGAAGATGTCCTTCAGATCCTGGTAGGTGATTTCGGAAGCGGGAAGACGCGGGAGGTTGTCATCGTCGTCGTCGTCGTCGTCGGGAATCGTGTTCAGGAACTCCTGGTTAGATCGAATCAACTCCGCCCTGGTAGTGTGAGCAGCCTGCTGTTCGAGGTGAGTCGAGAGATGCTCTCGAAAAGCTGCCCAGCTAAAGCTTTCGGGGCCGCGTTTCATCGTGATTGAGCCGGAGGCAAGACTTAATGACGAGGAATGGCGTTGGAGAGACCTCACTTCGGTCAACATGTCTGTTCAACACGAATGTATGCGTGTGCACGGCTCTCTCGCAGATTCAAATGCAGAGGGGTAGAGGAAAAATCTGAGTTGGCAAACGGGAATCATCATAAACCTTGGGGACCCCTTCGAGCTTACCGAGACCGAAATTTGCCTTGGATGATAAGGTGAGTTGAAACCTTGAACCAGGCCCTTGGTACCAAAGTGAGACTCGAACTCAAAGTCTGACTCACAGTCGAAAAGACACCGCCTGCTAATGGAGCAAGATTTGTTTTGAGGGGAATTTGTGTTACTCCCCCGCTCACTATTTTCCTTTCCTTTCCTCGCCATCTCACTACAACACCTCAGTCGGGATTACACATACATTCATCTCTTCACCCCATTATCCCCCAGCATTCGTTCCTGAAGGCCCGCAAAATGCCTGCTAAGCGAAAATTTTTCAGCTTGACGGCGTTGAGGAATCGTCTTTCGACGAATTTCCGCGAGCAGGCACCTCATCTTCCGACGCCGATGAATGAACGGAATCAAGAGCTTCTGAGCGCCATCCCGAACGACGACGAGAATCTACCTAGCCTTCCTGCTACGAAAATGACACTCCAAGATCTTAAGGACATTTTCAACCTCCACGAGCACAAGACGAGAAACTTCATGAAAATCTCCGAGTCTGATAAGATCCCCGTACCCCCGGAGCTAGGTAACCATCTCCCACCACAAATACTTGTTTCTAGAACTAATGCTCTTAGAACGGGAATTGGAGGAAGAACTAGCAATGCTTGCCGCTGATCCTAAAAATGAGGCCGAATGTAAAATAGGTATCACCAAGCTCTTTCTTGACGCACTGAAGCGCGAACGACGCGCTCTTGCGGCTTCGGCCAATCCCCCGGAGTACCTCCCATGCTTTACACTGGAGACAAATCTGGGACTTGAGGTGTTTTACAAAGGAAGAAAAATGCTTCTAAACGGCGACATGGACTATTCGATGCTCTACGCCAGAGATGAGACTTCCGCCGGCTTGGTGATACTGGAAGCTAAAAGCTTCAGTACAATGGGTAAAGGACTTGCGCAATGTCTTACCTATATGGGTACGTACACATATTACTCTCTTCTGGCGGAATTGTGACTGACCAAGCTGGCAGCTATGGTGCATGCAATCCGCATATCTGAAGGTCGAGAGAACGCGGTTATTTGGGGAATTGTCTCCAACAGTCAGGAATTTCAATTTCTGCGCATAGACAACGATGGAAAGGTACAACTCTGACTGGTTTCTATTTCCCAACCAATGATAGTTTGTCTGGATGCTAACTATGTGACTAAAAGTACGTCCGTTGGCAGCCGGACAGGACCTGGGGGCCAAACACAAAAACCATAATTTACACGATGTTCAGATTGATTATACGGAGTGCAGCAGTGTCTTCGCCGCGCACTTCAACCCAGGCAGTTCGAAGAATTAGTCCCCACCACCCTCTCACCGCACACCCGGCTAGATACCACCTCCGGGTCGGTAGCGCTGACGACGAGGATGAAGAGCAAATGACTTTTTGAGGACAAAGATTACGACATGGGGGTGAACAGCGGAGCTGGCCATGAGTTTTGCTTCTTTTTCTCTTTCCCGTGCGTGTGGTTTTTCCTTTCTTGAGAACACCTATTTCCGAAAAGTATGCCAGAAAGTTGAGGTCGAGCCGGCCCTCGGCGGCTAGGCACTTGTTTTTTAGTTGAGGATGTTATCAGTCGAAGTCCAGTTTTCGTTGTCAGAATAGTCCCCGCAACCGACGCATCAGTTTTCCGAAATTCTATCTTGTGATGCCTTCAATCTCCACCTGCCCGGCATTGGCCGCGGTTGTACTTTCATTCTTCTCTGTCGCTTTAGCCCAAGTTTGCATGCTTGATCCTTGATACTACTTCATTGATGGTCCAAAGCAGGTTGAGGAGCTGTCGCGAAACTGCACCACTCTTCAGGGTTGGGTATGGCTTCTTCAACCTTCCCAGCGTCACAAACATCACAGGTTGTTTGAGCGTGGGCAACTACCTCCCTAGTGGCCTTACCGACATCCAGTTGCCTGATCTCGAACATGTGGGCGACTTTCAATTATCTGGTGTAAAGAGTGCCTCGCTGCCTCGCCTGCCTGTGGTTGAAAAATCGGATGAGATCCACGCTCCGGTCAATGGCAGTTGCCACTTTCCATCTTTGATAACGGTGGAACGGATCTCAATATCGGGGAACTTGTCAAGGTATCGCATCCAGGTGCTCAGGAACGTTACCCAGCGACTGTCTAGCTAACTTCCAAAAGCGTGGCTTTTGAAGCACTGCAAAATGCCAGCTCCATCACCATTGAGAATCGTACCTCGGACGAGTGCTTGCTTCGGAACCTCACCACGACAGTAGTCGACATCTCCTTCCCCGTCCTCGAGCGTGTTGGAGAGACGCACCTCCGAGGGAACATCTCTAGGTTTGATGTCCTCTATGGCCACGGGAAGACTCGAGTCGCTGCTAACATTTGCACGCACAGCTTTTCGGCGCCGGAACTTACAACGATCGCACCGCGTGGGAACTATGATACCGCCATGATATGGGTCGAGTCGTACGAGCCGGGACTCTCTGTCGACCTGCCTAAACTAGCTTTCGTGAACGGCAGCGTGGCATTCGAAGGCGTGATCAATAGGTACGGAGCTACCCTGTGTTTCATAACGCTGCACTTTCGAGTCAGTACTATGCAAGTACTAATATACTCATATCAGCGTATCCCTTCCCATGCTGCGGAACGTGACGGGGAACTTCAATCTACAAACGTCCAGTGCAGAGCCAATCGCGATTGATTTGGCCATCGAGTACACAAACGAAGTGGAGGTCCGCGGGAATATTGATAGGTACATGCAAATATCCACCGTTTCACGGGATTCTCAACCTCGCCGTAGCACGGAGCCATGAAGTTGACTGACGTGCATGCAGCGTTGCTCTACCGGGCCTGAGAAACTATTCCACGATTAGGGTCTACGTGGACGATGCATTCGACTGCGGGGGTCTTGGTGAGCAGCTTAACGGGACTGTTACCCCGCCGGCTATTCATTATGAAAACTTCTTTTGTAGTGGAGCAGAGAGCTTCTCCTCTACATGGGGTGCTGTATTTGGGGCTGCTGTGATTGTTGGTTTCTGGAATATCATCATCTAGCACCGGTGTTGGGAATAAATAGAGTGCTGTTCCTACAATACAAGCCAGATGATCGATGCCCTGAATGCCGCCTTTGGATATCTCGCGGGCGAATGTTGCGTGACTCCATCCGGATTCCCACAACTGTGCGCGGGTCTCCGTCGCACGCCGTCGTGTATCGAAGACGGGCATGTCCTCTTCTATCGACTATCCCTGGCCATCGACGAAACCTATCATTCTCACGTACTATTTGGCATCATTAACTGGAAGTTCAGTCTTTGCCTTCTTGTTCGCCGGCCCCTCTCCTCCTCCTCCTCCTCCTCCTCCTCCTCCTCCTTCCTCTCTTCCTTCACCGCCCGTCTTCTTATCCCCCTTGACCTTCATAATCTCCCTCCTCGCAAAAAACGTCTGCGCACGCTCATAAACACTCGACGACTCACCCCGCATGGTCCCCGACATCTTCATGAAATCATAGTACGCTGTCGTGGAGACGTCGAGTGTGCGCTGGAACTAGGGGCCTTCATTTCACCAAGACTTATAAAGTGTCGTATCTTGGAGCGGATTCCACTGCATGTCCTGCGGTGGGTGGTGCGGCGGGGGTCACTATCTGGGATTGAGGGCTCGGAGGGGTCTGCGAGGTGTTCCGAGGGTGTTGCGGATGCTGTTGAGGATGGTGCCGGGGAGACCGAGGGCGAGAGAGGAGGAGAGGCGGCGTCATATTTGGAATCTGTGGCGGAAGAGGGCTCGGAGTCTGAGTCGGATTCGGAAGCGAAGGAGGAGCTGGCTGTAGAGGCTGCCTCGCGCTTCTGATGTCATTGTGTCGCTGATGCTGATTCCGGTCTAGGTTGGGCATTTGCTGGAACTGGATTTCGGCGTCGGGTTCCGTACACCTGCAGTTGTTGTGGATCTGGAATCGGAATAGCTGCGGCTGCGGGGGGATAGTGGTGGTAGGGAGGGTGGAAAGAATGCTGGAGGAGGACCTGCGGTGTAACTGGTGGGGTAGCGGTATGCGGAGGGAGGCTTCAGCGTTGAAGTGACTGTGGAGATAGGCGGCAGGACAATGTTGTTGGTGTTTGTGGGGAGGTCTTGGAGGGGTGGGCTTGGGCGTGGGCGGTCGCTGTAGCGGTCCATGATGTTCTCGTCCATACTGTTTGGCAGTTTGGTTTGACCTAGGTATGCAGGTGCCAGGTGTTAGCGGAGAACACCACAAGGGTCCACCGTGGGATGGTGAGCGACGATTCCAGAAGGGGGGGTTTTTGGCGAGAATCCGGGGAAATGATGTCAGTCAACAAACGCGTCCACGCGTGTTCACGTGACTGCTCTCCACCGTTCTTCTCCCACAGTCAGACAGCGAAGGAACTTGCAAGAAGCCTGTTTGAATCATGTCTCTTGGGAATGAATCATCTAGAATGCATGGCTCTTACCCTACAGATATTTTCCAGTTTGTTCTGCAGCATAGTCTAGAGAGATAGAGAGCTACGCAACAAAGCCGCTTGCTCCAGCCAAAATATATCGTGAGGAAAACATGCGGGATTGTTGAGAATGTTACCTTTGAATACACGCCATTGCCCTTGCAAGCGATGCAATTACTCCTCTGTAGAGTTCAGGTCCGCGGCGAAGAATCAAAGTTTTTACTTTAGGAGTAATGAATACCTATCCCAACGTGTATGTATTAGTCGTTTCTCTTCTCTTCCATGCTAAAAATCCCGACAGTGGCATGCTAGCCAGTCGAGGCTAAGAGTTTTGAGTTTGGTGAGAAGAGCACCCTAATAGCAGGAGAGGGGCTTAAATACTAAAGGATTAAATGTCTAGTTTTATATGGTAAAATCGATGACTGTTCAGTTGACCTGACTATTTGGCGCAACCACCGAAGGCTACCATAGGGGTCGGTTAGTGGTAACTTCATGGTTGCCACTATCCATCTGACGTTGACCTTGTAGGTGAGAAGTTTATACTACATCGATATCATAATCTATGCATGTTGAAAGGTTGAATAGCTCTACTACCGTCTTGACATCAATTATCTATTTAGCTCTGTCAAACGTATGGTTCAGTCTCTAGACGCCGGTACCGAAGCACAGAGCTCGGCCTCTCAGTTGGAATGAATACTCCCATGAGTTCAAGCTATCTTCCATTCGCTGTCGAGCGCATCAGGCCACACATCTCAGATGTATATGGAGGATGACCAGGAAGGAGTGAGCCACCACAAAGCAAAAGAACCACGTCGTCACCAGGTATGGAACGTGGCATTCCCGACCACCATCTATACAACCAGCTCCCACTCCTCCGCAGCAAGATCCTTGCCCTGACAATATTTGACGTAACCGCCACTACTGGTGAATCCTCGATGGAAGGCGCCGAACCTGAACACGGAAGCCGCTGTTCTAGCCTCAGAGGCCTTCAGGTCTCCACGACACCAGAGATCATCATCAAGTACGGTGTACGAAACCTTGTGCTCGCCAGTGGCCGTGATCGCCGTGATATACACCTTGTCGGATGCGATGAGGATAGGTGTCCCCACGGTTTCAGTGCCAATCTTGCTATCCACCAGCTCGATGCGGAATACGGTGGGCCTGTCGCAAATCACTATCCTACTGTCAAAGTCTCTGTAGGACCAGTAGAAGTCCGGAAAGCCATATCGCCGGATGAGGAACTCGCCGCGGTTGAGAGGTGCCGGCGAGGAGTCATGTGGGATTAATGGGATACTGGGGAATTCCCCTGTGCCATAAACGTAAATGTTCCCGGGGAGGCAGGCGAAGCGGTTGTCGTCGTCCATGGCAATATCGGGATGGTTTATCTTCTCAACGCGGGCGTAGATTGAATCACCGTTTGATCGCATTTGCCAGACCTGCTTGGACGGCCGTTCAAGCTTTGTGAGTTCGGTAAAATTCTCGCCTTTCGGATGGGTTTGTAGGTAGCGGTAGAGGAGGTCGGCGGTCTCTTGATCTGGCGTTATGAGAATGCCACAGCCTGGAACACGGGTGTAGCGGGAGGTATTGGTATGGATGATAAGGCTGTAGACCGGCATGGTGACAATACGAGGAAGAGTTCGATTTCGGCTAAGTGGGTGGTGTCCTGGCGGTCTGAGACGCGGTTGATGCAAAGGCTAGAGGATAGATGATGAATCTGAAGAGGAATTTAGCCTGAAGAGATTGAGAAGGGAAGCAGGCTTGAATGCATGAGGTAACTCCATTTGAAGCTTTATGCTGCTCAAGGCCATCTCTCCTGTTGCTTTGATTGCGCAAAGGCGCTTTGAGGAGATATCCTAGTGCCCGTCCTGCAGACGCATGCTTGGTAACGTGGCGTTTATAACAGGTTGAAGAAAGAAATGAATAGAAAGAAACAGGAATGACTATGAAATTCCCAATACAAGAGTAGGACTAATGCACTATTGCTCCTTCCCTGACTAGCCTTGAACCATAAAAGGAAATAGCAAATATCATAGACCAGTCCCAGTTCCCTCTTGTTTGAGCCAACGTGCATCTAGCGCCCCTCGTTCCTGTCTCACTGGATTAGACAGTATCAAACTTGCAGCTGCACAAGTACAAAGGGCCATGGCCTACTCTTGCGAGCTGTTAGTGGAGGGCAAGACTAATCTACACAGACATTTAGGACTAGAAACATAGGTTCATACCCTACAGTGAGTCTATGCAAGAAAGGTGGCCTAGTGTAGTTTGATCACACATCCCCACTACTGGACTGGATATTAGCATAACAATCTTTGTCAAGCCTCCTTACGGGGTGCAGTTTGTCATGTTGCGTCGATTACATTATTCGAACGTGCTATGCAACTTGAGTACTCAACCAGCGAGGGCAGATACGTGACAAGGAGCAGCGGACATCTAACGGATCGGCTCCTGGACAAAAGATGGATATTCAACATCTCCAACGCCGCGATGCCTCACGGATCTTCCTGACTGCTATGGCTTGCTCTAGCCAATGACTTTTGGGACCACTTTCTACTCCACTGTGGACCCGACCCTTTGCTATCTAACGTACCCCGGGCTCTTGTGCTTGAAGCATGCCTCTCGCGTTCGGCATATATATTGGAACTATCGTGATGATCCTGATGCTAACGCTTCCAACCTCCCAAATGTACTACGACTGCGTCCTATATATCTGTCCCCAGTCCCGTACCGTCTACCATTCAATCCAACCGCCCTTGCACAGAAACAACCGGCCCCTTATACTCCCGTCTCCCCTTAAATCCATACATCCCCAAACTCACAACAAAAACGCCCCCGAAAATAACCACACTCCAATTAAAATCATCCACCGTAACCTCGCTCGTGCCCGGCCACAGCGACCAAAACAGCGCAAAGCACGAATACCCCAGCGCAACAACGTTGACCGGCAGTCCCCAGCGGCCCAGATCCCACCGCCGCGCGGGGAGCGTGTCGGGGTGCCAGATCTTGCGATACAGGACGCACGAGATGGAGATGATGTATGTGTACATGAGCGCCGCGACGTTGAGCGAGATGATGGCGTGGAAGGCCGTCGAGGAGCCGATGTTGATCAGCGACAGGAGGCAGGATATCGCGCAGGAGAGCGCGATCGCGTTGACGGGGATCTTGCGCCGCGGATGCACGTGTGCGATCCATCGCGCAAATGGTAGCCCGCGATCGCGCGCGAATGCAAACGTCTGGCGAGAAGTCGACGCGTTGAAAAGGATGTTGCTGAAGATCACCGGGATCAGGATTATCGCTGTAAGTCCGTTGACGCCTGCTGTGGAGACTGCATTGCGGAAGACGTAGAGGAAGGGGAAGCCCGTTGGGTCGGAGAGGGCGTCGGGGACGGAGGGGATTGAGAAGAGGTAGGCGATTAATAGGATGATTGCCATGATTCCGTTTGTGAAGTAGCCCCAGGAGATGGCCAGCGGGACGTTTCGGCCTGCGTCGCTGACTTCTTCGGACATGTGGGCTGTTGCGTCGGAGCCTGATATATCTTGTTAGTACAATGCCAGGCGAGGCTTGTGTAGGTTGGGGATAGGGCGTACTAAGAGACCCGTAGATAGCAGAGATCTGTCCGATCATTACGCTGAGCCCCATGCTCGACCAGCCACCTTGATTCGACCAGTCGGTAAACACGGACTTGGCGCTTCGATGGGGCGCCATGGCCCAGAGGACGATGATGATGACGGTCCATGACAGGACATGGAAGATCATGAGCAGGTTGTTGAGGACGGGCATCGCGTCGGCAGCATAGACGTTGAAAATGTAGATGACGAGAATCATCGCGAAGACGAACAGTGTGCCCTGCCAGTCTTTGGGTTCGTAGTCGGGATTCCGAATCGATATCAGGCCCTGGATGATCGTTCCTGTGAGAAAGGAGCCTGATGCGGATCCGGCTTGCCATGCTAATACGGACATCCAGCCTAGAGAGGGTCAGTACGGTGTGCCTCTCCAGGAAAGAGGATGTGAACCTGTAATGTAGCTCAAGAACTTCTGATACCGTGGCGACGAGAACTCCGACACCCAGTGGTACTGCCCGCCAGACGTCGGCGCCCTAGGTATTTCGCGATAAGCACACAGTCAAGTCGACGACAGGCATCACCTACATCGAGGCCATCTCCGACAGCGAGGCAATAATAAACCCAAAGCCAACAAACGTCCAAATCATCGACCAGCACATCCCCGCCAAACCCCCATTCTCCAAGCCCTCGGTGTTGGAGCTGAGCAGTGAACAGCTGTATTAGCCACATCGGCCATCGGCCCTCGGCCCTCGGAGAATCAAAAGGGTAACACACATCAGAACAAACTCCCATGTCGCCTGTAGGACTGACGCGAAACTCAGCGCCGCGACTGGTCGCAGATTCCTCTGTCGATAATGTGAGATGAGCTATGACTATGGGGAGGCGGACACCGGCCGCGATATGGTATCAGATTATGTCGCTCGCACCTTTAGCTCTTGCACTTTGCCCATGCGGTGCATGTCATTGTCGTCTAGGACGGTGCCCGCCTGTCCGGGGCCACCGTGGCTGGAGCCGGAGCCACCGGGGAATGTGGCGTGGACCTCGACGTCCAGCGTCCCCAATCGAGGGGCTTTGGTCTGCATCCTCTGAACTCGGAAGATGTGTCGCAGCGATCGAAATGTCGGCGAACGCGATAGGAGAGAACAATAGAAATACAGTCCACGAGACCGAAGAAAGGGCGAACAAAAACCAACAGGGCGCGACGACCAACTCATCCAGGAGAAAAAGACGCAAGGGGCAGCCTCCGCGAGTTATGGAAAAGGTAATGCGCCGGATACCACCCGACTCTTTGTCAGTCTTGGTCTCTTGGCTGGCACGATCTGCAGTAGCGAGAAACATGACCAGCTGGATCCACGAGGCGCAGTGCCAATTCACTCGGCGTCACTCGAATTGGGCAAATGGTCGCGTATCTGGCCCGCCAAGGAGGCTTACGTCGCACAAGTGGTCTTAGCTGCAGTAGCCAAAGTCTCGGTGCGGCGATCGTGAGGAGCGACAAAGCGAGGGACGGGGCCACAGCAGATTACAGTCTCGACCGGTGGGTTCTTCAGGGTTCCTGCCTTGTACTCGGGGTCCGGCTGACGATTCGTCACTGATGAATCAGTCACCTCCAGCCTTGAGATCGCGCGATGGATCAAGGGATGGAATGGAATCAGTCGCTGGAGCATGGCACGCACGGAGGCAGCCCTTGCTAACGCCCCACCGTCAGCACACACCTCGCCATGTAACTGGCCCTTGCGAAGCGAAATATCGCCGGCATTCGTGCTGCGTGGCCAGGCCTGTGTAAC